TCGTGATGTACTCTTCTTTGCAGTTTGTTCGTTGTTATATGAGATTTGTATATGATCATTCGAAAAGTTGACGAAGCAGCTTCGACGAACTTTTTTTTTCATCATACACAATGTATTTCATACTGCTAAACAACTGTTTCAACACAGTCATACTAGCCGAACAATCGCTTCATCACAACATCATCCTCGAGAAACTAGATCATTCTTGTGTCGGTCCAGTCGGTGCAAAAATTGTTATATCGGAATCACGTACGACGAGTTTGCTTCCATATATAACCGAGAAATGTGTCAATTTATTTGCTTATTCATTTTTGTATTCAGCCGCTGGATTGTAGCAACTTCGTATATAATACGAACTTGGACCAATCTATTTGCTTGTTCGCCGACTTTGCGTCCTCACATCAGCATGTATGCATGTGTGTGCTTATGTGTTTCTTTCCTTTCACTCTGTCACGATGTGTGCTATATGTGAATATGCATCTGTCGATCGACTTGCGCGTTCTTTCTTCCTCCCGTCTTTCACTCTCATATTGTGTATGAAATGAATTCAATGCATTTGCTTATTCATTTTCGACTACTACTCTAGTTCTTTCTACGACCATGTCAACTTCATATTATATATGAAATCAATTCAATCCACCTGCTGACTCGTTTTCTACTGTGTACGTAGTTTGTCTATCGACAACCGTGTCAACTTCATATAGTATATGAAATGAATTCAATGCATTTGCTTATTCATTTTCGACTACTACTCTAGTTCTTTCTACAACCATGTCAACTTCATATTATATATGAAATCAATTCAATCCACCTGCTGATTCGTTTTCTACTGTGTATGTAGTTCGTCCATCGACAATCGGTTCAACTTCATATAGTATATGAAATCAATTCAATGCATTTGCTTATTCAACTTCTGCTGCTAATCTAGTTCTCTCTACAACCGTGTCAACATCATATTATATATGAAATCGATTCAATCCACCTGCTGATTCGTTTTCTACTGTGTATGTAGTTCGTCCATCGACAATCGGTTCAACTTCATATGTAATATCAAACGTAGTCAATCCGTCTGCTAATTCGTTATCTAGTCTTCTAGCGAATCTTTTTTTCCTTTCCAGTAGCGTCACATACATGTAACGTCGACTTTCTTTTTCAGTTTCTCATCATCTGGCCTATCAAGTCGAGTCAAGTCAGTTACTTGTTCAGCCTACCCTTTCATTTGCCTCTCAAACAATACATTTGCTCATTCAGTTTTCACGAACAAGCCGATTCATCAGTTCATTCGCTCATACTCTTCAAATGAAACGGACACTCGAATCATGAGGGTGTGTCCAGGTGTGTGTGTAACTCATATACATGTATGGCAGATGTCATCAGACAGTCTTTTCGATTCAACATCGTCCAATAGACAAGAAACAATCGTACATTGGAAGATTGTCTTGTTTGTCGAAATTTCATTCATCTTGCATCGTCGTTCATGTGTTAGTTTCGAACAATTCTTCAATTAGCGTCGTCTTTTCCTCAACACTTCTATCATCTATTATCAATCGTTTGTTTCATTCGCGTCTTTTCTCTTCGTAGTCATCGACTTGTTCGATTTGACTTCTTACTTCTCTTCTTCTTCGAGGACATCAAATTCTAGAAGATGTCGAATCATTTGTTTTCTCCCTACGCTTAGTAATAGATGTCATTCAACGAAATGTTCTTATTTGTTCTTCATCAAACAAATCAACAATAGAATCAAATCAAAATTTCTTTCACTCGTTTATTTTGGTGTATTCAATTTTCCATTCCATTCTTTTTGTTCATATTTTCGATCGATTCGAATAAGTGCCATCATTGCGTATGTTCCTCGTCGTTATACAAACGATTTCGTCTAATCTCAGAATTTCATGCATACGAAGATCAGGCGTATGTGACGTGTTTCATTTTTCAATGTGTTTTCTCTTAGCTGATATCAATCATAGAAATGTCATTTCTTCATCGTGCACATCGAAGATCTATTCCATGTGTGACATGTTTTCTTTTTCAGCCATTTGAAGACGCTTGGCCTTTTCTCACTCTCGAGATCATATTATCTAGCGGTGCATTTNTTTCGATCGATTCGAATAATTGCCATCATTGCATATGTTCCTCGTCGTTATACAAACGATTTCGTTTAATCTCAAAATTTCATGCATACGAAGATCAGGCGTATGTTACGTGTTTCATTTTTCAATGCGTTTTCTCTTAGCTGATATCAAGCATAGAAATGTCATTTCTTCATCGTGCACATCGAAGATCTATTCCATGTGTGACATGTTTTCTTTTGCAGCCATTTGAAGACGCTTGGCCTTTTCTCACTCTCGAGATCATATTATCTAGCGATGCATTTCAGTTCACGATCTACTTTGTTTTCGACTTCTACATTGCCAATCGATCCAAACAAATATTCATCATGCATGCGTGTCTTTTGATTGTATTCAAGTTTTCTAGGTCGGATCGAGGAAGAAATAAAATCTTGAACGTTTATTCCTTTAGATCGCCATCGTTTATACCACACATGTATGTTCATCGTTGTTTTGTATTTTCACGTGTTTCACAGATCATCTGGGCATCGTTGCCATTTTGCTTGATGTTCATTCATATGTATACGCAGGTGTGATATATCAGCAATCGTCAAGGTCGAAAGGATTCTTCATCTGCTGTAGATGGCGAGCCTGCTTCTCTCTGCCACAAGTTTGAAGGGACGTATTCACCAATGAATGAAATAGCTGCGCATGGACACCGCAATATATAAGTAATCACCAGCATTTGCATTAGTGTTAAATATAGACTGCTTTCTAAGCCGAAAAGAATTCGAGAAAAAGCATGTGTACATTGGAAAAGAGTTCTTTTTGACTAAATGTACACGTATGATACTCTCCTGAATGCTGTCCGAGCAAAGATTCTTTATGGCATGCACATTCTTAGCCTCATTCGATCGAATGACGAGCGATAAATATTTGACAAAAAATTGCGTAGGCAGGCAAGTTGAGTAACAGCTTCTAGAGTTGCTTTTGTAGTAGATGCGAACGAGTTTGATATCATGACTCAAAGAATCATGTTTTCACGTTACATGACCGTTTAGCATGAATAATATTCAAAACGAAATTTTCGAGCTTGAACATGATTCTTTACTCGACCACATGACATTGTGTGGAAATAAAATATTCGTTGGATATGAAAGTTTCTAACATGCATATCAAACATCATTTCATGTATCACCGAGTGGTGAATAGAAAGAAGAAAACAAATTAGTTTTCATGAAGTCTCCATCGACATATGGAATGCACCGTTAACACGACGCAGGAAACATAAAAAAACTGTACTTTTATCGATACCATGCAGGAAGATGGGCAACAAATCTTACACACATATGGCAGCTGAATATGATCCATTGAATTGGAATGTTTATTTCGAATGTCGAGTATACAAAATATTTATTCCAATAGAGATCATCAATTATTATTTTCCACGTAGACTCCTCGCGTATTCTACACATACACAAGAAGATAAAATGAATCGATTATATTTTCTGTCTAGAGAAGTTGGTATGATCACTCGTACACCATTTGATGATTATATCGATCACATACCGCATCTAGTACCATTTGGTTACGTTCTCGAAGAACTGTCAAGAGAAATCGATGCTACAATACGTTACAATTTTGTTATTGCAGATAATTATGCCATATTTATCCGAATGCCTCATTTTAGAGACAGATCTTCTCGTCTACTATGCAAGCATATAACAATATCAAGTCGTGCACCATTTGTCCGGTATGCAGGCGAAATCTGGTATAGTAGAAATGGTCATTTTGTAGTAAATAATTCTTCCGGTACGTATCGGCCACCAGATCGATTGATCAAACAAGTGCTTACATTCTTTCATCATTTATCGCCGAATGCATATTTCGACGGAGTGAGTTTTCGAAATAGAACCTGAACATCTCGTCATTGCACACGCCTCCAGTAAAACATGTGTCTTTAATTAGTGTTGTCAGAATCTCTATGGTACATATTTTTTGTTGTAAAGAGCATTAAATGAACAGCATCCAAGTCTACGTACGTAAATTTTATAATGTACAATAGAAAAACAAGAGAAATTTGCATTGATACATTTCTCTATCCCATAAGATCTATTCGTATATCATATTGTTCTGCTGCATGACAAGATTTTCTACGTTCATTCAAGTTCGTGTATCTCGTCTTGAACAAATGATTGCTTCATTTTGTGTTGTTGATGATACCAGTATAAAGATTTCATGGAGTTATAACTAGTTTTATTTTCAGCATCGATAGGCTCTAACAGAGATATTTATTGTTTATCGGTGATTATGAAAAAAGAAAACAATGTTTTATCAAATCTAATTAGTTCTATCAGTATATGGACTCCAATACGACCAAGACTATCTTTTCTTATGTTATCCTGCAGCAGTAGCACATGATAAATATTGTAAATACTCTCAAAATGGATTATTTATTTTATTTATATACGGTTTATTACGTTCTTAAATTCTGACAACCGATCCTGGTTTTAATTTATATCAATAGTAAACTTTTGTACTCTGTTGTTGCCCCAATCAACCACCCATAAGTTTCCATGACGATCAAATGAAATACCTAACGGGCAGTTGAATTGATTCGGTCGCGCACCTTGTCCATTGCCGCCAACCATAATGCTGCCTTTTGTACTATTTGGCAACCAGCGAACTACACGATGATTGTGTGAGTCTGCCACATACACATGACCACATTGATCAACGACTAATCCTTGAGGATTGGATAGTTGTGTGAGACTATCTCCTTGACCTTGGCCTCCTGCCACGACAATTCCTTCTTTGGCACCTTTCACCCATTTCATCACTCGATTATTATTTGAATCTGAGACGTATACTGAGCGCTCTAGATCGACAAATATGTAACTCGGGTAGTTGAGTTGATTGAGTTGATTTCCACGGCCATTTCCACCAGCTACAATTGTTCCTTCTGTGTCTCCATTTGTCCATCTTCTTACTTCGTCCTTTTCGTAATCCGAAATGTATAGATCCCCATTACAATCCATCGCTATGCCCCAGCAGACGATATTCGAAATAAGTACGTGCGGTTCGAACTTAGAACTGCGAGACCAACATACTATTCGTCGATTGCCTTGGTCACAGATGATAAGTGTATCATTCACTTTATCGAGAAGGATATCTGTTGGATAACTTAACTGATTCGATCGATAGCCTTGTCCTGCTCCACCGGCAACAACTTCTCCGTCATTCATGCCACACTTCCATTTGACAATGCGATGATTGCCATAATCAGCGATATAGGAAACTGCTGGATCACTATCATCGACGTGTATACCAAGAGGATTACACAATTGATTCGACTGGTGACCCGGATAGATAGATCCTGCAACAGTTGACCCAGATTGCTTCCATGTTGGATGAATAAGAGTATTGTTGTAAGGATTGATGGAGTGATTTATAGAATGATTAACACAATAATTGCCAGAAGGATTTATGAGATGATTACTGGAAGGATTAGTGAGACGATTGCTCGAATAATCGTCAGAAGGATTGTTAGAATGTTTGTTCGGACAGTCATTGGAAGAATTACCAGAACATTTCATGAAATGATCGCTGGAAGAATTGTTAGAATGTTTGTTCGGACAGTCGTTGGAAGGATTATCAGAACATTTCACGAGATGATCGTTGGCAAGATTGTTAGAATGTTTGATCGAATAATCGTTGGAAAGACTACTACAATGTTTGACGGGGTGCTTGCTGGATGCAGCAGTAGAACCTATGAGATGAATTTCAAGAGACTTTCTTCGCATTCAAACAAAATATAGACCGAGCGCACCGTACACTCAAAGAGGTTTTAATCACTAAAATGACTTTCATGAACAGTATAGTAGCGAATCATTTCAAAGTGATTCACGATCTCAATTAGACAGTCGTTAACAATTTTCTCTTTATCATTCAGTACTAATTGCAACGTAAAAAAATGAGCAAATACCTTACCGTTAGAGAGGGTGGCTGAAAATCTATAGATGAGTGGTGCTGGATCTTGTGATATTGAAATATGTGGTAGATTTTGAAGTTTTTCCCCCAATCGTTTCAACTTTTGTTTGAACATATCTAAATCAACTTCATTAAAATCATTTTCTTGACGAATTCTTTTGAGATGATCTGATAATGCCGCTAGATTAGCTTCAATATTATGTACATTTTTTGCCGTATGTTCAACTAGTAATTGTCGACATTCGACTGCTGCTTGTCGAACCACACGAACCGATTCATCTTCCCATTGATCAATTTGTTTAGCATAAAGAGCTATTTGTGGATGAGTCAATTGTTCACTGAGAGTTTGTCGAAAAAGATCACGAGTCCGCTCAATGAGATCTAATTGTTTATTTAACTCCTGCCGATGATCTGTTAAATGATCATAGCAAAATAATTGTAAGCAACCTTCACATCGAACGGCCCGTTTTTCTTTATCACATATGATACAACGGCTTTTACCACTCACTGATGACATTGATCGAATAATTCAAACTGAATAAAATCCGGCGAAATCGAATAGTAGTTGAGAACGTTGAAGAAATCTCAGTAACGAGAAAGATTTTTTAAACGTCAGCTTGTAAATACGATATTAATAAAATTATTCAATGCCACCTAAATATGACGAACAAGAAAAATAGCGCAAGTATATTTACTGATTGAATTGATTATAACGTCCTTTGCATCAAGGATGCTATCCATCGATGAGACGATTTCTCCGTTTCGCCATCATTATATCTCTCTAATGAATACGACGAACATACGCAAATTTTATCGTGGAAGACGAAAGCGAAAAATGATAGTGCATCCTGCGTATGTTTTGATGATATACAATTTAGGTAACTTAAAGGCCATCGTATCGCCTGTAGATATTTAGTAAATAAATTTATTCAAATAATTACGGCGAGTGAAAACGCACGATCGACATGCGGTAGTGTTACGTTTGAATGAAACTGAGATTCTTTTGGTGAGCTCAATGGACTAAAACGTTTTTATTCATGAAAATCGATGAAAACGTGCAAAGTGAAAAACAAGAAGTTCATGTGTGAAAGAAAAGTTAGTTATTTATTTGATGCGATTTGTTGTTGAATCTTTGCGATAACTTCACGATGAATTTCTAGCTTCTTTTCTGTGTCTTTCATTAATGTTGCTAATCGTTTTCTATGACAAAAATCAAAGTTAATAAGAGCGTCGTAAAATATTCTGTACCTACAGTTCACCTTCGCAATAGACAAGCCGTTTCTCAACTGTTTCTTTGCCTTCGCTTAGTTCTTGTTTAACGAGAACAGGACCAACGAGTTTATAAACCGTAGCATCCGAATCAAGATTTTCGAATTCCTATAGAAAAAGTCGATGCGTTCTCGAAAACATGCTATTGAAACATTTCACATACTTGTTTAACAAATTCATTCTCGGTTTTTGTCACAAATAACTGTTGTTGTTGAGTGACGAACTTTTTCATGTCTATATTTTTGATACAAACAGAACTTTGAGTATAGAAATCAATAATTTACCATTTTGTGTCTGTCGATATTTTTCAACTTCGTCTTCTAATTTTTTATTAAGATCAGGTGCCATCGTTTGTATCTGAAGTGAGGAAATCGGATTAATAAATTTCTATTTTGATATACACAAGCAAACAAACAAAGATTAACGACATCAATATTTTTTGTCTGAAGAAAATTTACATCATATACAAACAAAACCAAGTGGAACATTCAATACGAGATACACGCAAAATATTGAGTTTTAGACAACAAAATAGGGAAAACAATTCATATTAGTAAGGCTTTAAGTCGTTGTTGTTGTCGTCGTTGTTGTTTGTGCAGCTTGGTTTTGTGCCTCGTTGTCTTCGACAAATTCCATTGCTTCTTCTCGTGTGACTGATCGAATTTGACTAACTTTATTTCGATAAGTAATACCGTAAAATTTATCGCCGTATTTCAGCAAATCTGGACCAAAAGTGGTGATAATAAATTGAGCTTTTTGACTTAGCTCATTGATCATATCTAAATACATGAACAGATGAAAGTAACGGAAATACTGATATAAATCGTTTGAATTCCTTACCAGCCACAGCATTACGATATTGTGGATCGAGAGCTTGATCGATTTCATCGAACAGATAGAAAGGTGCCGGGTCACATTTTTGAATTGAAAAGATCAAAGCTAAAGCAACGAGTGATTTTTGACCTCCGGATAATTGTTGCATGTCACGCATTTCGTTTGTTCGACCATTGAATGACACTTTGATGCCTACGCCAGTAAAATCATCAACGGACATTTGTTGGCCAGAACTTTGAGATGAAACTTGTTCGCTATCGTAATCCTAAACAAATAAAGTTCTTATTCAAATCATTGTTTTTGTTTCCTAAACATCGAACGCACCTCGTTATCGCCTTTCTTAATGACTAAATGAGCAGTACCCTCCGGTACAAGACGTTTAAATACTTCAGTAAAATATAATGACACTTGTTTGAATGTGAATTGTATAGTTTCAAAACGCTTGTTATCGAGACTTTCGATTAAATCAACAATATGCTGCAAATAGAACAAAGATTTCGTTGTTACTTTCAAACGATCGCACGGAACATACTCGGTGTGCCTCATCAATTTCAGCTTTGCGATTAGTTAATTTATCACGTTCATCGCTAAATTGAAGAAATTGATCGAGAGCTTTCTTGTTAACATGAGCATATTTTTTCAATTCAATTATAGCACGATCGAGATCGCGTTGAAGCTAGAACAAAAAGTATATGTATTACATTTCTTTAAATCTATTTTTCTGCAGCAAAGCTACTTGTTTGATGGGAATATCTCTGTATTTATCGAGGCCATCGGGTGGTACGCCGATATCGTTTTGACGTTTCGTACTTTCATCAAGCTAAAATAAAAATTCGAACTACTCGTTTTCTTCTTTGAGTAAAATCGTGTAATTACCTTGTTTTGAGCATTGCGTAATTTAACTTCATATTTATCTGAGTTGCGTTTTTCCTCATTGATGTGTTCATCGATATCTCGATCGGAATTCTATAAACGGAAAAATTTTTTAGTAAGAAGATACTGTTTTCCTTATCAAACCTTGAATTTTTCAAGTTCTTTTTGTTTAGTTTTCAATTCTTTATCCAAATTATTTATGATACGGTCGATGGCTAAAAGCGAAGAAAAAATACGACGATTTCTGATGGATTTTTGTACTCTTTCACATTACCGTCAGTTTGTTTTTCATGTTCATTGAGTTTATCGGATAGAATCGCATATTCTCGTTCAAGTTCTTCGATAACACTACGAACATTTTCCACGTGCATTCGCTCAAGTTCCTTTGAACATAATTAATAAAAATGTGCCCAATATGCATCATCAGTTTAAAAAACATACTGTATTAATTTGTTCACGATTTTTTCGATAATTATTAGCGACTTGATGCTCAAGTCGTGTCTTTGTACCTTCAAGCTACAAAACACAACAAGGCAATTTCCTTTTCTCCACCATTTCCGATCAAATCGAACATACTTCAACACGTTTACGAATAATTTCTTTTAATTCTTGTGTTATTTTTTCAACAGTATCGTTCAATCTGTCGACAGTTGATTGTTCTTCCATAGTTAATTGGGAAACAAGATCACTACCGAGTTCCGATTGTAATGATTCTTCTTTCGCACAAAATTGTTCGATTGTAGCAATCAAAGCATTCAATTGTCGTTCCTAATGGAACAACGCATAAGAAACCTATAGAGTTACGTATCATAGAAATTTACTTTTCCTGGCCGATGAGTAACGATGCGGTCTAGTTCCGATTGAAGATGTTTAGCATCAGATTTCATTTGTTCGTAGTTGTCCCTAAAAGAAATTTTCCTTTTCTATTTAAACCCCTTCTTGTTTTCTCACTTACCAATTCTTTTTCGATTTCATATCTTCTCGTTGAAGTTCGGTCATGACATTATTATATTCATTATCCGTATTTAAGATTTCACTGCGCAGTTTTTCATATTCCTTTTCGTATTCATTCAACGTGCTACGTAATTGTTTAATCGAACGTTGTAGCTCCAAACGAGAAACTTTCTTGTCAATATAACCACCAGTTAACGCACCTTTGCGTTGAACTTGATCGCCTTTAAATTCAAACACATGATAATTGTCAAAAACTTGATTGTTTTCTTACCATCAAGTGTGACACAATCAACGTCGTATTGCCGAGCAGTACGTGTAGCAGCATTGAAATCTTCACAAAGCATTATACGATTGAATACATGTCGAACAGCCCGTTCGGCTTTTGGTACCCATTGAAGTTGATCGATCAAGGGTGACGCACCAGTTATATTGGAGAGAGTATTATTTTGCACATCTAAGACATTTAACGGTAGGAAATGGATTTCACCACGTTGTCGACTAGCATTAAACTCTTTGACTAAACGCGTTGCAACGACATCTGAATCAACGATATGGTAATTGAGACTAAGAAAAACTGAATAGTAATGACCAAATGAAATATTAAGCTCACGAACCGATTCCCAGCGATGACTTCTACGGCTGTATAAAACGCGGGATCGCACTCGATATTTTCGATCAAAGTGCCATGGTAACCATTGATGATGTCCTGATTGCGATTTTCATCAGCAAATTGGCGAAGAAGTCGTTGTAAACCATCAGTGCCAGATGCGGCGCCCTAGAGCGAAATTCAATCTTTAATACAAAAACCGAATCATTTCTGAGTGTGCTCTACTTTGTTCATCACAGATCGAAGTGAATCTTGGCATTTGCGTAGTTCATCTCGTGTTTGGCTCAATTGAATATGCAATTGAGTTTCTTTTCGTGCCAGGTCCCTGTTAAAGAACAAAATATTTGCGTCTTTGGATTAAAAAATAGCTACCGCTTACGTTTTCAAAGCAGCAATATCACTTTTCTTTTGTCGAAAATCTCGTACACGTGTACTGACATTATCCATATGTGCTCTTTGTTCATTTCCATTATCAACAATTTGCCGCAGCTGTTCGTCGATCTCATGTGACTTCATTTGTTCGTCTTGTAGATCTTTCTTTAATCGTTCCATCTAAGTGAGAGTACGTTAAAATATTTTCTTCGTATCAAAAGAGTAACTCACTTGCTCACGTTTATCATGGATCGCTTTGCTGAGTGATTTAAGCTCGAGTCGAATCCATTTATCTCGATCGTCTTTTGATCCAAATTGATTTCCCCGGCCACGTTTAGCAAACAATTCTTTACGTTTTTCTTCGGCAAGATCACGTCTAAATGCAGACATTTCGCTTTACTTGGTAAATTCACTAATTTCACAAACATACTGTGCTGTCTTTTGTTCTTCTTCGCGTCTTATGACATCATATTCGGGAATAATTTTTGCTAGTTTTTGTTCGCTTTCAGCGATTAATCGATCGTACTTGGCGAGCTCTTTTTTCAATTCACTACGCTTTGTATCCCGTTGCGCTGTTTCGCCTTGAAGATCTTGCAATTCAAGTTCAATTTGTGCTTTACGTTGAAAATTGTCTTTATTGTCCACAATTAACGTTTCACGTTCGATCTGTTGAGTTTGCAGACGTTGTTTGAGTTCGGTTATTGAATCCATTGTTTGCTAATCAGCGAAACCAGTCAGACACATGCAATTGAAGCGAAAAAGTCTTACTTGAATCAGCTCCGTCACAGTTAGCCGATCACTTTCCAATTGTTCGACCTTCTGTGTGGCACCATTCATTCTTGCAACAATCTATTCAAGGAGAAGCATATGCTTGATCTCGAGATTTGTTGGGAAAGCTTACTTCATCGATGCGCTTTTTAGCATCCTCGCATTCAGCAGTACAAATGGCACATTCCAATCCACGTTTCGATCGATCCCATTTTTGATATTGCTTAAGCTCTTCTTTTTCTGTTTCCAAGCTCAGCAAGCGTTCTTCGATTGCTTTCAATAGATCAGCAATCTTCTTTCGACGTTCCTCTAGAAGAACAAAAGCCATGACTAATGTCATTCTTCTCGATTTCTTACCAGTTTCAGCAAGAATCGCTTCACTTTCTTGTTTCTTTTCGTCATAAACTTTTGTACCAGCTACTTCACGTAATAATTGTAAACGATTGGCGTCTGGTGCTGTGGCCATTTGTGTAATCTGGATCGAGAAGATCGATTATAGTGCCTACATAAATTAACTGAAAACTCTTACTTTGCCTTGTTTTACAATATAATATGGATTCGACCGTGAAAATCCTGCACCTTCAAGCATGTTGATTATATCCGTTTTACTGAAAGTTAATAATTAGGATATCAACTTGTGTATTTCTCAAAACTGAAGAGAACTTACTTTACAACTTTTCGATCAAGGAAATAGTTATCTTTTTTCCCACTGATTTGTCGACGTACTGCCACTTCAGCTTTATCAATCTAATTTAAATAAAATAAGATAACTAACCAATGAAAAACAAATAACCGAAGCTAACCATGATACGACTATCGGAATTATCGAAGATAATCTCAACGTAGGCATTTAATGCTCGACTATTGATACCTTCGTGCATTAGATTGTAGCGGCCTTCAGCTGATAAATTACTGAATTCATCACTCAATACAAATTGAATCGCTAAAGAAAGACAAATCGGAAGTAAGTATAAACATAATGAATGAACAGTGAAGAAACGAACCAAAGAAGAAATTTGATTTTCCACAACCATTTCGCCCAACTAAACAAGATGCAAAACTTCGATAATTACGCAAAGAAACACTTGTTTCACTTGGTTACCGATAATATTGTAACGTTGACTGAATGGCTCGAATACTGTCTCATCACGGTACGAACGAAAACCTTGTATTATAACCTATTTCGAAAGAAGTTCAAATCAAATGATATTTCAGACAAATGATTTTCACTTGTTTGATATACATGCTGGATGGTAGTATTTAGTTGAACACTCACTGCCCAGAATTCAACAAAAATGAATCATTAATGGTTGCCTGTCGATCAAACAGTGCTTTGTTTCCGTCGATAACCAATCCAATGAATGCTATTGTTCTTATACGACTGGTGAAGAACGACATCTCTCGTTCAATCAAAATCATTTTATTAGACAGTTCCAAGGTATATGTTCGGTTATGATATCCTTAGATAAAGCAGATTTCGATGATAAAATTAACAGCAAATCTTATGAATGGTTACTGGGATAGAGAATATGCGGGCAGTATCAATATCAGTGGATAGGACACATTCGTTTTCAAAGCTGATGTCAATACTATTATAATTAATTAAAATTTAAAAAATAGGAAACTTCGATTCAAAGAGTGAATATTATAAAAATAGTCAACGTTCAATTCTTGAATCAATATTTTTCTGCTTAAGTATGTTCATTTAACTTCCGATTTCGATCGGTATTCTTCTATTTGTAAATCGATTAGATTTCCTCAATAGGAGCCATTTGTGTAGATTTCATTTCATTGTTAATGTCGTTTGTATGATTGTAATATTCATCATCTTGTTCTCGCAGTTGAGTCATACTTCTCGCTCTCACTCCATTTGTTTCTTCTCGGATTGGTACAACCGTTGTAGCATTGGGTATCACTGAAATTCCATCCGAGGATTGTCGCTGTCTTGTAGGTTTCATTGTTGGCGGCGGCAAAGTATTGAGAAATGTTGCCGATGTTCGCCGAAAAGATAAGTCATACTTTGAATCGTATCGTGATGGTCTAGTCTCTAAATGAATATGTTTATTGTCAGCGTATTCACGATCGAGATAGTTCATTTCTCGTCGTCGTTTATATGGAACGGAGAATAGCCATATAATCATCACAATATGGATGATGGTATATACTCCAAAGAGACCATAGAAAACATACCGGTCCATAATAACATAATAATTTTTGGGCTGAAGTAGTCTTGCAGGATTTGGATGAAGAAAATTAAGTGATGCTATGATAGAATGCCAAACGCACAGAACAACTAGTATCATAATTGAAATAATCGCATAGATATCCAAAGTAGTTAAATAAGAAATTTGTGGCTAGAACAAGAAAAGACAAAATCGAATGAGTTTTGAGCGAATTCAATGTGTAGCAGAGACGTACTAGAGATCGATTCACAACCCATCGAAATGTCACGGAGGTGAGCAGCAGAGTACATGTAATTTGTAGTCGACTCTGTGGTAAACTAGTTCGAAGAAATCAATATCGAATAGGTATAGGAAGAGAAGCTCAATCAACTTACTCTGGTGAAATTGAAAAGATACAGAATGCACACACGGTGATTAGAAAAATTAAACAAAAACCGTTCCAATAATAATAACCAGGACGGCGAGCTATGTGACAAGACAGATATAACATATGCAAGAGAAATAATATAATCAGTGACTAGATACCTGCTCGACAGGCCACTGCAAGTACTGGATGTTTCTTTTGTCCTAGTGAACTATTTTCATCATCGAACGAATACTCTTCGTTTGATTCACGTATCTCGGTTGCAACATGTTCATACAAAGACCACTCTTGTTGGTCGAAAAATGCCTCACGGTTAATAATCGAACGGAAATGTTCATCTTGAACAAGAATACAATCTTCAACGTGATGATGACTTGTTATCGATATAGTTAACTCTTGTACGTCAGCTGGAAACTGTAGATAGGAAAGAAAATTGTATATGAGATAAAATGAAGTCATTGATATTTACATGATTCAATTCTAACTTTTCCCAAAAGACGCCTTTGAGTCGACGATGTTCACAAACTTCTACATTCATCGAAACTGATGTTGATATCTGATCAGATCTTGGAGTGATCTTCTTTATCGTAAACCATTTATCCTGTTCGCCAATTTGACCTATACCATTTTCAATAAATAATTGTGGTGACCAATGAACGGCTGGATTGAGTTCGTTGATCCTCACGCTGGGGTTGTCACCGACAAGAAGTCTTTGTTGATCTTGTGGATTCAGATTTAATGTATTTAAATTCATCCGTTTCTCTGTCCATCTTGCTTCGTAATAAACATCGGCTTGATACTTTTCATTGAGTGTGTCGATCTCTCCAATATGTATGAACACTAAGCGAATCCGTACAACACGTGCGTTGGTTTTCTTCGCAGGTAGAGTCAAGCCAGGGTTATTCACGACGATTGACGATGATTTTTTTCGAGAGAAATCACGTTGTGCAGGTTTATGTTCATTACTTTCACCTGAGTGTTGACTGACTTTGGAGTGAAACATTTGACGCAGAGGAACAAATTTGTGTAGCTTCACAAGAATCTTTGTGTCAATGTCGATTTCCTCAGGAATATCAGATAACTGCGCTTGACAAAAGCAAAAATAGAGAAAATAAATAGTCATCAAGTTATCAAATGGTAATAACAATTATAAGATACATGGATATTATCTTTCTACCTACTTGAAAAGAATCTCATGAATATCGCAATAAATATTCCGTATAAAAATAAAGCTCTACTCTTTGGATTCAATTACGCAATTATGATCGATATTGAATAGTAGAATTTTACTTTAAGAGATGTCTTCAATATATATATATATATATATATACCAACTGGGCCCAGTATTGTTTTACTATTGATAACGATGATTCGGTGCATTACAATTGTTTTCGTCTTTTTCGTTCTTGATAATAAATCTGCGTATCAAGATATTATATGTGTATATCTCGTACTAGTTATTGATACAAGCGATGCGTACATATTGTTTCTGAAATAAATGATCGAATTCTCATCTTAATAACATAGTTGATATCATGATGCTGAAATGCACTGCTCTCGTATGAAAATTCAACGAACATGATCTTTTACAATGTACGAGTGTTTGTCGTCATTGTACTCGAAGTACAATAATTAGCTAAAACTAGAATGACACTTAGTTATATACTTCATTCAATAGATGATTTTAGAAACAAACGGTGTCTTCAACCAAGGATAATAATAATAACATATTATTGTTAAATGTAACGAAAGAGTACAAAAGCTTCGTGACGTCATCATTTACGTTTGATCTCAAATATTCGAATATATCTAGAGCAGTCTTCTTAGAAACTCGTATGGTATTGATAAGGAGACCTAGTCTCTGATCATTTTAACGATTAGCATCGTTGACTAGAAGTAGAATATTCACCATGCAAACTCCGGGAAAAGTTCACACCCACAAATCAATCACATGTTTTCTATTTTTGTCTACTAGAAAATATTTTTTACGAGTTTATACTCAAATGAGATATTCACCTGTTTACGATTATTTTCCACCCACCGTTGAAAATACATCTTGAACGACAGTTATCTTCAATCTTAGAACAAGATTCGTGGGTGGAGGAAAAATTTATCATTATGATTCGAAGTAGGACTTATCAGTAAAAACATGAATCGATAAAGCCCACGTTCTCTATGTATCAGAACAAATGTAACCAAGTTACCGTTTTTCTGTTAAATAATCTCGTAGTCAACTAGATGAATATTATTGACGTCAATACCTTGTCGTTGAGGAATCATACTTTCATAGTGATGAATAATATAGATCATCTGTGGAAGAAGCAGACTTGTTCGTAACGAAGTGATCAATTTCTGTCAACTGTTGCCATCTACCGTAGAAATTCTGTTTAGTATTCTTCGTAGCCAGTGGTTGTCGAATAGAATATGTTCAATAATTCGCATACGATTGGGCAATCGTCAAACTGCACAAGACTTTTGTTTCCTCAATGGAAAAGCTTCGATTTTGATTTATAATAGAAAACAAGATGAAATTAATCAAACCAGAATGGATTGAACATGGACCGAAAGAAAGTCTTTCCTCGCTTCATATCAATCCTGAAGGTGTTCGCGTTGCTGTAGCTGGTAAATATAATGCTGTCGATTGTATACGTATATTTCGTTTGGCATCGATACTTGATGAAAATTATCACAAACAGTCTCGACTTCTGTGCCGTATCGATACACAATGTCCACTTTGTGTTCGATTTTCTTATACCAGTGATATCCTTGCTGTTGCTAGTCGTCAAAGTGTTCTTCTGTATCATTTAACAGCCACGAATCCAAATGTAGTAAATCGTAAGTGATCTGAGATATCGCCCATTGATATAAATCTTGAATAGAACCAGTTCAGTCATCGTCATCATTCGGTGAATTTCCTGAAACATGGCGTCTTCGATCAAGCCTATCATCTGGTCATGTTGCTGATGTCCTAGATATAGCATGGTGTCCGTCGAATGACCGATATTTAGCATCGTGTTCTATTGATAATCACATTTGTATATATTCATGGCCGTCTGCAACGTTAACAACAACACTTCGTGGCCATACCGGTTTAGTTAAAGGGCTGGCGTGGGATCCAACTGGACTTCTATTAGCATCACAATCGTCAGATGGAACGGTAAAAGTTTGGTCGAGTACAACGTGGCAATGTGAACAAACGATAAAGGAGCCATTCGATGGTTGTGCAGAATCGACATCGTTTCTTCGACTTGACTGGTCGCCTGATGGAACAATGTTTACTACAGCACATGCTAAAAATAATACGTAAATCACTGATATATATATATATATATATATATACACTGATAAAAAGAATCGAATGCATTTCGTTTTATTATAGTTTTCCCGTATCAGCTTGCATTATTCGTGGTTCGTCGACGGTCGATGCTGAATTCGTTGGTCATCGCCGTGAAGTAACGTGTGCAAGGTTTCTCCCAAGAATTCTATTAATTAACGGCCGTCGACGATGTCTATTAGCAATTGGCAGTAAGGACCGGACTCTATCATTATGGTTAACTAGTCCACGGCAGCCAATGTGTATAATCAATGACTTTTTTGCATCAGGCATATTAGATATGTCCTGGCATTTAAATGAAACTGAAGGTTTAACTACACTTGGTGTTTGTTCACCAGATGGTGCTTGTGCATTTATTGTATTTAATAAAGGTGAACTAGGCTCCCCTTTAACTCATCAAGAAATGGCCAAGTTTTATAGTGACATGTATAAAGTAAATATAGCGGTTCCTACAAAGCCGGTGGCGAACGGGTAAGTAGATAAAGAGGGTCGTTTTTGTACATTGAAATACAATTTAAATCTACTCTGTTCTAGTGTTACTCCTGTTACGAATGGAAATGGTCATAGTCATCATTCCCAAGCATCGACTGTCAAAACGACATTAGCTAATCAAACTGAACGTCGACTAAATGATGGTCGTCGTTGCATCAAACCCTTGTGCATCGATACACCTCCTCCTGCACCCGCAGTTACACCTGCACCTCTGCCAGCGCCCACACCCGTAGCATCAACATCCAAAGTTCCATCGCCATCACCACAACCGCCTCCTACAAGTTCTACTACTACTACTACTACTTCCACACCGTCTTCCGTATCAACGTCTCGTCGTACACCTACAATTCCAATCGACCCTAAACCAGCGAAAGGTGTTGTTCGATCGTCAACGTCGTCCATTACTTTACCATCATCGATTAGTTCGACAGCATTATTTCCTCCATTGAAATTGCTATCGAATTTAATTCGTAAAATAAACAATGAGTATGAATTGCGTACAGAAAAATCCTCTGATCAAGTCTATATTCTTTCTTGCATTAACGAACAGACAAAATTGGCACAATGGAAAAATGTCTTTCAATCACCATTACTTGCCATTCAAGCAACCAAACACTTCGTCGCACTTGTTACATTGAATGAAACAAATCACTGTTCAGAATTATTCGTTCTCGAACGCCAAAGTGGTTTACGTTTGTATTCCAATATCGTTCTAACGCAAACTTTAGCTGGTTTATACATATCAGAAAACACAAATAATTTACAACGAGCTACCATTTCAGTTATTTATACTACTGGATTATTATCAGTATTTGATCTAACACGAAATTCGATGGCATGTCCTATTCTCGATATCAACATCTCACATCTATTACCACCACATGCATCCATCGTGGATATTTTTACATTAAACTACACCAATTCAGATACAGTATGTCTTATCACAAGTTAGTACTTATCATACTTATTAATAATACATATTTTCTGACAAGTCTCATATAAATTTGTTCGTTCTTGTTTCGTTTTGTTCATGTAGGCACTGGACATCTGTATGGATTCGATAGTATGCTTAAGCATTGGACTTGTTTATTTCATAAACACGATTTCGTATCAGATTTTGCTCTTCCATCTGATTTAACTTCATCCGGTCCATTATCGACATTAACAAAAACTCATGGTGCTACAATGAACGATGATGCATATCAAAAGAATCTTTATTCTTCGCCCAATCGTGAACTATTAGTATCTGCATATCTTGAAACTCAAATTCATCGATCACGTGTTCTTCATTCATTACGTGAATACTCCTTTTGGCTAACAACATTGGTTCGTTTTCTGGCCAACTCATCGCTTCAGGACAAATCCTTAAAATTGAAATCAATCTTAGATCATCTCGCTGAACATGTACATAGCACACCTATCAATGTCAATGCAAGTCTCATGCCGCTGAGAACGAAAGATGAATATCAAAACGTATTAAATGAATGTTTGATCATTCTTCGTAACTACGATGACACGTCAACATTAGTTCAACATTATGAATAAAGCACTCTACGGCGCGTTTTAGCCCCGAAAATTTTTTTCCTATCTAGTGTTTGTATATATTGTACGAATGAGAACAATCATGACCTGAGACAACAGTGCAATAGAAATAGTTCGGAGTAAAAATCTTATTTTTGTTACTTTTTGATACGTCGGTGAGAGTATGAAAAATAAAATAAACAAATGAATAGTAATGTTATTAAAAGAGAGAATGTGAAAATATGTGCATATTTAAGTAGTTCAAATGATGACTTAACCCATTTAGAACATTGAATCCGTTCAGGAGACGATAACAAGCATGGTTTTAAGTGCTTGTGACATTTATGTCACATAATCACATATATATTTCTGGCGGAGAAGCCACTAAAGGATGGTATCAACTATTTTAGAAGGATACTATGTTGCAGTTCATCAACTACTCTATTGGATTTCTCATAGTAATGAAATTGTCTCTTAATGTGAAGCTCGCTTTCATCCAAATTTTTTTCATAAACAAATAAGCAGTAGAATAAAATAAAAAAGTTCAAATGAGATGTGTATTTTTGTCATATGTCTTTGCAAGTTTGTGTTCATGATGACGTTTTTGAAAACTGGTTGGTAACAGTTTGTAAAGACTAGTATTTTGCATGCATTCGGAACGTTGAAGAGCAGAGAAGAGAGTGAAGCCGTAAGAATGAGACAACAGTGAGATGAATATGATGCAGTTAACACATGTAAAACAGATATGTTAGGAAAAATCACCATTTTGCTTTTGTCGATTTGCGAACCGGTCCACTAGGTCCATTCATTTGCTGTAGTTTAGCTGGAATTTCATTAGTATTCATCTGTTTAGGTTCGTCGTACGTCGACGGACGTCGTGTTTGCTGTTGAGGTGGTGGAGTAAACCTAGCGGAAAAACAAACAAACGTTTATTCGTAGACAAACAATAAGAATTGACTTACCGCAATAAATCTTCTGTTTTATCGTTAGTATTTGTTTTAGCAGCAGGAGTTGGTATTGTTGTAGATGCTGGAGTGTCTTGACAAACTGTTTCAATAATAGGTTTTACTTGAATTTCATTTTTTGTTGCAGTAGCTGCTGTTGCTTTAGCTATTTCAGCTTCTTCACGTTCTCGTGCTTTCCTTTCTTCGACCATTCGAACAAGCTCTTTGTCAAGACTAGCAACAATCAAAATCATTCTTATTTGATCCTTAGATTTGTACATTGTCATACCCGTGATTATTGTCAGAAATAACTGGATCGGGTAACTCTTTATCAAAGCCTTCTTTTCCACATAACCAATATGTTTTATAATTACCACGACCCTAGGAAAAAAACACAAAACATATTTTCACCTTCTCCTCCGAGAACTTCTACCTTGATTTCTGTTATACCACGGTATTCTAATTGAAATCCACCAATTTCCTCTAATAACCCTGCTGTTGTTTCACTGGAATGGATACGAAAAGCTAAAAAATACAAAATCATCCCATCATCATGCACCGAAACTCTCAGTTTTCAATATGTCCTTACCCATACTCGTTGATTCCATACGTGAGGCTGTATTGACTGTATCACCAAAAAGACACTAAATAACAATGAAGTTAAATGTAATCGAGTCAGATTAATGCAATTCTTACATATCGAGGCATTTTTAGACCAACAACGCCAGCTACACATGCACCGGAATGAAGACCAATACGTAACCGTAGTGGTACGCCAGGCATGTGACGAATTTTAAATTTACCACATGCATGCAAAAGTGTTAATGCCATGGTAGCAATCTCTGAAGCATGTTTCTTTCCATTTTGAATTGGAAGGCCACTAACCACCATATAAGCGTCACCAATAGTTTCCACCTAAATTCAATATAGGAGTATATGTACAATAAATTGGATAATACGAACTTTGTAACAATCGAAATCTTCGAGAATTGAATCAAACATAGTGTATAAATCGTTTAAGAGATCGACAACTTCCATGGGACCACTCAACGCTGATATTGTCGTGAAACCAACGATATCAGAGAAATAGATTGTCACACATTCGAACCAAACAGCTTCGACGGCTTTGCCAGATTTTAAACTTTCAGCAACACTCCTGAAAAGAGAAAATAGTAAAACGCAGAAACAGTTCGTTTACATACGGTGGTAACATTTGTGATAGGAGTTTGTCGGTTTTCTTCTTTTCTTCTTCTAATTGTGTCGTTCGTTCTTTGATTAAATCTTCCAAATTATTCGAATATTGTTCAAGCATTTTAAACATCGTATCGACGATATTGACTTTCCTATTACACAGAACATGTTAGGATATTATATTCAACCTGGTCGGGACGTGTTCAGTTAACTCACTTTCCACCATTCATCAGTTTAATCGATTGAGCCAAATCATTGAATGATGGTCGTGTTTCTGCTTGTTCGGCCCAACACTGTTTCATTGAATTGATGTACTCTGGTGGCGCAGCTTGTTTTGAGACGGATGGTCGTAATAATGGTGGCGGTTTCTTAATTTTTGCGATTATTTCTAGCAATAGATCAGCATAGAAAATGTGCGACACATAAGATAAAGACGATGTACCTTGTGGTGAAAGATCTAGCATACAAAATGGAGGTCCGCGTAAGATCACTTCTTGCATAATTATGCCAAAGCTGTAGACATCACCGGCTGAAGAACTTGTCATAACTGTAGCGACATCATTTTTGATGATCGCTGTACGAATGTGCTCAGGTGCCATCCAAAGAAGATCTAAAATGAAAATATGTATTCTTGTATAAATCCTTGTTGTAGATACCGTTTATATCAACTTGTCTTGGAGCATTTTGCGTGGCGTACACTTCATTAAGACGATAATCTGTTACTTTTAAAACCCAACGCGAGTCTACAATACAATTCCTGGATTTCAAATTGCCATGACAACGTATAGGAGAATTCGTCAAATAACGCATGCCCTAAGTAATACAAAGCTTGCATTAGACCGGCAAACGATAACACATACTCGAACAAGATCATTGAGCATTGACCATTTAAAGTTCCAATCGAGTTTAATTTCTTCTTTTTTAATAATATCCTAAACAAGATGCGTTTGTAATTATCAATATATTCTTTCATACAGATAAATAATTCTCTATTCATTTCTATGGATAAGATATAATTCTTACCTCTAGACTGCCTCGTTGGCCATATTCAAATATTAGAGCGGGTGCAGTCTGGTCGATGAAAATTCCGATGAACGTATTCACGTTTTCATGACGAAGATCCTTTAATAACCGTAATTCTTTCATAACTTTTGTACGAAGCGATAATGGACCAATATGCAACTGTTTGACTTCCACTAAGTCGCCCTAAATAAGAAAGAAAACAAGTTTCCGGCTTGTATGCATTTATTTGTAATTAAGTTAATGAGAAAGCCTTACATTATAACGGGCTGTTTTTCCTGCCTGGATATCTCCGCTTCGTAAGGACACGTTACTTCTTTCATGTGGTTCATTTCTTAGATTAACCTGGAAGAACATGAAGGAAAATGAGCGCGCGTGCAATCGAAAAGATAAATTCGACAAACTTTGCTAGTAAATATTGATCCTTTTGGCATAACAAACATCAAATCTTCTGGCAACAGTACAATCTTATTTGGACCTTTTGACATTTGCTGACGAACGCGTTGTGCTCTAAAAAACAAAAAATCATCGATGAATTCTTCATATTCTCTTGCTAAATCAAGTCTTAACAAACCTCATCACGAAAAACACAACCAGAGCAATAGCAGATGCAGCGAACACTCCCAATAACGAGAAAAGTACAATACGAAGAATACGCCAACCTGAAATACGAAAACTTCCTTTTAAACAAACAACCACAAACCAGATCCCTAACCTCCATCATCAGTCGTCACTGTATCAAGTGTGGGATAGTTCACTACGACACACCCGCTTGAACTAGCATCGTCGAAAGTTGAAGCGAGCGGATTGATTCGCTTGGCTATGGTCCATGTTTGATTACAATTTAAGGCGACCAGAACATATGAAAATAGACGTTGCAGATTGCTGTTTAAAGTGACCGGGTTGATAAATGACGATACACTCGATTGTCGAAGATACTCAACACTTTCCAATTCATTCAAAATCAAAATAAGCTGAAATAAACGAATAGCACCCATCATCACTGTGCCAATAGTACAAACTTACATCATCACTAAGCGTAACGTTGGACACATTTGCTAGAATCTGTTGTTCATAGTTCAAAATTAGATTGTTAAAAGTGCTGGTTGAACCAGTATCGATAGGTAAAAGATGTAGAATAGCAAATGTACTTAATGGTACTGTTAAGGATTCATCTGGTGCATATTGTGTGGTATAAAAACTAGCAAAGTGTGGTGACCAACGAAGAAAAATAAAAACTGCATTATTGGTTGATAGTTGAGAAAATGAAACAATTTTGGAATACAGATCGATTTCATCCGCATATGAACAAATGACGTAGTACACTAAAAGACAAAAAAAAACCAGAGCATTATATGATTTTGACGTATAGAACATATAAAAGCAAGATCATCCAAGTTGAAAATTAACGAGAGAAGATTTCTTTATTTGAGACGAATAAATTAATATCATTGTGTCAAGTTTCTAATGAAGAGTATCATGACTAACTCTATGAAACAAGTGATATTAATGGAGTTCGAAGAAAATTATCATCAATGATGAAAGAACAAGGAAGGAAATCGATTAACATGCAGATCCTTTTCGTTTAAAAAGCTTCATCTTATGAATATTCTCATAATACTTTAAAAAATAGCTGAACGTCTTCGAACTAACCTTTGGTACGATAGGAAAGTAATAGTGATTGTGTAAAATTGGATTTATAGAAGAAGTGCTCCAGAGTAAAGTAATTTTGTGATAGATAGGTTGAGAACTCTTGTGCTAAATTAAAATAAAAGTCATTTGAACTGCCAATAATCATAGAAAAATATGTTAAAGAATATCGATTCATAAAAAGTGTGGCTGCTGATGCTAATCCTTGACTTGTGACTGATAATTGTAGAAAATTCATCAGCGAGGATGACACGGATGTGAAACATATTGGGCTACTGACGTTAATTGTTGAATATCGAGTGGCTAATGCAGTCGGCAACGAACAATCACCTGTTTCCCCACTGAAAACAATTGAATTGATATTACTTGCTGCTCGCAGAGCGTCTGTTGAATTGAGTAAATTAGCATCGGTAGATGATAAACGTGTTATGTATGAAGCATTGGTTAGAATTGTATCGGAAAGTAGCAAAGTTTGCACTACACTGTTTGGGACTGGAGAGAAGACAAAAGTTACACTATTTACAGAGAAAGAAATTGAAATACGAAAAAAGATTAGAAGTATATCATATAATAGATGCATGGATGAAGATTGGTTCTCTAAAACAACATGATCTAAAATCAGAAGAGAATACTTGGTAATGATGTATTGTCCTGTGGAGTCTGCAGCAAACTAATCAGTGCTGAATTGTCAATTCCACCTGGCTTTTGTCATATTTGATGATACGTTTTATAGAAGTTAAGTAGCTTAGACCAAAATATGCAACTCATTGCTGCTCTTTCATACAGATCAAGCAATCCAAAGTTCAACAAAGTTGAGTATTTGATTGAACTTACTAGATAGAAAAAAATATGCAGAAAACAAGTAAATACACTAGCGTTCGACAAAGGTTCGAACAGAAGAAGAAATAAAATGAGTTAGTCGTATAAAAATTTTATTCTATTCTTGTATTCAAATAAAAATGACACTTACAGTGACAGTTTATGATAATAGTAGGACCCTCTATTGTGTATATTACGAGTGCATATAGATTCATAAAAGATCCCAGTACATATATATGTGACAGATAGATACTATTTGTATTTTTAATCATCTTGATGAAGGAAAAAAGAATGTGTTTTCCCTCTCTTTTCTTTTCTTTCAAGAAAGTCTCACATTATTTAATCAATCTACCTGTATTTGTCGCCTTTTCTCTTATTTGACTGTCGACGGAAAGCGAAAAACATGGTAAATAGTTCTAGTGAATAACAGCTATTCAGTTTGCTAATTCGAATGTCAAAAAACTGACGAGTGGGAAACTATTGCTATTCAAATAATAGAAAATACTAAGAGTAAAAAAACTAGAGGAGAGATCAAAGGAGAAGATAATTGCAAGTGAAGCAGAAATGTGATGTGATAATCCGTATAAACCAATACGCTCCCTTGTTGACTCGTTTACTCTCCCAGCTCAAAAAAGAATACTGACATGAAAATGACAAAGATTTGTAGTATATTAGATGAAGATAATTGTAGGCGGCACGTCATTAGAAAGCAAGACAGAAGCTCGATATCCGCTTCTACTTTTCTCTCTTCGAAAAGACTTCATTTCTATCCTCTCCTGCTTCTTTTCACACCTGAAGTTATCTGAACTTGTCTGGAAAATATCTATCATACGGACACCATAACTGAAAAGGATAATGTCGTCGGAGGTGTCTACTTACCTACTGTCTGATTAATTGACAAAAAACAATCAGAAGTTTATCTGAAGAGCTCCTCTTCTTCATTCTTACTCGTCTCGTCTGCTTGGATTTCAACACGGAACAGCGAACATGGAGAAAAAAACACGCTTCACAAAAAAAATAAAAAATTAGAAGTCATAGAAGAAAGCGAAAAGCAGATAGAAAAGAAGTTTTTTTTATTTTGCTAGGTTTTTCTTCTTTATCTTCTTGTAGTTTCATTAAAATCTCGAAACAACGATGATGAATATCTTTTCCTTTTCTTCTTCTCTCTCCCTATCCCTAGTGTCGTGTCGTCGGCGGCAGTTTTGCAGATGTGAATCGTTGTTAATCGGCTTAAAGCGGATGCGCTCTTACCTTCATCAGAATGTCTTGTTTTCTGCTATTGTGCGCACAGCATCAGAGAAAGAGAATAATAGTGTAGATTTGTGCTCGATAGATTTAATTAGGAAAAAAAAGACGTTTTAGTAAAAAAAAAATATCATGTCTCGTGCACCGAGAATATTATACTCGAGACCTTATTAGAGGCAGTTCAACTATCCAAAGGATATTCTAGGAAACTGCCATTGTAAAACTCCAAAAAACACATGATCAGTTCCAGTTGATTTAGAATTCATGTCCTGGCCAAAAAACAAAAGAAGATGCGCAATTTCTTAATATTGTAATGCAGAATTTCAATAGGATTGTTTACAAAGCATCTTGGCTAATCTAAGACGCTTATTGTTTGGCAGTTCTTCAATACGAAATGCTTCTCCCTGTAGCAATATCTGTTATAAAAAATCCATCATGCAATATAAAATACATTATCAGATTACGACATGATGGGTACTTTTCTCTCTTGGTCTCTTTTAGAGTCTAAACTGATAAACGTTTGTACTCGGCTATCTTCGCAGCAATGTTCATTTGAGAAAGTGAGAACCCGAACAAATTGATCTGTAATTGATATATGACTTTGATAATGAGTAACGATTATCACCTATCATGATTTCATAATCTAATTCGTCCAATGGATCTCGTACCAACATTGTATGACGTTGTTAGTGAGGAACGGAGATAACCAATCGAGTTAACTAATTATACAAGTGTGTGAGAGAGTCATTCTGTCCAAGTGCTCAATTCTGTACGCATAATATGGCCAAAGAATTTTTAGATTGGCTTGAAAAACAATCTACCAGTTTTGAGATTACTTAGTCTTCTGAATGATCAACCGGAGCATTGTCATGGAGATGTTCAGCGAAGATTTGAATCATAATGAGTCATGATTTTAATACTTTAGCCATGACATTGCTCATTCTACCTGTAGCAACTAACAATGTTCAGCGAAGTGTTGGAAAGAATATTATCGAATGACCAGACAAAAAATATTTGAAATTCTCGAGTTGCCATTTTGTTAAAATGTAACTTATCACGGCGTCTGCTGACTTGATCAATGTAGTCATATCTCTTAGACTCGTCAAGAATTTTTCCAAATTCACCGCATTTATAGTCTGCTGTTTTTCGATGATCGGCTTTCAGTAGTGCGAAAGAAGAACATAGGTAACAGTATCTTATTGATGTTTGTCACACTACTGTTATTATAACACAGCCGTCAATTATTAGTCGTTGTTATATCTGTTTGTAAAGAATGAGGATGAGAGTTCAGGTGGTCCTCATACCCACTCGCTTAAGATTTTAGTGTACAAATTATTCATTACCTGTCAACTCAATGCAAAGGATAGAAATATTTCATAGAAAAGTACCATTCTGTGTCTCATTCACCTTGTACGATCAAATCTCTAGATGTCACTCATTGGCAATCCGTTACGTTCTACACTTACATGAGGTTGCTTTCTACAGCCAATAAGTGGAATCGTGTCTTTCTAAATATCATATCGTACTTACATAACCAACTTTCGTTTCGTCTTTATTCGAAATCCACTTATTGTTTTTCTAATTTCAGAATTAAGGATGATTGATAATCGAGTCTACCCTCGTATCACAGGATCTCTTCGTGCTCATTCTGATATTGCCGAACCTTTACACTACCGTAGTGATATTGATGAATTACAACGTCGTCGAAAACAATCGTTGGATGCCGATTCGAAGAAAATTCTCAATTGGAATCAAATGCAGCAATTTCTTCTCAAGCATTCCTCTAATCCAACAGATCTTGAGTCACAGATAAAACAACTACGAAAATACGCTTTCGAATTTGGTAAATACGCAGTGAATTCTTCGCTTCAGTGATATTTTGTTGTCATTCTTCATTTAGTCGGTTTGGAATCTGATTCTTCGTCCGTTGATTCTGTTTGTGTGTACCTCTTCGAACTTTTTCGTAATGTTAATCAAATTCAAGTATCACATTTAAAAGAGCTCAAACTAAGATTTCCAACCTACACCGATCAGCTAGTGACTCAAACATTTGAATTGATACGTTCCATAAGAGATTCTCTCAAGCCTAGCTTCTTCGAAGACTATTTAGCACCGATAAATACGGATTTATCGGGAAAAACACTATTTGGTGAAACGACTCTTTTCCATCCAATTTCCCTGCAAATCAAAGAACCTCTACCATGGTCAGAACGATTATCGTACGATCTTGCATATCAAGAGCAGGAAAAGATCAACGTGGAAGATATTTCTGATGAAGTTCTACCATCAATTACTTCCTCAGCTTCGGCAACGGCATCATCATTAACGTCAACGAAATATAATAAGAAATGGCTAGAAGATAGTCTTAGTGACGTTTTAAAATCTCGTACTGATAAAGGTGATCTAGGTCGACAAGAGTTTTGTAATCTGGTATTCGAAACTCTTGTTTCCAGCCAGAGCGATGAGGAAATTCAACATTCTCTGTGTGATATTATTGGTTATGATCATGTGGAATTCATCAGTGAACTAATTCAAAATCGTCAGATGGTTATTGATGGGGTTTTAAATAGTGCTAAAGCTCGTCCACGGGAAATTGTTCGTGCTCCTGAACTTGTTCAACGTCAAGCACAACCTGTGCATGGTCCAACAATTGTTGTACGAAGTGAACAGGAAAAACGTTTAGAAAAACAAATACGAAAAGCTGATCGACGTCAAGCACAAACCGGTCAACAGTTTGATGACGATTTAGATGAATATGCCGATCCAGAAATGTTAAAATATGAACGCGAACGCCAACTACTTGGTGCAATGGCCAAGCGCCAGGAGAAATTATCCAGTATGGCCCAATCACGTTCATATCAAAACAATGTGAAATATCCATTTGTATTCGATCAGTTGCAAGAGATTAAACAGAAAACTGCTTATGTCGGCGGAGTAAATCTTCTTCTACCGGAAAATATCGAACGAAAATCATCAAATACATACGATCTTGTTCATATTCCGCATGGTGAACAAATGAAACTAGCAAATCTAGGCAAAAATATTTGTCCAGCACTCATACGCTTCGAAGATTTAGAACCTTTAGGACAAATTCTATTTAAAGGCAATGTGAAAACACTAAATTTAGTACAATCGGTCGTATACAAAACAGCAGCATTTTCAAATGAAAATATCCTTATATCTGCTCCGTAAGTATCGAGTGTTATTGCAACGATTATGGTTCACCATGCGAATGCCGAATTTTCTTCTCTATAGAACTGGTGCTGGTAAAACGAACATTGCAATGTTAACAATTTTAAATGAATTGCGCCGTCATTATGACATAAACAATGGTGTTTTGTTAGATACTGATTTCAAAATAATCTACGTTGCACCAATGAAAGCACTTGCATCGGAAATGGTTGACAATTTTGGTCGGCGTCTTTCGTCTCTTGGTCTTCAGGTGAAAGAATTAACCGGTGATATGCAATTAACAAAAGCAGAAATCGAACGAACACATATGATTATCACAACGCCCGAAAAATGGGATGTCGTCACACGAAAATCCATTGGTGATACGAAATTTGTTCAGAGTGTGAAACTGTTGATTATTGATGAAATTCATCTTTTACACGAAGATCGTGGTCCGGTTATTGAAGCCTTAGTCGCACGTACACTCCGACAAGTTGAGCAAACGCAAGAGCTTATTCGTATCGTCGGTCTTTCGGCAACACTGCCCAATTACATAGACATAGCGATGTTCCTACGAGTTAATCCAATGACTGGTTTGTTCTTTTTTGATAATCGCTTTCGACCAGTACCGTTAGCACAAACATTCGTTGGAATCAAAGGAGCGAATAAAATGGACCAAACGAAAAATCTCGAAGATGTTTGCTACGATAGAGTTTTGGAACAAGTCAAAGTTGGACGTCAGCAAGTAAATTCTATTTTTAATCTTAGAAACCACTCTGTCTAACACAAGTTGACTTTGATTTCAGGTACTTGTCTTTGTTCATGCTCGAAATGCGACAGTTCGTACCGGGCTTCAACTACTTGAATACGCACGTAATCGTGGCGACACAGAACAGTTTCTCTACAAAGGAAAAGAAGATGATGATCCAAAACTATCCATTCAATATCAAGATGCTTGTCGACAGGTCGCCCATTCGAAAAATGTTCAACTACGTGATTTATTTCCTCACGGTTTTGGTATTCATCATGCTGGAATGTTGAGACAAGATCGAAATATGGTGGAAAAGTACTTCTATCAAGGTTTTATCAAAGTACTTGTTTGTACAGCAACACTCGCTTGGGGTGTGAATTTGCCTGCACATGCTGTTGTCATCAAAGGTTAAATTGTTCTTCTCTTTTTCGAATACCAAATCATTTGACTTTGAATTTTAGGCACAGAATTATACGATAGTAAACGTGGTTCATTTGTAGACTTGAGTATTCTGGATGTTTTGCAAATTTTCGGCCGTGCTGGTCGGCCTCAATTTGACACGAATGGTCATGGTATCATTCTCACTACATATGATAAACTTCAACATTATCTTTCATTGTTAACACGACAAAATCCAATTGAATCTCAGTTCATCAATCATTTAACTGATAATCTTAATGCTGAAATCGTTCTGGGAACAGTTACAACAGTTGAAGAGGCTTGCCAATGGCTTCGATATACTTATTTGAATGTTCGAATGCATCAGTCGCCGATAACATATGGTATTAATGCCAATATGAAAGTGATGGATCCACATTTATATAGTTTTCAACGAGATTTGATCATTAAGGCAGCACAAGAACTTGATAAGGCTAACATGATTCGTTTCGAAGAAAAACAAGGATATTTATTTGCCACGGATCTTGGACGAACAGCGTTAGTATATTTCATCAAAGCTCATCTCTATTCTCGAACTCGACTTTTTATTTTAGTTCGCATTACTATATCAATTATGTCACTATCGAAACGATTAATGAACATTTATCCAATCGAATGATGACCGAAGCCGATTTAGTCGAACTTGCCTCACTTGCTGATGAATTTTCTCAATTGAAAATTCGTGATGATGAATTAGACGAACTTGATACATTACACAACAATTACTGTCATTTACCAATCAAAGGTGGTCCAGAGAATGTACATGGTAAAGTGAACATTCTTATCCAAGCGTATATTTCACGTGCGCAATTGAATTCATTTTCATTGGTTTCGGACATGTCTTATGTAAACCAAAACGTCGTGCGTTTAATTCGTGCACTATTCGAAATTGTTTTAAAACGTTCGTGGGCAACATTATCCTCGCATCTACTTCGTTTAGCCAAAACAGTAGAACAACGCATGTGGGATACGATTAATCCATTATGGCAATTTTCGCAATACATCAATGTTGAAATTCTACAAAAACTAGATGCGAAACAATTGACACCTGATCGTCTATTAGAAATGGACGCCAAAGACATTGGCATTATGATTCATAATACACGTTTAGGAAAGGAAATCAAACTATACGCATCATATATTCCTATCCTACATATTGAACCTCAGTTGCAGCCAATTACACGAACAGTTCTACGAATTAAATTGACTATCACAGCAGCGTTTAAATGGTCGGATAAAATCCATGGTACAAACAGCCAACAGTTTTGGATCTGGATTGAAGATCCTGATACAGATAATATGTACCATTCGGAATATTTTATTATCACGAAAAAACAGGTAAAATTAGAAGAACCACAAACAATTATTTTTACGATTCCAATTGTTGAACCATTGGCCAGTCAATACTATGTGCGTGCGATTAGTGATAAATGGTTAGGCTCAGATACCACAACAATAATATCTTTTCAAAATTTAATTCTACCAGACAGACACATGCCACATACAGGTAATTGGTCATGATGACGAATAAAATGCCTTTGAACTTTTCTTCTGTTTTAGAACTGCTCGACTTAGATCCTTTGCCCATTACGGCTCTAGGCAATCCAGCTTACGAGGCATTACTTCGTTTTAAACATTTTAATCCAATTCAGACGCAATTGTTCCACTGTCTATATCATACAAATAATAATACGTTACTTGGTTCACCAACTGGTTCAGGAAAAACCATCGCTGCCGAAATAGCTATGTTTCGTGTATTCAATCATTACCCTGATATGAAATGCGTTTACATCGCACCATTGAAAGCGCTTGTACGTGAACGTATTCAGGACTGGAAAGTTCGTTTAGAAGAACGCTTGGGAAAGAAAGTTATTGAATTAACCGGCGACTTCACGCCTGATACGCGTGCCATACAATCAGCTGATGTTATCGTGACAACACCCGAAAAATGGGATGGTATGAGCCGTTCCTGGCAAACGCGTTCCTACGTTAAACAAGTTGCTCTATTGATCATCGACGAAATCCATATGTTAGGTGAAGATCGTGGCCCGGTACTCGAAGTCATTGTTTCACGAACCAATTTCATTTCATCACATACTGAACGGCCACTTCGTATTATTGGTCTATCGACAGCTGTAGCCAATGCTCGAGATCTTGCCGATTGGTTAGGCATTACAGGTACAATTGGTTTATACAATTTTCGGCCGAGTGTCCGACCAGTACCGCTTGAAGCACATATTCAAGCGTTTCCAGGCAAGCATTACTGTCCGCGTTGTATGTCAATGAATAAACCAGCTTATCGAGCTATCCGCACACATTCGCCAAATAAACCCGTCTTAATATTCGTCAGTAGTCGACGACAAACACGGTTAACAGCAGAAGAGTTGGCTAAATATCTATTGAATGACGATCATCCTAAACAATGGTTGCATATGCCCGAATTCGAAATGAATAATTTATTAACTCAAATTCAAGATAAAAGCCTTCGATTGACACTATCCTTTGGCATCGGCATTCACCATGCTGGTCTCAAAGATCGTGATCGACATATTGTGGAAGAATTGTTTGTCAATCAAAAAATTCAAATTTTAGTCGCTACGGTAACTATTCATCGCAAATCTATGCAGTGTTTTTTATTGAAATTCTTTTGATCTATTGTAGTCAACTCTAGCATGGGGTGTCAATTTTCCTGCACATTTAGTTATTATTAAAGGTAATTTCAATAATGATCATCAGTGTGAACTTCCAAATTTAATAATGGTATTCTGCTTTTCAGGTACTGAATATTATGATGGAAAAACTCATCGGTATGTTGACTTTCCAATTACTGATGTTCTACAAATGATGGGACGTGCTGGTCGTCCTCAATTCGACGATTCCGGAATAGCCGTGATTATGGTTCACGATGTTAAAAAGAATTTCTACAAAAAATTTCTCTACGAACCATTCCCCGGTACATTCCTTGATAAAGACAAACTTTTCGTACAAAACAAAACTGATTTGTGTTTTCTTAGTTGAATCCAGTTTACTCAATGTCCTTTCTGACCATTTCAATGCTGAAATCGTCAGCGGAACGATTTCTACTAAACAAGACGCTCTCGACTATCTAACGTGGACATATTTTTTCCGTCGTCTACTAGTCAACCCAAGTTATTATCACATGGAGCCCTTATCAAACGACATGGACCAACAAACAACATTGAATACATATTTATCCGCTATCGTTCAACGGTCCCTCGATCAATTAATTCGCGCGACATGTATCAATGTTGATGAGGTCGACCAACGAACTTTACATGCAACCGTTCACGGACGCATCGCGTCACATTATTATATATCGTACAGAACTATTCATATGTTTGCTCAACGTGTCACAGCAACTATCACCATTGGAGAGCTGATTGACTTAATTTCTTCTGCGTATGAATATGCGGAAATGCCGGTAAGAAAAAGTTATTTATGATCGAAATCATATTTCGTCTCTCATTACTGAGTTTCGCAGTAGAAACAGACAGCATGCCATTTCTAATTAGAAGTAATTTGAAAGTCACGTGTAAAGTTACCCTTCGTATCGAATTTGTTGTTATCTGACACTAATGTTTTTGATTATGCCGGAATGTAAAGGATGAATTGTTTCCGAAGTCAATATGACTCTAAACTAGCATTCTTTCTCGCATTTCTATGTTTACTTCTTTTAAACAACCGATAGGTTCGTCACAATGAAGATGAATTACATAAAGAAATGGTTCACCGTGTACGAATACCATTCCGAGGTCAACCCCAATTTGATTCACCACATTTTAAAACCAATCTGTTAATTCAGTTTCATCTGAGTCGGTTAGAATTTCCACGTGTGGATTATGTCACGGATTTGAAATCTTGTCTGGATCAAATCATCCGTATTATCCAGGCGATAATCGATCTATGTGCGCACAAAGCATTACTAAGTCCCTGCATACTTTGTATTCACCTTCTTCAAATGGTTATTCAAGCACGTTGGATAACGGATCCTGATACGTTGACACTCCCGCATGTGACAGATCGATCATTAACACGTCTGCTTTCTTCATACCTATGTCAATTAACCAATGTGAATCGTGAAACGTTGACTGCTATGCTCGACGCACAATTGACTTCGACACAAATCGATGATATTTACAAGCATCTAACACATTTACCGCAGATCGAATTTCAATTTAAAATACGAGGATTTTGGTCTACACGCGAAGAAACTCGACATTTGCCAGCAAGTGTCTATGCGGATCAAGAATATACTTTACAGATTACACTAAAACGACTGAATCGAGTACACGTAAGATTCTTCCAATCGAATCGACAAAACAATTAAATTGTTTCGTTTTTCCCTTTAGAGAAATGACTATCGTCAGTTAACAACGTCACCGGTGAATAAACCAAAAGACGAAGGGTGGGTTTTAATCCTTGGCAATACTGATACGGGAGAATTAATTTGTATGAAACGCGTCAACCAAATCATACGTTCTCAAACAACCGTTTCTCTATCATTTGTTACATCGAACATTGTTGGTCGACAACGTCTAACACTTTATTTTCTTTCCGATGGATATCTAGGCCTCGATCAACAATCCGATTTCTTTCTTGATGTTGAACCATCGTCTTTACAAACGCAGATTAATACAGAATTAGATTCATTAGCTGACGAACTCGATCGACGTCTGGCAGCTTTCGAGTGAAGTCGATATTTACTTGAAGTTTCTGTTTTAATCAATCCGATTGTGATTGTAGTTTTTTATTCGATAATAAATCTGTGAGTACAAGTTTTCGAGCACAACTGATCTATTTATCGCTCGTTCTGTTTTTTGTCAGAAATTATCGATCGAGACTGACAGAACAACCTTTATCTTTCTAATATTGATCTAAACTGTTTTTATTTACTTTGACAAAGGTTTACACGACCTTTTTCCTGATAATCATGATCGAGTGATTCTATTATTCTTAATTTAATCGTAAGGTCTCTCGTTGATCACTTCGTTAATGTTACTGATAAACCTTTTCAGATATAAAAAAAGGAATGTTGCTCAAATGCATTCTGCCATGGATGATGACAACGCGAACGAATTGCTATCGAAGTTCGATAACACGATTTTCTCGAGACATCTATTCCCGACTTTATCCGAACTATCTCGTTCTACCCGATGGATCAACAATCCGAATACGGTATCCGGAACCGCGACATCTTGTTAAAGTAAAAGACTAACCTTTGTCTCTTCTCGTTTGATTCAACTCTTTTCTCATCATTTCAGTTACCAGTCGACATCGCGAGTTTATCGGAAAAAGAGCAAAAGACACGGTTGCTGCGTCGATCAGCTGTACAAAAAGAAAAAATGGAAATCACATTAGATACAGACTACGATCCGACGGCATATTTGAATAAATATGCGAAATAAACTCTCTTGTTCGCTTTTGTGTTCAGCAAGAAACATAAATAAAACCTAGTTGATTAGATTAGTTTTCTAAAGAATTTCATTAAGATCTGATGCGAGTATAAATAGAATTGCGAACCAGATCGGCTCGGCACAACTCAACCAATAGCATCAATAGAAACTTTTTTTTTATCTAAAATATCAAGGGCTACAGATAATAATCTTTCGTTCAGGAATGGGAGCTTACTTAAGGAAGAAAACGGCTTTTACTTAAATCTCTGTAGGATTATAATAAATAACAAGATGAAATTTCTGGTATATTAAACACGAAGATTCAATAGCATTCTAGATAGACGTAGTCGGAAAACTTGTATCTGATGGATTGTTGTTCTGTTCCAATTCGAGCAAGTTTGTTTTTCAGGCAAGAGAAAAACAAGACTATTTCCCTGGAGAAATCTATGAATATAATTAGGAAAATTCATTGAATAGTAATCACTGTCTCTCTGTTTCAGAATATATTCTAACGACATTCAACTTCAATGAAATCATTACCATATAAGCATCTTGTGTTTTTTTTCTTGCGAATATCAAATATACAATCTACTAAACAATTAATATGCATAGAGAGAAGAAGCATGCAAAAATAAAGTACATCAATCCAATTGTTATATTACTTAGCGGGTTACAATCAATCCAGATCGAATCACAGTCAAGAGAGAGAAAGAGAGAGAGAGACCTTTTATCTAAATTAGAAAAATATTTTTATTAGACATTAGGAAAAGTCGGTTATTTACATAAAACACACCATGAAGACCACCGGCGAGGAATCATTTCGTATGTCTAGTCACAAAGTGCTTTCTTTCTTCTCGGGCCATAGAAACGGTAGTTTCATCGTCTTCGACTTTTCACTTTTGGAATAGACTGGTTCATTTGTATCGTTGTCATTGTCGTTGTCATTATCAATAACATTCGGAGTAATGTTACTTTGGTTATGCTCGTGTTGTTTTTCTAGTTCATGTAGATCTTTGAGTTCTTTAGCACTGCATGTTATCATGTCAACGGGATAAGATAGATTGAAACGTGAATAATCAATGCGATATAGACCATCATCACGTTGAAAGGTGATTAAACGTTCAAAACGATAACCCCACAAAATTTCCGATGGTAAATAAGATGTGCGAGCCTGGGTTGTCATGCCGGTTGATTCGATGATACCTTCTAATATGACAACTAATTCGAAACGTTGCTGGATTAGATCTGCTCGACTGATGTCATACAATGGTGATTGTTCATCGATAATATGTTCAACAACTAATGGCCAAATTAAAAATAAACGATCAGTACCTTTGTCAAAACCGACATTCATATCATAAGTATGTAGAGGAAGAATTTCTCCTTCTAAAGTGACGCGTTTTTTTATTAAATACATTCGAACATGCGCTTCCACGATATGTGATTTACGCATGTCACCAACTCGACATTGCAGCGTCATTTGACCGTCACGTAAACAGATAACTGCTTCGCGTGACCAGATTAATGTCTCAGTTCGTTTTTTCGGTCGAGATATTTTGGCAAATACGACACCAACCATGAACGATTGCAATAAAACTCCGATACTTGATTGTAACATAATAACAATAATAGCGAAATAACAAGTTTCTTTAACAACACGCGTACCATAACCGATAGTTTGTTGGGTTTCAATTGAAAACAGTAATGCACCAGCAAATGAATGTACACCGGCAATACAAACAGAATAATTCGCTGAGTTATAATTATCCGGATAAAAGTCGCCATACGAATACATTAAAAGATACCATATCAACGCAAACGCTAGCCAACTCAAACAGAAGCCCAGAGTAAACAAGCATAAGGTATAACGCCATTTTAAATCGATTAGTGTTGTGAAAATATCTGCTAAATATTGACGGCGACGTTTTTCAATATTAAATCTAATGGAAAAGAAAATCCTCATTCATAGTTGCCGATATGCGAAGGAAATCGTTTTCGTTCAAGGTACCTTGATATATTCACTTCACCATTCTTGAGGAGAAGACGTCGTTGCGTATTTCCACGCGTAACAGTTCTCGCTCGGATAGAATCATTGAGATTGTTTGCTTGACCTTGTCGAGCATCATTGCCGTGTTTGCGACCACCATCACCCAGCAAACGCAACGCTTTGGTGCCTTTTGTTGTATATTGCAATCTAAAAGATAAATAGGTAAAGCAAAGAAAATGGAAGGAAATGGTTACAATTTTGTTTTTAGTACTTCGAGACTCTATTAACACAGGAAAAAATACTAATAACATTTCCGTTAAGAACATATACATGATAAAGATAATGGTAGTCGGCCTAGTCTCTTTGTCATGAGAAGAAGACGAAGAAGAAGAAGAAGAAGAAAAAGAAAAAGTAAATGACGATTTTCTCATTTTTTTAACATGTTTGAATAGTTCTTAAGAGTAGCTTACTTTTCTCTCTCTCTCTCTATGATTGTATGTAGGGACAAAAGAATAGGATAGTCATGATGGCTCTGCTCAAAAAGAAAACCCGACTACATATTTCAATCTAACTTTGCTTCTCACCTTGTCATTACATGTGAAGAATTATTTATACAGCCGTTTTCTTTTATTTGTTGCATATTTTTTTCATTAAATTTAATCGCTTCATCAAGAGGAGTTAGGTCATTGATCGGAGACGCTTGATCTTCATCGGTAGTCGCAGTTAATGTATCGGCAAGAGCATTGTTATGAAACAATTTATCAAATGGAAGTAAACGATCTCGAGACATTTTCGGAGCTTTTTCGTCACTAGGTGAACGTGCTCTCTTGTACCAAGGAACGGGTAGTGCAATAGTACTTAGTTTGCCAGACGAATTAAATGCTGCTGCTGTTGTTGTTGTGAGTAGAGCTGTTGTTGTTGCAGACGGTTTGCGAGTTGGTTCAACGTTTACATAATAGAGATATTTTGAGTTAGTCGTAGGAGGTGATGATAGACGTAGTAAATTCGATGAACCTCCACAACGTAGGTTGCGCGAATCGTGACTACTTTTCTGCTGCTCGTTTTTTGTCTCGCTAGTCGGAGCCACGGTCAAATGACTCGTAGACGACATATGGCGAGAGTAGAAAATTAACTGGCCTATAATAACAAAAGATTATTAGAAATACTCGAGGAAAAGATGCCATAACGCGTACGCACACGCGCACACATATATAGCGAGAGAGAGACACACAAGGATGAAACAGTAGTCATCCTCAATAAATGTTTCTTGTGTCTAGTCTTTTTTTCCGTTGCTCATATGTAAAAACACTAGTCTTATGATGAAGATCTAACATCAATCTTCTCCTAGTAAAAAAGATGAACATTAATTTACTAAAATAGACTTCTCGCTCTTTATACAAGCCGACTGTTTCTTTTCTTTTTCCGTTCCTCTTCTTTTTTCATTGCTAGTTTTTCTCTCATTTTATTTCTGATACTTACTCGCTCGTTCTTTTCATTCTTGACTTGCATTTATAGATGATAATAGTGATTATGATGATTTCTTTTTTTTTTATACTTTCCTCTCAGTCACAGTCATCTATCGAATTAAGTGAATTGGTATCTTTACTTAGACATTTCTCTAACATTTACCTATTCAATTCTGTGCAGTTGGTCAACGAGTATGATCCGCTTTTCGTATATTATCATACATCTTTTTTCGAAAGTTAATATTATTCTTCGGTCGGTTTTTTCCTCTTTCTATTCGTATTTCCTGATTACGGTTTACGCAGCGAGAAATTTGATCTTATTATTTTTATCTTATCTTTATATATAGCGAGTAATGTGCTCTGTCAAATGCAGTCAAGTTCTTTGTTACACAGAAGAGAAGAGACATGAGTGTTGCTCTTCTCAAATTTCACCCAATGAACTTTAAAAAAAGAAAAATCTGCGCAAAGAAAAGCCGCTTGATTTATCAGGCAATATGATGTGCATATTATACAATATTTTCTGGCAAAGAGAACGTTTACGTCCTGTTTTTGAACATACCTGTTTTCTTTTTCAATGATCGTTATTCATGTAAACTAATCAGTTTCGTTTTATCACCTGCACTAATATTTATAATAAGCATTATCGTAGCCGGCAGGCATATGTGTAGAGGACCTGAAAAACCATGAATCTCGTTTCTGTCTCTTATCATGCCGGCTCGTGGTTATTGATAATTTAATTGATAAAGAATATGAATGGGAACGAGAATCTGGAAATGATGTCTTCACTTATGAGGATAGAATGAAACAAAAAAAGAAGATAATAGAATATCAAGATTCTCAATCAGATGTAAATCCGTACGAACTGTAATAGGAAAAGCACGTCTAGCACTGCGGATCGTACCGACAATGATTATAGACGAACTGAATTATCACGTTTAATTAATAGACTATGGAGAATCTCAAACACATTATAAATCACGTCATGGATGAAACAAGAAAAAGAAACACAGAATGTGGATCGAACTATTCGAGTGCTCTATACCTTTGTGATTGATCCATCATGGCATAGATTATTGATTGATATGTAATTGAAAACTAATAGATAAAGAGAAGTTGTTCGTTATATTCTTGTGCATATATACATGTATGCCAAAATACCCGCTGTTATCGGTGATTTTCTCAGCAATGATAATATAAGTCGATGCTTCTTTCGTTGGAGAATCAATGCAATTAGGTCGCTCGAACGTAAACAAGATTTTAGTTATAAGAAGAGTGGATGTTTTTGTCTGTGATTGGACTTAATGGCACTAGAAAAGAATCTTCTCTAGATGAAAAGATCATATATTCCGAATCAAAACATCATACATACGTGCATAAGTAATCTAAATAGTCGATCAAGCACGTAACTATCTAGAAAAGATCCATTGTGAATAATTCATTTCACTTGATCGACAAATCATAATAGCTGGAAATCTTACGTATTGATAAGGATGCACAACTACATCAACAAATGAGAAGGCGAAGAAGAAATAAATGAAAGAAGATTATTCCTAATGTAACTCGGAGTTTCACAGACACAACTCTCATCTATCATGTTCTTCTTCGAAGTGGTGTGTTTTTTGTCTAGTTGAAGACTTCGAACGACAGTAACTGAAAGGAGAAAGTTATTGGCATAATCAATAAGGAAGTCGACTCTATTGGACATCGATCAATATTGAGCGGCATCGCTTGTTCTTAATTCTATAAAACTCGCAAGCAAATCTTTTTTTTTACATCGTCTTTTCTCCTTTCATTTAGTTCTCTATCATACTCGCCAATTCGCCTACAATAATAAACTATTCATCCAGCACAACGATAGATGAATAAATCAATAATTGAAATAAGCAGGATAAATATTTTCCTATGTAATGCTGTTAGTGGTAAGCACGAACATCCAATCAAGATGTGTTATGATCGATGTACTCAATGGTTTACCAGAAAGATAACGAAATCACTTTAGAATAAACGAAATTAGGGATAGATATAGACTTTTTTTTTTCTAGAAAGAAACAAAGCAGAGATGTAATTTCGGACAGCATGTTTTTTTCAATGTTGTATGCTAATCGACTGTAATTCAATCTTTGAAATAAGAAAAGTTGTCCTCTTTTCTCGTTACTATCCACAATTCAGATGCCACACGAGAACTGAAATTTCTAATGAACAAATCTTCAAGTATTCGTCTTTTTTATCCTCATGTAAGACTGAAAACGAACAAATCATTTATAATTCCACGATCGGAAACAATGTCTGGATCATTGTGTGGAATGTAAAACAATTGTCATTCTCACGACGGAAATCGAGTGAAAACAATAGCAGCTATCTAGTTTCGTATTTATTGTTTCAATTATATTTTCTATCAGATTAACATCATCATTGCCAGGTTTTGTTGCCAACAGAGTGAGTTTGATAAATGGCTATTGCCATTGATGAAATGATGCAGATCGAATGAGTATTTAATAGATATCGATCAATATTTTCTATAGCATGGAAAGGTAAGACGAAGAAAAATGCGTCGCGAAACGTGATCAGGCTACAGTCAGAAATGATTTGTAAGATGTGACTTTATTTTCCATTGGATGATGAGGTGTCTGCTATGGTATTTCATCGGATTAAACTGAATGTGACATGTGGAATCTGACGTCGATGAACAATCGATGTCGTGAAGATCCTTAAGAAGATGAATAATGAAATTTGAGATAACTGTCAATTTCAGTGTAAGGTTGTTTTTCAAAATCCATATGTAAAATTTCTCGTTGGATTTGTTCTACCTATCGGACTGGATTTGTTGATTTCACAAGACAGAAAATGTTTTTCTCTGACAACAACATGAAATTCTCCATTGATACGAAACACAATCGATTGTTTCGGTCTCATGCAGTACTGTTTGAAAAGCGTGAAGATTTATTAAATTACCCATCGAAAATTCATTGATGCTTGAAAGAACTCATCGTGTCATTCTCCTGGAAAGCAAGTCGAACCTTTGATCAATACGAATGTTCATAAGATTTCAATTTTATCTTAATGAAATAATCTTATTTGTATTAATATATCATGTGTCCATTTCATTGATCTATTCATATACATTAAAAAATGCCCACTTTCCGATATAGACACATGCATTCAGAAAAAAAAAACGAAAGAGATGCACGCACACACGCACTCATATCCTCTATGATACAATGGCGAAATCTGATTACTTTCAGCACGATAGTGTTGACGTAAAAGAGGAAAACAGAATTAAAACTGTAATATATAAAGTAAAATAAGACTAGGCGAGAAAAGTAAAAAAAATGAAAACGAGTTTATTTCGTTGAACTATAACGTCGAAAGGCAGATATTATTGGACCTTTTTCACTCGTACTTGTTCGTCTAAATGAATGAATAGTTGCTCCGGTAGCCGCCGCTTGAATGGAATTGTTCGGAGTAGACCTAAAAAGTCCGTTTAAAGAAATTCATATATGACAACGAACGTGTGTTCACCATCAACATCAAAGTTCATGCAAGCACATTAGTAACAAAATCAAATACAAGCACTAGAGTAAATCATCCGGGTTTCTATGGATGGGGAAAGCTGACCTTCTTAAACGTGAAACAAAAATAGAAAAACAGCGTATACGCTCGTCAAAATAACAAACATAATCAATGTAATCGACGATTGAGATTCGTTTCTCGAGTTCTTCGAATCTTTGTATGAACTAGTTGATATATTAATGATTAAATTACAAGTTTAGAAAGCTAGCTTTTTTTTTAATATTTAGTAGCTAAAGAAATCAGCACACCAAATATCAGTCCGTTATAAATTACCTTTCAGCGACTGAGTGTCTGTTGGAATTATGAGAATTGCTGCCTACCGCCTAGAATGTCAATTAGTAGATGTATCATTCGATCTAATCGAATTTTCAAGAACAATGGGAGTAGGACTGTTCTCCGTTTTTATTAGTTATGTTAGAAGAGATGCCCTATGGAATATTCGTGATCAATTCTTTAGAGAATAATTGCGGAATATGATAAAAAGAAATCGAGGTTGTACCCGGATTGAACGAACATTGGTAGCACAACGGAGAACTCAGTATTGGAATAATATATGTGAGCAAGTTCAAACTATATGTTGCGTGTATGAGGAATTTATAGTCTGTGTGGAGATAAAGCAGATCATGCGCGATATCTTACATAAACATGTGTGAGTGATACAGGATATTTATCTACGGATATTTGTGGGATATTTTCGCTTACCGGTTGATTTCCTTTTTGCTCTTTGACTCTTGCGTATAGTTCCACAAGAATATTTTTACGGTTCTTATTTGTTGCAATTGTCATCGCTGTTTGACCACTCTAAAAGCAGAGACACGTTTCTTCTCGATCAATATATCGATTTGCTTACTTTATCGGTAATGTTAACGTTACATTCTGGTTGCGCTAGTAACAGTTTCACAATATTCAGAGAGCCGTGTTCAACAGCATACATCAATGCTGTAGAACCATCGGCATCTTGTAAATTGACTCCTGCACCATTACGTATCAGCAATTCTACTAAATCAGCCTTTCCGTGTTTCACAGCTAACATCAATGCGGTTTGTTGATTCTAAATTATGAAAACTTCTGAATGTATCGTTAGCCAAAAAGAACAAGTGTTATCTTTACATCTTTAGCTTTAACGTTAACATTTCCCGATTCACGGAATAGTCGACGAACGATTTGCCGTTGATCATCATTGGTGATATCGATAACCGCAGCCATCATCACAGCTGTATAGATTATCTATTAGTTTGCATTGAAAACAAACAAAAGCACTTACCAGTATAACCAGCATTGTTCTGTTGACATACATCACAAACTTTGGTGTCGAGTAACATTCTGACGACTTGCCAATGGTTATTCGTAACTGAATAATGAAGAGCTGTATTGCCCTAGGAAGAAAAGTTGACGAATGTGAAAGCTTATATTTAGAGAAGGAAATGATCGGCATACATTTCCATCTTGTAAATTTACGATTTTTTCAAGTAGAAAATTGGAAAAATTATTTTTAATACTATTCAAAAAGGCTTCAATTAAAAGAAGATTCACTTCTTTTACACTGCATAAATGAAACCATTCTTGTTGAATCAATTGAAGACAGTTATTCTAAACAGAACTCATTCGATCTTCGTGATAGGGACCAAACAGTTCTCAATCCTACCGCTTTCTTCCGATCAACATGACTGTCATACAGAGATTCGTTGACGACAACGCAGGCAATATAAATTTCTTCATTCAGTTCAAATCTAATAGAATAACAAAAAGTTGTCTTCTTCAAACGGAACTTCAACACTCTACGATACCTTTCGTTTGCATTTGATGGTGCAATTAACGGTTGTGGCGAAATAGCTTTCAAACCAGATTCATCATACTTGGATGAAACAGTTACTTCGTATTTTTCTTCAACTAGGGGTTCATTTAGAAGTGGATCTCGATTTGAACGTCCGTGAGCGTCTGAATGGCCCGAACCAACGCGACGTCGAGTTTCATACAATGTCGATGTACAAACAACCGATGGCGAGAATCGAGTTGCTGTTTCTTCTTGATGTGTTGTTTGAGATTCAATACTGTGACTAAGAATATTATAAAAACATGCTGTTAAGCACAAACACGAAGCCTACCCGGAACGTTGCGGTTGGTAGTTTGGTGAAGCAATTAGTTTCTCGCCAGTTAGAATGTAGCGATGATGACCCCCTCTAGATAAATAAGCATTTCAAAAGCACGAAAATGAACAGACACATTTCTTTGTTCTAAAAATGCTACTCTGACCGTAACTTTTATTATTTAACAAAAGAAATCTAGATTTCGCTTTTTTTTTTAAACAGTATGACGTGCATTTCGTTTTAACTATGAACAGTTGGGTTCGTTTGGCCGGTTATTTACCTGTCTATTGTAGTTTGAACTGTTTCTCCACCTTCCTTACGTTTTGATTCTGTAACCGTCCATTCTTCACAATAGGAGTTTTCATCTTCACTCATAGATGCCTTTGCGGCCGCCGCTGCTGTTGCTGTTGTTCGGCTTTCAACTAATGTTGATCGAGGACTGTTCGTTGTGATGATCACATCTCCATTACGTGGTTTCGTCAAGGTTGAAACGATTTCATAAGATTCTTCAATCAGTTCCTCAGGTGAATGTGCTCGTTGCTGTTGTTGAACGCGATCCAATGTTTTATCCGTGGTCACGTTTGTTTCATAAATTTCTTCGATTTGCCGGTTACTTTCCATTGTTTCTGTTGTGATCGTTGTTTCATAAATTTCCTCAGTGGTTTGCGTTTCTAATGGTAAACGAAACGTAACGACTTCTTGTCGTTGCTCTTCAACATCATCTTCTGGACTCAGATAACCAACTCGACGATTTGTATCGGCTAATTCAGTTTGAAATCCACGTTCAAATGTAGCTGTACGTCCATACAACGAATTCCAAGTAAACTCATCATGCCTAACTTCACCAACGCGTACATCATAATCACCAACATCTTTCGAATACATTATCTTCGGTTCGGTATTTATCGCTAGATCGCGTGATTGCCGGCGTTCAGTAGATATTGCACGATCAGTCGATCGTTTCATATCTGTATTCGATAGATTATGACGTAAATGACCTAATTGATGAAAGATTTCAGTTTCTGTGAATGTGGTGCTATGCTTGACAACGGGCGGTTCTTGTACAGCCTGATAAAAAAATATTCATTATCTTATCGATTTGTTTATTTGTTCAGGCTGGAATTGTTACTTACTTGTATACCTGTATGGCACTGTTCAGCTAAAGCTGGAGTATTTGATGATGCATCGTGTTGCGCAGCATGTATCGATTGTGTTTGTGCATCGATATGTACAGTTTGTACTAATGGTGTTGTGGCTGAAAAATTATCTCGGAATGAGATTAATGTACGTGTATCAGTTGAGACATGGCGTGAAAGTAATTCAGGTGGAATATCAAGTCCACTGGCACGATCGTGAAGAGAAACAAGAGCATTGGTATCAGTTGATATATCTTGTTGTAGAATGGCCTCATTTAAGCCACAGGCGACATCTTTGTGTGCAATCAGATTAAAAGTATCAGTGGCCATCGGACGTGTGACAGGTTTCGGAGGTGGTTTAGGTGGTTCACTAAATAATGAATACGTCATTCTCGCGTTCTTATAGTTTCGAACTTACATTGTATCTGCAAATGCACCGAAATCTCTTGTTTGAACAAGTTGAGTGTTCGAGGATCGATCGATTCTTTCGATCGGTTCAGGTGCAAACATAGTTGCTACATCACGTTGACGTATTTCTGGTTTGTAATCAAAATTCACATGAGTACCAACGTCGCGAAAATGTCGATCCGGCGTTACATTCAATGAAACGCCAATCGAAACATCACGTTTAACAGGTATTTCAGGCAATGCTTCCATCCATACATCACGTGTCTGAATAAGGTCATCTTTATTACACTGAAGGCTTACATCACGGTGTGCAACAGGGCCTGGTAGTGTTGGTTGTAGTTGACAAGTCAAAGCGACATCACGCACTAAAGACGCGAACTGAGCTGTAAGAAGAGAAGAGAAGAAAACTAGAAAGTTCATACCGGATCGAACTGCGTCTGTTGCAAGTGCACGGTCTTGCATCGTTGGTTGACATTGAGTATTAACATGTCGTAGTTGTTTTGGTTCACTAAGTCGTTCGATATCTCGTTCTTGTTCTTGTATTTTGTCTTCAAGAAAATGTATACGTTCAGTATAGAAGTTCTTAATCTCTTCTAATTTCTTTCGAACGATTTCATTTTGCTTTTCTTCATCTTCATCGTATTCTGTTCGATGATTAATAGCAACGTCGCGTTGTTGACGTTGCTTCGGCGGTAATGGGGGTGGCTGATCATCTTCAACAACATGTTGCATGGCTACTTCCCGCGTTGCTTTGGTAGTCTTATGAATATGTTCATGATTTGTTTGGATGGTAATTGATGTCGTCTTCTTTTCGGGAAGTTTTGGAACTAGAATAGTGCGCAACTTGAACTTTGCGAAAAATGTTAGCTGAAAAGAAAAAAACTTTACTTGGTTGATGTTTATATCGATCAATTTCTCTTAGAAGGACTTCTTTTTCGGTTAGTAAAGCTTTACGTTCTAAATCTAAGCGTTCGATTTCACGATTTCGTCGTTCAATTTCGCTCTTGTCAGTGATGGTCACCACTGTTGTTCTGATTGCTTCTTGAACGCGCACAACTGGTTTGGGAGGAACGATAATCTCTGTAATATACAGCGGTTTCAGCGGTTGATTCGGTTGACGATCTGGTTCAGGACTTGAGACTCGAAGAGTTGTTTCCGTCGATAATGAACTTGAACTACTCGATCGAGAATATGGAGGTGGCGGAACTTTATAAAGCGTTGTTATCGGTCCGCTTTTGCTCAGATCAATTTTACGCAGTGCGCTCATTGTGTCACCTGTCATTACGTTGAGACGTGGTGCTGAACGTGTTCTTGTTGTAATTGTTCTTTCCATCTGTGTTCGTTGTTCAAATGTTCGATGTTCTTCAGCTGTACGTGACGCTAAAACGGATGAGGACGATGTTGGTGGGCGTGGTGGTGGACGAAAATGACGACGACATTCCATTGATCGTGATCGTTGCTGATGAGCATGATTATTAGCAAACGATTGCGTTTTGTTTCGTTGACATTCCGCTTCCAGATCTTTAATATCTTTTTCTACGATACGATCAAGTTCAAGAATAGTCTCGCGAATAATTTCACTGTCATATGCCGCTGAATTTCTCACCGATGATGGAACAGGATTTGTATGAATAGGCTTGAATAGAAAGAAAAAAAGAAGACGATCCGATTAGTATCGAACAAAAGAGTTTGAAACGTTCATTTCACTCACAAAATTATTCAATCGCTTTGTAGGACAATAGAAGAAAATAATTTCATTCGAAAGAGAACTACTCTTCATCGATGATGATGTAGTCGGAGTAGTACTAATACTGCTACTACTAATAGAACGATCATCATAGAGTAACATCATCTTGTTGAAGATCTCTCGTCGAGATTCTTTTCCTACTTCTATAACGTCAATTGTAGGAAAAGAAATGAAATGAAATGTATGTTAAATACATCTGTTTGATGCGTGGCCTTACTCGGGAGCTCAGGGGTCACAGATTGACACAAGAAATTCTGTTTAATTTAGCATAAATTATTCATTCGATACTGCACAGATTTAGACACAAGGACGAAAATACCGGTTTACTCTATCAATGTATAGATCTATATTCAATACCTGTTGTTCATTGAAAAGCCGACGACGTACGTCGTGTCGTTTCCGATCGAATTTCTTCAACGTACGTAAAACATCTGGTCCATACATATCATCAAGAAACTTCATAAAGCCCGTGTCTAAATGGTATCCGTACGGGCAGCATGTACATCGAAATTCAGTCATGCTCGTTTCCAGATCACTGACACCGGACTCGGATGTCGTCTCTAAACATACAAACAGAAAGTGATTGGTCAAATGATACAAACGAAAAGGAATCTTTTTTGTATTTAACCGCAGTCACCTAGTTTTCCTTTGTCCTATCATTTTCTCCCTCTTATTTATTAGTAAACAAAATCGAGAATCAAACGTTAGAACAATTATGCATAAAACCGACAGGTGAAATCTACGATTTGAATATACATTCATCAATATGACAGAATATGTATATATTTTTCTCCCTCCTCAAAGTCACAATAGACAAATTATCGAAAGGTAAAATAAACACAAGGATTATTAATGAAACTTATTTTTTGTTCGATAAGATTTGATCGAGCTTTTGTATTTTGCATCTTTTCGCTTTGAATAAGACAAATTGACTTAATATCGTTTTTTAATTATATTCACCACAGACGAAAATCTCATTCAAGGATAAAAAAGTGAATCACAAAGAAGAAGGAGAAAAGACCTTCGCGAGAGTGAAATATTGTCTTTAAAACAAAAACCATCAAACTTACTTCGATTTCGTCCTGAACGGCGATTTATGCGTCGTTTAACAAGATTCATGCCAATATATGAAAAGAGTGTTCTCTTATCTAATAACTTCGTTATATAGATTAATGGATCGTTCGCTTGTTATTCTTTCTTGATAGTTTCTCTAACTTCATCTCTGTTTCTCTTCTAACTATATAGATGAAGATCTAAGAAAGAGACACACACATACACATCCATACATGGAGAAATAATAACAACAACAAAGAAATTCTAGCGGAACATGCACATATTCAATGGTGATAGAACGATAGCCATTATTATTATTATTATTATTATCATCATCATCATCATCAGCTGGAAAGGCCAGTCGGAAAATAGACAGTTGGCGCGTGAACGTAGGTATTGACTTTCTTCGAGAAAGAGAACGAACAGAATAGATGAATCAAAAGAACAAAAGCGCTAAACTCGCTAACAAGATAATCTCTTACGTTTCAGCCTTGCTTTTTGCTAAATGAAGGAAAAGAGATGATTGTTCGGCTCATTGGTTCTAGCAAGTGTACATTGTAGACGTATGCCAGTCAGCGCGTCGATAAAAATCAATTGTGCATGTTTACTGAACAGAGTACAAAAGAAAAGGAAGATGCCGACGCATCTTGCGGTCAGATAGTTGGGAAAATCAGCATGGACATTTGCTCTTTCAAAAGCAGATGTGTAATATTATCTCACGGAGACGACTCGATTGCATCTACGACAAGAGAAAAATCATTAACATTCCTCGAATTTTCAAACTGAACGAAAATATCATTATTTGTAAGCAATCAAGTTCGCTGTTGACATTCAACAAGAAATGAAATTTTATTTAGAAAAAGGATTAAAATCTTCCCGCGTAATCTCAATGATAAAGAGAAGACAAAGAAGAGAAAGAAAAAAAAAACTTGCCGATTACCTTTCATAATATTTTCGTCTTGATTAAAATTTACGAAGACACCGAATGACAATAATATTAATGTTCAACACTGTTCGACATCGTCTCTTTCTCACACTTGTCGTTATTTGTTCAATCAAATTTAAGTGTTCTTCAATACTTAAGTTTTTCAATCATTATGTTATGTCATTCATATTCTTTTTATTAAATAGGAGAGAATTTACTCTCTCTACTTGTCGAACTGTCAATAGACAATGTATAACTCCATCTTTTCCTCCCTCTATTAGTCTTTGTCGAACGGAGAGAAAGGGAACATAGAAGTGCAGAAGTGAGTGAAGACAATTGACTTCTGATAATTAAATTTACATTTCTCCTTCTCACTGCCGTTACGTTTGTTTTCAAAGAAGCAACAACTCAAATTGAAATTCGCTTGAATAATAAATATTTTCTTTACCTCTGACTTGTCAATCGAAATAATCAGGTGAATCTGTTCAATACTACGCACTGTATCGATCAAGACAACAGTTCATCGTTAAATCATGATCAAATATAGAAGAACTATCTCTTCTTATATGTATGTGTGAGCATGTCTATACCTATTGCATAATTACACATTGAATGACATGCGAACATCCACATATACAAGTGATTATCATCCTGTCACGAGAGATGTTCACTGTGAACTTTCTCTCGAAGTGAAACCACCTGTTCAACAATCAATAAGGAAGTATTACTACCGGTCTTATTCTTTTCGATAATTAGATCGTTAATGGCATGTGTTATTATTTTTCTTCTTGTTCGTATCGATAGTCACTTATTGAAAGAATACGATGTATTCTTCTCGATGAATCTAATCGCATAAAAGTGCTCATGATCAAACAAATTGGCAGGTGACAATCATAATTTTCATTGATTTCTTTTCAGATTCCATTTCCATAAATCTACATGATTGTTTATATCATTGATTAGCAACATAAGCCTGACATACTATTCTACAGAATAATTCAAAGGCCAAAACAATCGCCTTTTCGTTCATTGTTTATCCTTTATCTTGACTAATGCTCATCATATCTGTTAACCGAGTAATGAAGTGTAAGAATGTAAGATTTATAATCAATTTCTCTATCTAGCAAATACTAAGTCGAGTACAATACGGTATACATATATACCTATGAATGTCTAACTGTTATTTGTAATTCTAATCTTTATATAAATATACAATAGCGCATCTGAAGATAAACTGTATAAACTTACCGCTTATACTGCTAGCATCAGCATCCATTGCAATTTCGTCTTTGCGAGCGCGCTGACAACGATGATGCCGATGAGAGTGACGTTGATGTTGGTGCTGATTATCGAGAACAACTGGCTCTCGTTGTCGTTCCCATGAATGTTCGATTTCGTAGGTATACTCTTTCATAATTGATGATCGTCGGACAGTAACCAATATCTTGTGGAATTATCTGTACAAATCACAAATACATTAGTTCAATAGAATGCATTTGATTCTCATGTCGATTGTGAGAAAGGTGAAATGTTTCGAACACCTATTCAATAATAACAGGATCGCAAGTGATCGAAGCTTGATCAACGTGTTTACTATTAATATATTTGATTGCACTATCTATGTTGCTGAAGTCTTAACACCTACATGTCAAATAATACCTTTCAAACAGGGTTAGCTAATTCTATTTTGTCCTAACAACGAGAACGTGCTGTCGTGTGCGCGGCTTAGCTGAGATTAAGAGAACAACGGAAGAAAAGCGAAGATATTTGTTAACCGTCAGAATCTGACATGTCAGAGATGATTGATACGAAATGGCTCAGAACTAATTGCGGCATATTAAACTTCAAGGAATCACGCAGGTAACTCTCTTTACTTGAACAGAAGCAGAAGAAATGAAAAATCTTCTGATTGAATTTATTCCTAGTCATAACATGCGCCCGATTACGCGAGAAGAAAAGGAAAAAAAATGTACAGTTTGCCATTGAATTGAAACGCATGTTTGAATATCCTTCAAACAAGAAGTAATTGAACAAAATGAATAATATTTATATGTACTGATTAAAACAACAATAAGACTATTTATTCTCAAGAAAAAAAGAGGAGAACTTCTAGCGAACTAATCAATTGCAATATGCGAATAGGGAGAAGATAATAATGTATACATTTTTTTCCTTCTCTTCTGTTATGACTGCGAGAGAAGAAATAATATGAACGAATAATCCACCGTTTTTTTTTCGTCTTTAGTTTAGATAAAAAACTGTAACCATTAGTCTCTCTTCTTTTCTCAAAAGAACAAAACTTAACAAACAATAAGATGATATGCTAAGACAAGAAACCTTGATTTCAAGTTTACTCATTGTTAGACATCTTTTTCTACATAGTCTTCCTTCTTCGATGACTATTTACTCAAATATTCATTTTTTTTTCTTTTCGTCATCAAGAGAAAAGAAAACGAGACGAACGAATATGAGAAAATGTATTTATAATTTTGAACAACCTTTCAAATGACATTAATGTTCGAACTCAATTTTACTATCAATAAAAAAAGAGCGAAATATGAATAATTTCGAGAAAAATTATGCGCAAAACTAGACGCTATTCATAAATTCTGCTTAACCACACTGAATGATCAATTCAACATAATATTGCGTAAGTATCAGCGAACAGCAAATAGAGACCTACTTAGTCTGACTGTCTTTTTTTCTTGATAAGACCACCGAGCAAAAAAAAGCGAATAGGCTTAATCGATTAAGGTTTTTACAAAATCAAACGAACGTGTACTTCGATGTGCGATCAGGCAGTGATACTTACCACAAGAGATGACGAATGAAACAATACCAGTGTTAGTTTGAAATGTTAACGGATATTTACATATATACGAACGTCCCCCGTACATTACCTTGAACTCCTTTTTTGTCATATAAAACGTAAACGGTTAAGCTCTCTAAGTCTCATTAACGAAGATGAAAATCGAACAAGTAAGTCGTGGAGAGCTATGTATACTAACATCATTTGATCACACATCGATCAATATTGAGAAATTTAATTTTTTTTTTCTACTCTCTAATGATCGCTGAGGAGAAAGAGTATGATGTTCATGTAATGCAGGACAATAATTGTGCGTAAAAGAGCGCGCGTACACAGCAAAAAAGGAGAAGGATCGGTTGAGTTTCGAACAAGTAACATACGGAACGGAAGGAAAAGGCCTATCTTGATTGGAAGGTGTCAAATTAAATATTCAATACATTGATGTTCGATACCACGACATTGTACTTTTACATCAATATATTAACATAAAGATTTGATGAATAGATCAAGAGACGAATAATAAATTTTGTATTTGTTCATCTCTCTTATCTCAAGTTAAACGATACGACTGCTCGAAAACGCAAAAAGTTCAATGACAAGAAATTACACAGCAATTGAAATCGAACGACGAAATTTAATAAAATGAAAACATAGAAACGGACAATCGTAGATCATTTTCATAAGAAGAATCTCTACAAAACTTCCTTGATTTCATCATCGTCGATGTCAACTCATTACCGCATAGACGTTTTTTTCTCTTCGGCTTAGGTACACACTTCATCTTAATCGATTAGGACGAAAAAAGTTCACAATGATTAAACATAACTTCATCCGCTGAGTGCTCTTCTTTTCAGAAAGAATAATAAAACTTCGTTCGATAATATAAACATTTCAATCTGCTCACTATTGTAAAATATTACACAAATTCGCAGACAATGTTATCATTTCTCATACTTACATTAAGATCCATAATTATCAAAGATTCGACGAGCGAGTCAGATGAAAGAGAGGATATTGAAGAATGATGTGAGAAGCTTATGCTATACTGTCTTTCTCTATATAAATATTTAGTTGTTAATATACAAAAATAGGCTAAGAGAAAGAGAGAAGTGAGTTTATTTATACTGTATAATGTATCAACAAATAAGACGAGTCGTTTGATCATAGTTATGAAAATCGATCACCAATCGATTCAAGGATATGGTTTTGATTAATTAATAAAATAAACAAAGAATTGAACGAATCTCAATAGAATGGATACCGAGACAACAATGATATTTAGAGAACGCCAATCTGTCCGAAATTTATTATTATTACATATCGTACAATCTGCCTGGTAATGACTATTTTCAAATTGAAAATGAACACGAGATACATTTGTGTCCTCTATTGCCGTGTTTCTTATAGGTTTAAGTGAAAATTCCATGTTTTATTTAGAGTCCATGTAAGAGAACGTAGTGTAAGATGTGCAGACACATTTGACACCGAAGTTTATTGTCGTTCTCTCGATAAATTTGGGTATTTTTCCTTGGTTTTGTTTCATACGAATTCTCCGAAATAATTCTCGAATTTTTTCAATCGGCCATGGTTAATGAGTTGTCTAATATGATAATTGTCGACGAAATCGAGTAAGGACTTTAAATTTCTATTCCTAATACCTTGTTTCGTATGAATTTTATCTACTCAGTCGACTATGTGTTGCTTATGATAAAGCAAAAGAGTACGTGGCAAAATTAACATCGAATATTGATCAGCAGATCGAAATATGGCAATATCGCCGACAAATTATTTTTGAGCAATCAAGACAATCGAAATCTTCATCATCATGTGACTTTTTTCTGCCAAAAACTCAACGCATTAACGATTTAACTATTCAAACTGTGGAAGGTCTGGCAAAATGATTGGAAATAACCATTTTTGTCAAATGATTATTGCATCTTTTATTTGTAGCTCTATGTCGCGCTGATCTATTACTTGAACAAATTCATCGTATTGATCCCAAGTCTGCTATTCTTCCAGCATCAACGTCAACATTAGTTTCAACACGACCCAATCAAACAATCATGTCATCGTCTCATGTACGTCAACCTACTCCATCGTTTCCTAAACAATCGCCAATTTCACATGCCCGAACCCATGAACAAAGTATGCCATTTGTACCAGCAATCCGAAATACCCAACAATCAATATCAGGCCGATTATCAAATTTGAATACGAAAGAAAAAACTGGCTTTCAACCTGTAATAACACCACAATCATCGACAAACGTGATGGAAAACCCATCACGTACAACACCAGTCCATACACAGAATATGAATTATTATGCAAACAATGGTCCTCTAAGCTTTGTAAGTTGAGTCTCATTGAGCTATTTGACGACAGTTCTTTGTTATTCGCTGAGATCTTTACGAATAGAAATCGCTAGCCTTTCGACTTGTATCTAACGAAATCGATAACTAGCGTTTTCATTTAGCCTCGTACGACACCGTCATCGTCATCTCCCTGGTATGTCATACGTACAACACCATCGGAACATGTGTCCTCGCCGTTCCGAGGCACTTCGTCTGTCCCATTGCTAACGAGGAATCAATTACTTCGTATGTAATCAATCCATAGCATACTCGAGAGATATTGGTTTTCTTCATAGGTACGAAAGAAAAAGTCAAATTGCAACGTATATCCTCCGGTACAATATGGTTTCCAGCGAAAATTGAGATCATTGATACATTATCAGGATTCTATGTTGAGAATCTTGACCGAAACGTGAACAAAAGATTCAGTCAGATGCAGAATCAACTCCAGTAAATGACAAAGAGGAAAATCTTCTAGCTCATCTTTTTCCTTTCACTTCTTCTAGTAACCATTACGATGAATTAGAAAAATCCAATCAATTAGTTCCATTACAAAATATTGCGATTGGTGATTTTGGTGTTGCAAAATATAGTGAAGACGATCGTTGGTATCGGGCACGTTTAATTATGTGCGAAGGACAAAATTCCATCAAGATTGTTTTTGTCGACTTTGGAAATATTGAAATCAAGTCTATAAATGATTTTTACCCGTTACATAAAATGTTTACAGATTTACCAGCACAAGCGATTGCTTGTAGTTTATCTGAAGTAGGTTTAAAATCTCTTAATATGTATTGTTTCTTCTGTTTATCTAGGCTTTTCCTCGATCAGAAAATGAAAACTCTGCTGTCTGGCCAGAAGAAGCAGTTCAGATGTTTAAACAGATAGTACTTGATAAAGAGGTGAAAATTCATTTTGTCGATTCAGAAGAAGGCACCGAAAGATGGTAGGAACTATCTATGAATATTCATTCTTGACTAATTTGTCTCTTTAGGCCATTACATTTTGTTCGGGTACTCATTGGCGATCAAGTAAGAAATAACATTTGAATTTCTTTTTTCGAACCATCTCTGTAATCTATTTAGTCATTAACAGATCTACCTGAACTTCAACAATTTATTGAGCCAAGATCAAATCGAGATATTGCTGAAATAATGGCACCATGTCTTACTGAACAGGAATACATTCTTTTCAATGTACCCATCAGTGAAGATGATTAACTGATGGTTTATAGACAATGTTGCTACTCGAATTTGGATTTTGTCTGTTAATTAGCGGCAAAAAAGAATTTGTGTGTGTGAATGTATTTCTAGTTTTATAACTGTGATACACTAAGTAGTTATTTTCAATTTGTTCATTCACTCGTGTGTTCGTTTTCTAAATAAAAAAAATCCTATGAAATAAATTCAAAAACAGATATACATATGTATTATTTTAGATATAATGAAATCTGTGAGTTATTGGAAAGGATCAATCTTCGGACGAAAAGTTTTAGAATATGCTTCATAAGAATTGTGCACATCTTTTTGTGAAATTCTTCTATGAGATAAGTGAAGTAAACGTGTTCTCGCTTGCTCATGGAAATACTTGATTTGATGAGTAAAAGCAGTTCCTTTTAAATCTACTGACACAACACATGTGAAGTTAGTAAAATATGCATCATCCGCTTCGATATCAGCAATTGAATAACAAGGTTGGCCAAACACGATTACTTCTGTCTTTGTTTCAGATATGTCTTCTACTAACGATTTAAACACAATCGAATTACTTGACGATATCGAAAATCTTGTCTTCCTATGCGATCGGTTGAATACACGATTAACTCAAGTAACTTCTTATGTCGATGAAGTTAAGCAAATATGGGTTAATAAACGACGTTCCATTGAATCAGATTCAAATGTATCTCCAATTATTGCTCAGAAAGTGGTCAAATGTAATAAAGTTTTACTAAATGTTGCTGAAAAACTTGCCACTGTTGAACTACAAACTGAATCGTTACACAACCTTCATTCATCTATTACGAATGTTATTCCGACAAATAATGAAAAACGTCCGTTGCAACTTGCAGGATATCCTCCAACACCTGCTGTCAATCGCTCGACAGCACCGACGCCAGTCGTCAATATGGCAGCGCCTAAAGTTGATACCTTAGGGTATGGAATTCGCCTACAAAAAGATACTCTTATTTCGGTAGCTCGTGCATCGAATCCACCAGCAAATGCATTTACAGCTAGAAGTACGTCAACACTGTTTAGTGATACTAGCTCAGTTAAGGCACCAGCTAGTCAACAGCAACAGTCTGCTTTTCACCGGCCATTATCTTTTCAAGAAAGTAATGTGTCTCAGCAGGCTAAACTATCGCCACAGACTCCGATGGCATCAAATTCAACGCAATATCAAACAGCTTCAAAGATCGCTGTAAATGGATCTGTGAATGGTCATCATGCACTTCCACATCAAGCGTCGAACTCATCTGATTCATATATGAGTATGTTTTGTGATGAAATAGTTCGCTGGATTAAATAAGATGATACCTTCTTTCAGCTGCAACAATGAATGATTCGAATAATAACGATAATAAAGTCCGAGTCAAAATGCAAGTCATTGCATCAAATACTGTTTGGCATAATGCTGACATTCCTATTGTCGACCATCCATCAGCATTCTTCGTATCGAATCAAGATCCACGTGTTGCTGAACAATTCGTTATGATGTCCATTGAAATGAAGTAATGCGGCGCTAACAGTGTCACTTGGGTCAAGAATTATTTTTCTTTCGTTCGCAGTAATTATTACAATAAATCGACAAATACAAGTGTACCATTGCAAAATATATCTATCGGTGATTTTTGTGTCGCTCGGTTTAGTGAAGATAGTCAGTGGTATCGGGCTCGTGTTGTTTTGAATAATAGTAAGTGTTGCTCAAAATCGGGCTTCATTAAAAGAATTTTGTTCGTTTTCTTCTAGATGATTCAGTGTTGATTGTTTTTATTGATTATGGTAATTCTGAATCAAAGCAACCGAACGAAATTTATCCATTAACTGAATCATTGGCACGCTTACCAGCAATGACAGTTGCTTGCACATTGCATGAAGTAGGCTTTTTGTGGGAAAAGTTTGCCATTTGTTGTCACCGTGCTTTTTCTAGGCATTTCCGAGTAATCAAAACTTTTGGACACCTGAAGCGACCGATACGTTTAATACACTCGTCAAAAATCGTATTGTGGAAGTTCATTTCCAACAAGGCATGGGTCAACAATGGTAATATTCTATCTCGATTTTGATCATCAATAATTGTATTAATTTGTAGGCCATTGCATTTTGTCAAAGTTACACTAGATGGTCAAGTATGTAGCCTCTTTCTTGTCATGTAGAAGAAAATAACGACATTCGCTTGCGATTCATTCTAGTCGATTACGCAACATCCTAAATTGTTACCACATATAACAGCAGCTCGAAATGAGCAAATTGCATTACATTTTAATGATAAACTCACACCCATGGAATATATTTTGTACAATGTTGCAGTTGTTGAATCGGATATTTATAATAATAGTATGTGTTTGATATGCAATCAAATTACAGCATCAAACTTGCACTATTTTTCTTTCTAGATCTTCCATAATCAGTATAACGAACAGAACCTTATTTACTTAAAATACTCAGGAGCTCTTTTTTTGTTTTTTTTTCCTGTCTTTTCTTTTATGTAGAATAAACGAAAAGTGCTATTTCGGTGATCTCACATATATCAATCTGAAAATCTAGGTAGCATGTAGCAGTGAAACTATTGTCTTTTTCTTTTGTTCATATTCTTGCACATGTATTTGTTTTCTTTGCTGTGTAAAAGAAATAAAAGCAACATTCCCTCCTTCGAAGTACACTATCGCCTTTCAATGACTTTCTTTTAATCGATTAAACTGCTCCTTCATCATCGGTTTTCAACAGTCGTGTGAAAATGGCATAACAACAACATCACAATGAGAGCCTTCCTATCCTTTCATAGTTATATTTATTTTTGTGACAAAAAACATTGATAGAGTGCATATGCACTTAGTGCCATCTATAACTGATTAATTTTGCTGTATAGTTATGGTTCATATTCAACGTAGAATTAGTCATCAGTAACAGTGAAGTTGAGAATCGCTTTTAATGATATAGATCATTGCTATCCAAAACTTTATATTGTAAAATAGTCTTATTATTGGAGCTTTGGATAAGTCAATTGATACTTTTCTGTCAGCAGTCGACTGCACTGTACTGTTCTGTTCTTTGATATTTTCATGTCGTAATCACACAGATTACCAATGAATATAGTACCCAGTAAGAGATTATCAGTCGTTGACAGAAAAAATCTATTTATTTTCGATTTATTTTTATTTTGAAAAAAAAACACTTTTACTGTACTTAAATTATAGACTGTCAATTCCTAATATGGTAAATATAATCACACTCTGGACTGATCTGCTTTCCTTTAACTTTTACAGATAAAATCAGGTATATTTGTCAACAAAACAAATTAAGCTTCCACATCTGACGAAGCATAATTATTTCGTTGATATTGATATATTTGTCACGACACTGTCGTGACGACAGAACTCAATACAATCAACAAATCTCAACTGAAAGGTGAGATATGCTATCTTTATTTTTTCATTCTCGACTTATGTCCTAACTACAGCGGTACGTTTTGATTGCAATAGAAAACGTCCGATGCAATATACTGACTATTGCTGTCAACGCGTGCCCATGTCGTCAGATGCGATTGCAATCACTATCGAGTTAATAAGAGGAATGTTGGGAAAAATACATCGACCCTAATCAATGCTAGAAATCCTTCATCCTTTCGCTTTATTCTCATTCTAAACAAATGCATCTATTTCCTAGAACGACTTCGTATTTGTCGACCTGGTTTACATTTAATATTATCACGAAAGTAACAACAGCTGTCTAGCATTATATTGGTCTGATCAACTGAACAATGGTTAAATCAGCTTCAAAATACAATATAGCTCCATATGGTTAAATCATCAAGCGTAGTTATCGTTTCTCAACAAGACATTGAGCCATAGTTTTAAAGTGCTGAATTTGCGTTGCCTCGAATTTAGAATGGCAGTATTGTAATACAATCCTGACACAACTATGTCGGCGAGCAGGCTGGTCACATCTGACAACCTTACCGATATACTTTATATAATAATGTTGCATAATTAATAGTAAAGAATTATTTACATTACGATGTACTATATTTGGTTGCACTTTTCCAAATAAAACATAATCACAAACAGTTGCCATTTTTATATTAGCCAACGGATGGTCCGTAGAGTTCAAACATATATATGAATTAGTCCTGATTTTATCTTTTGATTTTAGAGTCTGTTACATGCAACGCGTCGTTACAAACGTAGCACTCGTTTAAATACTTGTTCTTCACTTTGGATTCGGATGGTCTCGGATCCCATGTCGAGTTCCGTCGGACCCAGAATCGAATTTGTTTTACCTGGGACGACGTCAGCTGTTTATTCTAGATAAATACCTATTTTTCTTTTGTTTGGTCTAACAACAATAGAGCAATGGAGCAGAGGTGTAGTAGACCTATATTTGTTTCTAGATAAGAAATTAACCATGGATCCAGGTCGACGTTCCACGAGACATCTCGAGTCGAGAAATTCTCCTACCACAACTTCTCCAAACGCTGCACTTCGACCGGTAACTAATGATTCTGGTCGAGGATCTATATTGTCCACGGATCGAACACCGGTAGATGAAAGTATTGCAAGTAATGGTGCTTCTCCATCATCATTAAGAATCACACCGCTTGATGATAGTCATAATAGCGTAAATGATGCGAATCAGCAGTCTAATAGATCAGGTAATCTAAAATGAAACGAAAACTGTAATCTTCTTTGTTAGTTTTCATACCCATTCGTGTTAGTGCTATCTGATAAACATGTTTATGTTTTTTTAGTACGTATTCGTCCAATGTCTGTTTTGGAAGGCAAATGCTATGAACAAGCATATGTTTCTCATGTTGATCATCCATCCGCATTTTTCCTTCAACTGGCACATTCTCGAGTTCAATTTGAAGAACTTCAAGAAGAGATCAAGTAGGTGAAACGACCTATATTTATCTTTCGAATATCCTACACTTTGTGTTAGTAAATTTTACCCAAACAATCCAACCAACGAACCAGTAGAATGGAAATCTGGTGATTATTGTGTTGCTAAATTTACAGACAATCTGTACTATCGTGCAAGAATTATTAACGCTCCGCAAAGCGGTAAAAAATTGTATGTATTCTTTTTCTATTCATCTCGTTCTAGAAAGAAAACTAATTTATAGATGTGATGTTGTGTATTTGGATTATGGTAATTGGCATCCTGTTGCTAAGAATGATATTCACCCTCTTCTTCCCAGATTTGCTTCATTGCCAGCTCAAGCAATTGCTTGTTCATTGACTAAGGTAGATAAATATTTATGAAACAATAGTAGGAAAATGAATTAATGAGATCAATTTCAGTCTTTACCCAAAGACGGTAGCGATTGGGAAGCCAGTCCAGCAGCTATTGAATATTTTAAAGAGCTTGTCTCTGACAAATTTGTTAATGCAACAATAAGACGCAAAACATCTCGTGATTTCTGGCCGTTAAAGTTTGTTGATTTAGAACTTTGTTCGCGAAAAATAGTATGAACACGACATTGATGATCTTCTCTCATTTGAAAATATTTCTTTTTCTACAGAACGTTCGTGAGGAAATGAAGAATTACATTCGCGAAACGTCGAACGAACAAATCTTTATCGAATTCGGTCGTCACCTAAAACGTGAAGATTATTTTATTTACAGTATTCCATTCGTAGACGACAATGTGAGTGATGGTGACGATGAAATTGAATAGTCTTGCTGAAGGGCTCATTCGCTAATTTGAATAAAAAAAACATTCTTATTTTTAACAATTTCTTTATTATATAATCTATTTTAATAATATATTTGAAAATCTATCGAGTTTCATGACAATTATTAATGATTGCTTGATATGACATTGCCTTCGTTCATGCAATATATTGAACAAAAATGTGTTACTCGCATATGCGTATGCTCTTTGTTTTAAACTATTTCGAAAAAGACAAACGAAAAGTATTTTATGTCTTGCCTTGCTTAACTTGTCAGTAACAATTATTCAAATTCATTGTATAATCATGACAAACGAAGTAGCATCCAATAATTGGAATAGATTGCATTCTACTCATCGAATATGCCATATGTCTATGATGGAGTAGCAATTGTTTGTCAATGTGTATACTTTTAGGGAGTATACTGTAGATCATTTCATTGATAGTAATTGATCCCTTTGTCTACATCGAAAGAAAATGGAAATTTCTCTCTTTCTCCCTCTAGTATATCAAACAGAGAGAAAGAGATCCCTAAGTGTCATTTTGTCTCCGTTAGTTTAAACTTGACCTCGACATGTCGCTCATGCTAATTGTATGACCGATGCATCAAGAAAGAGAGAAAAAACGAACAGATCTCTCGTGTATCTCAATGTTCAGATTATTTCATTCCTTCTCATCATAATATTGTTCAAAGTAATCATTTCTTATCATTATCTACTGAAAATAGAAAGACAAAGTGTGCATTTATCGGTCAATAAGCAACGATACAATACATATGTACATATGTAGAAGAGAAGAGTAGAGAAAGCGTATACCATACAGTTGAATTCTAATTGATATGTCCGAAGAGAGACGATGATGCAATACTTCTACCGATTCAACGAGTACGCGGAAGGAAGGTGGACGGCCTTCGTTTTGTGCGTATACTCATTATTTTACGTCCAAACAGATACACGTATCATTACAGAATGCCTACATCAACCACAGATAAAAGTTCTTTCTAGATGAATATGTTTCACTTTGCGAATCATTTTATTAATATTACCAGTATCACAATGTTACTTTCATTATTAGTTTTATTAATTTCAATCCATGTCACAGCTACGAATGGTCACTCATCAAATTTGACAGTCTTTAATCGATCATTAAATAATCGAACGGGTAATTTATATACACCAAGAAGATCGAATTCGATTGAATTACTTAAAAAACGAATTGCAAATCGACATTCATTGTTAAAGATCAATCGAACATTGTTGTCATTAAGTGAGTTTTTACCTTTTTTATCCTTTCGAAAATGTGAAGGCGCAATTGAGTCCTATTTTGAAATAACTTAATAACATGTCTCATTAGATTGCTAACTTTCGAAGTCATCTTCGAATAGAAAAACTGTAGAAATTCCGAAAGTATTCGCATATCTATTTATACTGTCTGCTAAAGATCTACATTGAGGTTTAACTTTTAGATACTACTACGAAACGAACAACAGTATATACAGTTAACACAACGTTAAGATTGCTCACAGAAACTACAACAGCAACAACAAATAATGATAAATTGATTGGTGGTACACAAAATGATTTGACCTCCAGGGCAGCATTATTGCAAGCACCAGCTACAAGCAAATCATCAAATTCTACTCTCATCGTTATTATATTCATCTTCTGTTTTGGTGGCTTTATTCTTCTTGTATTTATTTTTACATTTCTACTCAAGTAATACAAGAGCATAGGGTTCCTCAAAGAAAAAAGAATCACTTATTTCTGTATTCTAGAGAACATATTAACAGTGCTTATTTCAAACTACCTTGCATACACGCGTTGTCAGGTACAAAACAATCTCGTGACGGTACACCATTATTTTATTCACCGATTCATAGTAAGCATCGAAAGGATTAGTCGATGTCGGGACTAAATTAATACATTCACGTGCTAGAGCTTTCTTTTTCTTATTCAACTCCAAACGACAAATTTTTGCGTAGGAAGAAACATAGATAGACAGACAGAGAGATAGTTTCAGTAGATGGGTGGTCAAACATCGATGTGTGTTGTACCGCCACTAGTTACTCCAACGATTCAGCTGCTCAATCGAAAACAGCAACCTCGACGATGTTCGAAGTCAAAGAAAGTTCGCCTTTTCTGGAAACTTCATCGACAAACTAAAAATAACTTGATAGATCATGGTCAGAGTAGGTTTCCGTTTTATACAATGATAGAAATGAATATCTTGATCGAGTGTTTATCAATGAAATCTTGTCAACATTTTAGGTCAAATAGTCGTCACTGGAGAATTTCCTGTGGAACAACTGTATGACATTTATGTTCAAAAGCATGCATTTGATGATTTAGCATTTGCAATTGAATTCAAAGTAAGATTCCAAAGACTTTTCCACTACTAATTGAGATGACAATTCGTCTTATTATGTGTGTATTATATATCGATCGATTGAATCGAAGTACTGCATGAATGTCAAATAGAACGATGATACTCTTATCTTGAAGATATACGACGAGGATACCTTATACTTTCGGTTGATTCAAGAACTAATCGATGTTGTGTAACAGAATTCATTTATTATTAGCAAATGGGATACCAGTATGATAGAATTACTGCGATTAGAGACATTTGTTATCTAGTTGATTAAAATAGTGATTATCAATGTGTTTCGCGTCTTGTAGAGTCTGCCAAACTTTGAAGAATTATCATGCATATCAGCGACACGATCAATAGTTGCATCTAAAAATCGTTTTCTGAATATTTTACCTATCGATGCAACTCGCGTCGTTCTCAATACATTGAACGATGATCCAGCGACTGATTATATCAATGGAAACTATATTTCGGTTTGTTTATTCCCGATTGTACGAACATCACTCCAATTCGATGCTTTTAGGGATATAAATGTGCAAATAAGTTCATTGCTACTCAGGGTAATATCTACTCGAAAATATGCTTAAAATATGATTAGGAGGTTCGTTTAGGACCGAAACCAGATACGTGTGAAGACTTTTGGCGTATGATGTGGGAATTGAAACTTAAATCTATCGTTATGTTAACGAATACAACTGAAGGTGCATCACGCATGGTAATGTTTCCTGATGTCCTTTTCTTTTTCTTTACTTATTTCTTATCTCTTGTAGACAAAGTGTCATCAATATTGGCCTGAACTTGATCAAACCATAGTTTATGGTTCTTATAAAATTACGTGTATTGATAAACAATGTCTGTGCGATTATGAAAAACGTTACTTTCAAATGTCTCAAGTAAGTTGCAGAAAACGATTCAATAAGTCGAACATTGCTCGCGGTTGATCCGTCGGCACCATATGTCCAGCATTTCGAATAGAAGCTAACATGAATCGATGTACTGTTTTGATGTATCCAGCGACTTGACTATCCGTTGAATTCACTTTCCAGACTTGCCGAGCAGCAGTCTTATATTCGTCCGCGTGTGACCACTGCAAATCTCCCACCCAGTTCAATGTTAAACTCTCCGCACAAATTATATCCAATAATCCATTATAGATAAGAATTTTGTAGTTATCAAAGAGTGTAATTAGCTTCTCGGATGGAATACTTTGGTAGACATCATCGATGAGCATAGTTTCGACTGTATTGTCATCATGAAAAGTTAAATTACCTACATGAATCTGTTGACGACGTGCAGTACTTGTGACAAATTTCACATAATATGACATTGAAGGAGGCATGTCAGTTTGAATGTAATTGAAATAGGCTCGTAAACCTGTAACATTAGTAAAGTAAGATGTAGTATTGATAAGATCTCCATCCATTAGAGCATCGGAGATCTTAAATGCGTCCGTAAAACGTTTTTGACTTATCGCGTAACGAATTAAGTCTGATTGAAGATCGATATAAAACAATTGATTACTATCAACCAAGCCGATCTAAATAATGTTGATATGTCATAAGTCAAACGTAGATCGTTCATTAATTTACCTGGTAGAGAAGTGGCCCATACATATACTGCCGGTAAGGATCTGTCCATCCGTTTCCCATCGAAAGTCCAGCTAAATTAATTTTAACTTTCACTTGTGGATTTTGATTTTCGACATGTATCTTATATCCAATTGATGGTACATATTTCCCTGCGTAACTTTCACCGGTCACATAGAATGGATTGTTGGCATAGTCAGTATAGATTTGAAAGAATTGTGTCAAAGCAGAGTAGAGATCTCGTGCAACATCATCCTGTGTTCGTGCATAACCTTGGTCACTACCTGTGAAGCTGTATCCGGTACCAACCGGGTTATCAATGTATAATAAATGATACATTGAATTCCAGGTGATCGATCGTTGACTTAGCTGTCCGGCATCGTTAACTTGTATTGGACCGTTTTCCACAAATAGGCCAAATAATGAGGTAGCACCAGGACCACCTTGAAGCCAAAGAAGAACAGGTGCGCTTCGATTGCCATTTTGGGCAGGGAAGAACCAAAAGAACATGTTGGAATTGTATTGTTTGTTCACAGTTAAATAACCAGAAAACGATTGTCCTGTATAAGGTGGTAAGTTCACAGTACTAAAAAAGTTCATTACGAAATTCGCATAGAAACGGCAAGTGTTTATTGTTTTTCATACCTTAGTCGTCTTGCTTCTTCGATTTTGCCTTGTTCGAGATAAGGTGTAAGAAACAGAGGTTCACCAGGATCATCATCCGTTCGAACAATGCTTTGTTCTCCATTCGGATATAGCAAACGACGAAAATGACCTTGGCTAGTTCCAGTTAGTAGAATTATTAGAAGAAGAACACAGATAGGACTTTGATGCAACATAATTATTATCTACAATGACATATTCTTCTACTAAACGTTTCTATTTATATTAGATAAGTGGTGATGAAGACATTTTCTGCTCGTCATCCTTAGCCACCGATGATGCATCGTCATTTAATTCAACAAATGATCAACGAGGAGAAATTCGTCTGGTTGTCCAATACCATTACACCCAATGGAAAGATATGGATGTTCCGAATCAGTCCCATACATTACTTCAACTAATCGACGAAGTGAACACACAGACAAGTTGTGATCAACATCCCATTGTTGTTCATTGCACGTAAGACAGAACGATGTGATGGATGTTCACATATCTGTTCTTTTCAAGTGCTGGAGTCGGTCGTACTGGTACTTACATTGCCATCGACGCTATGATCGATAAAATCAAACAAGAAGGCAAAATTGATATCTATAATTTTGCTGTACAAATGCGTCGTGAACGTCATTTGATGGTACAAACAGTGGTGCGTTCTTTTCTCACTAAAATAAACATCGAAACATTGCTTTCATATCGAATATAGAAACAATATGTGTTTATCTATCGCTCGTTACTTGAATACTATTTGTATGACAACACAAGAATCGAAGCCAATCGGTTTCGATTGGTATATTCACGATTAAGTAAGAATAAACAAGCTTTACTGACATCAGAATATAATGTAAGTCTACAATCGACGAGCAGTTGTACACACTTGACTTCATTTTTCTTTCTAGAAACTATCGTTATTACCGCTTGAAAATGTTTCCCATCAGGATGCTCATGCAACTGAAAACATCGAAAAGAATCGATCTGCTCAAATCGTGCCCTGTAAGATATATCTATCTAGAAACTAGAGAAACATCTTGTCTTTTTACCCTGTTCTAGATGATCACAATCGTGTTTGTTTAAGCCGTATATTAGGTCATCCATATATCAATGCGTCTTTTATTGAAGTAAGATTTCAATCGTTATCGAAACATTTTGAAAAGAGTGAAACCATCTTAGGGATATTCGCGTGAATATGCGTTTATTATAACGCAAGATCCATTGGAAGGTACGATTCACGAATTTTGGAGAATGTTTATTGAATATGACTGTGACTGTATTGTACAATTGCATACTATCGAGCAAGTAAGATGACAATCGAATAAAATATTTCTTAAGAAATAGTACCGTTTATTAAGTCTTCTCCGAAATGTGCTGATTATTATCCGGATGATGACATCAATTCTACAATGAAAATCGGTTCGACCAGTTTATTAAAATTGATCGACAAAGAGATTGTGCAAGAAAAATTCATTAGTCGTCGATTCTGTTTGATTGACACACGTGAAACTCTGTCAAAAACAATTTTTCACTATGAATATCTCTCTCCATTGACTACCAACGATCTATGCGCAGATGGACAATGCATACCAACGGGATTGACCCACCATTTCTTTGATTTCATTGGGCAGATCAACAAACGGTCGAATACAACGAATCGAGCTCGATATATCGCCGTGCATTGTGGGTCAGTACTAGCCGTCGTTTTCTCTCCGATGCAAAAGTCTTCTTTTCAATTTTAGATATGGTGGGTCAACTGGTGCACTATTCTGTATGAGCATTAATCTGTTAGCTCAACTGAAAAATGAACATGCCGTCGATATTTTTCAAGGCGTTCGCGCTCTACAACGACAAAGACCAGCTATGATCACTTCTCTTGTATGTGATTTCTCTGAAGTTTATGTCTCTCATGTCTAATTTTTTCCTCTATAGGTACAATATGCATTTCTCTATGAAACTATCCGTAAATTCTTGGAAGACTCATTTGATATAACATCGACTAGATTATCTTCCTCATTAAATAACAGTATCTACGATAACGAAGAAGATATTCTTCAAAATATTTTATGAACTAAATATATATTCTACTTCGCTTTATATCTCTAGTCTTTCTCTTAATTAAACACATTTATATACCTAAACTCTTTATTGTTATTGAAGAAAATATCATTTATATGATAATTATCAAATGTAAAATAAGATAAGACAAAGTAGTGTTTTCACTTCTTCTCGTTGAATTCATTCAGAACTTGACTTATTTTGGTTGAGCAGCCAAGAATCGTTCGAGTAAGTCGAGCGAAGCTCGTGGTTGATCATATGGAACCATGTGACCAGCATTGCGAATGGTAGCAAGGAAAAACCGATTGTTATTTGCTGTTTTAATATAACCAGCAATTTCCGGATCACTATCAGCTACTTTCCATATTTTGCGTGGGGCTTGTCGAAGTTCATCTGTACCGCTCCAGACTAATTGACCGATCCATTCCATAGTTAGTGGCACTGCAATGATAACATCTAATTGACCATTGTAAATCAAAACGCTGTAGTTCGCGTTGGCAATAGCAGCAACTTTCCATGCCATGCTTTGCATCTAGAGGAAAACAGGTTTAAATTCATCAAACATTCAACATTTGTCTACGTACGACATCATTGAGTAGCATTCGCTCGACGATTTCACTTTGGCCACCGTATGACATATTACCAACATGGATTTGTTTTCGTCGATCGGCACGTGTTACGAATGGAATGAAATAACCTTGATCTTGTGGTTCGTTAGTCAAAAGATAATTGAAATAATTTTTAATACCAGTCACATTGTAAAAGTAGGATGTTGTATTGAGGAGATCGCCGTTGAGTAAGGCATCAAATATGTGAAAAGCATCAATGTATCTTTGTTGTTCAATCGCATATCGCATGAGAGCGGTTTGTAAATCAACATAAGCTTTTTGTGTCAAATCAATAAGACCAATCTGTGAAAAGAAGAACAAGATCCTGAGAACAAAATTATAATTGACTGTTCATACCTGGTAAAGAAAATCACCGTACATATATTGATTGACTGGGTCAGTTAAACCGTCACCGATTGACATACCTTTCAAATTGATTTTAATTTTAGCTTGTGGATTTTGATTTTCGACATGGATTTTATATGTGATGGAAGGTACATATTTTCCACCATAACTTTCACCGGTCACATAGAATGGATTGTTGGCATAGTCAGTATAGATTTGAAAGAATTGTGTCAAAGCAGAGTAGAGATCTCGTGCAACGTCTTCTTGTGAGCGCGCATAGCCTTGATCGTTACTTGTGAAGCTGTATCCAGTACCAACTGGGTTGTCAATGAAGAGAAGATGATAGTTTTTGTTCCATGTTATTTCACGTAGCTGAATGTTTTCGTTAGCGTCGATGTAGATTGGACCTATTTCAGTAAAAAGGGCAAATAACGATGAAGCACCGGGACCACCTTGAAGCCAGAGCATAACTGGTGTATCAGGCTTGTTGCCATTTTGGGCAGGGAAGAACCAAAAGAACATGTTGGAATTGTACTGTTTATTCACAGTTAAATAACCAGAAAATGATTGTTGTTTGAACGGGGGCAATTCCACCGAACTAAATATGTTCTTTCTTGAGCTAGAAACATCGAAATGGTGGTCTCCTACCTCAATCGTCTTGCTTCTTCGATTTTGCCTTGTTCAAGATAGGGTGTGAGGAACAGAGGTTCACCGGGATCTTCCTCAACTGTAACGACGGATGGCTTTGGATTTGGTAGTAACTTACGGAATGGACCTCGGTATCCATGAATACATTCGACTGCAAGCAAACACGCAATTGCGACGAATAGAAGACGCATATTTGCCAAGGACAATACGATATAAGACGAAACACAAAGAAGAATAGAAGATATTGTGGTTGTTACATAAATATATATCTAGAAATTCATATTTAATAAAGATAACGATGAATTTATTGCACAGAAAGCATGATACTTGCATCAGTTATCTACCTGTATGTCAATGGATGACAAAGGATAAATGAAGTGTAGGAACAAGTTGATGCTTATCAGTATGATAGAACAGTACACTTGAATGTTTCAAATTGACTGCAATATCAAAATATCTTGCAATTCATACGAAAAACTTTGTCTAGCATCTTTTTTTTTCTGGGAAAACATCGGTCAAGGACAAGCACAATACATATGTGTAATATGTTCATAAGGATAGAAAAACAGAAGTTGATCATGTCAAAGTATACACTTTTCTTTCGCGTACTTGTTCTCTTTTTGCTCCGATCGAGCGAGAAGTGAAGCGAAGCATTTGACATATAACGATATTTTACGTTTACACACACATGTTATCTAATTTGACCATAAAATAATGATATTCTTTTTAATCTTCATATTCACTCCAATTTATGGCAGATTTCTGACCAATCCACAGGGTTCCGCATTTGTTTTACTAAGACATATTCGTTTCCCAACCGACGATCAACAATACAAAATTCATTGTCCGTATAATTTAAATCATTTGACTCTTCAACTGCTAAACTATTCCAATACATACTGTTTCAATTTGTACTCAGTGTCTGGTATAAATGCATGTCAAAACCACGAATCTCCATGTTACTTCCATGCCAAATCTCTTCCACTTCGTTGCAACCATCATTTTTATTCAGACTACGTCGATATTTCCTATCAATGTTCTTACAAGTATGTTTCCGTACCAAAAAAATGTCTATTTACAAGTTTAGTTCTAGGATGGTCATATCTCCGCCTACGCGACGAACAAGTTTTATTTTACATGCTCTCACATTTCCAACGAATTTCTCAGATTCAGAAGAAACGATTGCTTTATTTCTAATTAGTCTCGGTACGGTATTGTCACTTTGGATGTTGATATGTTGTATTTGGTTGATACGTTGTCGTGGCTATCGTCATCAAAATGACACATCTCAATTGTTTTCTTATCGATCTTATCCCCAAGTTGATCAGAACTGCTTATCAAAAAGAACTAATCCAACTTCGACCGATAATATTTGTTTTCATGTCAATCCACTCGAAAGTAATCACATCTCATCATTAAGAACAACAAGACTCAATCGATAGTATCTGTATGATGATATAACATGTACATATATGTGTATATGAACACATGATCATAATCAAGATGTCACCAATCATTTTCAATTGTATATAGATGTACTTCAGTGTAATAAATGTACACATCGAATTAGTCGTATAAAGTAAAATGTGTCAACTTGAATTGTTCGATTTGAAAATCAATCTTATGTAGTCAATATTAATTTTCGAGAAAGTTCTCTAATCGAAGTTGTATTCAAGGTTTATACCTCGTTGAGTAGTTACTTTTTAGTACCTAGAAAGTAACTGCTAGTTTTGGAAAACTGAGATGATAGTTATCGAGAAGCGTGAAGGATATCTCAGATGGTAATGACGAGTTATATTGATTTCTAGAGCAGAAATTGAAAAATCTACTCGCATACAAGGGTATTTCTTACGAAAAATAAACATAACAGATAGTGGTTTGGGTTACTTTTATTATCATACACATATAATTGAATTTTAAAATATAAAAATCAAACAGCAATTATTGATGACGTTGGTCTTTCAATGATTTGGAATTGATTTCAGTTTCCGTTGCGCTTTATGATCTGTAAAAAACAAAAATATGTTGATTTGTAATTATCAAATGCGTAGTTTTTCCGTTTCATAATGTTTTTGTTTATCGATCTGGTCAATATAGAGGTATTGAATTTTAATGTTTTATTAAAAAGATTTCAAAGTTGATAATATCGTTAGTTGGATACCAGTTGTTCATAGGGAAAAATAAAAAAGACCATATATAAAGCTTTGCGACAAAAAAATGCTTGATGAATTCAAACTCTTCCAAAGATGGCGCTGGCTCCTTAAAACCAAATTCTTGCGTTGCATGTGCGTTATATAAAAGAAGGACAAACGGTGAATAAGTCGTAACTATTTTACTCGTTCTGTTGCTGTGACTGCAATTGTCAACACGAGTATTGATTCCAAGGTTTGCAAAGCTATTTCAAGGATGTTTTAAAACAACACCACACGTTTTTTTTCTCCTGTTCTCGTTATGTCAGACCAATAACATGTGACAGTCTATTTTCATTTATTTCGACTCATGAAACTATTGCATCAATTATTCTTCCTATTCTGTTGGATTGCTTTTTGTCTTCAACAGTATTATTGTACAGATATTCAATGTTTCGAAGGGCCTAATTTTTGGTGTTTAAATCAAACGACTGAATCTCTTTGTAACTTTACAAATAAAACTATCGGTCTATGTGGATATTCTAACAAACGATGTCAAGTTAAAACCGGTAATGAAATTTTCAGTTTCTGCTTTCTAACCATTATTGAGTGTGTTTCTCGAAGGTGATAGCTTTTGTAAATCTTTGCCACCCGCACAACAACAATCCCCATTTGAGTTCGACGGTGGCATAACAAACGCAGATGAAGATTTATTTTCTTATTATGTTCTCAGCCTATATTGGCCTCCGTCAAGTTGTCCAAAGATATACAATGAAACATTAGATTTATTACGTTACTTCTGTTCTCCATATACAGATATTGGTCAACCTGGCAGCGAACGTTTAGTACTACATGGTGTCTGGCCAACATTTGCGACCAAAGGAAACTATCAAGGTTGGCCACAGTTTTGTTCGGCAAAAGATGCTGATTGGTCAAAGTGTCACATCAATGGTAATTTATGTCCATGGAAAAACACAACATCTAATGAATTCACACAAGGTGATTATGAAAATTGTTTATCTATTGAAAACATTCAACAATGCCTTGTCAATGCTACTAATGTTCTTCTACCTGAACAAGAGCGTTTGAAGCGATTAGCACCAGGATATCTCGGTACACGAAATTTATTTATTAATCATGAATGGACAAAACATGGTAGTAGACCTTTCACAATGACTGAAGAACATGTTTATGTTTATACGTATAGGTTCATGTTGTTCGTCGATATTTGGAAATAATATTTCGAACTATTTGGCACATATGCTAGATTTGGTTGATATGGTAACTCGACCTGGATCTTTGACATACGAGGTATACTAAAAATTGCAAGAAAAATTACGATATTGTCTCTGTTTTTAGTACATCCAACGCTATTCCGGTGAAAAAATCGGTATTGATTATCTTGTTGCGATGCTTAACCAAACAGCAATAATAAATTGTAATTCGAAATGTGAACTCGAAGAAGTTTGGATGTGTGTGAATCGCGATGAGACGACAGGTTTACCAACTCGATTGATTCCTTGTCCGTCAGGTGCTCGAAATACCAGTGATTCATGTAAAAAGGCCCGATGTGAATATGTCTTCGTTCCTTTACGAAATCAAAGTCAACAAATCCTTCCCAATGATGATCATACATCATCAAACTTAACGCTATTTTTATTCATTATTTTGATAATCATTCTTTTGAAATATGTTTTCTTTCTTTCCGCTAGTTGTTATGAATTTCTGAAAATTGTTACTAGTCAATAAAAGTCTTCGATTTTTATTAGAAATAACAAACGCAAATCATCGTTTGTCTCGCTACAACGACAATACTGAAGTCATGTGTGATTATATATCCATGTATTGATATTGAACATATGGTATTTTACGCAGAAGATGATCAATGGCATTTCGTGATATGTTTGGACATTCGATGACAATCACACGTTTAAGATAAGCTGAATTATCTCCCAAACATTTCAAACCTTTGTCTGTCATTAGTTGACAGTATGATATATCGATTTCATACAAGTATTTACAAACACCGCTTAAATATTGTAAGCTCATGTCGGTTAATAATGAACACGAGCATATATTCAGTGTTGTTAGATATTTGCAACAAAATGCCATCGATCGGATTGCATTATCACTTAATTGTGCGCAGAAGGATAAATTTAAATGCTCAAGTGCTGGACATGTGGTCGCAAACTTCGTTAAACCAAGATCGGTAATTTTTCGACATGAGGAGAGTGTTACCGAGCGTAGATGGCCTGAGTTGCCTAATATTTTCAAAGACGTATCCGACGACTGAGTGCCTGTTAAGTCAACCAAGATTAATTGTTCCATTTGACCGATTAATTCTAAGCCCGTCTCAGTAATTTTATCTAAATAACATAGTTTCAAATAAGCTAAGCGTTTACATTTGCGAAGAAGATTTGTTATTGAACTATCACTAATACGCATGCAGTTGGTTAGATTTAATTCGCGTAAACGAGCTTGACAAGCACCTTCAGTCAACGCTTTGATACCCGTATCACTTATTAATAAACAGTCGGCTACATTTAACACGCGTAATTGTTTTAACGTGCCGATATATCTCATACAGGTATCGGTAATCGAGATGCAATCTGTCATTGAGAGATGACATATTTCAGGACATGAACGAGCTAGAACACGGAGATGCTAAAATCGAAAAAAAAACTGGTTATTTTTTGAAGATGCTTAGGTCAAGTCTTACTTCATCAGTTATCAATTTGTTTGAATCAAATTTCATTACGCTTAACTTTGTTAGTGCAGACAGTTGTCGAAAACTGAAGCCAGAGAGTCGCCATGTAGATGACCACATAGAAATATGTTTCAGATGATTCATTCGTTTGCATAAACTTTGTATATGTTTATCAGATAGATTACCGACATCATCCATCACCAAAGTCTAAATTATAATGAATGTAAATTTCGAGAAGAAAATTTCTTCGTACTTCAAGTTCACGAAATGCATCAGCGATAGCTTCGAAACCAACAGGCGTCAATTGTGTACATCCACTCACATCTAAATGAGTCAACTTTCGACAACCACGTCCATTCGATAAATAAACAAAAGCTCGATCGGAAAATTGTCGAGCGTAAGCGACACTAAGAAACTGTAGAAAATGACAATGCCGCGCAAGACTTCGAAATGATTGATCAGTTATATCTGTATGTGATAGATTCAAATACAAGAGAATATGGCAACCATCCGTAATGATTTTAATTGCTTCATCATTGACTGTTGGACATTCACTTAGATTCAGATCTTGTAAATTTTTACAGCTACTTATGCCAACGAATGTTAAACGACCGATCCGATCGCATTGCCGGAGATTGAGATGTTGTAGAAAAGGTCGTGCGCGTTGAATGAAACGCATAGCAAGCCGATCGTTTAGTACTTTTCTTGTCCGATGTAAGTCGAGTTTGGCCCAAAGCATCGACGATTGTGTTAACATTTTCCAGTTACGACATACCTGTGCACATCGTGCTAAGTCAGCAACATCTAAATATGCAAGTATTCGAACAGCAGCTTCGCGATTGAGCAACGATAATTCATCACGAGCTTCACCATAACCTTGAAATAAACAAGAAAACTTGTCTGAGAGCTTCAACGGACACTTCTTTCATCACTTACCAAGGTATCCAAGCTGTTGACTGTCCTCTCCACGTTCGATTCGATCGAAGTAATCTCGCGTTCGTCGTGCTTGTTGGGCAACGAGATTCCATTCGTTGAGAATTGTTCGTATTTGATACGTTTCTGAACAATGCTTTATATGACAAATTGCTGCCTTTTGTCGTGCGAGACGTTGTGAAACTAAATGAAGAGAAAACGTCTACCAAGATATTAAACTGACACGAATAGCACACACCCCATTGTGCCCATTGTCGAAAATAATTATTCAAACATCGTTCACGATAATATTCATCGGCAGCCTGTAGTTTCCTATCCAACGATCGTTTTTGACCTAATCGAGTAAGATAAAAACGAAGCCAAGCGCTGAATAAGTTCCGTTGTATTTTTGATTTATAATGTCCAATAGCGATTCCAATTTGTAGCTCGCTTGGTTCTAATGAATCGTCGCAAACAGCAAACACGTAACTTAAGGAACTTTCCACATTGATTGGTCGATTGACGGGTTTATAGACTTCTGGAATGAAATAATCCCAATTGAGACTCGCTTTTTCTTGTGACGATAACGAATGGTATTCGGTTAAACAACTGATTAGCCATGCAAAAGGATCTTTTGGTTGACAGATAATCAACGATGATATGAGAGCTTCATGAATTTCAGCAATTCGTTGCGAGCGTAGATAAAAACGAAGAGATGGTTCGAGTGTCAAAAAGAGTTTGATCACTGCGGCCATACTCCTTTTGCTTTTTGTTATGACGACCGGTGTTTCTAGTCGAATTTACTATTATTTGAAAAAGAAGTAAAAAAAAAACGAGTGAGAAAAAGAGAATGAAAGAAATTTTCTATTTTTATGCTTGTTTGATGTTGAAGAAAAAAAAATCAGAGAAAAGTGTGAACAGTAAGAACAGCAAAAAAGCGATTGGCATCATATTGACTGAGTAAATAAAACAATATTGTTCTCTATTATTTTAGCTATTAAATCATTCAAAATGGAATATGTTCAATTAAAGGGAATGCTACAAAAGTAGTTACAAAAAGCGTACTTCCGTTTAATGCAGCAACGTCAGTCGACGACTCAACTGAACAGAATCTAACAGACTTGTACAACCTCTAAATGACACAATACATATATGGATTACTAAGCGTAAAAAGCATTTAAGTCGTGCCCTCAGATCAAACTAAATTCATTGAGAAAATACGTAGAAATGCATAAGGGAGTCTAAAGCAGTTGGACGCAAAACTTCGGTTTCGCTCGCTCGAGAGCAATCTGATACTCAGTTACTTTTTCTAATCGCATTGATCAATTGAAAAGTTATTCAATCCACTTTTATTTATTGCACAAAAGAAAACTTCTTGTCTTTTATTGAATTCAGAGTGCTTTAGCTTTTTCTGCACATGTAATCGCCCTTCGCACAGTATCCGGACATTTCTCATGTCGTACCAGTTTATTATTTTCAAAATAGCCTTCATTTCTTGGTAAACCATGTGATCCGTCTGTAAATGTCAAAAGACCTAAACCAGAAATTAATCCATCTTGAAATTGACCTTCATATTTCATTCCATCACAACGAGTAAATACACCTAGGCCATGGTAGCGTCCCTGTGAAAATTCACCATCATATCTAAAATAAAAATCATTTTTTTTTTGTTCGAAAAATGAAAGTTTCATATTTTAGTTCGATGATTACTTCGATCCATCGGGATACGTTATACAACCAAGACCAGCAAAGATACCGTCTTCGAATTGACCGCGGTAGGTCGCCTGGTCAGGAAAAATCATTTGACCTAGTCCGTGTCGTTGCCCGTCTTTATTCCATTCCCCTTGAGAATAAAAAAAAACAAATAGAAAGAAATTATTCTATTCATTTCCTCACCTGTGTATTCAGATCCATCCGGATACCGAAATGTACTTTGCATCGTTTTACTGTTGACTATTCTATGTCACAAAAAAGGTCTAAGAATTCGTCGAGATGAATTAAACTAACAGTAGAAGAAAAAAAGGAGACTATAGATAATGGCAAAGCTACCATAAAAAGAGGCATTTGCCTTTGCACGAAAGCATCAATCATTCAGGGTTAAGCAGTCATACGTGTAGAATAGGATATAGCTCAATATGAGAAAGAAAAGGGAAGAGAATGAACAGAATGTTTTACTTCAGTAATCGTTACATGTGGGCGGAGAAAAAAAAACGAGAAATATGTCAGCGACCGCCACGTGGATTAAATATTTACTTTCATCAATCAAAATGAAGAAAGAACCACGTCGTTTTCTGACGATGTGATTTATACACCAGACAATGGTTCATTGTCGAAATACGATAAATATTTTATTTTCATTATAACTGTTACAAACACGTATATGTAATATATGAGACGAAAGTTCTGTTCGATGAATGCTAAGCAATGACTGAAATGTTTAGGTTGTAGGATATCGTTCCATCTAGGTGAACTGTTGTTGAGAGTAATGGTTTTTACGAAATTGTTTTGCATCGAGCTTTTCACGTTCTTTCGCTTGTTTTTTCGTTTTGTATCGATGATTTTGAAACCATATTTTAACCTATTCACAAGTGACAAGGGATTGAGTTTAGAAGAAATGTAGTGAAAACAAACTTGTGTTGGTGTCAATTGAAGAACATTGGCGAGATTTTCACGTTCGGGTGCACTTAAATATTTTTGTTGCTTAAAACGTCGCTCTAATTCATAGATTTGCCCTTGGTTGAATAAAATTCTTCGTTTGCGTTTTTGCGACACAAATGAAAAATGCCCGTAGGTAGATTTCAACATCGGATCTGGAGGATGTCCATAAACAGACGCAGCAAATGCGGCACTGTCTATTGCTGCTGATGAGCCAACTAGATATCGCGACACTAAACATCAATTCAATGTTTTCTTAGGTTTTCTATTGATATTTTCTAATTGAAGATCGTTTCACATACTCGCAGCTGACCCGCACCAATTCGGCGGATATTGACTAGTGACAACCGCTGCACTTTGCTGCAGTGACGATGGGTTATAATCATAATACTGATGACTGGGTGAAAACGTTGTAGCGGACGTTGGACCGTAGTAGTTGCTATGCAGGGCCGATGAATTAAATGCTGGATTATTCGATAAACGTTGATGAGGATGAACGGAGGGGGTGGATGTTGATACAGAAGATGATACGGCAGCTAGAGTTTGAGCCATTTCGATTGAACGCTTGTAAGACGTTGCTGCTTCAAGATCTGATGAGTGAAGAATATCGGTAACGCTAAATGGTGTAGCAGGATTACTAACTGCCGATGTTGATGGAGTTATACTTCGTTTTGATTGACTAGAAATGAAATCACGTCAAAAATGATCGCCACAAACTCACCTTTCGACAAACATTAGATTTCAAATCGAACGAGAAAAGTAAGTACAGGACAAACGACTAATACGTACTTATTATTAGTATAGTAAATAAGACTATCAATTTGCTCTTGTTTGGCCATATCGAATAAAGTGAATAAAAAGTTTTTTATGAGTGGCTCATTCAGGAGAATAACGAGAAGTTCGTGATCGATGATAAAAAGAGACTGACGACGGATGTACTTCTTTTTTATCGTCGAGAGCTAGAATATGAACTTTTCTATGATTATTATCAATCGATATTCATTCTGTCTCAACTGTCGATCTAGAAGAGATCATTCCATATGAAATTTGACAACATATGATAGATGAAAATAATGTTGTTGTTATTTTAAGTTACAGAAAATAGAAGAGAAAAGAGAAAATTTTTCTATTTCGTTGTTTGAAGTTGACGTACTTAATACGAGAGAAGTGTCTTCTACAATGATGATGATGATGAATATGAGAAGTGCTTTTCTCGGCTAGTGTTGCGTTTTTCTTTTGACGTCAACAAGGATTATTGAATTCATCAAAGAAGACAGTATTGACTTTTTCCGACCAATCACCAGTGAACAAATACAAAGATCTAATCGATACGATTGGTAGGATGTCTCTTTCCGATGAAAGAAGGAAACTGGACGATCAGATTCGATCGGAACGTTGTTCGTTTATCAATCAGAAACAATTCAATTGTCAATTCGACATCGTAATTAACAATCAACATGAGAACAAATCTTTTCGAGAGTTGCCTGGTAAGTGTCCAACGATTATTTTCCTTGAATTTACTCTAGTAGTTTTCGTGAAGTTGAACTCCTTATCGTTGTGACGAGCTGTTTAACATTACCGATGTGAAAAGAGCTTTTTCTTTACATAATATTTTTATCTAATCGAGACACGATGCTCATCGAGTCTAATTGCAATCTATAAGAGCTTGTGAAAAATCAGTGCATCGTAAAATTGAAGAATGATGATGACAGTGACGTCAGGGAAACAATGATTTCATCGTTAGTTTCTTCTGCTTGAAACGACAAATTAGTTTTATTCCAAATTTCGACGAAGTAGCTCGATGACTTCACTAGCAGAATCGAATCGACGACATTGATACATCTGACAGAATTGTCGAGAGATCGGAAGTGAAATTTCCGATAGAGGCCTAGCCAATCATGCGCTGATGGCAAAAGAGAAGAAAATGAAATCATCATCTGACTCGTCCGACTGCAACACACGCACTATTTTGTCGAGTGTTACCCACTTGAAACTTGCACAAGCAAAAAAATCGCTAATTACAAATTGTATTCAACTGAAATCTATGCGTTCAATTTCATTATCAATATTCTAATGACGGATACTCGACTGATGACAAATATGGATTTTTCTAGTCTGTTGGATGCCACTTTTCGATATTTCGATCTCCTGTTGTGTGTCCATTCGGCGAGTGGGTTTAAATATTGAGCGAGACACGTGTGTACAACAATTGCATCACTCTGTAGGACAACGAATACACGTATATAGCAAGTAGGATACTTGAATCAATTGCTTTTTTGTCATTCTTATATAACAACAAATAGGAAAACCTATCTAACTAGCCTCAATTATCACTGTCTTGTCGTTTTAATGAAATAATAACACATTGGCTTTAAAAAAAAAACAAGAATCAGATCATTGGACAAATGATGCCAATATCAAGCCGGGCACATGTTGTTTGAATATACTTGCATAATCAATTTATCTCGCGAAACTGTGAACAACGACACGGAAATTTGTCTATGCTGATAACACATGATATAGATTGAGTAAAAGTGTTTCTCCATTCAGACGAAACACGCTCTAATTGTTGTTTGACTTTTTCTCTTTAATTTACTTGGTGAATAGTGTTTTAAGTGATTCTTTGTCTACCGGGCATCATATTCTTTCTTTGTTTCATTTTCAAAACTGATTGCCTTGAGGGCACAAAGGTGAATATTATTCAAAGTGAAAGACGAAGAAAAGAAAACTAAAACATTTACTTTTTTTCTTCTTCTTTTCTAATGCCATCAAAGAAGCAAATGAATGCATTATCAATTATGATTAACAACTGCTAACAAGCACCCAATTGAGAAACAAGCTATTACGTCAGAATCTTCCGTGTGTCTCTCTCTGATTTTGCTGCTTGTCTCTTTTCGAAAAAAAAAGCCTTTTTCTTCAAATATTGACACATGTGATGTGTGTGAAGAGAGATGGACGACATTTCTTTATGTCTCTATCTAACTTAGTCGTTGTGCCAACATTTCAACCACTTATAGTCTCTATCCAGCTGCGTCGACCACTTCAAACTGACGTAGAGAGTGGACTTGTTCGGTCTCGAATGACAACAACGAAGATGATTGAATTTATCATGCAAATACAATTATTCATATTCAATAAAACTAGAGAAACTTGCTTTTGCTCAATTTTTTTTCCTTCTAAAAAAAACAATTGGCCATAAACATAATAAGAAAAAAATTGCACGACAAAAAAGGAAAGAAAAGAAAATAAGAAGTTTCTTTTTTTGTGTCTTCAAATTTCATTTTTAATTATCGTGGTTCGTGTTTAAGTAAATGAAGAGGTGGATGATGATGTAAATGATGGGCATGATGAAGTCGCTGATGAGCTTGACCTGGTATAGGTACTTGAGAATGGAACATGCTTGATTGCATTTGATGATGATGATGATTATTTGTCGATGGTAATTGTTGTTGCTGTTGTTCATCTCCGCTGTCGCTACAATTGTTACCTGGCTTTTCTTTCGATGCTTTTTTCGTTTTGTACCGATGATTTTGAAACCAGATTTTCACTTGTGTGGATGTTAAACTTAATGAATGAGCTAATTGATCGCGATCTTGCGCATTCAAGTAACGATTTTTATCGAAACGTTTTTCCAGTTCCATAACTTGTTGTTGAGTAAATAGAACTCGTCGTTTACGTTTCGGTGTAAATGCAAATGGATGATAGGCAGACTTTAATGGATCGACCATCGCTGCAGCAGACTGATACATATCGTATTGTGACGAAGATTGACCAGTTAACAACCGTGACACTAGAGTAAAGAGCGAAGAAAAAGAATGGAATTTATCGGGAGCATGTCAACTCTTACTTGCGAATCTTGGATCGGTGCAATGCGGTGGTTGGTACCATGAGTTTGTTATGGGTGTGGTTGATGATGCAGTTGTATTTGTTGGTTGTTCGGTTTGTTGATTGAGATAATCTGAATATGTTCTTGCTTGACTTGAAAAGTAGGATGTTGCTGCATCGGAGTAAAACGGATATTGTATACCTGTTGACGAGAAGTGACTTGCGAAGGAATTCTGATCGAATGTTGAGAAGAATGGATCATAGTTTGCGGAAGAATTTTCCGCTGGAATTGCGAGAGAAGACGATAAAGGTGGCGTTGATCGGGTTGGGGAGGACGAAGAATTGTATGACATAGTTTTTCCTGAAACATGATGATGAATTTATTGAGTATGATCAAATGATTTGTATAAGTAGGAATAAAAATGAGAGGAGAAAGGAGAAAAGAAGAAAGAATTGGCCACTTACCGTATTCGTACGAGGCCGCACAGGATGAGAGATGCTCTGAGGAGGCTCTCAGAAAGCTTTCGAGATCGATTGAAGAGGTTCGACTCCACTCACAACACAGACAAATATGTGCGTGTGTATATGTGTTTCTTGTTCGTTCTCACTCTTTTTTTTCCACATACACAAAAGAGAGCTCTTGTCTACATATTGAGAATAATCATTTCCTTTCTCTTTTTTCTCTTTCTCTTCTTGTCGTTCAGCTTTTTTCGATTGGTTCAAAGGCGATGAAAATGTCATTGGTTTATTTAAGTAAAGAAAAAGTCACAGGAGAGAAGAAAAAAAAACACATACTGGCGAAAAAGAAAGAATCAATGAAATACTTATCATGGATTGTAAATCAACAATTCACATGGGTGACAATTAATCTTCTCAGTCGATTGATTATTGCTGAGAGAAAAACACTCGAGTTAAATCATAAAAAAACGAAATTTCTCAACCTGAAAAGAGTGCGATATTCTCCTCATTGATCATCTAATTAGACTCGCACTTAAAAATATTGACTACAAACAAATCAACCATCGTCCATAGTAATGCGCACATAGCCAGAGGACACGTCCGAAACATGATGATTATTTCTATAGAAATATGCCACTCGGATTTCCTCACTATTTCTACTTTTTCGATAGGAGAAAAAACGGAAATGATATCATATCATAGAAGATCCATTCCTGTATTGCCTGAGATCGTTCATAAATCACAAGTATTTGTACATTCTATCGACTGAAGTCGAACTTTTTTTTTCTGTGAGAGATGCAGTTGTGTTTGATATAAGCTCTATTCCAAACATCCATCTTTGATAGATTTATTTTCTTCGTCAATCTATTTCTCGGCACTTAACCACTTCACGTTATAATACTCTCACCGTAAACTGTCACTTGAATTTCAAACATTCGAAAGTTCAATGCAATAAAACGAAAGTTCATCATTATATTTTATCTTACTCAAAGCTGCTTAAATCTTCTCATATATTATTTATGAATAAATGCTCTAATCGAAGATTTCAGCGAGCGTTCGAAAAGAATGAAATCGATGCTCATACGAAAGCAAATACTTGAATCGAATAGCATGTATCGTACTTGTCTGTGTCAAGATGTACAGTCTGATCAACATCAGCATGTGAACCGGACAAAAGAATTCATGGTTCTTCTTTTCAGAGTACTCAAACAATGAACTATTCGTCAACAGATCAAACAAGTTGCTGCAAAACAATGAGTGTACCTGAATCTCATCTGACGAAAATACTTCATGTAAGTATCAATTTAACAACAAATTCAGACGAGCTATTTTTAATGTATGACACTTCAATGGAAGTAAATATCTGCATAGCATGTGCTTATTGAAACTCATTGGAGGCTTTCAATTTTTGTCGTATTCGAATTTATTGTGTTTTGAGATAAAAAAATTGAGAAAAAAAAACATTTATTCTCTCTATGAAAATCCGATTTTCTCGAAGGTGTGGATGATGAGAAGACAAGCAGGTGTTTTGAAAGATAACTTCGGATGAGAATAAGGAGGCGTATATCTGTATACAAGAAAAAATAAAACGGCACTTATTTTCAACTTTACAAACGTATAGTTAAAATGAAATCGATTATCTGCTTATGTCTCTTCGCTTTAGTAGCAGTCAATGCTGCTCAATATGACGTAAGTGAGATTAAATCGAGAACGAAATTCGAAAAATCTCGATCTATGTTTCGTTTTTAGCTCAACGACAAAGCTCGTCAATATTTAGCTCGGGTCAAGATGACTGATTTACCTGAATCAGTCCGCTTGTCCTTAGCTGAAGGCGAAGGTCGCGCTGCTGGTGATGCCTCGTAAGTGTTACACAGTCGCTTTTTCTCTCAAAGATTGTATCTATTCAAAGACACTGGTGTTGCATCAATGAGCAACCAATTACAACAGTCACTGAAACTAAAATCGAACATGGTACACGTGTTGTTGCTACGAAAACCAAAGTACGAGCATGTTTCTAACTACTTGAGCACTTTCTACGGAGGAAAACTTTTCTTTAGGTTGGCTATGTTTCGTGCGGATTTGCAGGCACAATGAGATGCAGTCACTACGTTACCAATTACAGGTCTGGCTTGTAATTTACTCATTCATATTGACTGGCTGTTTTCTAGACAGGAAATTTACAGCTTTATTCAAACTTTTCAAGTTCCCAACATGGCCGCTTGCAATAGTCACGAAGTGAAATGCTGTTCTGGTTATCTCCTCGTAAGCATAGAGAGTATTCGTTTAGAATGACTCTTGTGTTTCTGTTTAGGTCGCTGAGAACTGTCATACATATGCAGATATAATGGAAAATCGACCATTATTCGAATTTTTAAGCCAACTTGGTTTACTTTCAACAGGCATCGGAAAATAATTGATAAAATGATTGAATAAAAAGAGTGAAAACTGAACGAAATTTTTCTTATAACAGAATTTTTCACATCGAATTTGGAAAGTGTACTATCTTTGGTAGATATTCACACATATTCCAACGGATCAACTGCATTAAAGTATTGCTATTGAAAAATCGACTATAAAAGAAGCAGACATTTGCTAAGACCAAGCGATCTATTTCTAAATACATACACTGAGTGTCTTTATTCATATGAGAATAGATGTAGGTACATAAGGTGGAATCCGTCGTTGTGATCGCTGGCTATTTTGTTGGAGAATCATTTATGAGTGTCAATCGAGCTAGAGGATATGATGTTTTTTGTTCGTGGAAGCTTTTCCTCGAAATGGACTTCTGACGTCGCCATCGAGTTTGAAAAATTTTCTTTCGTAATAATGAGCTTGTCATTAGCAGAATTGGGAAATGTGAACAATGATGAATAATTTCCATCAGATCGAAAATTATCGATAGATTATTCGTCGGTATTTCTTGATCGCGAATAATACTCCACACACCCAAAAATCCGATCGGCGCCGTTAATATCAGAAAAACCAAGCTGGACAAGATCATATAAACTAGAACACTTCGTTCACGCCAATCATCGACACTGTAGACACCGAGATGATCCCGTCGTAAATAGCTACGACGTCTCAATCCAAGAATTAAAGTAAAATTTGTTAGAATAATCATCAACGGTAGAATAATGTTATTCAATCCAAGATTTTCCACGAAGAGAAATTTTGTCAACGAATATGAATAGCCATATGCATGGTACTTGGCGTTATTACATGTAAAAATCGCCGAGTAATTAAACAATGTAAAATAACAGTAATTCACATCTGTTGGATAGAAAAGAAACGGATGATTATAGATCCCGATGATAAAGACAATGAATAGAGTTATCCAACATGCACGTTGTCGTGTTATTAAGCAACGATGATTGATTGCCCATACTTTTATACTACGTTCAATACCTATTTAACAGAAAGTAGGTCGGAGATTTTTTTCAATAGAGACAGGAATTCGTTTACCTAGCGCACAAAGAAATGCGTATGATGTATTTTCACTTGTCATCGTCAGGAACCACGTTATTGAACAGACAAAGTATGGATGTTGAACATAGAGAAACAGCAAATGAACGAAATACTCAGCAATCAATTTGATTATATCAGCAATCGATAAAGCAACGATGAATACACCATAAGGAGTGTGGAAAAACGATTTTGTACGAGTGAAAAGCACACAGGAACACGTATTAAGAATACATCCGATAATTGCAAGAAAGAATCCAACGACAAAAAACGATAAGACAAGCTGGGGATCGGCAGTAACATGGCATGATGCATTCATTTTTCGTTGTATTCTAATGAAATAGTAAAACGAACGTGGGTATGATCCGATCAAATAGAGAGTGGATACGAGTGGTTTTTTTTCTTTTTCTTTAACATTACAGTAAAGGAACGGAAATGAAGAAAAAACTTACATTGCAGATGCATTAACTATAAATACATGAAATTAACTATTTATAAGTCACTTTTTTTTCTTTCTAGTAGAAAAACGTAGCGATGTGTCGACGATTGTTCTTTGAATAACATAATTACGTTGGAAAACCAACACTAAGATACTGATAACTTCTATTGACAAAGCGAGAAACCCGTTCTCTCAGTAATTCAATCCGCCTTCGAATGACGTAAATTTTTATTTAAACACGATCGATATACATGATAATTACATCATCAAATTGATTATTTATTGCTTTACTGTTTGTGAATAGATAGAATTTGATTGTGAAAAATTTTGACAATCTTGCTCCCATATGGAAATGAACGTATTTGCATGAATATTATTCATAAATAATAATCATCACTTGATTCAAAGAAAAGGTAACTGAGTAAACCGAGTTGTTAGAATCTAAAGCTGCCATTTCTAATCGACAGATTTCTTCCGAAAATTCGTGACTGAGTATCTATTCTGATCTTGACTGCTAAATTATTTTTTCTGACAAAGAGGCATTTCGAAAAAGTAACAAAGAACATTTGTAGGAAAGCAAGTCGGTGTATTCTTGTCCAGGGTATTGAGGAAACGTTTCATCCGTGCAAAATATCTCCTTGTTTCGAGTGAATCTTGAGAAGTTAGCTTGTTTCAATTGTGATGTGGAAATGTAGGATAAGTTGGATATAGTCGAGTGAAAGTAGAAATAATGGGTCATGAAGTTAACGATGTACTACATATTTTATTAGAAAACCAATCTTTACATAAAACACCAATGTCCCTTAGACTCAAAATATGAATTACCGAAAATACTATACAGAAAACAAAAAGAAAAACAACATGTTTACTATGGCCAAGATTCCCAATCATCATCCAAATCATCGTTCGTTTCCCTCATTATTTTAGATTCTTCGTTTGATCGTGAAATTTCGGACGGATTTCTCTCTGGAAGTTCAGTATTCGATGTAAGAGTTGCCTCGAGATCTGTTTCGTCAAATTCTCCTTTCCAACTGCCGCCTGAAAGTAGAAGGTCAAACGTTCAATCTTCCTTATTCTTCTCACGATCGAGACCAGAAATCTTGATGTGTTGTACATGTAGGTACAAGGCGCGTATAGACTGAACGAACATGTGGAGAATCGATTAACAGCTGTGTTATGTCATCTTTGCGATTCTCAATACTAAAATCACTTGTTTCACACCNTGAATGGTGAAAGTTGATTTGACAATAAACTTACAAGTGATAAAGATGAGTCCAATACGAAAGGCATGTTCGAATTTTTCAATCGTGTCTTCACCATATTTATAAAGAACTTTACGAGAAAGTCGAGGCCAGAGAAGTGAAAATGGCACATAAAACTGTAGATTATATGTTAAGAATACTGCTATTGCATACATAATCTTCGTAAATTGATATAATCTATCGATGAGTATAAATATTTACATTCGTTATAAATGGCTAAAGAAAAAATATTTTAACGAATATACTTCAAGGGAGAAACTACAGATTCTCCAGATTTCGCATCCCTGCGAGTATGATGGGAATCTCAGAAGTGCACAGCATAGATGAATTAAAAATGAGTAAATTAAGAATCTTTGAGATACGCGAAAAAGTGTGGTTTCATTCGTTGTGAATGTCCAGAATTTTACATACAAAAAACGGTATGTATATATGGTAATTGTGTTTTTTGGTCATCAAATTTCTGCCAACACATGAAGTTGACTCTCACAGTTTTATTTAAATAACATAAATATCGCACATTATATTTAATTCAACAAACAGCTAAACACGTAGGAATAAATGATAACAACAAAATATACCTAGATTTATGAACAAATAGGAAGATCATGTATACAATTACTAGTTTTTTAAGAGAAAATAAATAAGAGCTAGACAGATAAAAACGATAGTGTATTTATCAGCCAAAAGGAAACATGAGAAACGGAACAGAAGGTTTACAAAGTGAATTATCAACAAATTAAACAAGCGCAGAACAAGATCATAGAAATTAACATTGGGAACAGATGAAAGAACGTGCGAGAATGTTACAGAACTGATATTGAACAATATTGCACACTGAGAAAATTAGATGATACACCAAATTACACACTTCAAGCTAACAAATAAGTGATTGGGAATAAAGAATTTCGCGTAGAAAACACAGGTAATAATGATAGAAAAAAAAAGAACACTATATTCGGAAAAGATTACTCGAAGATATGGCGTATGTAGGAGTCGTATGAAATTTAGGTATACGAGAGAAACAGATAGACGTACAAAGTCATCATGCAATTGAAAGATGATAAACTAACTGAGTTAGCAGTATGGTATATCACTAATCAGAAGGCATATATTCCTATTTCGGTATGACTGAAGTTACATTCGTTGAGAAGTCCCTATGTATCTCATACAATAACAAAAATGTAAAAAATTTCTTTTTTCTTTCTAATCTGTTATATTGCTAGTAAAATGCTTCACTATAAAAGGCATTGCTCGATCAGAAAACAAGATGGATTAGTACCTTTTTATAATTTTCATATAAAAATACACATTTTTTCGATATTTGACAGAGAAATCTCAATTCCTACTACAACATAATTTGTTAACAATGCCTTCATAAAGGTGAATAAACGTGTGTGTAAATCTAACACACATATTGTCTTGTCATGCGTCTACTTCACATTATATACACAAATCAAACAAGATGAGTAATAATACAAAAAAATAATTTACTGTTTCATTTCATCGTATATTAATAGATGTTCGTTACCAAGAATATTTTCAAATAGTTGACAAATTTCTTCAAGCATCAATAATGATTTCGAGTATTTATTTTCTACACTATCGAAATGAATTAAAAAAATTTGATTGATATATTAACGAGTGAGACAAACGTTTTGCATTAATTTGACTTTGAGTGTGTGGGTGAGGGTTTTTCGAAGTGTTTATAACGTCTGCGGGGAAGGGTCCAAATTTTTACCCTTGAACATTATCTTTCAGATTGTGTTTCACAAAAAATTGTAGTAATTTATTATTAAAAAAGAGACAGAGGAGGATTTAATCAAGTCAAAATGTCGATGATCTGCACATCTCATTTAAATAAAAAGAATACAATTACCAAATTCTATTTTTGCTTTTGTGTCTATTTAATTTCAATTTTGATTCATTGTGACAGCGATGATAGCTCACATTTATGAGTTCTAACCCTTAAATTTCTTTTTTTCACTCTTCTCCTTTTGTCTTCATCTATATCATTATTTTTTACTTTTATATAGTCTCGACGAATGTACCTTTTAATGCTTGAACGAACATCGTTTACACATTGATTTTTATCTTGGATCATTCAACGCAAAAAATGTTTCTAACAAAACGATCAAAATCTTCGAAATTAACACATATTTTATGTTCTCTAATGATTGGATGTTTCATTTTCATAAGTTTATTTTCATTTAAATATTATTCGTATATTACTTTGTTATTAAAACCCAAAACTCGATTAGTTAATGTAACATGTCGTCAATATATCGCACCGGACAATCGTTCATTTTTTGAACGCGATTATCCTCAATTGTATTTACCTCAGCAAATATCAAATTTTTCATATGAAAATTCTACTAATCAACTTCGTTCTTTTCGTTTAGTTGTTTTATCTTGTGCTCGTGATATTGCCCACTATATCGATAAATATCGAAGTCATATTGAACCAATTCTTAATCTTTTTCATTCATCATCTTCAATGCATATTTTTGAAAATGATTCAAAAGATAAAACTGTAGAAAAACTTCGTCAATGGTCTCGTGTACATGTTTATACACATAAAAAATTAATTAATAAATATCGCGAACGTACAGAACGTCTTGCTTATTGTCGTAATACATTATTAAATAAAGCACATTCATTATCACCTGATTATATACTTTTTACTGATCCAGATGTCTTTTCTACAGATGTTTTATCTTTTCTTTCGAATTTTAAATACAATCAAAATGATTGGTCTGTTATGACAGCAGGAAATAGATATGGTTATTATGATATTTGGGCGTTACGTACATTAGCTGATTCAGTTATGAATTATGATGTTTGGCATCGAACATGGAATTTATCAAAATCATCAGAAAATTATTGTTCGAAATCAATTTCTGATCAAATTATTGGAATTCATCAAAAACATATTCCAATTGAACATGGTTTAGTTGAAGTACGTTCAGCTTTTGGTGGTGCTGCATTATATAAGGCAAATTCAACATATGAATGTCAATATGATGGGAAAGGACCGATTTGTGAACATGTACCATTTCATTTATGTATACGAGATAAACATAACGGAAGAATATTTATTAATCCAGAATTTTATATTGACTAATTTTTCAAGAGAAGATGTGACTTAAAAAGATAAACATTCCACAAGAGAATGAAACGAATAGCATTTACTTAATATTATTTGTTGTGTTATCTATGACTATTGTCGTCATTATATTCTTAATTATTGATGCCAATTAATCATAATGAAATGGTTTTTGATGCAATCATATATATGTATAGAAAGGTACAAAATTATTAATAAACAATAAAAATGTAACAATATTTAACATGAAACTTTTCATTTGTAAATATTCTTCACTTTTATTTAATATTACATATTTACTAATCATTGTTTATAAAAAAAAGGTATAATGGGATATGGATCAGTTGTTATAACATAATGTCGAATCACAAGATTCTTATTACTTACCATTGACTGTACACAAGTACGAATTTGTTTTACATTTCGATAGATTAGAAAAGCAAATATACTCAATACAATTGTTGGAAGTAACTCGACAGTAATCAATATTTATATAGAATGAATAGTAACATAAATAACCAATACCAGTACATTGTCCATTGACAATAGTATTCAAAATAGGAAGATGAATACATGAAATTAACTGAAATATAATCGTATCAAGTGTAAACCATTTCGCTCGCTTTGGCATAACAAGTCTTCGAATAATTGCATGATAATTTGTCATGAAAAAGAAAACGATTAGTGGATGCGAAAACAAACAATGCCTTTGCTGTTTGGCCAACAATACTTGCTATGTATAAATATGTTCTACATAAAATAAATACAATAGGTGTTGCATCGAAATAATCAATTGGAAATGTTTGAATAAAACCATAAAACGTTAAATGAATACATTTCGTAAGTATATTCAACAGCTATTTTCACGTTATTGACTGAGAATGAGAACTATGAATACATTGACAATATTTCCTTAATACATGGGATAATCGAATAACAATAAAGAACTAAATTCGTTTGGATAGATACTACGATTGAAGATGACAATAACGATATTCAAGAGATCTAACGAAGAAAACAATGTTTTATGATAGCCACGCAACGAATGTGAGAGTTATTAATTCTAATTGTTCTTATGACAACATGATCGTTTATGATATAAGTAAACTCGAAGAGAAAGATCTATTACAAAGAGTAGAACAAATAATTTATTTTCTGATGTCACATCACATAAAAGTGATTTTTGATACATCATACTTCGAAGGAAAACAGTGACATCGTCATCGGTATTGCTCAACGGACCGTTTATTGAAGATGCTGTGCAAATAAAAGCTAGAAAAAGAAACGATAAAATATACAAGAACAGAGGGTGAGTGATTACAAGCTATTACCATTGCAAATTCAGAGTTTTGGATACACGTATGTTCTTCAGTATAGGTTCGTAACAGAGCAATGTTATCGTGAAAGCGTAGCGATGAGCTCGTTTTTTTCCATTGTTTCTTAAGTAGGAATGGTGAAGCCATCTGATGAGAGCTGTGAGAAGCTCGAAAAAAACGTCATGGCGACTTGTAATCACTTACTCTCAAGATGTGGAAATGTAGGATAAGTTGGATATAGTCGAGTGAAAGTAGAAATAATGGGTCATGAAGTTAACGATGTACTACATATTTTATTAGAAAACCAATCTTTACATAAAACACCAATGTCNTGAATGGTGAAAGTTGATTTGATAATAAACTTACAAGTGATAAAGATGAGTCCAATACGAAAGGCATGTTCGAATTTTTCAATCGTGTCTTCACCATATTTATAAAGAACTTTACGAGAAAGTCGAGGCCAGAGAAGTGAAAATGGCACATAAAACTGTAGATTATATGTTAAGAATACTGCTATTGCATACATAATCTTCGTAAATTGATATAATCTATCAAAAGGATAGGAGTGAAAGAGAGGAAGAGTGGTTGAAAGATTTGAAATCAATGAAAAAGAATCGATAGATGGATCTTACATCTGATCATTCGGTAAATTGAGTGTAATTGAACCACGCGCATCAGCTCCATATCGGAGATAACCGAATAATCCAACAAAGAAGTAGAGAGTCGTAACAATAATAATGCCAATGTTCAGTACACCGAAGAGGCCACGATAAGATTCAGGTTCTCTCATTTTTTGTTGGATCGGTAAAACCTAAGTTAATCATGACGTCTTTTTTGTCTCATCTCCTTTGCCTATTCGTACATACCAAGCCGATTCCTTCGAAAACATACATAGCAGTAGCAAAAAACACCGGCCACTCGGCCGATGGCGTGATCAATGGGAATTCTTTTACCGGAAGGAGATCGCGAACGATATATTGCATGATGACAATTAATCCTAACAGTCAATCATCTAATAAATTCATTTAGAATACTCAAAACTCTTCTCACCGCCAATAGTGATTATATTAGCTGCGAGTGAAAATGGTGCCAGAAGTTTCAGATTTCGTATGAATGAAAAGCCGATGACGAGTGCCAGCATGAAGATTTGGTAGACTTGAATCGGCGGACTGTGAGTGAAGAAATGATCAAGTACCTGCATTGAAAAGTAGAATTGCATTGGTGGGTAAAACAATCTAAGGGTATTGCAATTAATAATACAACTCATCTGTAATGTTATTCTCATTTCCGAAAAAGAAAATAAAGGTATCTGTAAAAGAATTAGTTCTGCTCTTATGTTATTTTCAGCATACTATTGATGTAAACTGTGAGTTCAGATTTAATATTTCTATCTAATTATAGAATATCGGATCCTGTTTCTCCCGAAAAAAGACGGTTTAGTTGATTAAGAAATTACATAACTTTCTACTTTTGACCCAATTACCTGTTTAATACTAGCGGGTACGAATACGAAGTACACTGCGCAGAACCCTAATTGTGTCGCGACAATAAACCCATCGATGATGAATCTGATAAACAAAAGAGAAGACATCAAGATGAAATGTCCATCGGAGTCATCTTACTTTCCAAGTTTTGCGTAACGATGAACACATCGCCAACGGCACGTTGCTAATGTATATCGCATAACATCTCCAAAATCACATTTTTGTCGTGATATGCTAAGTAGAAACGAAATTGTTACACTGATTGTCATCGAGTGACAAAATTTACCGATCTTGGTAATGATCATGACATCGAAGAAGTTGATGCATGCAATACAATGTCATTATACCCATAATCCAAAAAGCAATTGGACCAAACTGAAATGATCGAGTTAAAGTATTGTTCACCAGAAAAATTTTGACTCTCAAATACGTACAAGTATTCCAGCTTTCGATAAAGCGTATGGAAAAGCCAGAATTCCAGTGCCAATATTGCCTTTGATGATATGCATTAATGTTTCTAATTTTCTATACAGAAGAAATATTTGCCAACGAGATTTTTCCATAAGAATACAACTTACGTTGTCTTACATTCGTTTTGTTCACCATAAATCGAAGAAACTAACGGGGCGATCTAGATGATTTTCAGATTAATAAATATCTTTGAAATGCGTCAAAATCTTTCTTCTTACCGCTTCATTTTCGTTGTTTTCATCTGCATGAGATGTCAATGAAGTTAAATCTTCTTGTGCCTTGTAAAGTAATGGTCGATCAGGTTGTTCTACATAGGATGATGCCGCCGGATTCGCTGCTGGTTCAGCAAGTATTCCTGATGAACTGCGACTTGGCGGATTCGACATAGTGCTACTTGTTCAAGTCTTCACTAAAACAACGATTTATCTGTCAGATCAGAAGTATAAACAAACATATGACTATTTTTCTTTTCTCCTTGAAACTACTGCAACTTCGTTAAAATGCAAGCGCATAATCATTTATTCGTGAAAGTACTGCGACATGAGCGAACCGAGTATTTATCTTCGGAAACATGTTATGCAAAAATAAGTAATTATTATTTTATATTAATGTTTGGAAAACACGATCGAACCAATCAGAAACTTGCTTTAATCCTCCTGTCAAATCATTCGTTGACATTGATTGTGGCACACTCATACAATTGGACAAATCATTCTCTTTTTTTTTGCTCCTGCTAATGGTTGATGATAGTGTTTATTGTTTTTTACCTTTCCTCTAAAACGTGTAACCGAGAAAATAATCAAATCATTCATGCTTAACGATATTCTTATTCTTCTCTCTGTCTTTGTTCTTATTTAATTATATAATTTATTATCATATTAATATTTTATTATTCGCCGATCATGCCAAAGAAACCTTTGGACGCGAATAAACCCCGTGGACCGGTCACAGCCTACACGTTATTCGTTCGAACGTGCCGTGATGAACTACGTCGTAAATATCCCCAATTAACAGTCGATTACAATGTTATATCCAAGAAATGTTCGGAACGTTGGAAGCACATGAATGATAATGAAAAGAAACGTTTCAATGAGACAGCAGAGCTACAACGTAAACGATACAAAGAAGAAATGGCGATATATGTTCAACAGCAACAACAACAACAACAACAGCAATCGGCAACATCGTCGATATTACTTCAGACACCGGCAACACAGTATCTTGTTGAACCACAACAACGGCAACAGCACACTTTAATTATTCCAAATCAAACACAGCATATGACTACAACAACGCTTGTCAATGTACCCAAAAAAGTAGCGAAGAAGCGGGAGCGAAAACCTAAAGATCCTCTTGCACCAAAAAAGCCTTTATCAGCTTATTTTCTCTTCTGTGCTGATGAACGACCTAAAGTCCTCGGTTCGCAATCAGGTAAAATCTCGTTTTCACACTTAAATAACATCGAACAGAAATAGAATCTCCATTTGAATATTGACTCAACATCTTTGATAGCATACTCGAGAAATTTTCATGCATCACTTTAATAGTATCTTCTTTGAAAGGAAATTCTCTGATCTCGTCTAGTGAACACGATCATTTTAGAACTATTGACAGTGTCAACATCTTGAATGAAATCATACTTGTGAGAGTTTGATACTTTTTGCATTGCTTATTTGCCATTGAATTTTCTTAGTGCTTCTTTCTTTTTTTAGTCGATTCTTTTGCGTTTTTCTTTTTCTTTTCAAACGAAACCTGACAAAAACATATTTTCTTTGAAACTCCGAATTCAATTAAACTTTACTATCCTGACTAAAAAATGCTCGACAACATTCGAGAATACTGAATTAATCACTGAAAACTCGAGTACATCTGTTAAAGCAAAAAATCGAAATCGATAAATTCAGAAATCAACAATAAAAGCATGAATTTTTTCATTGTTAGGTATGTCTGTTAGTGATGTTGCACGAGAGCTGGGCGTTCGCTGGAAAAATACTCCGGCCGAAATCAAGAATAAATATGAACAAGCAGCATCAGAAAAGAAGCATGTCTATCAAGCAGAAATGGCAATTTATAAGCACCAAACATCGAACGGCTCATCGCCACCTGAAACTCCTCAAACGCCTTTGACACCTCATGATTACCAACCAGTTTATACGTCATCTTCTATGCAACAGCACCCCCAATTACAACAATTATTAAAACAACAACAAGTGTTTCATCCGTATAATAGTGGTGATACATCTGAGAATCCCAATGAGTTCGACATGATGACGGATGATAACATTGTTGATGATGAAAACGATGACTAATCCTGGCAGTATTACTCGAGCTCTGACTATTTATATTTTTCTGTTTTTGTTTACTTGTCTGTTTGTATGTGATTACGTGTGTCTTTATTTTTTCATTCAGATATCTGTTCTGGTGCTTGTGCGCATTGAATTAGCACGATAACAAGAAAGAAAACAACACACGTCAGAATAGATGCAATTCAATGTATTTTTCTTTCTTTCTTTTTCTCTCCGTTCTAGACAAGCAAAACAACAATATGTGAGAATGCTGAGCGATAATTCGCAACCGGCATACAGCACTCCTGCGTCGACAACAATCACTGATGGGAATGAAACGAAGTTATTGTTAACTCCAATCAAATTACGATGTATCCAAAGGAAACAAGTGCGTTCGATTTTCGACCGTTTTCATTCGAGGGAATTTTTATGTATGTGTGTGTGTGTGTCTATATTTAGAAGAGCAAACGTCATATATATTTAACATTTGTCGATAATTGTACGATATCCACAGCAAATGAACAGCCATGTATTGAAATTATTGGCAAAACAGACTCGACGCCGATTTTATTAAGTGAATGCATATCGTGTGAATTCTTCGATACGATTAAAAATGATTTTGAAGCATTTATTTATATTTATTATGTACGCTTTACTGTCTCGATCTATTTCTCCGGCGAACATATCAGTAAGAAAGCATTTATCACGAAATATCTCGAATCGATTCATCAGAAGAAGCCTGAAAGCACTAGAGAGCAAATTCCGGGTCCGGAATTATCATATCAATCGACCACGGAACATATTATTCACACATTTGACATCGAACTAATTCCATATGATGTGATCATTACTCGCGATCACGCTTTAATTGGCCATGCACGCCTGTATTTCACTACGACAGATCTGTATATTACATCGGTCGATTGTAATCGAACAGATTTGAAGAAAACCATTATGAACCAGTGTCCACCGAGAGATCAAACAGTTCTTTGTATTCCATACTTCACGATAAAACATTATGGAAATCGTTCGAATATCTTTCTTATTGAATTGGGAAAATCAACATATGGTAATGGTGAAGTTCATATGAAATGTCGTTCATCTTCGCTAGCGAGCACGATTCATTTGTTAGTTAGTCCAGTGATTGAAGAACGACCATTGATACTTTCATCGGCCTTTCAAAATCAATTATTAACTAATAAACGGATCGAAAAGTTAAAACAAATCCATCCACCGGTGCAACTTACGCAGGAGAATGCTAATCTAGCGATGGGCATTCCGCGAAAAGGTTCAGTAGAACCAGTAGTGGAAGCAATCAAACCGCGCTCAGTTTCCGGTTTTTTCCGAAAGCTAATCAAGAGTACCACATCGTTCCGGCGATCGCAGACATTCAATAGCAGTCAAAATCAATTAGAAGAACCAGTGATACCTCTGTCAACATTCTTATCAACGAGATGTTTGGATTTTCAACTTGGAGACGATCCACAGGAGACGACCGGAAATCAATTCGTCCGTTTGCAATCTCAACCAGTTGTGAATAGGTTGCAATCGTCCAATAATACAAACCACGAAGTTTGTTCATCGATGGATAAAGAGGAAATGTCTGAAGGAACGTACCTTGACATGGGCCCGCCAAGTCAAAGAGTCAATGAAAACCAAGAAGTCGAAAAACAAGCCAGGAATGATGAAACAACTGTAAAGGTGGATATTGGAGTGAACAGTATGTTATCGAAAATAATACAGTGCGAAGTGCAGTCTGTGAATATCTTTTCAATTTTAGCAATCATTAGCATACCACCGGCTGTTCATTCAGCTATTATTGTTGGAACAACAGTACATTTGATTGCTGAGGGTATGAGAGAACGAAAGAGGAGATTCCATCGATTTCGAGAAATGATGATCTTTTTCTTTCTAGACCGAACTGGTTTTCCCATTGGTCAACGTTCGTTTACGTCACCTGCAAGTGTCATGCAACCATTCAAAGCACAATTAAGTGAACAGGCAATGCTCAGTTGTTCTCGTAAGCTTTCTTGATTGATTTTGACATTTCTCTGCAAATATTCATTTTGTTTAGCAAATTCGACTAATATGATTGCATGTATATCGAATAGCTCAAGGTTTGTTCATTCTGTCCGAGTTTCATTTTTATTACTCTATTGTCATTCTAGTTCATTTCATCACCCCACATCAACAAATAATTCTCAACAGTCGCTCTTACTTTCATACGGAATCGTCACTTTCGATAAAGCATCGCTGCCAAGCAATGACACGGAATGCGATTCAACCATCGATCGTCGTCTCAACTCCAATCTTAGCCTTCTGTCTACAAACAATCAACAGCAACCATCGAATATCTATTCTTTTGAAAGTATCCTTTCAACATCATCTTCATCAAGTTCACATATATTTCGAACACTCGGAGAGAATGTATCCGCTCAGATTCCAACGCCCAGCGGCGGCATTATACTTCTCGATGAAAATTTTCATGATCAGACAACCAGTTATCTGCTTGGCCCAGCACCGCCATTGTTCATACACGAAGAAACATCCTTGTCACGTCTTTCATCCATCTCACGTTCACACTTATCACATATCGTTGAAGAAAATATCACTTCAAACGACTCATATACATCACTTGAACACATATCAAGTCTACCAACTATTCTTCATGAATCTAGCTTGCCGAGTGAAAAATCAACGGGTCTTATCGATATGACTGCCCCTTCCAATCCCAGTGATAACCAACACTACGAATTGGAGAAGGCCAATGATGTATCCGAAGAAAATACTGAACAATCCCAACCGAAACTCTATACAAATATTGATTTTCACCAAATACAACGCCGTGATCCGGTTGGAAAAGTGAAAATCGATGAGCAAACAGCACCTTTCGTTTTATAGACTTTTAGTTTCTTCACACACACACATCTTTAATGAGTATTTTTTTAAGTATTTGTTTTAATTGATTCAAGTCAATTTTGTAAATAAAAGACTGAAATGATTTTTATTTTGAAATCTTACGCGATCAAATTGATTGGTGTGCTGTCAAAGTATCCCTACAGCGAAGAATTCATGCCCTACTAGTTCAAAATTGCAAACATTGCTCAAATAGGATTCTTTTATGTAGAAAAAGTGTGATCGTTTCTATTTTTCTTCTCAAAGAACATCTAAACATCAGAAATAACATTGAACGTTTGGTGCCGTCTGCGCACTAATGCATATCCTTAAATTTCAAATACCTTATAGTGGTGATGTGTACGAAATTCAATTTCAAACGATCCGACAGTGGCTGGACTTCAACAACCCAAAGAGAAACAGTTAAACATTGCAAAAAATGTCCAACGGATTGTTTTCTAGGAAAAAAAACCTGCATGAGAAGCCGCAGGAAAATCTTCAATGTTATGTAATTACAAACATCAGTCTCGTTGAAGTCTTTGGCTACAGACAGTTATCAAAGTACTAACAAAACTTCTTTCTTTTTTCGTTTTGTTTGTGTACACAGGACAAAGAAAATTATCGGTATGTACATAAACAGAAATCTCTTATCTTTACTTGCTATGGTCATATAAAAACTTCGTAAATAAGCTCCATCCTATCTAATATTATCTTTACATATGGATCGACAGATCGTTGTACTTGTTGCAAGTTTAATTCTTTACGGAATTAGTTGTGCGTCAGCAGCTAACTGGGCAGTACTTGTTGCTGGCTCCAATGGTTGGTATAACTATCGACATCAAGCTGACGTTTGTCATGCCTATCAAATTTTACATAAGAATGGTATTCCCGATTCGAATATCATCGTGATGATGTACGATGATCTTGCTAAGAACGTTGAGTAAGCGAAAGAAGCATTTTCTCGACATCAGTATCTTTGTTTTTCGCAGAAATCCAACTAAAGGTGTAATAATTAACCATCCGGATGGCGACGATGTTTATCACGGTGTACCACATGATTATACTCATCTGGTAAGTTCTATTGTTACCCACTGGAGAAAAATAAGATGGTATTGAAAATAGGAAGTGACACCGAAAAATTTCATGCATGTTCTATTAGGTGAAAAAGATGCTTTGAAAGGTGTAGGCAGTGGAAAAGTTTTAGAAAGGTAAATAATTAATTAAATGAGCGAGTACATCGCGAAGAAACGAACTATTTCTAGTGGACCTGATGATAACGTTTTCATCTATTTCACCGATCATGGCGCTGTGGGTGAGTTGAGTTGGAATTTAGATTAATATGTTTCATTGACTTCCTTTGTTCAGGTTTGGTTGCTTTTCCACATGGTGTTGTACGTACTACGTAGCATTGAATGCATGAATGAAATGATCGCTGGTTACTTTTAGCTTCACGCAAAACAACTAAATGAAACAATCACGAAAATGTATACCCAAAAGAAATATAAACAAGTCTGTACATGCAATTTTACTTTCCAAATCTCGATTGGTATGTTCTGTACTTCAGATGGTCGTCTATATCGAAGCTTGCGAATCAGGCTCGATGTTGGAAGATCTTCTTCCGAACAATATCAATGTTTATGCAACAACTGCATCCAACGCACAAGAATCGTCATATGCTTGTTATTATGATGACAAACGTCAGACATACCTCGGTGATGTGTATTCAGTCGTTTGGATGGAAGATTCTGATGCTGAAAAAATCGACCAGGAAAGTCTCTATCAACAGTATACAGTCACTCAAGCAAAAACAAATACCAGTCATGTTATGCAATACGGTGATCTTGTAAGATAATTCAGCAGTTTGGAGAGAAAAACTGTGAACTTTTATTTTTCATTGTATAGAATCTGGGCAAAGCACATAATGTTAGCGAATTTCAAGGAGCTGCAAAGCAATCGTATCGATCACACCATAATCTACTTAAAAAACGCTATAACAATCGTTTACGAGTATGATCTGAAAACTAGCAGTTGTTTTTCAGAATTGTTCTCGTTTTTGTACGTGTTAGCGCGATGCTGTTCCAACACAGGATGTTCGCATCGCCATTGTTACTCGTCGATTGGCTGCTGCAGAAGACAACTCAATCGAAAAACAAAAACTCGAACGCGAACTCGCTCAGTTATACAGTGTATGTAATAAATATGCGCAAAAATCACGCATGACATTTGATTCATCTAGGATCGATCAACAATAACATCTCGTATACGTGAAATTGCTTCCTTGGCTTTATCGATGAATCGCGGTGGCTACTTGGAACTTATTACTGAAAAACATATGAAATTGACTCGATACGATTGTTACCAATCGGTGGTCGAACGTATTGGAGAGAAGTGTTTTGATCTTCAAGTTCGTTGAATTTCATATTTTAATTAAAAAGAAACGAACGAATGCAAATGCGTATTTTTAGAATGAATTCGTTTTGAATCAGCTCTACATCATGGCTAATTTATGTGAAATTGGCTTATTTGATTCTACTATTCATCGAGCTGTCGATCAAGTATGCAGCGAGCGGCTTCATTTTGATTATTAAGACAGACGCGTTTCATTTTTGATATTTTTGTCCTTTTCTGTACCTTTGCAATGGAGAATCAAGAAATAAAACAGTTTCATTTCGATCGGAAAAATTATTTTCGTCGATTTCAACAAATTGACTATGAACACAATAGCTCAGCATTCAACCATATCAACAGATCGATTCGTCATGCATTAGAATATTTCATTGATGATCTCAAACATGATCAAGCGAAAACAATTGAGTACTTTTTAAGTCAAGGCTCAGTCGACGAGATTCTTCTTTCCATTGTTCGATTAGTGTTTTCAGATGAAAACTGGTTAGTATACAAAACTGATCTTCGACCCGGACAATTCTTCTTTCGTATAATTTAGCATCTGTGTCAATAGTGCCTATGTTATCGGAAGTATTGTTGAAACAGAGCATGGACTCGAACGATTTTTATCCATGTTTCACGATCAGCATCTGTTAGAAACGGTGGATATTATTGATAAATTGTGTCAGTTGATGACGAATGAAGATTTCGATTGTGTTATGAATGCAACGGGTATACTTGGCACAATAGTATGTAGGTTTCTTTCTATACATTTGTGCTCATTTCATTAGCCTGTTGTTCGTTCAAGGATTTGATTTCTTTTGAATTTACTTCGAAAGCCCAATTTCTTTTCTTCGCGCTTTAGTGTAATTGTCAACAAGGACGTGATTTAGTTTTAAATCATGCTTGTGTGCGTCAATTGATCTCCAATTTGTCATTACTGTTCAATTCAACAAACTCGTGGGTCACTGGAAATGCGACTCTAGTGTTTGCACGGTAGGTAAAAACGATTTTTCGTGTATTTGAATGATCGATTTTTCTCATAGGCTGACAGTTGACGAGGCTGGTTGTCGATTGATACTTGCTCATGAGAAATGTCATGAAATTTTGAATCAATTATTAACTAATCTCGATATAAATGATTCGAACCTTTCCATTAATCTCGTCTTCTCTATCGCACGTTTGCTTGAACGCGAGGAAGGTCAAAAATGCTTCATTAATAATTGCGGACAGGCTCGATTTGTAAGTAGCAGAAAAAAAATCGACACATCCTTCGTTTTCATTGTGATCATTTCAAGTTCGAAGCCTTGCCAACTATGTTAGATATCAATTCGGATAAAGGCATACATAAAAATGCTTGCTATGCATTGAGCTGTCTATGTACCAGTGACTATGGATATGAATTATGTACGCAATCGCGAACGAGTTTTCAACAGATTCTTCTCGCCGTAGAAAAAATACTTGGCTCATCGGATCACGAAACTGTTTGGTTTGCACTTATGTATAAAGAAACGAATGTTTTTCTGAATTGATTATGATTGAAGATTTTGTTATACAGATGTTTGACATCGATTGGTAAACATGAAGGTGCGACGGAGTATTTGTGTCGCTCGAAAAATTTATGGAAGTTAATCAAACGAGTACGAAACAAATGGAAGGAAGTGAAAGAAATTCAGAATGAATCGAGATTACTCTGGTTTTTGATCTATCAATCTCTCAAACCAAATCGACCGAAAATAAGCAGTAAGCAATCAGATTTCATTCGATAACTATCTTAATATAAATTCTTCTCAAAGATTGTTCCAGCACATCTGTGGAAGTATCTTGGGATCCATATCTGTATGCAGACGATGAGAATCAAGTACAATACAGTGTAATACTCAGTAAAAGCCTAGCCTTTTCTTGATTTGTGCATGTTGCCATTTGAATTTGTCAAGACGATATTCTTGTTCGCATAACACCGGAAACAAATTGCTGTCTAAATCTTCTCAAACCGAATACCCGTTACAACATCCGGATACGGTACATAACCAGTGAAGGAGAAAGTGAATTGAGTGATCCAGCTATATTTCAAACGGACGATGAAAGTGAATGAATCTCTTTTCGTTAGTTTGTTTTATCCGTAGAATGATAACTTTTCTAGTATTACCTTGCGTAACCAATCTTCACACGGTTCGTACATCGATGACAGCAGTTCGTATTGCATGGGATTCGCCTGATCTTACCACATGTTATTCATTTAAAGGTTATCAAATCTATCTGAGTGAGTTGTATACAACTACGCAACACAGTTGTTTCGTATTGATGTTCAGATGATGCTGAATATGAATTCATAAATGATTGTGGAACTACCATCGGTTCGTTAGTAGCTAACACAATGTACCGCGTCAGTGTTTGCATTGCCACTGCAAACAGACACGGACCCTGTACAACAGTCAATGTCAAAACGGATTCTGCTGGTAACTCGATTTTGAAAAGAGTCTGCAAATTAATTGAAAGAGCAATTGTACAGGTGACTGTATACCAGCTCCGCCCATCTTTTCTCAGATTGGTCGTCGTGAATTGCATATAAAATGGCATCCACCCGAGGTTATTTCCGGTCGTTTAACCCGTTATGAACTGCTTTGCAATGGGCATTGCGTTTATTCGGGTATTAGTCAAGAGTACCATGCAATAATGCTTAAACCCAATACAGAATATACAATAATGGTAGTGGTTATTACAAGTGAAGGTCGTTTTCGTAGTCGGCCAGCGAAAACTCGAACTTTAAAAGACGAATGTACGTATCTTGTGTGGACTTGAAAAAGCAATGGACCATTTTCTAACGCTGTTTTTAAGTTTCAACATCTCCTCGTCATTCGCTCTACGAACCGCCGTCCACACATCAAAATCAAATGAAATTCAAACGCACCGAAACATTTCACGCTCGAAGAACTTCTTCCACAACAGAACCACGCATCAAAAAAGAAAACAAAATCCCAGAAACTACTTCAAATCAACACAGTTCAGCCACCACTACTAGTATTGTACGACATTCACTCGTCACATATCATTGAAGTCTTCCATCTTCTACATTCTAGGCCGAAGGTACATCTTCTCGACGAACATTACCCGACATCATTTCTAATCTTCAATCATCACGAGCGAGTCGAAGTTTACATCGTGCTAAAACAGATGTCATCGCACAACGTATATCAATACCTCTCATCGTCCCTACCGTCAGTTTCGATCTTCCCTTGCACGTTCCTCAATTGAAACGACATTCAAACAGCACTAAACAGATCGAATACGTGCTTTCTGATTTACCATCACGATTCGTTTAAGAACTTCTTTTCTTTATAAAAAAATTCATACACGTAAATATCCTTAGTTCTTTACAGAAATGACTTGTAAGTGAATATTCCGCATCTTTGTCAATTCCATTAATTCATCACATCGTCTTTTCCAATTTTTCTTCGTTACATTCTTGCCCGGTGTTATAATCAGTATTAGCTCGTTCAAACTATCCAACGAATCGAGTAATCTCATCCAGTGAAACACTTTCACATACAAAATATTTGACACCGAATGACAACATTTAATTTGAAGTTTTTTCACGTGCGATGCTATTGCTAACATAAATGACATAAATTCGTTAAACGATTCCGGTAAATAACTTAGTTGCAAAGACAGATTCGACACTGACACAGGCTCATATGTTGCATCGTTGTTAATAATCTTACGGCATCCGACATGTAGTGATTCCAAAGAAGGAAAATATTCGAGAAAACTCACCAAATTCGTCTTCTGACAAACTCGATTGGCACCAGGAAATATTAAATGTTTCAGCGGACTTCTCAATTCTGTTCGAAAAGGACATAAGATCATATTCAGATTCAAATAACACGTTTGTAATTTCGAAAACGAAATGATGAGATCAAGAAGTTCAACCCATTTACTTGAAACAAAAGAGCTCACGTTGAGATATTCTAAAGACAGTGCATAATATCTAAGTAGATTCAAAATATCATTCGTAACATGTAAATTGCAGAGTGTCAATGAACGAAGATTCGGAAAATGTAAACAATTAATATCGTGAAAGATGTTCATCTAAATATTGAAAATGAAATAGATTAAATAACTCAAGTCTTGAAACAATCAAACCTTGTTGATATTATCCAATCGAAGACTTGAGATACAATTCGACTGCGGAGAGCAACGTAAAACATGTTCGAGAACACATTCACTATCTTTATCTTTGAACTTCAAGTTTATCCGATGGTAATAATTGGACAGTAGTTGATTAATATTTGATTTCAAATTGAAAAAACTATGGAATTGTTCACGAGCATTTAGATACGAGAAAATGGTGAACCAAACTTCTACTGGTAAGTCTTCCAAAAGTGTCTGTCCGGTCATATTAAACACGTAATGTAGTAAGAAGTTATTTTGATGATTGAATGTAATATTGACAAGCGTAAAATAAGCTTATGGCGTGTAATGGTCGGTAACGTATATTTTCGCGATAGTGACTCATGTTTAACGGTTGGTAAAGAAACACTGAATATTCTCTTACGACGAGTGGTGAAATAACCAAAAACAAGAGGAGAGACTTCTAAATACGTTTTGAGTGTCATTAGCGGTAGAATGAAATCAAACTTCAAACAATTTTATTAACAGAAATAGATGATCTACTATTTGAAATATGATTGTCTGCTTCCAGTAATGCTAATATACGCTGAATTGCATCTTTAACATCAAGATCACGATTCAGTTCCGAGGGAGCAATCTTTTCTAATAAAAAACCGGCTCTTTGGTATGCCTTCAGCGCTTCTTGATAATTATGATCGCATTCGTAAACAAGTCCGATATTTATCAACGTTTTAACCAATGATACATCATTGGTTTCAAGTGTTTTGATTTTCAGCGAGAATGCGTATGTATAGTGTTCTAACGCTGTATTGTATTCACCGAGTCGAAAGTAGATATTCCCAATATTATTGTATGTTTTCCCTAAGCATGCCTTTAATTTCTCTCGGATGGTTAACTCTCGCTGATAACATGTTAATGCTTTCGAGTAGGACCCGTCAGTTTCGTAGATGCAGCCCATGTTATTCAAGCATTCAGCCATTTCAATCGGCTCGTTATGACCGGATATTCTCTGCCAGGTACGCAACGCTTCTTCGTAGTATTGTATAGCTTGAGAATGATTAACATGTTTGTGATAGATGCAGCCTATGCAATAATACGAGTTGGCCAGGTTTAGATCATCTGCTCGAAAAAATTTCAATACTTCGTGAAACCAATACGAACTTAGTTCATAGTCCCCTTTCGAAAACAGCAAAAAACCAAGTAGGTAATGACACCGAGCAAAGTCTGGATGAGTTTCAGGTATGTCATTCAATGTACGAATATAGTACTTTTCTGCTTCATCAAGCTTACCCATACTTGTTAAGATTTCTCCACGAGTGAGAAAACTCGTCTGATCATAATCATGTCTAACGTCGGTCAATGCGATTTTCACAATCCATACCGAATGTCCCTTGTCATAATGAACATTCAGCAATTGAAAGACGCATCCGAATTGAAATAGTGCTTGTTCCTCCGACGGAAAATAAGCTAACTGTGTGATCATAGCAAAGCTTTTACGATTGTTCGCCCTAGGATCAGCATGAATTTCGAATAAAACTCGGACGAGATGTTCATTGATTGGAAACTGACTTAGAGATGAAACAGCTTGTTTACGATTAAATGTTGTCCAAAGAAAAGTATTGATCGAGAAATGCTGTCCGATATATTCACGGAATAATCGTAGTTCATCAGAAGTCATTATCTGACCGTGATAAACTTGAATTGCTGATCGGCACTGTTGTTTGACTAATCGATCTTGTACATCATGGATAAAAAAGCTGCACAAGAATAAAACATCAAGATTCATTGTGCTCAATGCTTTGTTCAGCAAACGAGAAAGGAATGAATCGCGTGTGTACCACCGTATAGATTGCCCAGAACCGTATTCCTGTTGAAATTCAGTGACGATGGATAAGTCACTCGTGTTGCAGTATCCAAGCAAACAACCGTCGATGAAGTCAGTTTTATCAGCTGGCATTGATTTCATTTGAAGAATGTAATCGAGAAGCATCTCTGAATAAAGAAATTCCTTACTGATCACTGGATCTGATGGATTGTAAAAAGTGATCGGAAATGGCTCATCTAATCGACAATTACGATGTTTTGTATAATCAGACTTTATTTCATTGATAAGCACTTCTAGTTTGACAATGACACCTCTCACCTATACGGAAAATAATATAGAAAGGAAGTAGATAAACAGGATTAACATTACTTTAGAATACTTTTTCGCCCATAACTCATGCCTTCGTTTGTCTTGGCAAAAGACATAGATAGAAAAAACTTGTCGATATTGGTGAATATGAGGGACTATGTTAGATCCCAATCGACCACTAACGATGAAGAATATACGATCGTAGTAGGACTTTTCTTCAATGTATTCTTTACAATCCGAGATGTTTTCAAAGACATAGAACTGTGGCATAATCGATTGAAATTCTTTTTGAATCGCAAGACATCCATCTGAAGCATTGACTGTTGCATCAAGCCAAATAAGACTTGCACACTCCATGTCGTCGCTGTTAATGTTCTTCTTTCTTTTCGAGGTTTAACAGCAATAGTTTAATAAAGATTTATACCTGCCTTGTGTAAACATGTGTTCGCTTTTTCTTTAAATCACTTTCTTCTTCACTTCCCCATGTTAAAAATAGGCCGTAACAAAAGGAAAAACGAATGTGTAAACAACATTTTATTTTTTTCAACAAAAATCATACAAAACTATGTAAAATCATGTGTTGTGCCACCAGTTAAAGGTAAATCACGCTTTTCTTCAGTACAATTGCAACTCTCAGACACTCGAAAAACTCACTCTCAACTACGCTACACTAATGGTTTTGATATGATAGGAGCAGAATGAATAATATATTATTGTACAGAATAGGTTTTCAAAATCGATCTCGATTAAACATTAGCGACATCTGTATTTCTATCAGCGATCTGATTCTTCAAAAACGCCATTTAAGTCGATTTCAAAGTCTACTGATCTGATTTTTTCCATGAAATTCCACTAAAACTACATTCTTTATGTTAAAGATTATTCGAGTTGATTCCATTGGTTAGTTGTATTCCTATTTGGTGATGATGTATATGTATGTACATGTATGCATCATCCCTCTATTTCTTACTTACAATTGACGATGTACTTACGCATCAGTTTATTCTATTGAAATCAATTAGATTCTTTCAAAAGCCATGGGTGCTCAGTATTCGTCATTAAATGATTTGAAATCGAACGAATGTTTAACACGTTTTGCTAGTGAAGAGTCCATATCCGTGAATGATCCATTTTGGAATCAGTTTCTATCGTTTCGTTTACGAACTCCGTTTACAACGTAAGAAAAATTTTCGCCTCGTGCAATTTCCACTTGAATAGAAAACATTGCGGTTTTTTGCAGTGCACATTCGAAACTAATCGAAGAGTCAACTTCGATCTATTTACAACATCTAGAAACAAATAATCCGAAGACCAACAATTACGGCATATTAATCGAAGTTTTTATCCGTTTAGCATCGGCTGTTCGTGATGAATGCGATGAGTACGTTGCAAAATTTCATTTTTTACCAGTTTCTATCGTCGATTTGCTTTTAGCAATATTGTAACATGGCAAACCTACAATGCTCTATTCATACTTCGCTGTGTAACGAAATATTTCATTGAAATCGATTCGGAACAAAATCTCCATCCATACTTCCTACCACAGGAAAATTCAGGTATTTGAATGAAAATGAAATCTCCACTACTGACATAAACTCATCGAATTTAGATCGTTCATCACTGATGAGTTTCTTTGTTGATACCCTCTTTCGAACAACCATTGCCGTTCCAGTTGAATCTTATTCGTATGCCTTGCATTTGGAAGTCCTGAATACATTATTGTCTCTCTTATCAATTCAAATGTGTGCCAAAGAAGCAGCACTTATCAGTGCTATATATAGTATCTTTATGCATCGACTTGAGTACGCTAGATTTCGAATAGTGTACCGATCAATTGTGTTTGGTTTTTCTGCTCTTTAGTCCTTTGTTAATATCGGAATTTACACGAACCTTGTTAGAACATTTCATCAAACAAACAGATTGTCCACCGGCAATAGCAGTTGCGCCGTTGAATGATGCGAATGGTGACAGTGGAACATTGTACAAAATTGGACAAAGTGTTGCATGTAAGTAACGAACGTGAAGAATAATCAATGTTGTTACATATCTATTAACTTTCCTAGTCCCTTCGATCGAGTAGAAAGAAACGTATTTTCATTCGATGTTTAGATGGTCTATGGTCGGTGGTTACTCTTGGTATGACATCAGCATCGTCGTCATCAACAGTAACTACGGACACGGCTGTTCCTCCGCATGATCCAGCCTATGATCTTCGTAATCGGCATTTAGCCAACCAAAGTATTCATTTGATTTTAATTCTAAGCAATCATTTCACGAATGATACCCATCGAAATCCATATCGATTGGCTCTTTTACATTTTACTGATACACAAGGTATATCCCAATTTTCTTCTTCTTCTTCTTCTATTCTCATTTCATGTAACTGATGATAAATATAGATACACCAACAAATTTACCCGATTCCGAGCCATTGCCTTGGTTTTCAGTTGATTATCGTCGTCTATACGATGTTCTGTGTCAAACAGTGCACACAGACCAAAGTACATTATTATTGTACATGTTACTACATCGTAACCAACACTTTAAAGCATATGTTATCTCGCGAACGAATATTGACCAAATAGTTAGTTAAATCATCAATCTTTCGAACTTTTCTTGATCTCTATATTTAGGTCTTACCAGTTCTACGAGTTATCTATGCAGCAACGGAACGAAATTCTCATCATATCTACATGTCATTGATAATCTTATTGATTCTATCCGAAGATGATTATTTTAATCGAACAATTCACGATATTAAATTAAAAAAGCTAACATGGTAATCCGCACTCATGACACTTTCTATTCGTCCATAATTCGATTTGAATGCTTGCTCTTGATTAGGTATACTGAACGATCATTGAATGAAATCAGTCTCGGCGGTTTACTAGTTGCTGTTGTTCTTCGTACAATTCAATTTAACATGACACGTATGCGTGATAAATATTTACATACGAATTGTTTGGCAGCTCTAGCCAACATGTCATCCCAATTTCAAAATCTACATACATATGTTGCTCAAAGGATTGTTTCCTTGTTTAATCTACTCGCACGTAAACATTCGAAAACACTCGATCATATTCAACAACACTCGACGAAAACAGCAGCGAATGATGAAACTCTCAATGAATACGTTCAAGATCTGACCATTATTGAGGATGTGATGAGAATGGTTCTTGAAATCATTAATTCGTGTTTGTCACATACACTCAGACATAACACTAATCTGATTTATACATTACTTTACAATCGAGATATATTCGAGAATTACAGAACACATCCGAGTTTTCAAGATGTTTTACAAAATATTGACACAGTAGGTGTTGCTTGAAAAGAATTCACATTGACAGGATTTGTTCTTTAGGTTATCATCTATTTTGCTGAGAAAGTCGATAAGCTCGAACAACGTTCGACGGAATACGTGAAAGAAGCTTTAGAAATGGGTGCTAAGCAATTTCCATTGGATCGTTTGAAAGTAAATATCAATTCTCGTCATGAATTATTTATTCGAAAATTGCTTTGTCTTTCTTCAGAAATTTCCAGAATTAAAATTTAAGTATGTTGAAGAAGAACAACCTGAGGATTTCTTTGTACCTTATGTCTGGACGTTGGGTATGTCGAAAATCTCACACTAAATGCATTTCATTCGCCTCTAACCATATGTTTAGTCTACAAATCTTGCAATTTATATTGGTCATCCGAATCAATTCTTATCTTCAAACAACAACAATCGTTAATAACCCAATGACAAAATGCTACATCTTCCTTTCAATTCGTTGGTTTTCTTTTTCTTCAATTAGGATAATGTCCTGCGTATTATTTATATTATACATATACACATATGTACCGTCTGTCGTTCTCTCTATATAGTCGCATGATTTTATTGGTGTGTTTCTCATTTCTACAAGAAAACCTTTTTCTTTATTCATGATCGAGACGAACATGTTTTCCAATTGAAGGATAAAAGCGGGATTCTTTATCTACGGAAAATTTTAGATTACGTCATGAACCATTCACCTGATGATCCCGATGATTTGGTACGAAAGAAAATTGATCTTAATCATATTACAAATATGAGTAAGTTGACCTATGGAAAAAAGATTGCGCAACTTAGATACTTTCAGGCTATCAAATGCATGTTCCCGATTCGATAACAGTTGGTCCAACTCGATCGACTATACCTCGTCTTGATCAAGACAGCGATCGAGCGCCGATTCGTATGGAAGTACCGGAACGACTTCGTCCAGGTGGCAATGGGAGCATGGTGATGTTGAATGATACCGACTTTTTTACCAATGGAGAGTCGAATCATTTATCGGACTCGTTCATTCAGCAACCATCTCTTCCATCGACGCTTCATCCGAAAGATATTGAAACTGCCAGTGACGATGATTACACATCAGTTGACATTAAAGGCAATTCTCAGCCAGTGCACATTGCTGATTCGTAAGGAGAAAATTTTGGCGATTGAGCTCATTCCACGTAGCTTTGTCTTCTTCTGTAGATGGCATATCGAATCCTTTAATAGTACAGACGATAAAAATGTTCTGAACAAAATCCAATTGCTCCAAAACCGTGTCCAGCAAATGGAACGTAAACTAGTTCGGCGTGAAAAACGTGATCGACTTTTTTTTACATGTATTTTTGGCTACTTTGTCTTTCATATCTTACGCTCCGTTCGACGTTCCATGTTGAATTAAAACACACACACACACACATCCCTTCTGTTCACCATTTACTCATACGATAATAAAGCGATTATTTTCAGTTCTTTTAGATTTTTAATTAGCTCAAATGAGTACATACATGCGAGAGGTAAGAGAAAAATTGCAGACGGATCGGAATAAGTTTCTTTCTTTCACAGGATTTAACACGCAATGAAAAAATCCAACAAGCACATCGAATACTGAATGAAAATAAATATTCACTCGATGCATGGGCCTTACTAACTCAAGACGCTCAGGTTTGCATGGGGATTTCGACGGAGCTTTAGGAATATTTGTTCATTACAGGAAAGGAAAATTGTCGAATCAAGGCAATTCTATGAATCATTAGTAACACAGTTTCCGACCTGTGGAAAATTTTGGAAGATCTATGTCGAAGCGGAAGTAAGAATGTCAGTGAGTGATCGAGATAATGAATAAATTTGTTCTTTAGATGAAAGGACGAAATTATGAAAAAGTGGAAAAAGTAAACGATGGCGAATGATTTGTTGAATATCTTCAATGATTTTTTGTTTGTTTAGTTATTTCAACGATGTTTAATCAAAGTGTTGAATATCGATCTGTGGAAATGTTACTTAAACTATGTGCGGGATACCAAAAGCATCTTACCGACGTTCAGGTTGGCAATTTTCTTAAATTTTCTAAAGATGATTATCGATAGACAGAGTCGAGCAGAACACATTCGAGTTGTCGTGTTTTATTTTTCATCACATATATTTGTTGTTCATCTTTTCAAAATAAAAACAAATTATCACGTACATTTCATTTGTTTGATCTTTAATTATATTTCTCTCACTCGTCTTTCTATATTTGTATCTTTTTTTATTCTTCATATCATATCCTGCACGTTGACATGTACCTTCTCCAAATGAACACAATGTTACTTGTCACAGTATGTAGATTATTAATCTACTTTCTTCTGGAGAAAATGTACAAACAGAACAGTTTTCTGACGATTTGAGTTTCTTTCAGTTTGAAAGACTCCGACAAGTGATTAATCGGCTTCTGTGTTTATTTAGGGAAAAAATGGTACAAGCATACGATTTTGCTTTGGAAAAGATCGGAATGGATGTTTATTCGTATACAATCTGGAATGATTATGTTACATTTCTCAAATCTGTGTAAGTATTGAACAGAATTGGTAAGAATAGTTTTTCAAATACTCGTTTTTGTGAAAAGGGAGGCTGTTGGTCCATATGCGGAAAATCAAAAGATAGCCGCCGTGCGAAAAGTTTACCAAAAAGGTATTATGACTCCTATAGTCAGCGTAGATTTATTATGGAAAGATTATTGCGCGTTTGAAATGGTAAGCTACATGTATTCGAATGTGATTATTTCATTTTGTTTTTGTTTTCCAGAGTGTCAATCCAACATTGGGTAAAAGTATTATCGAAAGTCGTTCACGCGATTTTCTCAATGTGAAACGAGTGACTAAAGAACTGGAAATATTAACACGTGCACTTGATCGAAATAGTCCATGCGTGCCACCCACAACGCCGCAATCAACCGAGGAGATCAAGCAACTAGCAGCATGGAGAAAACTCATTACTTGGGAACGCTCCAATCGATTGAAAACAGAAGATGCTCTACTTGTTACTCGCCGAGTCGTTTTGGCATACGAACAGTGTCTTTTATGTCTAGGATATTATCCCGATCTTTGGTATGTGCCTACCGAATACTTCAGTCTAAGTTTGAGCTTGATGATTGTCTAGGTATGAAGTCTGTGCGTATTTGGAGCAAACTTCGCGTCTGTATTCCGAACGTGGTGATGCACATTTAGCGAAACGTTTTCTCGATGAAGCTTCGACTTTGTATGAACGTGCAACTCAAACATATATGCGCTCCAACATGCTCATTCATTTTGCTTATGCTGATTTCGAAGAGTATCGCTTAAATGTCGATAAAGCACGTGCAATCTATAATCGTCTACTCAGTCCAGACGAATCGAATATGAAAGATCCAACGTTAGCATACATTCAAGCGATGCGTTTTGAACGTCGTGCTGATGGCATCAAAGCAGCACGAGCTGTATTCAAACGTGCACGCGAAGATCCACGTGTCAACCATCAAGTATACGTGGCGGCTGCATTAATGGAATATTATTGTACGAAAGATAACAATATTGCGTTTAATATCTTCAACCTTGGTTTAAAAAAATATGGTCAAAATGTGGATTATATTCTAGCCTATGTTGATTATATGACACATTTGAATGAAGATCATAATGCACGTGTCCTATTCGAACGTGTTCTCTCACCTGATAATGCTATACCAAAACAATCACAATTACCGATTTGGTATGAATTCCTTAAGTTTGAATCCCAAGTTGGAGATTTACAATCGATAAAGAAGGTCGAGAAACGTCGTTTTAATACCTATTCGGAGCTGAACGACTTGGAAGGCCGAGAAACCTTATTAATCGTTGATCAATATAAATTTCTCAATCTTTTACCATGCTCAACTGATGAATTGAAATTACTTGGCTATAAGGATACTCTTTCAACAAATTCGTCCTCCATAACATCGTCCATTGCTAATGGTTCGCCTGCAATGAACAGTACAACATTATTAGAACAAGCCGCACGTGATCGACGTGCACATCTATCTCGACCAGATATCAAACATTTAATGCCATATCGACCGACACGAAATCCATTACCAGGTAGTCATCCAACTCCGGGCGGAATTTTTCCTCTACCAGAAACAGCCATGTACCTTGTCAATGGTCTTCCACCAGCGAGAAATTTCGAAGTAAATCAATTGACTTGTTGATAATCGTTCATTTCGTCTTCTTTTTTCTCCGCAGGGTCCTTTTGTCATCATTGATAAATTGATGGAATACGTTGCCAATGTCGTTATACCAGATAGTGAGAGTGTTTTTCGAGAATTTCTTTCGTTTGATAACTTGTTCGTCCCTTCCGTAGATTTTGAACCGGTACGTATAAGTGTTCAAGGTGAATTTATCCGTGATCTTGATAGCAATAACAGTCAACAAGGCAGAAAAACTGAACATGCTGATAGCGATGATGAAGATCAAAATTCTCAAACCAATCTGAATGGACGTGCTACAATGAACATTTACCAACAACGTCAACAAAAACGTGCGCGTCTGGCAACTGCAGGTTCGAATCTTGATTATACATCATCTCCGGTGCTTACTTAATTAGGTTGTTTTTTTCCTCTTATTTGTTGTTTTTCATGTAAATAAGAAATGCTGATTTGTTAAAGTAAACTTGAACATTAACATAGAGGTTTTCCCCTGAAACAAGCTGAAAAATGTTGTGATTTTGAATGCTTTTTTTAGATGTCTCGCTTTGAGGATCTCTCAGGTGAAATTCTAATGGCCATCTTTGAATATATGAACGTTGAAGATGTCTGGATTATCTTTTTCAATATGAATTCACGATTTAACTCTCTGGTATTCGATTCTCGTCTTCGTCTAACTGCTGATGTGTCGAAAATTGATAAATCCAATTTCGATAGTTTTTGTTTATCATTAATCAGTACAAACTTCAGTAATATATTTACTTTGATACTTTCGAACAATTATTATCGTTATTCGCAAATCCATTCGTTTCTCTCTCGAACCAATCTTACTGTTTTCCAATCGTTACACGCACTGACATTGATCGACATCAATTACAACGAATTAACCGAAGTGGCCAAACAAATCAAACAGTTGCCGTTCGTGAATTATCTTCATGTGAATACACATGAAATTTTTCGTGATAAGGAATTGTCTAATGTGACACATGCACTGTTAAACGAATCAAATATTCGAGTTATTGTATTATATTTACATGAAGTAAATATGAAATTCGCTTTGACATGTTTATTGCTTTCTTTTTTCCTCCTAATAGAAAATCCAATGGATCGAAAGTGAAGCGATAACATCATGTAATGCCGAAGTACTTTCATTAGACTTCATCAATGCCGATCGTCTAGCATTACTTTTACCGAACTGCCCAAGCCTTCGTTCACTCACTCTTACACTCGATCCGCGTTCGAGTGTACCGAAAACAGTTGATGAAAATCTCTCTTCCACATTAACACTGAACACATTTGCTCACATAACATATCTTCGTTTATGTTTTCGTCCGTTTGATGCTTCCGCGCTCGACCGCTTGCTGAGTTCCGTTCCATCGGTAAGACGCTTCTCAATTGAAACTCTCGTTTACAACACCGATTACATTCGTTCGCCCTTCTGGACAACACTCTTACAAACTCAACTACCATTATTAGAACGAATACGTCTCGTTGTGCGTGGTTGGTTCGTTTTGAAATCAGGCACTATTTTATCGAACGAAAAGTTCGATGATTCGAGCGTAGTCGATAGCTATCGGTGCGATCGATATTGGCTCGATCGAGCATATAAACGTAAGTTTCATTGCCATGTAGATTTCTATTCGTATACCGCCGTATTACAAATTCGATAAGGTTTGCGTTTCTTTCTTTCTTTCTTTCTTCTGTACATTGATCTTTGTTTCTTTCAAGCATTTGAATTGTGATAACAAGTTGTCCAGTTTCGTTTTCTTTTGAATCAATGATGGAAATTATTTGTTCGTTGTTTTTTTTTTTGAACAAAATAAAATCTATTCTCTCTCTCTCTAACCGTAATACGATACTTTTCACAGGCAAGATGGAAATTCAGCTGTTTTACATGTTTCTTTGAAAAATAAATAAATAAATAAGCAATTAGATGCACAACAACGAGAAACAAGCGGAATCTAGCTAGTCAATGTTGGCTGTTCGACGACAAATTCATCGAGAGTAAAATCAAATTCCAATGGACAATCGATAAATGGTAAAGCAATCAAATCGGACGGTTGAGGAAGTTTTTCGCTCGACGTCATCGATGAGTATTTGACGTGAGACAATTCATTGCATTTCGTTGTTCGTTCACGTTCATAGACAACAGCAAGTTGTTCGATTGGTACTAATAGGAGGTCAGGTCTGGCTTGTAATTCTCGAGAATCGTGCGTAGCTAGTATACGTCGACGATGATCTTGAATAAGATCAGCAAGTGTTGTATAAGATGTACATGTAGTGGCTAGATCCGAACTGAATGAATTCAACTGTTTAGGAATTGTCGATTCGATCAGTGGACGATCATTTTTGACAGATTGATTGTCTTCGGAAAGAACAGGAAGGTGCGTTGAAGCCAAGCAGGATGTGGTGGTACTATTACTATTCTTCATAGACACTAAAGTAGGTGATAAACGCGTAGGCGATAGTGGACATTGCGAAGATGAACCGGGCATTTGGCAGATATTGTTTGGAGATGATAAGCATGTTGAACTATATTCAAGAACAGAAAAGATTATTGAAATATCAAAATAGTTCATATGCTTTCGTCAATTGTGAGTAGAGTTCATCAATTTACTATCGTTTCGCGTCTCTTCATGAATTTCATTACATCTACAAACGTGTATCGCGATTGCTATCAAACCGTGAAATAGAACACGCATATTCTCAGTGTTAGTTGCAGTAACAGTGTACCAAGCAACCTTCTGACCTCACTTGTCGTAGTTAACACATACAAAGAATCGAAGAGACGAGAGATAGAGATTATCTCTATTGAAAACTAACTTCGTATGATCGATATTGTTCCCATGATGTGAAACAGAAAAAATCTTCGCTTCGCTTCGTTGCATTTCCATGAAAAGTTCTTGTGTTGTTTTCAAATGTGGTAAACTCGGTGATATAGCTGTTTTCATGACTTTGACTTTCTTGCGTTTGATAGAAGCTTCAGCAATGAGATGATTGTCAAACTCGTGTTTACGTTTCGTCTGTGATGAATGGAACTTCACTTTTAAAATCAGCCGAGGTTTCATTTCTCCATCTGTACATGCTGACAACGAATCTTTTTGCGACGTGTTCAATAAGCCTTGCCAAGAACGTAAGAGCTTCTTCGCTCGTTGCGCAATTTCAATGATTAACTCCGGAGACTTGTCTGCATGTTGAACGAGCTTCTTCTTTGCATCGATCTTCTGACGTATTGTATTGATCTCGCGACCCAGACGAGTTTTCTAAACGAATGAATAGTTTTTAAATCGAAAGACAAGCCGAAAGAACAAACCTGTAGTTGATTTTTGGTAATGGCCATGTTTTCTAATTGACAAATGATATCCAAGACAATTTCAGCTTTCAATACCTAAATGTGTTTAGCTGATGTTTTTCCGTTAAAGTGTTCAAGAAAAAAGTGTCGTTTACGTTGTATTCGGCATCGACGGCGCGCAACAAATTATCTTTGAGCGTGTCGAGCGACGACGAATCACTTTGCATTGAATATTTTATTAATTAAATAGGAAAAAATCTCAGATTGTTCATCACAATAAAAATTCCATTTAAATCAATGTCTTTCACTTCGAAGAGACGACTACGCACATTTTACAAGCTATATGCAACGAGAAAAGAAGAAAAGGGAGAATACGAACGATTGATCTACAAATGAGAACACGAGACACACATCGTCTATAGGTGATATGTACAATAAAACTGAACCCAGTTGTTCTGTTCTGCATACATTGTTTCGTATATTTTAACCATTCGTGCTTTCATATGTACTAATTGAAATAGACGAGGCAGCCTCTACATCATAGATGGCGTTTACGTATCGCGAATCGGGATTTCTCATTGAACTGAATTGATATTGAACAATAGACGTTCGGCCCCGTCAAAGCAATCAGTCAAGCGTAGAATACCACCGATACACTTATCATTAAACAAAACAGTCCAGCGACTGTTGAACTTAGGTCAAGATTTTATATTCAAATACTCATTTGTGATCCAGCGAATCTTCTTCAGTTTAGTTTTGACCAACGAAGACGTACTTAGACAGCATTTTTCATCCTGTTGGTTAAAAGATCATTATCTGTTAGCAAGTGTTTTTGCAATTACCATCCAGTCTCAATTTTAACGATTGCTTTCGTCATAATTGGCATTTGTAAAATAATCAATTCTTTATCCAACCTGTTCAAAAACAGTATAACTGGCATCAAATTGAGCCGAATACTAAATAGATGATTATATCCCAATCCAGCTATTGAATTCGCTGCTCATGACTAAGCACAAACAAATATTAATTAAAAACCTTCTTGTGTGTCTTATTAGCATGTACGCTTACATGAAAATAATAAAACAAAACGTACATGAATATCTTCTTTTTTCTTTGATTGGTCTAAAACGTACCATGTTTGCTTTCTGCTCACCTCTTCAAAGATTGTTCGTCATGGCATCACTACAATCGCATAAATATTCCTCCGTTGCCATAGTTTCGTCTAGTCTCTTCATCGTTTGTTACTTGTGTGTGTGCGTGTACATCAGCTGTAGCAAACATGTCGACAACGGTACCATCGACTCAACAGATTGAAGTGGAAGAGACAATTAAACGTATCCAAACACATAAGGGCGTTCATGGCTTTGTCATAGTGAGCAATGATGGTAAAGAAATTTTGTGTTTTCGATGCAAACGCTTATTTTCGTGTATGTTTCTGTAACAGGTAGTTTTGTTCGCTCAACAATCGATAATTCCACCACAATGTCATTAACTGGTCTCATTCGAACGCTTTCGGATAAAGCAAAGAGTTGTGTCAGAGATTTGGATCCTCAAAATGATCTAACATTCTTTCGTATTCGTACGAAGAAACAGGAAATTCTCGTTGCGCCCGGTAATATCCTTGCTTTTATCGAACGAAACTTCATTTTCCATTGATTCATATTTGAATTTAGATAAAGACTATCTTACAATCGTTTTACAAGCCAATGAACAACACTAAACCGATGTTTTGCTTTTTGTATTCATTCTGCCTTACTTTTCCATCCTACTTTTTGCATCAGAACTCATTTTAATCTCAACAAAAAAGACTGTCTTTAACGCCAGCTTTCTCTTTTTTTTGTAGACCAGAATTTACACGTTCAATGACACAGGTGAGTGAACTCCTCTGAGTTCATTTTTTTCTTATCTTCATGGTCATCTATTCAAGGCAGAAGTCGATGATACCTTGAAACGAATTCTTGAACATAAAGGTGTCACTGGATATTTGATAATAAACAATGACGGCATTCCGATACGCACGACATTGGATGCATCTTTAACGCAACAGTATGCGGCATTAGTGCGTTCGTTGACTGACAAAGCACGATCATCTGTTCGGGAAATCGATCCAACGAACGAGCTAGTATTCTTTCGCATGCGGACGAGAAAACATGAAATTCTAATCGCACCGGGTTTGTTATTTTGACAAATTGTGGCGCTTGTCATGCATTTCATATGTTTAGATAAAGAATATATCCTGGTCGTCTTACAATCGACAGATGTTCAATAGTCTTGATAAGTTATCAAAGTCAATGTACTCGTTCATCTGTTCTTTTTTGTGTTTCGAAAATAAATTTTTTAACAAAAAAAAACAGTCAATACGATTATCGACTTATGATCGATTTTTTAAACATACGACAAATCCCAATCATCGGTATTATTGAAACGCGCATACTTTCGTCATTCTCGACATGGTCTTTACTGGTACATCCATTTTCATATGCGCTATCATATCAAGACATGTTGATCATTTTGCATTCGTCAAATCATCGCTCACGAGTATGTGAAATTAGCATCGTTCGGTATAGTAGAATGACAGAGACGAAAAAAGGGAACCAGTCATGCATGCATAAACGCTTGTTCGGTAGTTGAAATAGAAAAACAAATGATAACAAGACGAATGCATCACACTTCTACCTTGAATGAGCAGACATAAGGCAAAGAAATGAGTTATTGTTAATATGGCATACACGGTTGTTTTGCACAAAAACCCGGGCTATCCGAATTTCGGAATATATATCGGCGATGATGTACCTTATGGTCTTTATGTAGTTACGACTGAACCGAATTCACCGGCAGCACAAGCAAATATTCGACCTGGTGACCGTGTATTGGCCTTTAATGGCCAACAGGTGTCGTCATTGTCGAGAAATGCCAGAGATATACTCGTGCAGACCGCTGCTACTGCTCAAACACTGACTCTTTCGATGGAACCGTCGGATTCTCTCGATGGCATCAACATTAGACCGAATTCGACTGTAGTATACAGAGAAACCTATCCTAATTCCTCGCAAACAACCAACTTCATAAACAACGATTTGGAAAGGTATGTTTAGCTCCGCCAGGAACAAGAAACTTGCCTGGACCTTGTGCACTATGCGTATCTTTGTAGTTATATCAAAACGTTATTTTCTGATCCAACCTTACAAATTGTTTCCGTTCCATCGAGTAATCAAAATGAATACATGCTAGTTTCGGATAAAGACGCATCGCAGCCTTATTATCCTAATTTTAATTTACGTCGACGAAAACACCGTCAATCACGACGAGGACTTCTCGATCTGGCGGATGGCAAAGGGGGTCGGCAATTTTTGTCAGCAACTCGTTCGGTGCCGAACATGGGAACATCTCACACTATGTTACGACATAATAGAGATCATCCAAACTATAATCAACAAAACAACAATCTCGGTAAGCTTTCGACCATCACCGAAGACTTTACTATCTATCTATTGATTAGTTAATCCACCAGCATATACTGCAGCCATGCAGTTAGCCAACAATTCTGTGAATCCTGGCATAACTGAAAATAATGCGCCACCAACGGTTAAGGACCCGAGTTTACGTGAGGTGCATATGCAGCGTGTCCCAGATTTTCAAGGATTTGGCTTCCATCTGCAGTATAACAAAGTTTACTACATCATTCAACGAATTGAAGAGAATAGTCCAGCTGCAAATAGTGGTCTACGCGAAAACGACGTTGTTCGGGAGGTAAATCATGAACCTACGGATCAAATGCCACACAATCGGCTTATTCAACTGATTAATACAAGTTCAAAATTAACTTTTCTTGTTCAACCGTTCGACGATTATTTTCGTGCCAATCCACACATACCACCGAAATCAGCCGATCAACCATCGCAAACTCCTGTAGCTGACAAGATTGCGTCCGGAAAACGTTCGACTATATTCGGTAAAGCATTAACTAAATTAAAGAGTCGTTAGAGAAGAAAACACGATCTTTTTCTACTATATAAAATCTATCCGAAGATAGCTAGTCTTAAAAAACTTGAAGCTCTGTTGAATACAAAGAAAAACATGATTAATTCAATATTGTTGTTTGTAATTACAAGCATTAAATACGCCTTGATCGAGATTGGTCAGGTCAACTGTTGATGCCACAGTCGGTTTTCTTTGTGCAAGAATTAAAGTCGTTCCCGCTAGCGAAACAATCGTAAAAATAATTAACAGGATACGATCGAGTACAATAGCAACCTGATGCCAATCATGTGCGTTCTAAATACATAGATTAAAAACAAAGAGAATTGCAAGAATGTTCTCATTTTCTCGTGTCTACCTTGTTTTTGATTGCTGCCGTGTCAAATTTCGAAAAAATATGTTCGATTTCTCCTAGATGAAGCAAATTCTCTAACATCCGTGAAAAAATTGCATCGAGTGAATTATCTGGTGGTAATTCCGAAAAATTCTTCATTTCAATATGTTCTGTCTCTTTACTCTTTGTCGTGGATTTTTTCGCTGTGATCAATAGAAACGGCGGTAGAATTTCCACGAGATAGTATCTCATCCATTTCGGCATCTGTTTCTTCTGATTGTCTTCGCGATAGTAGATCGCAAGAATTAAAATGGTATGAAGTATCGATAATGCAACAAGTATCATTATAAATAAGAGATACTTTCCTAACAATGGAATCATGATGGATGTTGATGGTATTAAATCAGCCAGTAATGGAAAGATCACTGTTAGTGCTAATTCGATACTTATACAAAGAACGATTTTTTCACCCGATTGACTTGGTAAATAGAAAACAATGAAAGTTAATAGAGATATTCCAACGCAAGGGATGATGAGATGGACTGTGTAGAACAAGGTTTTACGTTTTAACACAAGTGCGTAAGTGATGTCATAGTATGGTTGAGAACAACAGGAATATTTCTTTTGATTACGCACAGCTGGCGCACGAANTTTCACCCGATTGACTTGGTAAATAGAAAACAATGAAAGTTAATAGAGATATTCCAACGCAAGGGATGATGAGATGGACTGTGTAGAACAAGGTTTTACGTTTTAACACAAGTGCGTAAGTCATGTCATAGTATGGTTGAGAACAACAGGAATATTTCTTTTGATTACGCACGGCTGGCGCACGAATAATATCCCATTCACCATTGGGATAATAATCACGAAAGAAAACGCCTTGCGGGCGATAATTATCAAGATTACGTGCCATTTCAAGATTTTCGTAGACAATATGACTTAAATTAACTTGATTTCCATCGTGCCTAAAGCATGCGTGTGAATGCAGAAAAAAAAAGAACGGAACAGATACAAACGTACGTCCATGAACCAAACTTGAGTGAACAACTTTGTTCATCTAAAATATATATATTTTTCAGTAAATACGACTGCTCACTTACAGAATCGATCAGTTGTCAGACAAGAGCGTTTCCTCCTGAAATTTCTCCGTCACGAAGTTACTTGAGAACTTACCAAAAGGAAAATATTGAACATTGATCGGACAACTACTTTTGAAAATCATTGGTGGCTCCCAGACGATCGCTCCACTCGGATAGACAGCGGCTTTTGCTAATGAATCAACATTGTTTTCCGATGAATCTATCAATCTCACGTAATACTAAATCAAAAACTTACTCTTCAACATAACGTGATACTTTCCATCTGCATTGTTATACTTCGATGAGAAAACAATATTTCACTTTGCTATTGAAAAACGAAACAATAACATACTAAAGCAATATCAGGTATCCAAAGTTCTTCAGATGGAATATACATTGTGCAGATGTTGTCGTAGAGCAAAGGATTCCACACTAAACGATAATCGCGCCATTCCTAATCGAATCACCGAGAAGGAATAGATATAACTGTATTATAGAGTTATCTTTTACATGTTTAAGCCAAACATTGGTCGTCATAATTTGATTTTTTTCATCCTCAAATAGATGATGTAAAAACGATTGTACTAGAATGGGTCATTGCTTACAACATCAATTAATTGTGATACGCTCAAACTAATTGCGACATTCAATGTATCCGTTGCATTGGAAACTGGTCGAACCTATCAATAGTAAAGTCTAGAATCATCTATCAATTCGATAAAAAGTATCATTCAACTCGTTTGTCATAGTGTTGCATCAAATCTTCATATAATTTCTTGGCAATGTCACTAGTGGAGATAGTTTTACCTGGAAAACATATTGAAATGGCAAAAGTCCACTGTCAGATAGGACTTACATAAAATGAAGACAAACAGGAGCAGCGATGGATAAGCGTTCATGATTTGATTTGCCTTCTCGTCAAGTATTTGAAGGAAATGTTCAAAGCGGAAACAACAATAGGACGTGGCATCTTGTAAATGTATGGGAAAAGAATAAATCGTAGTGCATCGGAAGAAAATTTTGAGTTTTTCTTTTTCTCCTCTCCTCCTCTTCTCGTATCTTTAATGTATGTATATATATGTGAAAACAAGAAAGAAGATGAAGAAAAGAAAAGACAGATTGCCAGATCATATAAAGTCGAAAGGAAAAAAAGGAAAAGAAATGAAACTGAAATTGAAATGCAGAACACACTTGCTAACTACGTCAGAAAAGAAGTAAAATCGAAGAGAAATGAAACAGTGTCTATTCGATATGTATGTTCGTCGCCAGAATTTCTCCTGTTGACGTCGTTTGACAACCTTGAGAGACATATCGACCTGTTTCATCAGCTAGTTCACGTAATGAGATGGCATTTTTACGCCGAGCTACTAGCTGTAGATTTCGACGAAGAACTTCGGCATCAAGACCACCAGCCATCTTTGGTAATGGACATTGTTCTTCGTCAACTGGTGGTAGAAACAAACGACTATGTCGATTTGAACCGGTCGAATTCATCAATGACATCGGTGGGGATTGACTGCCGTTAATAGTATTATTATTATTATCAAAGGATTCATCAAGTCCACCGTTACTATCATTGCACATTTGATAAGCGTTTAAGTCTTGATCGATAGTTGCATAGCCGTTTGACGGAGTAGCATTTTGATGTTGTTGAAATGCTGCATAATGTTCATAGGATGGCGGAGAGATGTAACCACCATTGCCAGACGAAATCGATGACAGATTATTAGCACTGGTCGAATGAACCATGTGCGATAATGGCGAATTGGAATTGGTCGAAGGGATTAATTGAGCTGGACGATTGTTCTGACGCGGCCATGTTTTCAATGATTTCCATTTCGTTGAACCTGTGTATTTTTTTTAATGAAGAAAATCATATGAGTCAACGATGAAGAAAAGATATGGAATTTACCTTCTTTAGGACCAAGAATAGCGTTAAAATTCATCGAATCGCCGGGACTGAGCACGCATGTCAAATCATTAAATGTTTCGAAATGACATGATTGGATATCGAAAAAGACTTGTTCGTTGTTATCCATATTCAAGATACCATATTTAGGGAAAATACGAATAACAACGCCCGATGCTGTGATGGACGTTGGTGGTTGCGTTAAATTCATTTGAAGAGATGTCGGTGAAATTTGCGTATTTTCGCTTTTATTCAATAATGCTCGTACAGCATCTGATTTCACACTCACAGTTCCATCGATGTGTAATTGAAATATTGCATTATGTCGTTTGAAAAATGCGATTAAATCGTCACGTGTAAAACCAATTAATTGAGCAAGATGATCGGGTGCACGAGCGATCAATCCGGGAACATTTTGAAGAAGAATATGGCCATTTTTATGCAATAAACGCATGACATAATGCACTGCTTTGACTTCGTTCGGTGTCAAACGTGGAGATGAATTTCGCGTCGGTGTTGAGGACGATGATACTGACGATGACGTTGATAATAACATTGATGGATTTATGTTACTTGTTGGTGTACTCGGCATGGAACCATTGTTTAAAACGCCTGTCATTGGGCGTGAACTGGTTTTAAACGATGTTGAGCGTGTTAACATGAGATTAGTTCCATTCGTATTGATAATGTTATTATTCATCAGCGCCACGCGTCGCTTTGGTGGAGGCGACGGAGGTGGAAATGGTATACCAGGCATATCTGCCTTACCCTACAGAGAAACGATGGATATTAGTTGAAGAAACAGAAATTCGCTTACTCTTAAACCACAAAAATCGTCCCGGACAACGAATATATGGGGGTAGCGTGAAAGAAAGATTTTAAATTCATTTTGCGGTCCAACATATTTTCGAACATCAGCACTAGCTTGAGAAGCATGTCCAGCAACACTAACAATAGGTAACCATTCTTCTTCACGTTTCGTTAATTGCTTTTTGAAAAAATTAATTGCTTCTTGTTCAATTTCACGCATTGTTTTTGCATCCCATACTGTTTCATTATNAGGAGAGAAAAAGAGAATAGGAAGAAAAAATTGACAATATGATTTGTTCGCTCTCGTTTTTTATATGTCTATCATCGTAGCTGTTCTCTTCCGGTACGGTCAATCTCACATGCAGAAGAAAGTACAAACGACCAAGAACACATGAGGGACATCTGTTTATATTACGACCTGTGTCTTTAGGAAAAGGCAGAGAAAGAAAAGCGGAGGAGAAGAAGAAAGCGAAGGAACATGAGAGGAAAATATGCTACTTGTTTTCACATGAAAAGTAAAAGTAAAATGTCTCTCTTTTTCATTAAATATAGATAGGAACTATTTCTTTTCTTGAGACAACAGTAATAGTTAAAAGGTGTATTGATCATTTTTTCAATGTGTTGATTTGAAAGGAAACAAAATCTATCAATCATTTCATATATAATAGAACTGTCTGATCACGTCAAAAAATAATATTGACTACGATGAATAATTACTGAGTCGGTTAGATAACCAATCGAATGAATTCTCGTTTTAATTAACTAATTAGCATTGATTAAAATCAACAAATATCGAAATCGACTGCAAGGAACACATTCCTCGATAATATTTCTTCTTTTTGGTCACGTAACTTCCGAGAAACCAAATCTTGTTGGAGGTCGCTACAGTACGAGCACATCGTTGAAGTTACGATCTGTTTGATTACGACGAACAAACATAAAAAATCGTTTAGTTGGAAATGTCGTATGTATTATGTCAATAAAGCGTAGACGATCTGATGACAAGAGAAAATATTCTTGCATTGTAAGACGGAGAATATGAAAATATTTCTTTCTTGTTGTAACATGGATATTCGATGGCACATTAGTGCGTCCTTTTATCCATAAATAATGTATTCCTGATGAATGTTTTCATATTCTTCATATTGTTTTCTCTTCGGCGTACCAGCGTGTTGTGTTTCTTTTCATAGACGTGTTAGTTTGTTATTTCTCAGATGGACAATTAGAGAGCGAGAGAGTGATTTTCATTGATCTTGGATATCGATATATTTATTTTTCTTCGAATTTCATTCGCAAAGATCAAATGTCTATCAATACATACGATCGCATTGAAAAGATCTACAATTCTTCACCTAGATATCTGATATGTATATATAGGCATACATACATAATCGGCAAGAGAAGAAGAAAAAACTTGAGGATATTAACTTGAGTATTTGCAAATACTTTTATTGATTGATGACTTCCGGAGTCTCCTCGTGGTTCTTCTAACTTTGATAATCGTGTTGATATGTGCATAGCTTGGCTTTTCAGTGATAATCATTAGTAGTTTCAACACTTAATTCATTGGTGTCGTTGGATTTATATGAATGTGCCACAAACTATGTGATGAGTCTGTTGAATCCAGGCGAAATAAACATTAAATGAAAGAAAATAGCTATAAGAAGTCTGATATCTTTTTACAATGTTTGTTGGATTTACTGATCAAGAGAATATATTAAACATAGAAGTTTTCATGTTTGCCGAGATGAAAAAAGTAGCGCAATTGTAGATCGGAACGGCTTCTTCTAATGTATATCTTAAAATGTTGTAAATATGTTGGATTTGTTCCTCGGCCACCAGACTATGAATTACAGCATGAATAGAACAGTGCAATTAATCATTTCTACGACATTGCTGTTTTCTTCCAACTTGATAAGGTAACGAATAGTGACATGAATTGTAAATCTGAGTGTATATAAGAATGCGAGAGAAGTTTTGCAAAATAAATCCATATAACGTTCGTTTTAAATACCAACCATGAAAATTGTGTTTTGGTTATATAACTAGTTTCACTGAGATGAGTAAAACGCAATTTAAGTATAGTATTGTTTCAACACAAAATGATGATTATATAACATCTGAACAAAAAGATATCATTGAAAACAAAGACAATGTGTCAGATGATTGGAATACGTTACAAACTGAAGGCAGTTTACATTGGACATTCGATACTTGGGTTGCACGAAAATTCACCATTGTTTGGCTGAACTCAAATACACAACACTTGTACTCAGTCTTGGACAAAGATAGTGTGGTCACTAAACTTCGCGATGTTACGAGTTCATTTCATATTTTTAACGATGTTGACGAATGCGTTGACTTTATGACTGATGTTGTCGACAAAGATGTATTTTTAATCATCTCCAATCAGCAAATACAACAACTACTTTCTCTTGTCGAAAACATTCCTCAACTTGTATCGATCTATATTTTCGATTATGAACAAATACAGAACGATCAACAAGCAAACAGTTACAAAAAAGTGCAAGGAGTGTTCCCTGATTTTTCTATCATGATCAATGCATTGAAACAAAGGGCTTCTCGTCGACTAGTTGATTCGACTTCTTTTAGTATTATTGTACCTGCCGCTTCCGCTCCTAATCTCGACCAATTAGATCAATCATTCATGTACACACAATTACTCAAAGAAATCATTCTCGAACTCGAAAATGATCACAATTCTCGGCAAGCTTTTACAGACTTCTGTCTTCAACATCTTCAAGAGTACGACCTAAGAAAGCAACCACTAGTTCAGTTTCAAAAGTTCTATGATCGACATTCACCTATCTGGTGGTACACAAAAGAGACATTTGTCTACACTACACTGAACAACGCTTTGCGCGCCCAGGATACTGAAATGCTGATCAAGATGGGCTTCTTTCTTCGCGATTTGCATGAAGAAATCAAACAAAACTACCAAGGATCATCACATTCGCCGAAGATGATTGTTTATCGGGGACAAGGAATGAAAAGCGCTGATGTCGATAAAATACGAAATGGTAAGGGTGGTCTGCTTGCATTCAATTGCTTCTTATCCACGAGCGAGGACCGAGAAGTTTCATATACATATGCGGAGAGCGCTCGTGGAAATATGGTTCAACATGGAGTTTTGTTTCGAATACAGATTGATCCATCCATATTCTCTGTACCATATGTTTCTGTAAGTCGCCTAAGTCAGTTCGGAGAGGAAAACGAAATCTTGTTTTCAATGCACACCGTCTTTCGTATAAATGAAATAAATGAAATTGGTGATCGTCTTTATCAAGTGGAATTGACTTTGACGAACGATAATGATCCAGAATTGAAAGTTTTAACTGATTGTTTGCGAATGGAAATAGGAACAATGAACGGATGGCATCGCTTAGGTGCGTTGATGCAAACGATGGGTAGATACGACAAAGCGCTAGAAATATTCGACATTCTGATCAAAAAGCCATCTAACGACGATGAAGATGAAGACGAATTCAATCGAATCATGGCAGATTTTAGTATTAACAGTGTACATTGTTTGATGGGTAAATATTCGAAATCACTCGAACGTCTCGAACACATGCTGGAGACATACCGCGACGAAATTTCAACCGATAGTGTATTTTTCATGTTAATTTACCTACAACTCGGTGAGGTGTACCGATCAATGGGTAACTATCCAACTGCATTGTCGTATTATGAAAAAGTACTTGAAACTGCTCAAAAATATCTTCACGACCATTCAAGTCTTGGTATCCTATACAATAATCTAGGATTAATCTATTGCTCGAATGGAAATTACACAGCTGCATTGTCGCATTTTGAGAAAGCTATCAGAGTCATCCGGAAATGCCTCCCGAACAATCACCCAGCTTTCGCCATGCATTATAACAATATTGCGATGGTTCATCAATTAATTGGCAATTACACAGCAGCCTTGCCATACCTAGAAAAGGCCATCGAAATTAATCAAAGGGCTCTTCCGCCGGATCATCCATATTTAGCCAGGAGTTACAACAGTATTGCGGCGGTTCATCAATCACTTGGTAATTATACAGCAGCTTTATCATACCTAGAAAAGGCCATCGAAATTAATCAAAGGGCTCTTCCGCCAGATCATCCAGATTTAGCCAGGAATTACAACGGTATTGCGGTAGTACATCAATCAATTGGTAATTATACAGCAGCTTTACAATACCTAGAAAAGGCCATCGAAATCTATAAAAAATCTCTCCCACCGGATCATCGAGATTTAGCCAGGAGTTACAACAATATTGCGATGGCCCATCAATCAATTGGCAATTATACAGCGGCTTTACCATACCTAGAAAAGGCCATCGAAATCTATCAAAAGTCTCTTCCTCCGGATCATCCAGATTTAGCCAGGAATTACAACGGTATTGCGGTAGTACATCAATCAATTGGCAATTATACAGCAGCTTTACAATACCTAGAAAAGGCCATCGAAATCTATGAAACGGCTCTTCCACCGGATCATCCAGATTTAGCCAGGAGTTACAACAATATTGCGATGGCCCATCAATCAATTGGCAATTATACAGCGGCTTTACCATACCTAGAAAAGGCCATCGAAATCTATCAAAAATCTCTTCCTCCTGATCATCCAGATTTAGCCATGAGTTACAACAATATTGCGGCAGTACATCAATCAATTGGCAATTATACAGCAGCTTTACAATACCTAGAAAAGGCCATCGAAATCTATGAAAAGGCTCTTCCACCGGATCATCCAGATTTAGCCAGGAGTTACAACAATATTGCGGTAGTTCATCAATCAATTGGTAATTATACAGCAGCTTTAGCATGCCTAGAAAAGGCCATCAAAATTAATCAAAGGGCTCTTCCGCCGGATCGTCCAGATTTAGCCGGGAATTACAACAGTATTGCGGTAGTTCATCAATCAATTGGTAATTATACAGCAGCTTTACAATACCTAGAAAAGGCCATCAAAATTAATCAAAGGGCTCTTCCGCCGGATCATCCAGATTTAGCCAGGAGTTACAACGGTATTGCGGTAGTACATCAATCAATTGGCAATTATACAGCAGCTTTACAATACCTAGAAAAGGCCATCAAAATTAATCAAAAGTCTCTTCTTCCGGATCATCCAGATTTAGCCAGGAGTTACAACGGTATTGCGGTAGTACATCAATCAATTGGCAATTATACAGCAGCTTTACAATACCTAGAAAAGGCCATCGAAATCTATGAAAAGGCTCTTCCACCGGATCATCGAGATTTAGCCAGGAGTTACAACAATATTGCGATGGCCCATCAATCAATTGGCAATTATACAGCAGCTTTATCATACCTAGAAAAGGCCATCGAAATCTATCAAAAATCTCTTCCTCCTGATCATCCAGATTTAGCCATGAGTTACAACAATATTGCGGCAGTACATCAATCAATTGGCAATTATACAGCGGCTTTACCATACCTAGAAAAGGCCATCGAAATCTGTCAAAAATCTCTTCCTCCGGATCATCCAGATTTAGCCGCGAACTACCTCAATATTGGTACTATTCAGCGATTATCGGGCAACTATTCAGTCGCTTTGTCATACTTCGATAAAATGCTAAAAATCTCTCAACATTCTCTTCCAGACAATCATGTCAATACAGCTCTTTGTTATATTGCTATTGGGGATACTTATCAGTCATTGGGTAATTATTCGCAAGCGCTCTCATACTTTGAGAAAAGCCTTGCTATGCTTCAGATAACTCTTCCGCATGATCATCCGCATATGTCCCATATTTACGCACGTATAGTCTATATAAGTCAATTGACAAATGATCGCATGTGTGTAATAGATAATCTTGAAAAAGTTGCTGCAATGCAACAAAAATTTGTTGCGGACAATGAACAATTATTTCGATCATCATCTTGTGATCCTCAAAAGATGCGAGAATGTACGAACCATTTCGTAGAAGCTATGTCCCAGATGAAGAACGCTGTGAAATTAAGGCGAAAACTGTCGTCATCTCCGGAAATTATATCCGACACTACCGGTGGCAGTACTGATAACCTCAAACATGTTTTGAAAAACTATATAGCAGGACTGTCGAACTTGGAAAGCATTTTTCAGACGATGAGCCAAGCGTCGTCCATGGAGCGATCATGGTTATATGGAAACACAATGAATGCTGCTGACCAAGATCAATTTAGCGAGTGTATGCAAAAGTTTATTTTATACATGAGAAGAGGTTTCGAAACTTTGGGAAACTTATCTTCATCACAAAAGACAGCGGCGTCGAGTGGCGATGACATCGATCATGTAATGAAACTCTATGTGAGAGAAACGTTAACTGCATTGTCGTATTATTCAAAAACACTTGAAGTGAGACAGAAATATCTTCCACCTAATGATCCATCTGTAGCTACTGAGTACAACAACATTGGTACTAAGCTCTGTGGCCTTGATGAAAATCAAGAAGCATTATCGTATTTTGAAAAGGCACTAGAATTGATGCACAAATCGCTTCCAAATAATCACAGTTTGTTGGCCAAAACGTTGAGCAACATGTCCAATGCATTAGCTGACCTTGGACGGTATCCTGAAGCAACTGACTATGCATGGCATGCTGTTGAAATAGCCCATTCTTCCCTTGAAATTAACCAGAACGAAATAGCGGAGTACGAATATCGACTCGAACAACTTCTGGCATTGACATCATAATTCAGCAATGACAATATATAAGCTGCAGATATGATGTTTTACAAACTAGACGAGAATTTTGTTCGTTGACTATTCATTTTGTTGTGGTATTTGTGGCAGCTAATTTTCCATATATAAACTATCGTATTGTATGTTTGAAAGTAATTACGTATATGATCTAAGTTGATTAAATTCGATTCCATGATTCTACTGCGTTCACCTGATTGTTTATTGCAAAAGATAATAAATCAAGACTCACGTTAATAATCAAAAGTATATGGGTAAAAAAGCAGAATTGAATGGCAGAGCTAGTAAGAAAAGAAATATTGTATTGAATCATTGCAAAATGGAAAGCAAATAGATCATGTGATGTGCGAAAAAAGATGATATTTTGAAAAAATTATAAGTCGATTTCACTTTATTAGTGCATTATATCGATTTAAGGATGAGAATGTATCTTGTGATCACATAGGTTGTAGGCAGATAAGAAAAATTGGTAATACATAGCGAACACAGCGGGAAATTGTATTTTATTTGACCATCTTAGAACGACACCACTGTAAGAACCAGAAGATTTAAACCCTACATTATACTGAATTGTTCGTTAGTTGCAACAGATGCTTTTTCTCAAAAGCGTAGCAGTGGAGTCATACGGATTTGGTTCATCTTATAAAGAGAAATATGACAAGTTCCATATCAGGATCTTCCGAAGCTTTATCGACTAGTGTACTTGTAGTGGTTAAATCATCTTGAAACAGTCCATGGGTTATTGTGTCTACAATTAACAAATTTTGGGATATTGCTTTGATGCATTACTGTAAGTTTTGTTGATTGATGCGGGTGACACAGAAATCTTCGATTGGAATTGTGGTTGTACAAGTCCTAACACTATCACGCGAAAAGATATCTCTATCCGCATGAGAAATTATTTGAATTCAGATGGATGTAACTGTATGGATATGTCCCTTACTTTCTTCGAAGATCTTTCAGCTTTGTAACTTGTATAGATAACCAGCAGAGAATATACAGAGAAGATAAAAGTGAAAAATACGTAGACTGTTGGATTTACACAGAGCTCAATATCAGCGAAAACATAATTCCAAGTAGTAGGTATCGGATGAATAAGAAAACCACTGGTGAATGTTGAGAGGTGTGTTGAAAAGCATTGCGTTTCATTATGATTCGTCATTGGTCCTACAAGTAATCCATCTGATTTCCATTGATTATCGGTATCCAGATAGTAACAACCGGATGTATAGACACGAAGTTCATAATCGGATGTGAAGTTAAATGGATCATTGGGTATAGGCGGAAAAGTATAGTTGATAGATGAATTTATACAAAATCGACTGATCTCCGTAGAATTCAGTTCTCGCAGTCCAAATATCACTGATTGATGATTTTTGGTCGCATGATTATCAATGAAGTATTGATACATAGTATCGTTTGTAACATCTAAACATTCATTTCTCGTCTATTTTGAATATATGAATATTTCCTACTTGAAGCACAAAAGAAAGTCCATCCATCGATCGAACTCTCCAACCGAGGTGAATCATCAAACTTGTAGACAAATAAATAGCCAAGACTGGCATCTAATGAATGAATCTCTATGTGTACCGATACAGACAGATTCTTTGCTTGAATCAGGTCGACATAATGTAGATTGAAGAGAAGATGATGAGGTAAACTATTGAACGACGTGACATTTTGTAGAGTTTTCTGTGGGATGGTTATTATTGAATCTCGTGGAATACGAAACTCAAACGGATGAGTGAAATTTGTTCGAACAGGAAGTTCATTTCCATATTGATCAAGGATGGTTAATGAAAATGTTCGAGACATATTCATAAATGTTTCAGTGTGTAACTCATCGAATGTCGAGAGTTTTTGTACTATTGACTAAAAACAAAAAAGAAAAAGAAAATCTAGATAAGTATAGAAGACATACTCGTAATCCAAACGTTTGATAATCTGATGCATTTAAATTTAACGTTGTGGGTAAATGAACAAATATATTACTCAATGGTTGATTGATTCTATTTACGATTGAATTAAGTGATAGTATTTCCACTGACATGAACATGGTGGATACGTTTATCGTTAAATTCTGACCAATGTTTAAGTGAATGTTTAGTGCCGATGTTAGTAGTGCTGTTGTTTCATCTGCTTGTGCGCTGATCTCTGAAGCGAGTTGTTTCTGATAATAGAGATTTCGGCCTTTTCCAATGGCTTCCCAAGAGAAATTGTTTTCATCAGCGAATAAATCTATATGAGAGTAAACTAAGTATGCTTAATATCTACAAAAAGAGGAGAGTTTTTACTTGGATTAGACCACGGAGATTCAAGGTCAGTGTCATAATCTCGAGGAAATGTATTCGCACGAGAATAATCGAGGTCTAGAATGATTGAACGTTCTTGCAATGGACTGTTCACACTCTACCGATGGAACGTATGGAACTTGACTTAAGGAATATCAATGAACAATCTTACTGTAAGTACGTTAGAAGCACACTGAGCGATATGTTCGACTGCGCTTTGCACATCTTCGAATGGTATTCTTGTTGCCATTGAGTAAAGAGATTGAGCTAGTTTGTAACATTTTCTCGATGCAATCATCTATGTTAAATGTTTTCATCAAAGTAGAATATCAATAGCCCATATTGCGAACAAGTTGTTCCTACCGCTGACGTCCTTGTGAGTTGATTTGTTGCCTGCGTCAGCTGATTAAGCATTGCTGCTTGTAATCTGATACTATTCGATGTTGTTATTAGAAGATTTTGTGTGTATGGAACCAGATAATCCAGAATATTCGCGTATGTATTCAGCTGTTGTTTATATGCATTTAGAGCAGATTGATTGAATTGTCCAGATGCCTACAAAAATTGCAAAACTAGTACTCTATAAAACATAAACATATTCACTGTCGGCAAGGTTTGAGTGAGAAGTGAGGAGATATAAATGCTTGATGCAGGTACACCATCTACAAATAGAAATTCACATTAGACAACAAGTAACTACTAAATATTTACTCAGGATAGCCATAGATACAGATTCATCGTTCAGTTGATTTAAATGCTGGGAAATGGAGGTCAACAGTTGTGCCAATATGTTCTGATTTCCACTTGATAGAATCTGCAGAAGGGGATTGGTCGTGGAAGGATTTTGTAAAATATTCATCAGAGCTGCGAACAATAACGGATCGGATTTAACCACAACTGATGTCATATTCAACTCAGTTATACAATCGAATGTGTCACGAATAATCAGCGTAAGATCAAGCAATGAACTATTCGCGTCTCCCGAAGGTAAGCGAACATTAAATTGTGATACTGAACTAAAAGCAATCATCACTGGATTCGGACGATCCTGCGTACGACCTGCAATGAGAATGAATAAACAAATCTAAGTTTTGGATTATTCAATTTGCAATACCATAGAGAGAATAATCTTTGATATCGTCCTCATCGAACCATTCCGAGCATGAGATGGAAAATAAAGTTAAGGTTGTGCCATTTAAAGGGCTGATCGAACACGATCCATTACGAGGAGGTTGATTAATGACAAAATTCAGTGCACTAGAACTTATCTCATTCACAAATCCGTAAACAACTTCAAAACGCCAGTAAACGATCTGAGGATTGCTGCTAAATAATTCACTTGTTGCTGTAAAGTTAGTTGTATTCATACCTACATCAACTCGCAAATCGTATACAACGTACAGTTTGCCTATGCCACACTACTTACCGAAAAACCAAATGTTTTCATACTGTTGCGTTCGATTAAACAAAGTCCATTGAACGGTTGATAGAGATGCATTGGCGCCTAGATAAACATTCCACGTCACGTTTACAAGCGACAAACAGCTTCCAGAACAGTCTGAAAAGAGTATAACTTGCGTTGTTGGATTGACAAGTTGAAACTCCATATTCGGTATGCACATTTGTGATATCGAACATCTAGTAAAGTCGTTTTGCGACAGTTATATGCAAATGAAAATCATCTTACGCAACGACAATCATTTGAGGACGACTGTCGTCAACCCGAACAAGAAGGTAGCCCGTTGCTTGAAGACTAGAATTTCGATAGTTTTCCATGTATACCATTATTTGATACGTTTGATTCGATATCAACGAGTGAGAAAGGATTGTCATCGATGATTTTGGCGAAAGAGATACTCCATCATAGATCACCGATGTTGTATTGCCTTAGATATTGTTAAAAGAAGTGAAACAATATCTAATTATTCGAAAAGAGTATACCTGATGAATAAGTTATACAGGAGGAGTTTGATGAATACGTTTGCGGATCATCTATCGATAGCAATCGACCAGATATGTGCGGAAAATTCGACACGCCATAAATTCGGCAGTAGTATTCATATTTCCATTCCTAAGATAATTATATCAATCACAGTTTTATTTCATGTATACAACGTATAGCTTACACTCGCGTTGAAACTGTTTCCATCGAGATCGAGGGAGAATTCTCCTGGATTGAGTGTCAAGTTTTGTTGATGTCCACACGTTATCATAGAGGTTCCATATTGCACAAGATTTGCTGTGATGCCCGATGATGTGATTCTCACGTATGCAGAAGATGACGATGTCAGATAGGAGAAGTTGGTCATGGTAGCAGTGAGTTTCAGCTGATAAGTACCGAGAGGAAGTATTCTTGCAGGTATATATAGCTCGGTGAATGTTGTTGCAACAGTTTGATCAAGTAGCAGAGAAAATAAACAACTGGAGGAAGAACAGTTGTGAACTGTCCACTGTACAGTCATTGACAATGATGTGGCGCAATTTAATTGAACAGTTGAGCTAATATAAAGATCTTGATTTCGCCGAAACTGTAGTGGAGATGAGAGAGATGATGTACTAGGAATTAGTGTAATATCTGGCGCGTAACAAGCTAGTAGAAAGCGTTGTTATATACTAATGTGTCAAATATTTGAAAAAACAATCAAGTTACTTTCATTACTAATCGATGTTGTTATTGTGGGTAATGATGTTTGTGCTAGAAAATAGATTGATCGATTTACACTGATTGTCATATTCAATAGGCAAACCTCTTTGCGGTTGTGTCGTTGTTTGCTGCATTGTTGTGTGTCCTACAGAATAACTTCCGATGAAGCTCTTTCTATTCTTTCAGTGACAAAAGAAACACAGTCCTTACCGCAATCATTTCCTGTGATCCAAAACTTCTGTACGCGATTATTAGCATAATCAGCAACAAATATATTGCCATCAGAATCAAAACTAATACAATTCGGTCTAGAAAGTTGATAAGATGCCGCACCAGCCACACCAGAACATCCCGCTATGCATTGGAATCCATATGGGCTTGATCTAACAATACGATTAGCACCCCATTCAACAACAAACATATACCCATCGGCATCTAATATTATCCCTGTCGGATAAGTGAGATTAGTAGTATTTTTCGCTCCATTTCCTGCGATCGTCGATCCATTCAACTGCCCGAGCCGAAATAGTTGAATTCTGTGATTTTGACTATCTGCCACATACAGAGTAAAGTCAGCATCGACAAATATTCCTCTGGGACCTTTCAATTGATTCGACGCATTTCCCGCCAAGCCCGTACCGGCAATAGTTGTTGACGTATTGACATCACTTACTAACGATCTCTTGGAAACTTGAGGGTATGGGTCCATCGAACAGTATAAATTATCATTGATATCAATGAATAAACCGTAGCAGCCTCCAGCAACATACAATGCTGTTGTGCTATTTGTAGTATTTAACAATAACTTATCGACGCGATGCCTGTTTTTCCCGTTATCAACATAAATATCACCAGTGATTGAAACAAATATAGCCAATGATGAGTTTAAATCACCCGATATGGAATTCATAGAGGTATTATCGCCGTTTAGCCATACTCGAACACGACTAAGTGATGGTGCTACTAGATAGACTGTATTGTTAATATCGACAAATAGGTCGTGAGGAAGTGCAACACCAGCGAGAGAGGTGACAAAACTTGTAGCATTAGGATTCCATGTTGCATTGGGACATAGTTTTGGCCGATTGTAAGATGCACCTGTAAACAAGAAAGGACATGACTAATACGAACTACTCTCACATCTAACTAGAGATATATTGTTATGACAACAGCTTTAAAAAAGATCGAAGCGAATTCATTACTATATAAGTTTGTTACAATCCTACACTTACCACAACGATTGGTTGTTAGAAGGAACTTTTGAACTCGCGAATTATTCTGATCAATTACGAACAGATTACCATAACTGTCAAAACTTAGACTAGATGGTTTACTTAATTGATTATTTGCCGAACCAGCATTTCCAGTACATCCAACGATACATCGAAATCCATTCGGATCTGATCCGATAATACGATTGTTGTTACCATCTGCAATGAATAAATATCCATTTGCATCGATGATGATCATTTGTGGACAATTAAGATCAATTGTTCCCAACGTTTTATTACTGACTATTGTTGTTCCACTCAGTTGGCCTGGTTTAAAAACTTGAATTCGATCGTTGCCACAGTCGGCTACATACAATTGAAATGAAGAGTCTACAAAAATTCCTTGTGGACTCGAGAGCGTATTTGAAGCTGAACCAGCCGTTGTATTTCCTGCGGTAACAACAGTTAAGTTACTACCGTTCGTTAACAACATCTTGATTACTTGATGATGATTGCACATAGAACAGTAAAGTGACTTGTTCTTGTCTACAAAGAGACTACAACAAGCATAACTAATATTCATGGTCGACACGAGCTTCCAAGTGTTCGATGTCCATTTATCGATTCGACCATTAACGAGACCGTTATTAACATAAATATCACCATCATCAGAGACAAATAGACCTGTCGGAGAATTCAAACCATTGGAAATAACTTTCATCGGTTGGGTACTACTTTCTGACCACATTTGTATCTCGTTCAGGTTACTCGCAGCAATGTATACAGAGTTATTGATTGTAACAAAAACCGTACTCGGGAGTGATCCAATCGTACTTATATTAGCAAATGTTAGTCCATTTGGATTCCATGTTGCTGAAGCACAAAGTTTCGGTTGATTTATTGACTGCCCGAATGATAGCTCGATCAGTAATAAATTCATCAGCCATACAATCGAACTATGAACAAATTTTATTCTGATTTTCATACCTCGTGATCATCAACATTTGTCTACGTTTCAAAAAAACTGTGTCAAATTGTGAATCGTTATATAGTCTACTCGACCGAAATGTTTGAACAAGCTAAATAAATTCATCGATCCGATGGAAAACAATTTCAGATCTAATATTAATAGAATCTTCATTCCCGATTCTCGTGTCTTATTTTCTGACATCTAATATTCAATGAAACAACATTCTTCTTATTATTATGTGCTTAAATAGAACATCTTCGATAAACGAAGTAAAATTTAGAAAAAAAGGTCGATCATCGTTAAGTTAGTCAAACACACTTCTGGTCGACCGAAGTTATAGCAGAAAATGAGATATTTCTCTAGCACTGTACTATTCACGATATTATACATCGTGATCAAGAAGCGTCTTTTCATTCGATTTCAAATATGATCCTGAGTGCAATGGAGAGATCAACGCAGAAAATAAACATATCCTTGACAATCAATGAATTTTTTATTGATAAAACATGTATCAGAAGGAAATCTCATGTCCTTCTCATTGATTGAGACACGAGAAAATAGAAACTTTTTTTCTCCGTTCTGTTGTCATACGAAATCATCCATAGACACTTTCTTCTGTTCATGAGAGGAGTAAAACGAACGGATATCAATCGTCTGCACGCTGGATCTCATCCTTGATTGAAAGGCCGAGCGAAGCGTATGATTGAGAACAGACATGAGACTACTCTCTTCTTCATCTCTGATATTTGATGACATTGAATGATCTTGCTATAGTCATAGTCGTCAATTACACTTGCTTATTACTATTTACTAATTTTGTCGATATTCTCAAGTTGTTCTCGAGCCAAATCATCAACGAAAATATCCGATCCAATGGCCAGCGGAAATGGGAAAAGTCGTTGTTTTACATGCGGTAAAGAGAAGCGAGCCGTGCGATGTGAAGGTTGTTTACAAGTATTCTGCTATGATCATTTGACGGATCATCGGCAAGAATTGAATAAACAATTGGATCATATTGAACATACCCGCGATCTGTTTCGACAAACACTCAATGAACAAATGAATCATCCGCAAATACATTTGCTAGTGAAACAAATCGATCAATGGGAAGAAGATTCGATTAAAACTGTACAACAAACCGCGTCGGAATGTCGACAACTGCTAGTACAACATACGACGAAAAATGTTCATAATATCGAAGTCAATTTAGCTAAGTTATCCGATCATTTGAAAAGAATTCGTTCAGAAAATGATTTTAACGAAGTCGATTTGAGTCAATTCAATCAAAAATTAAAACAATTAGCAGAGAAATTAGATAAACTTTGTAATGTTTCCATACAACAAGATCCAACACCTTTGATTCACAGAATATCGGTCGTGGTTTCGTCGTCTATGTCAAACAGTTTTGCAAAAATCGAAGAAAGCAAAGGTTTATTCGTATAATATGCAACATAGAACAATATTCAAGATGCGCTTTTTTTTGTATTTCTTAGGAAAAATTGTTTCTCTCAAGAGTCCTCCGAGTTCTATGAAATGGGATCAAAATGGATTTACCGTTGCGGGCGGGTACGGAGAAGGCAATCAGACCAATCAACTCTATTGGCCTTATGGAATCTACGTTGACGAAGAAGATCAGACGGTTTATATAGCTGACTATGGTAATGACCGTATTGTTAAATGGAAGTATGGTGCACATCATGGTCAAATCGTGGCTGGTGGCAATGGAAAAGGAAATCGAAAGGATCAACTGAATCTTCCAACAGATGTTGTTCTCGATAAGAAGAATGATTCATTTATAATTTGTGATTATGGAAACCGTCGAGTCGTTCGTTGGCCACGTCGGTCGAGTAAAAGTCAACAAACGATCATCTACAACGTTGCCTGTTCTCATCTGACAATTGATAATACCGGCGATATTTATGTTTCTGATTGTGAGAAGAATGAAGTAAGACGTTGGACAAAAGGTGATAATACTGGAACGGTTGTTGCGGGTGGCAATGGACGAGGTGATGGTCCGAATCAACTGAATTCGCCTGGTTACATTTTTGTTGACGAAGATAATTCAGTGTTTGTTTCTGATTCCAATAATAATCGAGTGATGAAATGGATAAAAGGCGCGAAAGAAGGTGTGGTAGTCGCTGGTGGACAAGGAGAAGGAAATGCTTTGACACAACTATCTAATCCTCAAGGAGTTCTCGTCGATCAGTCAGGTACGATCTATGTCGCAGATTCTTGGAATCATCGCATTATGCGTTGGCCGGCGGGTGCAACTAAAGGCACTGTTGTAGTCGGTGGTAATGGACAAGGACAGCAAGGTCATCAATTCAGTTGTCCTTTGGGTTTGGCCTTCGATGGACAAAACAATCTGTTTGTCGGCGATTGGGGAAATAATCGAGTGCAAAAATTCGATGTACATGTTGAATAGACATTGTTTTTCGTTTTCCTTTTGAATTCAATGAATTTTGATGAATAAATCTGTTTGTTCGTTTTTTTTCCTATTTTACTCAAAAAGCAACATAAATAATAAATACACTTGGATTGCACAACGAAATTAGACGATAGTCATATTCATTTCTTGTCATATTTTCGAGTCTTTCCCTATGTAACATTCGATTCACGAAACATCTACGCGCTAGGCATCAGATAGAAAACGAAAGAATGAATCTCTGATGCATGACAAGTCATTAAACAGAAAGGAAAGAAAAACAGTGATTAGGTGTGAAAAAACTATTTATAACTGTGACTGATCAAGATACAGTCGATAACATTCTTCAGCGACGGCTTCCTTACCATTGTAGTCACGAACTACAAATCTACTACAATACCAATTGACTCAAAACAATTGAAACGTGTGTGACAAGAAAACGTGTCTAGCCTTTCGAGGACTGTCTTCGGTTTGAAGACGAATAACCGTCGTCGGCCGTATCATTTGTTTCGTTCTGTTCATAAGACGACATCGTCAATATCGGAAAAGATTGAATCTGATGTTCATTGAAGAAAGGAAATTAGAGGATGTCACTCGTCTGTTCCATCGATATCATCCTTGATCCAAAGGCCAATAATCGCGAATCGATCAAGAAAGTGTCTGTCGAAAGTGCATTTTTCTCGTCTATGCCGAAATTTTTTGTAAATATTGCCTGATCTTGTTATTTTCGTTTGTGCAAAATAATATCAAAGACAAAGCTTTGTGTCATCCTCTTCTCTTCACAAATACTCCTATGGCGTATGAACATGGCAAAAGCCGTTGTTTTACTTGTGACAAAGAAAGACGAACAGTTCGTTGCGAAGGCTGCCTTCAAATCTTCTGCTATGATCATTTGACCGATCATCGGCAAGAATTAAATAAGCAACTAGATCTTATCCAATTGAATTACGATCGTTTTCAACGAGCACTCAATGAACAAATCAATCATCCTCAGATCATTTTATTAACGAAGCAAATCAACAAATGGGAAATCGATTCGATTACAAAAATCCAACAGACAGCAATTGAATGTCGACAAGCACTGCTCGAGTATAAAAATGATCATTCGAATAATATGAAGCTGAATTTAGAAAGGCTAACTGATCAGCTGAATAACATTCGACGAGAAAATGACTTCAATGAAATTGATTTGAGTCAATTCAATGACAAACTAAAGCAATTGCAACAAGAACTCAGTAAACCATCGACTATTTCCATCCAAAAAGATCAATCTGCATTTATTAGTAAAATTTCTGTCGTAGTCTCCACTGGTATGTTCGAAATTGAAAGACTTTTATGTTTTCCCAGAATATCAATTCTGTTGATTTTCAGAAGCTGATATTGCAATGTTGAATCTCACAAATAATTCCAAATGGAAACAGAATGGAAATATTATTGCCGGAACGAGTGCTCCCGGAAATCAGCCAAACCAATTGTACGATCCGCGAGGTATTTTCGTGCATGGTGAAGATTGTCAAATGATTTTTGTGGCTGATCTGGGCAATCATCGTGTTATGGAATGGAAATGTGGTGAAACACATGGTGAAATTGTTGCTGGCGGCAATGGTCAAGGCAACCGAATGGAACAATTAGATCGTCCAACAAATGTGATTGTCGACAAGACGGATGAGTCTCTGATCATTTGCGATTGGGGCAATAGTCGAGTGGTTCGATGGTCGCGTCGAAATCCAGGAGATCTGCAAGCGATTATTTTCAATATTGATTGTTGTGGCTTAGCAATGGATTATAATGGTGACCTATATGTTTCAGATTTAGTTAAGAATGAAGTAAGACGATGGAAAGAAGGTGACACTAACGGAGTATTAGTCGCTGGTGGAAATGGTGAAGGTGATAATCTTAACCAATTGAATTATCCAAGTTACATTTTTGTCGATGACGACTATTCTGTTTACGTATCGGATACTTTAAATCATCGAGTAGTGAAATGGACTAAATGCGCAAGAGAAGGCGTTGTGGTTGCTGGCGGACAAGGTCAAGGAAACAGTCTTTCACAATTATCTTGTCCTATGGGTGTTCTTGTTGACTATTTGGGTAATGTCTATGTCGCTGACTTCTACAATCATCGTGTTATGCGCTGGGCACCAGGTGCAAGCAAAGGTCAGATTGTTATTGGTGGAAATGGTCAAGGTACACAGCCGGATCAACTCAACGGTCCAACAGGTCTTTCGATGGATCATCAGGGAAATCTCTATGTTGTGAATCGAGGCAATCATCAAGTTCAAAAATTCGATCTTGATGCGAATTGAAAATCCTTCAATGGAATTCAGTGTGTAACATTTTTCTTTCCAACTATTTTTATCTTTGTTTCTTACTAATATCGTTTAATCTTCTTTATTATTATATATAATAAAGTCAAAGAGACAATAATCGATACCAAATTTTGTGTTAAGATCAAACTTATCCGAAAGGGTTCACACGCACATGTACTTCATATTGCAGATCAGAACATTAAGTCAGTCTGACGTATCACCTTCAACTAAGGTCGAAAATTCACGGATACGAAAGTAATGTACATATGCAATTTCTGCTTGTTTCCTTTACACACGATGATTTTTACTCCGTACCCGGTGTCGATTTGGAACATTGGGTAAAAATCGAAGAAATTCGTCGACTAGACGAATTCTCCATTTCAATTTCTTTCCAAGGATTTGTCCATCGAAAACAAGTCCTTGTCTAGCAATGAATTACTGATTCGCAGACGAATATGTATCAATGAAAAAGTATTTGTCCTTATACAACTGTCTTCTCCGTACAAAATACAGGAAAAACTAATCATTTCATACAGTTATTTTGTCTCGTTCTGTTGTTAAATGACTCTGTGTGAAGAGGAAAGATTCAATTTCGTGTTCATTGAAAAACTACAAGGAAAGACAAGAAAGCGTCGTCTATGCCATGGATATCATCCTTGATCAAAAGGACGATAAAAGCGACTGAAGGAATGAATATATTCCTGCACTTTTCTCCTTTTCCCATCATGTTCGGTGACATTGAGTCATCTTGTTATTTTTGTGTTTGCAAAAAAACTATAAAGCCTTCTCAGTGTCTATTTTCCTCCATTTGCAATTTATACCCGACACCATCAACCAACACACCAACATCTTGCTTCGATGGCAGCAGGGAATAATAAAACTCGATGTATTACATGCGATAAGGAAAAACGCACAGTCAGATGTGAGGGTTGTCTGCAATTGTTCTGCTACGATCACCTGACAGATCACCGACAAGAATTGAATAAACAACTAGATCATATTCAATTGAACCGCGATGTCTTTCGACAAACGCTTAACGAACAAATGAACCATCCGCAAGTTCACTTGTTGGTGAAGCAAATCAATACGTGGGAATTGGACTCGATTAAAATTATTCAACAGACGGCCAATGAATGTCGACAATTATTGATTGAACATAGAAATGAACATTTTAATCAAATTGAAGCTAGTTTAAACAAATTAACGGACGAACTTCGAGATATCCGGCAGGAAAATGACTTCAACGAGATCGATTTACATCAATTCAATGAGAAGTTGAAGAAACTGGCTGAAGAACTGGACAAACTATCGAATTTTTCATTTCAACAAGATCCAGCACCACTGATTTACAAAGTTTCAGTTGCTCTAGCATCTGGTACGTTCGATTTCACTTCGAGAAAGCCATTTCGATCGTTTCATTTCAGATTGTGTCATATCTCCAAAGACGATTAACAACAATACGAAGTGGAAACACAACGGATCGACCATCGCTGGCGGCTATGGGGAAGGCAGTCAATCGAATCAACTCTATTGGCCTTATGGAATTTACGTCGACGAAGAAGATCAAATGATTTATGTCGCTGACTATGGGAATGATCGAATCGTTAAGTGGAAACATGGTGCTTACTATGGTCAAGTTGTGGCTGGTGGCAATGGAAGAGGTACGCGAAAAGATCAACTGAACCTTCCGACTGATGTAATTCTCGACAGGAAGAATGATTCATTTATAATTTGTGATTATGGAAATCGTCGGGTCGTCCGTTGGCCGCGTCGTCAAGGTAAAAGTCAACAGACAATTATTTCTCATGTGGCTTGCTCTCGTTTGACAATGGATAATAATGGTGATCTCTATGTTTCTGATTGGGAGAAGAATGAAGTGAGACGATGGTCGAAAGGTGATACCAATGGAACGGTCGTCGCAGGTGGCAATGGTAAAGGAGAAGAGCTCAATCAATTAAATTCACCTGGTTACATTTTTGTCGACGACGAATATTCGGTTTATGTCTCCGATGCCAATAACAATCGAGTGATGAAGTGGGCAAAAGGTGCAAAGGAAGGTGTGGTAGTTGCTGGAGGACAAGGCGAAGGAAATGCTTTGACACAATTATCTCACCCACAGGGACTTCTTGTCGATAATTCGGGTAATATCTATGTAGCAGATTCCGGCAACGATCGTATCATGCGCTGGACGCAGTCGTCTCGGGAAGGCACCATTGTAATCGGTGGCAATGGGCAAGGCAAGCAGCCAGATCAATTTAACTATCCCGACGGTTTATCTCTAGATCAACAAGGCAACCTCTACGTAGTCGATTGGGGCAATAATCGAGTGCAAAGATTTGTTCTTGATGTTGATTAAAATTGTTCTTTTTTTTTATTATTGTGATTATATGACTTTTAGCGATTATTTCTGTTTCTTTCCTAGGAACATTCTTGTTCATTTTTCCATTTTATTTAAATATAAAATAAATGAAAGTTCGACTGACGTCTATCGATATTTGCACATCAAATCGACGGTTTTGTCGAAGACGAATTCAAACTTATAATAGTCGACCGAAGATGAGCTGCAGAAATCTTCAAAACTGAGATATTTTCTTTTTCTTATTACCCGTTGAGTCAACAATTCGAATTTTCCATTCTCATTCAATCTAACCTAATCTGTCACAATTTATTCAAAGGTTTATTCTTAAAAATAATCTCTCCCACATAACCAGCTCCGTATTTCGTCAGATGTGCACCATCGTGTGAGATTAACTTTCCTTGGGGAGTAAACAGCGGACATGTGAAATTATATCCTGTACAAACCATCTTCATAACATTGACAAAGATGTGTTTCTCAATGCTTTTCGCTAACAGATTGTTGACATTAACAATCTCAGTCTTCGGCGCTTGGAACTGTTTCTTTCGAAATGCCGTTGATTTGTTAACATACAACGCTGGATTGACAATTCCGAAATGTTTTGAACCGATAACAAAGACTTGCTGGTGCTCTGTTAGATTCAATAGTTTTAACGTTGTTGGCAATCGTTGTGCACTCCATTCATACCAATTACTCGCTAGCATAATCACATCTGCCTGACGAATCAATGGTAACGCGTATTTGATATCGTTCGCATTCGTGCAGGTTTGATGATGGCGTTTCTCAATAAATTGCTTTCGATCTTCTGTGCCGAGATAGATTTGACAACGCGAATAAACAAAATACACACGAATTTCGTAGTTAGCTAAATGCTTGCCTTCAATGATCATATTGTAAACATCTTGAGCGAAACTATCACCGATTAAAACCATTCTCTTTTTTCCCAATGCTGCCGTTTGATTCGAAAATGTCTTGCGGCGTTCTAAAGCATCGAAATCTCGTACGACATATTCCCAATTGCCATATTTTCTTAAATCTGATAGATATTCGTCGCCTCGTTGTTCTGCTGTCATCGACTGAATATTCGCAGTTTGAATAGAATGTATTGCAAGAATCAACGTGATCGCAGAACATAAACCACTTATTGCAAAAATTTGTTTCCGCGAGAAACGTTGCTTATCGCGAAAAGGTTGTTCAATAAATTTGTAGCTTAAAAAACTCAATGGAAAGACAAGAGCAATTACAATAATAATGAGATTTAACTGCGGCGTTGAAGTCGACTTAATGCGGAGGAAAGCAAGCAGCGGTTGGTGCCAAAGATACGCACTGTACGAGATTAAACCAATCCATCGAACCAGACGAATACTCAACAAATAACCAACAGTAGTGTTTTTCTCAGCGAAGAGAATGATTAGCGATGCGCCTGATACTGGCAATATGGTATAAAAATTTGGAAATGGAGGGACTCGATGATTGTCAAGGCCGACTACTGATAGAATAATTAATAGAACACCAAGTAATGCAAAGAACTCTTTCGTCAGACGTGAAAATTCTCTAAAATAAAGAATCAGAAGTCATTCGTGTAGTCAGATTCAGATCAAACTTTACTTCGAAGAATCTTTAATGCGAAGATAGAAAGCGATAAAAGCGCCACAAAGAAGTTCCCAGATACGACCTGTCGGTAAATAAAACGTTGCATAAGCAGGCTGGGCGAATCCTTGAAATTGATTTATTGATAAAGATCGTAAATTTCCACCCCATTGACTTAACAACAAACTCATCAGAGCAGCGCTGATCAATAGAATTACTAAACAACGTCGTTTCTTCGCGAAAAAATGGCATAAAAGCGGAAATACAAAATAAAACTGTTCCTCAACCGCCAAACTCCACGTATGAATCAGCGGATTCAATTCACTGATGTTCGTAAAATATCCATCGTCCTTCCACCAGAAATAAACATTCGAACTAAGACATACGATAGCAATGAGAGTTTCACCAAATTCTTTTAATTGATCTGGTAACATGTGCTTGTAAGCAAAAATACTACTGAGAAATAAGATGAGAAACAACGCCGGAAGGATTCGCCGGCATCGTCGTTCATAAAAACTGACGAGAGAAAATCTTCCGTCTTCACATTCGTGGTCGATCACAGATGTAATTAAGTATCCACTTATGACAAAAAAGATGTCAACACCGACATAACCACCAGCAAAATAATCGGTGAAACCCGCATGATACAATATAACAGGAATAACAGCTACTGATCGTAATCCATCGATTTCATCTCGATAGACAAACATGGCTAACGACACGATCTACACATCATCTACAAAAAAAAAATAAATCACTAGATTCGGAGAGTATAGACGAATGTACACTTTCATTGGTAATGAAGCAGCAGAGAAAAAGGCACGCATCTGGTAAACTCGGTATCATCTGATAATGTGTGGCGAAAGCTTTAAAAAGTCTACGTATTGACTCAAATGTGTAATTTAGCTTGAGAGAAAAATTTTTCTTCTTGAAGCGATTTTTGCATTCTTCATCGAAGACGCATACTTAATACTTTCAGTATAGTAATGTAAAAAAGAACAGAAAAAACGAGTCATAGATAATGAAAGTTACCTAGTGGTGCTGTAGATAAGATATTTTTCACTTCCTCGCCCATTCTTCTAGACGTGTTGACAAGTGAAAAAGAATTCCTTTGCTTTCTGAGCTTTTTTATCCTACGAGGTCAGCATAGTCGTCATTTCTAATGCTGACATTTTTATTGCAGGCTTGTGATTGTTATTTGATAATTATTAAATCTAGCCTGATTTGATCGATGGTCTTTCTAAAACAAAAGAGAATTGTTTCACGCATGCAGTTTTGCCAATCAACTTAGTCGCACGATTGCGACTCGAGCGCATTCTAGAAAAATCCAATGTGTTGTGCAAACACGCTTTTGTAGCCTTCGTATCCTTGCTTCGAAGTTGTCTGAACAAATAAGAGGAAATATTTCATGCAGATTACAAAGAATTGTTAACGGGACGTAAAAAACAACGTAGTTTGTAGTTGCTATGTCACCAGAAATAGATGACGGCGACTTTGGAATTATGTGTAACATAGTGCTTGAGATATTTTCTGGATGTTTTTGAAAAACGCAAGTAATTGTTCGACTATGCGAAACAGATGAATTGTAACATTTGATGGCTGAGTCAATGGTAATAGTGAAAATAAATCCTATGGTACATGAAACCAGTATGCTGATCGTAAAATCAGTTGTCAAACATGAATTTTCTCACGAAAAATTCAATTGATCAACGATATAAACTATCTGACAAAGAGACAAGGTTTATGTTTGACCGAATGAATTACTTCTTTATCTTAATCTCTCAAATAATTAAACTCTAATGTTTGCGAAGCCCTAGATCGTCTGTTATAATCAGTTCGCATTTATCTGATGTTCGTCGTTTTTTCTGTATTAAAGCTCTAGGCATCTGAGAAGTAGTCGATTTCTAGCGTCATCTGTAAAACATCTTCTTCAGAAAAAAGTAACTTGTTCTTCTTGCATCCGTACATATACTTCTTCCTTTGTTCTGCGATAGTTATGCATATCGATTAGCTAGCAACTAGACGCGCTATCCTACAAGTCATGTAAGAGTTATTCAGAACATAATTGTGTTTCGTCGAATTACTTCCTTGCACACTTACCAAACTGCTTTTTTATCAAAATACTAAAATATGATCGACTCGAGTCAAAATGATTGTTTTATAACCGTTCGTATAACATAAGTGCATGATGTTCTTCGATTTGTTGTCTACTTGCAAAATACAATTCGGATCTTTTAGTTAGTCGGAGGCATTATATGAATTTGAAGAGATTGTCTTTTTTCTTCTTTTTCTTCTATTGTAAATTTTTAAAGATGAACAAATGAACTTCACTATGTTGACTTTTAATGCAATGAAGATACATTTGCATACTTTTCAAAGTCTTCTTCACTAAACGCATCTTAATCGTCGACGTATCAAATCTGATTTCTTACTCAGTTGACTAAAAGTCGAAGAGATTATTCCGATAGCGAAAAATCTGTTTTTCTTCCTCTTTTTTGCGGCATGAAGTGCTTCCGCTTCCGTTTTTTCTTTTATTAGACAATCATTACGAACTAGAAGATCCAATTCATTTTCCGAACACATAGGAGAAAGGTGAGCAGATCAACGCTTTTTCTTACTGCACAGCGCCTCCACGAAAGCTTTACATCTTCACGATATGTCGTCGTATTTCAGGTTAATATAACTATTGACTTTGTAACATAAAACGTCATTCTCTTTTTTTTCTCAAACTTTTGCGTTGAATAGAAACCTTGGATATCAAGGATGTGATAGAGAACATGAGCAGAAGCATTCTGATGTGAAGATCTTCACTTTTTCTTGCTAATCATTGTAATGAACCGTGATTAATTTTATTAAAAGCAATCATCATTCTTGACATATAGATTTTTTTTCTCTTGCCGTCTATCTGACATTTCCTTTGATCATTGTGGAAGCAAATAGATTAATATTGAATCAGTTTTCATTGGTGAGTTTAGCCGACTGAAGTTTTGAATCGTATTTTTTCCTTCATGGCACGTTTGCAAAGAGAAAAACAGTTTTGCTCTCCTTTTCAGACGTCGACTTTCTTTGACTGCAACAATGACCTAACATACAGTTTACATGCAGCTGTTAGTTGGTGATCGAACCTCTCGATGTTTTACACCCGACGTACGGTATTCGTATTCATATGTTCAATTGTTTTTCTTCAAGCGCTTTATTATATTATCACATTACAATTAAAAAAGAACCAAACAATCAGCCCGTATGATCTCACGTCAGATAAGGAGAAACTATCCGTTTCAAATGACACAACTCTAATACAAAAAATCGAGCCTTCGTTCATTTCAACTACATCTATTCAAACTCTAGTACCTTCGTTCATCAAAGCTACGTATGTGCTGGCAATCAATCTTACTCGACCTGACCCCGTGGTTTTCAAATCTTATCCTGTGTGCAACTTTTCGATTTCGAACAATGATACAAGTATTTATCGTGTAACAGTCAGTAAAACCATACATCCGTTTGACGTGATTGAAAAGCATCATGACGATATTGATTGGGGTGGGCATTGGTTTCCGAAAACATGTCGAACGGAACAGCGTTTAGCTCTAATTATCTGTTATCGAAATCGAGAATTTCACCTGAAACTATTTCTCGACAATATTCATTCATTTCTCAAACAACAACAGTTAGATTACACGATATTTGTTGTTAATCAACATGGCACTGATCAATTCAACCGAGCAGCTTTATTCAATGTTGGCTTTCTCGAAGCAATGAAATTGTACTCGTTCGATTGTTTTATCTTTCACGATGTCGATCTTATACCGGAAGATTTAAGAAACGTTTACAAATGCGGAGATCGGCCAAGACACATGTCAGTTGCTGTCGATAAATTCAATTATAAACTACTATATTCGACCTTATTCGGTGGAGTGACAGCATTCAGCTTATCGGATTTCGTTGGCGCTAATGGTTATCCGACTGTTTACTGGGGTTGGGGCGGCGAAGACGATGACATGTATTTACGTGTCAGTAGAAAGTTGAAAAAGTCGATAACACGCTATCCGATTGAAATCGCCCGTTACAAAATGATTCGAACGTATAATCATACATCAGGAAAAGCTAACCCTCATCGCCATGACATCCTCTATTCGAAGTATGACTATAATCGAGATGGAATCAATACGACGCGATACAATTTACATGAATTGGTTTTTTATAAAACGTTTACAATGATCAATGTGACGTTGACTGAAGAACGTTTCGAACAAATCAGTGCTCGATTGAATATCACCAAACGGAAACCAGCTAAGAAAATCAAAACCATAAGAAGAAAGGCATGAATAGATGTGCTTTATTTGTATTTTCTTGTTTAATTTATGAGCGAATTAACGACTTTTTATGTTATTCTTTTTATGTTTGTTTTTTTTTCTTGTTCTTTTATCAACTGATTTGCATCACTTATATTAATAAACAGAGCGCAATAAGAACTTTCATTTGACATCTTCGATAGGCATCAGAAAATACGAAGATATTCGTTGATAATAAAGTTTATTCTTGGTTTTACTGACCATCTACTGCGAGAGAAGCTAATAGAAATGCTGCTGAATTAAAATTATACACAAAAAGATCAGATTAAATTTCATTCCTAACGACGAGAAGTTAAATTGCGAACCTAAACGAAAAGAAAGGTGAAAGATTGAAAGAAAAGCTCATTGACATACCACGGAGAAAAGTCCACTAGCTATTTGAGCCGTATCCGAGAGAGATTTCGATACCTGTAATTAGATTTAACTGTCATATGAAAAGTCGAAACGGAGTGTGTTCTCTTACTGAATTTCGGACCGATCCCATTGCTTGAAAATCACCTAAACGACGTTCCAAAAAATTCATCGTATCGACTTTATCTGGCGATTGATCTTGAATCATATAAATCTCAGCACTCTTATAGACAGCCGCTAACAGAAGTCGTTTGCTATACCAATTCATCTAAATCCGATAAGAAGATAATCATAAGAGAATTTCATCATGCATTTCTTTACATCGGTGGATGTATCACCAATACCGTGCCAAGCATCACCCGCTAGATCCAGAAGATTCTTCCAACCGCGCATGGCATTCTGTGGTAATGCACCTTGTGCTAATGCCTGAAAATTCATCGCATAACGAAATGGTTTCCTGTTGTGCTAGAAATATATTTCATACCTGATCCCATGTATTTGCATAAGGTACTACAAGACTCAGTCGATGTTTCAAACCATCGATTAAGAGATGACTTCCTTGCTTGTTTCCACTAGAAGAAGAGAGAAAATATAGACTTTGGTATACTATCAATTGTTCTACTAGTACTTCTTGGCTTTATCATTCATATAAGCTGACATCTTAGCATTGGCATCTCGCATAAAATATTCAACGAGATCATAGCCATTACTAAACAATCCTTCAACAGTTGTTGGCTGATTACTGGCACGAACACCTATATTATGTGAGAAGATAGTTGTAAAAGGCAGCAGGAGAACAAAACATGAGAAACAAACCAGATCGAATCGCATCCATGGTCCAACCTTGCTCATTGACATAGTTGAGTGATTCACGTAGGATTTCATCACGTATGTCGCTTTCACGTTGAATAGGAATTTCTTGGGCACTTCTACGATAAAATCAATATTGGTCTCAAATTGGACATGGTTTACGCTTTAGTTTACTTTGTTTTGTCGGCTGGTTTTGCATCAAATGGATCGTATTGTGGATGTTTCTTCGTTGATGCCAGTGTATCCAGTCCTCCGAAAACTGTCGATTTCGTAGCTGCTTCATATTTAGTTGTATCTGTTGTTGACGACGACGGTGTTGCTTTCTCATAGTGTGCTGTTGGTGATGATGTAGCTGAATAAAGTTCAGTTGAAGAGATTTTCGGTGCAAATACGGTGTCGGCGGGCGATGTTGTTGTTAATGGCGTATCTGGTGCGAACGGCTCGAAAGCTGACACTGCCGCTGCTTCAGCTAATTGTGCTGGTGTTGCCTCTGGTTGTAGTACGTGTGTTTTGAACGGATCCGCGATATTCAATTCACCTTGAGTGGTATGAACTGTTGTTTCATGAATGGTTTGACCATCTACTTTTGCTGCTGGAACAAATGTAGTTGCAGTGGCACCCAATGGAGCAATATGCACTGAACCGGGGTTTTGAACCGACCTTAAAAAGTATTCGTTTAGTTTTGAGATCAGTTATCGAGTAGGATTTGATACATACCATACTTTACCACCACTGGTCAATGTTGCAGTACTTCGTGGTGGCTTATCGATAGTTTCAATAGGTTGCCCACCTTTGAGGTCATCCGGTACGTGTGTTTCAGTCTTCGCGGTTGAAGGTTTATACGATTTTGTATCAATACCAAGCTCATTCTTTTGATCATGAGAATTGATTGATAAAGTTCGTTTAATTGTTGAATCTCTAGCTCGCGCTGATATTGTCTGTTGACATATATCAACAACTCGATTCAACGATGACGTTCCACCTAAATTAGAAGAAAAATCATCGATCAAAAATTCCGTTTCATTTCGCAAATATAGAAATACGAACAACGAATGATTGCTAGACGTTGCATTGAATAGTTTACTAAATGAAAAGTATGGTGTGTCAAATAATTTGTATCTGTGTATATATATATGCGCAGATTTTGATGAACACGATCGCTAATGTCGATGTTAGATTTTTAATAAACAATTGGTAAAAAAAACAATTCATATTTTTCCAAATGACTAATCAAGATACAAATATTTTAAATTTCGTTTTTCAATAATTCATCTAAGAAAAATAAACGGCGGTACACGCATGGAATTTCATTGGCTGGATGAAAGAACCAATGAGACATGAAAAGAACTCTTTGCTTATCTATCAACTACTTTGCCCGCCACGCGGTATATATCATAACATGATTATTTGTTTTATATTCATTTTCCCCAGATTTGAAGAGTAATGGCATCGATAAAAAAAGATGACGAAATGTGTTCATTCGACGTACCTGAGGTGACACGTTCAACGTATGGTTATACAAATTATAAAATCGTCCTCCAGATCACGCCGAAAGAATTAACAGAGAACAGCTATCAAGTAAGTATTGTTTATATTATTCAAAAGAAGCGCACGATTCCAAGTTGTGTTTGCAAATAGATTTAGCATATCCTCGTCATCCGTGAAATCGATTATTATTGTCTTGATACACTACTCACATGATGAAACTCGCCACGAGCATAAAGTATCGTTACACCACATTCGACATATGAAACTATTAGTTTGAGAAAGAGATATTGTTTTTGACAGACGTCTAGTAAAAGACAGTTTATTCTAATGAAACGAGAAATTGAATACAAGAGACGCTTTTACGATGAAATAAAATCTGACAAAGCCTCCTAAATGAACTTCTATCGACAGTGCATACCTTTTCAATAACTAATCCTTTTTGTGTACGACGATAGTTTTTGACTACTATCCGATATTCGGTAGTGCATGAACGTATGAGGTATCTATGTTTCAATGAAGAACACTGACTCCCATGAACGTTTACGAGATTTTGTAATTTGTTCTAATATTCGTGCAGAACTGTGTGTCAACATTGATCACTGCCAGTTTTACAGTTCAACCGTTAAAAAAAAGAAGTACCCTGATGATATTCTGTTTATTGTATGTGAAATTCAATCACGTACGCTTGTAAGATTAAACATTCTTTATAAATAGCTAGGTCGTTCGAACAATTTCATAACAGATACAAAATAAGCGTGTGAGCATGCATTGAGAACGATTTAGGTATTTCTAGGGCATACCATGCGATTATGTGAAACTATGTTCTTTGAAAGTAGAACTTCCGTACAGTCAGTTCATCTATTTTCGGACATTCCTCTATGAGGACGTTGTCATTATTATTGATGAAGTGCATGATTAGGACATTGATAGACTATGAGGTGATGCAATCTATCCTCACTTTCTTTGCGACACACAGCATTGAATTAAACGGAAGCTGCTCTAATAGTCTGTATAGAGTAAATTGAAAACATTCGATTTCAATTTGTGTTCAGCATCTTTTCTACATTCAAATTGACTTCCATCTTTATTTACATAGCTGGTATATTGGAAGCGATATGCGGATATTCGAAAACTCTACGAAACTCTTCAGCGATATCATCAAGCTGTGTATCGTCCTGGAAAATTTCCTGATTTTCCTCCTAAAGAGCGATTTCTAGGTAACCGTTCTTTGGAGATGGAAGAAATTGGTTTCCGATTGAAAAACCGTTGATTTAGAACGCTATGATCCAGCGGTGGTTGAAGAACGACGTGTAGCTACAAAGATTTTTCTTAATTATGTTCTTCAACATCTATATCTGCGTACCCACGATGCATATCTCGAATTTGTTGAGGTAAATTATATTTTCAATCTCAGTTTCGTATTCTTCGTTGATGTTGATACAATTTAGAAAGGTGAAAAAATTCCTTTACCTGATGTTGAAACAGCTCCATTACAGCCTGAGATAGTCAGTCTACGAATAGAAAGTCCTCCTGAGAACATTCCAAACGCATCTATATCAAGTTCGCCAAATGAATCAAAGAACGACGAACTTCTTCTGACAACGGATGAAGAACAACGAATCGAACAAGTGACGACAAATTGTGCACGAATACTCGACGATCTAACTGATCTTCAATTCGAGCAACAAGAAGAAATCAAAAAAGAAAAAGAAGAGTTTGATTTAGTCAAAGACGAAGTAGATGAAGCTGCAGGTTAGTCTTGAACCTTCAGATTATTCACACGTTTTCGAGTACTTTTTCGACCTAAGTTAACTGAAAAGAGCAAAAACAGGAATATCAGGAACATCTGTTACACTCTTTTCGGAGATACATATGGGTAAATATGCTCGTTCTGAAAGCATACTAGACTTTCGAATACGTGAGCAGCTGTACGACCTTTTTCAAGTGAAATAAAAGAAAAACTTATTTTCATTGTGAATGAAATCTATCAGTGATTTCATTGATACAAATAGTACATTGTCAAAAGCAAACGTCAGCAGTAGGCTACATGAGACGGTTATAAAAACCAATCATACTCTTATCACAAGGTTTTCTCGATGCAATGTCAATAGAAAATCTTTCATTCCTGTGCCGAAGGCATGCGATGGCAGTACTGTTTCAAGGAAATAAAATATTGTGATTTTTGAGATGATGCAACCTTCATTTTCGTTCGCTGCGAATGTCATCGGATTTCGATTAGATTTTGTTATTGTTGTTGTTTAGATTTACTTTCATTCCCATTGGCGACAACGACTACAAATACATATTCGTCGTAGATATTATGTTTCACACGTGAAAGGTGTTATTTTTCTTTTCTTTATCAAATGTTCCTAATTACTGGATAACTAAGACGGAGGCAAACCAGCGATTCGTGTTAATTTCAAATGCTAATTTATTTTCTTAAAGAATAAATACCAGATTCAATCTAATTGAATTTTTTTATCTCGCATCTGTGTGTATTTTCGATTTCAGATCAGTACAATCTTCCTCAATGCTCACCTCCCTACGTCGTCAAATTAACTTCAAAGATCTTTTCCCAACTCCATGGAGTTTCGTCATTTTTATCTCATATATGGGTTTGTTTATCAATCAAGGTTAGTCAGACAAAGTCTCTAAATTGAAAAACGAAATGTTGGATTTCCTTTCGATAGGTTTACTGGTAACTGGTTCGAAAACATCATCACACTCCTACAACTACAATACAATTGTTGTTGTTTTACTGACAGAAGTTGTTAAATTCGTCACCGCTTTAGTTATCTATCGTCAAACGTGAGTCTAGCGAATTACCTTGGATTGGAGGATTTCCACTCTCTGTGATTTTCAGTCATTCGTTCAATCAGATGCGACGAGACATCACCGAGAATCAAACAGGTAAATTTGCCTTCCAAGTAAGACTATTTTCATTGACTTCATAGAAACTGAAATCGCCTATCATACACGTATGTATAGAAACGAGTTTTCATTTACTATAAACGAAACAAACGAAAATGTAGGTAGTGCATGCATATCTACAGTAGACTATTAACCAAAACAGGGAAAAGGGAGTTCGAATGATCTGATGGTACAGTTGTAATCATAATCATTTCTTTCCTATGGAATATTTTCGTTATTCCAATTGATCTCCACTCACCAAAAAAATTAACATTGATATCTGAATATTGTCGATAGATAAACCAGATACCGAATACTTACTTTCATTTAGTATTATTTCTCTACTTTATTCCATCGGCACTGTACTGCTTATACAACAATTTAGCATTTATAAATTTATCATCCTACGATCCGACAACATACTTTCTGTTACTTCAATTTCGTGTTGTAGTCACGGGTGTAATCTTTCAAGTAAGAATCCATCAGTTCATTTGCTTCCTACTTGGTCATGTCTAGATTCTATTCAATAAACGATTAACACGTATCCAATGGTTGTCTTTGCTATTGCTCACATCAGGCTGTATCATAAAACAATTCGAACATTCGTCATCATTACCAGTAAGCAAGGTCTCTCTGACTAATTCGACATTATCTCATACACCGGAGCCAACTGTACAAAAGTCTTCCTTAATCAATATTCATCTCATTTGGATCCTCGTCCAAGTATTTTGTTCATGTTTCGCAGGTGTTTATAACGAATATTTATTGAAAAGTGACCGAACTACACAAGTCGACGTAATGCTACAAAACTCCTTCATGTACTTCGATTCGATACTTTGCAACCTTATGCTCTTGATGTTCTTTGATCAACAGCAACCCTATTTATCAATAACAGAGAAATTCTCGAATACATTACGCTTAATCACCTCAGGAAAAGAAAATTTAATCTTTTTCATTATCCTGAATAATGCCGCTGTTGGTATTGTTACCTCGTTGTTTCTCAAATCCATGACATCCATATTAAAGACATTCGCAAGTGCTTTGGAGTTGCTATTCACAAGTATACTCGCTTGGATTTTGTTTTCTATTCCTGTTAGTATTTACACATTTCTGGCGATATTCATCGTTTCATTTGCTGTTTATTTATACTCAATCAATCCTGTTGTTAATCAACCGAAAACAACGACGACTAATAATGAAATCAATTTAGTTTTAAATAAGAGTAATATTACGCTCTCAACGGAGGACATGCATTCTAAACTGGGATATGAACAAGGAAAACGTGTGGTTGTGTAATTTGTAGTCTGATCTTGTTATGTTTTGCTTGTTTTCTCTTTTCATATATAATAGCATATGATTTCATTTTATTACTCAGTTTTTAATAATAACACATTTAGACAAAGTCTTCGACTGGTTCGAAGCTTGAATTCAAACACTTATTCTATCGTACTTTGAGGTTCACGGTGAATATTGAAGTTATTCTGATAATGATTGTTTATTAAAAAATACATGTTACGATCAGGCAGACTTGAGCCTAATGAGATCTTCAGCTGCAAAGACGTATCATTCATTATCATGATGAGTCGTATCGTGGAAATTGTAAGTTTCTATTAGATGCAAATGGTAATGTGGCGGTATATGACGCTTTTTTTATTGAAAATGCTCGGAGAACGCATAGATTATTTCAAGCGTGCAATAAATTCTTATCTTCGTCAGTTCTTCTCTAGCGAACACTTATTGCCAGCAGCTTTTACATTTAACTAAATCATGTAGTGAAGTTATACAGTATGAAATCATGCTTTCGACTTCCGCGAGCACTATATTCAGAAAGTAAAAGGAAACTTTGACATAGGTCTATTCATTATTCAAAATGAATGAGTAGCTCAGTTTTCTTCGTGTTATGTGAGATAAACAGAAGCTGTTGATGATGCTCCAGTATCATTCTATCAATAGATTTCCGTTGTGTTAATTAATATTTTTCCTGTTCCACACTCGTTGACATTGTTCATTGAAAAGTATTCAAACAACTCGGATATATTCTTCTTTTTTCCTATTAGGATCGTTAACTGCTCGAGATAATCGTTCCGACCGTATCGAGATCAAATATAGCAAATGAAGTGGTTTTTAATGGCTATATGCGTGAGGAAAGAAGAAAAAGAAAGATGATGGAGAATTACGAGAAGTTTGAGAGAACGCGAAGCCAAATCAAATCCCGCATCATTTTTTCCCTTCTTCTTCTTCTTCTCCTTCTTTTTCTTCTTATCCTTTTCAGTCCAATGCATTCGGTTTGGTTTTATGAGAACAAGGCACAATGATCGAGTTACTATTGCCGTATTAGTTTTTCTTCGTCTCGTCGCATTTGAACACTGACATTTTTCCTCTTGTTTTCTTCTTAGTTTTTTTCCTTGATATTCCGGCTTTCTCCTTTTCTCCCTCCCTCCCTCCCTCCCTCTCTCGCGCGCGCGTAACAACAAACCTAACTGACTTTTCTTTACGTTCACTTGCCGAGTCTTCCAACGATATAAACACTCGTGTCTTGTTCTTTTTCTTCTCCTCAAAATAGAAAAATGAATTTTAATTTAAAGGCAGCCGGTACCCTTCTTTCCCGAGCAAAACAGGTAATTTATTATGCGATAAACAAATCAATTATTTCAATCAATATGCTTTAGTTCACTGAAGAAAAACTTGGTCAAGCCACCGACCGAACTGAATACGATGAAAACTTCGGACAGTTGCTAGCTGGAGCTGATCGCAGCAAAGCATGGACGGAACGCTTGATCTCTCATGTCGAAACTGTTCTACAACCGAATCCTAGTTAGTGACAATTAGTCATGCCAAATAGATTTTGAAACATTTCATGTCTCATTAGATGAACGTTTAGAAGACTTTATACTAACAAAACTTGATCAGAAGACAACTCATAAGCCGAACATATTTGAACAACTGGGACAATGTATGACCGATGCCGGGAATGACTTCGGAACTTCGACACAATATGGTTTGAGAAATCAAATTGAATCATTCGATATTTTCATTCTTGTTTGCTTAGGTTCAACATTGATCAAATGTGGACAAACGCATCAAAAACTCGGACTGGCTTACAAGGATTTCATTCAATCGAGTGCAATGGGTTACATTCAACCTCTACGAAGTTATTTAGAAGGTGAAATGAAATCGATTACAGTAAGAATTCTCTCATGCATACAGCTAATTCGAATCGCATGACAACAAACTCTGCTTGTTTTTTGCTAGAAAGAACGACGAACATTAGAAATGAAGCGTCTTGATCTCGATGCTGCAAGATGTAAGCAAAAGAAGAATAAAATGCTTAATAATACATCGTCAACGTTGGCAGATGTAAGTAGAAGAAATCACATTGATTTTCGCACGCGACATATCACGATGATTTGTAGAGTTCGGATGTGGAAGTTCGCAATGCACAAGCCGAGTTCGATCGACAGTATCATATTACACATTTGATGTTGGGTGGGTTACAGAATTCTCAAGTATGTCTTGCACGATTTGTTTCGGATGAAAGATAACTTTTTCACTTATTCACCTTTTAGAATCATCATCTAGGTTGTTTATATGACTTAATTGAATCAGAAGTGCAATATCACCGAAAATCTTTACAAATTCTTGAAGAATTACATAAAAAACTAGGGTAAAGGAAGTTCAACTGCAAAAGAAAACCAATTTCTTTCATTCTATTTCCAGCTTGGCAAAATCGGTATCGAGTGCGCCGACATCACCTCGTACACGTACGGGAACTGTCAGATTTGATTATGATGCATCCGATTCCAATGAACTCAGCGTCCTCGCCAAAGAAGTAAAAAGTCAATGGACACAGGAAAAACAACATTTTTTTCCTTTTTTTTGCACTTGCAGACAGTGAATATCGTCTCCGATGGCGACAATGCGGAATGGATCACTGTCGAGAAGTCAACAACAAAACAACGTGGACGTATACCGCGTAACTATGTACAATTCGATGCATCCTAAATCTTGTGCCCAACGCGTTTTTCAACTTCCAACAGATTTCTTTCTCGTCGTATTTTTCTTTTCTTGCTTTGTGATATATTTCGATGACTAACGTACATTTCAATTTATGCAACTGAACGATCATTGAACTGATGCATTTGATTCTCCTGTAGAAATATCTCTATTTAATAAAAGAGTTTTCATTCTTAGAACGTTTTTCTGCAGAAAAAAAGTTCCTTTTTTTCCATTTAACGATTCGAAATGTCACAACAACGTGTTCATGTCCGGTAATCTTCTATTTTTATAGCTCGTCAAGTATTTACGACGAGCTTCGATTGGTGAATAAATAATAATCATAGGAAATCTTACCGGATGTCAAAGATACTGCACTCGTTAGTTATGATTAGTTGTAAGAACTGCAATTATGTCTTCGCGGCCGATAATAATGATACCATAACTTGTGCTCGTCTATCTCAAAATACCCGTAACTCATTTCCGCTCCAGTTGGTTGGAAGATGCAGCACAACGATTCGACGATCAAATGTAGGGAAAGTCGTCAACAGAGCGCTGATTTATCTTTTGAAGATCGTATTTTGTTGTTTTTGTGGTTTCTCTTCGCATCAATTGTCAATGTTCTTGAGAGAGTACAACAATTCGAAACATAGTTTCATATAGATATAATTCAACTGCTCTAGATTGAAGTTTTAGGCTCTGATAAGTATCACTCGAAAAGAGCCGAGAGAGAAAATTCGATCAGCTATTCTAAAACACAAAAAAAAACGACCATGATTGATCAAAAGACTTCTTTGGAAAAATTCATCATTATTATCAGACGCTATTCCATGCACAGTCGGATGCAATGAATTCAACTAGCGAACTAGATTATGAGACTGCTATTGAATTAATCTGAGCTTCTTTCTTCTTCGATGCGTCTTTATACATTTGATTTCTCACCTGGAAAATTCTCAATGCTGTGTCAGGATGTATCATCCGGTATAAAAATTTAATTGAATTATGCCTTGGAAAATAAGTATGGGAAAATTTTTCGCATGGAAACAAGAAACGACTGGCTCGAACGGACTCGATCGATTTCCTACGTTTGTCTTTTCTATTGTTTCATTCACCATTTCCATTCATATACATCGTACACGTAAACACAGAACAAAAGCCAACAATCACCTTACCATTAGAAGAGATTTATGTTTGTGTGTGTGTGCACATGTTGTGTCAGCCTGCGAGATCAACTAGACATGGGCCAGAGAAGAAAGATTTCTCAATACTATTTTGAATAGCTGTAGGGCAACCTTCCTTCCTTCATCTTTTTTCTCTTTTACTCACTGATTCATTCATTTTTTTTCATTCATTCATTCATTCGCCTGCTTGACTGCTTCATGAATATATGGATGTGTTATTGTTGTGTTGATTTCAAAAGGAGAGAACCTACGAACAAAAGGGACATACACAGGAGGAGAAGTGAAGAGTATCCTTTATACTCAACAACGACGACGACACATAAAGACAACTGATGTGGGTCAAAAACGAAGAGAAAGAGCGAGAAATAAAAAAAAGAAAAATGAGAGAAAAAAGACAGGGCAACTGCCATTTCAATCAACCGTATCTAAGCGGCTTTTGTGTCGTTTTTTGTATGTAGTGTGTGTGGGTGCTTTGAAAGTATGGAGAAAAAAAGAAAGAAACTGCTGTTACTACTACTACAAGTACTGATGAATTGAATTGAATGAATTGTGTATGGCAATGTTAAGAGATGAATTGAATGAATAGTGTTGTCGACAAGCACTACCATTCGTGCATACATACCACATAAATACGCATACACAATTCAAAGAATATGAAGAATGGTTTGGCTAGTATTACTCTCAAATAGCAACAGCATTTTAAAACTTACATGCAGATGCATCTTATCGCAACATCGAGTATTAGTCGAATAGACATATGAGTAAACTGTCTAGTTATATACATTGACCATTATGAACACGACATGGTTAGGAATCAGGTAAGACAGACTTTTTCATGTTCGATGTACGTATGCTAAAATGTGTTAATCTTGACACCCGCGAGAGTACGCTACAATGTGTTAAATTTTTCTTTTCTGGAAAAGAATTTTACACATGCTTTTCGAGTGTTCGTGTGGAAAAAAAAGAGAATTTGGAATTGTGAATACGCGCTAGAGGTCAGATTTGGTATACTGAGAAGTTTCTCTGTAGATGGCGGTAATCTGCCTAGGAAAATCAAAAATCAGAAGAACTTCGTTGAGTCATCTATATCAAAATTTAAATAGTCAGATTAACCATGAAATTTGACACATCGTCAATGATTTGACAAGTAGAAAAACGAATTTTGTTAATCGATAAATTACTCATATGTAATTCGATATTTGTTCGTTTATCACCAATGTAAATATTGATACATCATTGATGAATCGAAATTTATTTCAAATTATTGGATATAACTAACATTATTAAGACTTCGCCCTATGATTTTTCGAAATAGATTAGATAATTTATGCGAGATAATCACCCTCAAGACTTTGAAGAAGCTGTTGTTCTATGCCGATCCTGTAAAGCTAATCTCACCTATGTGTCATCGAGAACATCGGCAAATATTCCACATCGTGCTTTCGTTTTATCTTTCTCATTTGAATAGAAATTGAAAAACAACATAAACGCTTCTCAATTCGACATTGCGATGATGATTCTTCGTTTTCAATAGCGGTATATTAGCTTTGATGGATAATCATCTAGTGCATTTAAAGTGTTTCCGTTCGTTCACTAGTGATTATTTAAAGAATGTTTTATAAGACCTAATTGATCGTAAATAAGAGCCTCCTATGTGCGTCGACATATGTGTTAGTGATCGATCAGTGATGTTGTACAATCCTCTTTCTTTAGTTTTGCTAAGCTCATAATGAGTCGAGATGTGTTAAGTGGTCGACCTTCACTTGCCTTGAGCGCGTGACATATATAGCATTAAGGATTAGTAGAGACGATAAATAAATATTGATCTAAATCTTGCTGAACAGACTGGGAATATATATATGAGAGACGAAGGGAGGGATGTCTGGTCTCGTCTTTCAAACGAAAACAAACAGGTACCGCACTAAATTTCATTTTTCGAAACTATGCCAGTTTCTATGTCTGTCTGTCTGTCGCGCCAGTAATATTATTGTGGATGATGATGATGACAGTTTGTCTCGATTGACACGCACACATACTCCCCAATCGAATCAAATCACGCGCATAGAAAATGCATTGACAGCATCATTGTACATGTTTGTCACCCAAGCACAACCACTAGAGAGATGCTCGGTCACGCAACTCACTCGCTTTCTCTTCTAGATGATGATGATGATGATGATGATCGGTATTCCATCGGGAACGAGGGGAAAAAAGTATCTATTCATGGGCACGAACAATTCAATCTTCTAATTAAATTTTCTATTTTGACAAAATTAATGACGCGCGGAGAGATGTTGAACATAGTGACAAACAAATGTCTTTTTTATTTCATTGTGCCACTGATCCGATTTCTCGATTCCGAATATCAGCGATTCTGAAGTGATGTGAACGATCGAAAATTGATCCCTGAGAATGATGATATCCTTCTCATTCTGTCTGTGTGTGTCTGTCTCTCTCTCCTTTTCGCTCTTCGAGCACGTAAGTCAAGAGTTGGACAGCAACACAACAAAATTGCTACTTGAGAATCAGTTGAAGTATCCTTCTTCTCTCTTCTCTTGCCAACTTGAACTATCGTTCGCGTTCACTTTCATTCACCTTCCGACCGGCGGTAACGGAAGGAAGTCGAACGACGTCCGTTTAATTGGCATCGTCGTTCCAATAGCCGTAGAAACTAGACATTCATCAAAAGACAGCGATATAGAAAATCTTTTGTTAATGCTCGAATCACGCACATTATGCGCAGTAAGATGTATCAATGACGGTTCAATATCACGAAAAAAAAGGACGCTTGTTTGCTCGTCTCCTCGCTTGCATGTGATGTCGTCAGGAAACAATTCGGAATGTTTGTTGTATTTCATTTATTCATTCAGTCATTCATTCATTCATTTCATCTCAATTCCGGATGGATAAGGTGCTTGTCTGCATAATTAAAAATGAAAGAAAGATATTCTCTGGCAATAATCGAATAGTATAGATCCCGCCTATAGCTTCGCTTCATTACATCGAACCAACCCATTTTCTCTTGGGAAATCGTCGTTTTCTTCTTTTCATTACTAATGACGGATCAAACGAGTGATATCTTCGTTTTTTGCAGAGAATACTGTTGTTCATTCAAGCACGATCAAACAGAAGATGCATATATGTATGTGTGTATGAATAAAGGTGCTTTCTCCCACAACATACGCTCAAATGAACACACATTTCAACATACTTTTCTTCTTTTTTTTGTTAGTATTGTCGTTAAAATAGCAAACGACTATTTTTCTTGGGCCAACGGGCACATTAGCGAAGCTATAGCANTAAGACAAAGTTTCCTAATCTTCGTCTATCGTTTTTTTTTGTTCATGTCATTTTAGTTATGGTGTCTCTGTATAATATGGACTCCAATCCCGAGTTATCTTTCAATACATCTCATTACCCTCATCACATGTCATACCATCATGGAAACGTATATGATTCTTCTATTCAAGCACCATCAACTGCGCCACCACCGAATTGGATGATGCATTCTCATCATTCTCATGGACCTTTAATGATGTCACATCATTTGCAAGCACCACCAGCCTCATCACAATATTCCAATGGTATGACTGGTCCACATTCGAATTCTTCCAAAGATGAACCACCGTCTCCTCTTTCATCATCACCTGGAGCAACTCCAACGACGTCATCATGCGCTCTGACACCGAATTCTCTTCCATCGTCACAATCAACTAATGCCAATACCTCAAATCATCATCATCAACACCAACATCATAGTTCTTCGTTGAAGAAATCGCTTGATGATCGTGTTAAACGTCCGATGAATGCATTTATGGTATGGTCTCGTGGTCAACGACGTAAAATGGCTCAAGAAAACCCGAAAATGCACAATTCTGCCATTAGTCGATGTCTAGGCGCAGAATGGAAAAGTTTAAACGAAGAAGATAAACGACCATTCATCGATGAAGCGAAACGTTTGCGTGCAATTCATATGAAAGAGCATCCTGATTATAAATATCGGCCGAGACGTAAAACAAAAAATCTTCAAACAAATTCTTCGACGACATCGGGAGTAGCAACAGCAACAGTATCTCATAATAATTCTTCATTGATAAATAAAAAAGATAAAGTGCATCATCTCATGCATCAACATCATCATTCAAACGTATCGAATCTTCCACCACCACCACGAGGCTCAAGTTGGGGTCTCCCATCGAATGTCATCTCTGCAACATCGTCATCACCTTATTTAACTGATTGTAATCCATCCTATCCTATGACAGATCCAAATAATCTTTACACACATCCATTTGCACCACCGCCAATGTATCATTATGGTCCACCTACTAGTACAAGTCCGCAACCGCCTCCCCATGTTCAATATGGCTATACTAATAATCTCAATGGAAATCATCCTTATTCGTACATGAAATCGGATTCCATGTCATCGCAACAACATTTCTATACACTTCCGCCGCCACCGCCTCCATCCGTAGCACCAGGATCATTGTCACATCAAGAATATTCTTCACCTGATCCACCATCGCCTGAACAGCATATCTAAGAGCAAATCGAACATCCAGAAAACATTTCTTGTTTGTTTGTTTTCTTCTCTCCTTCTATTCTGGAAAAGCCCGGTCGATGTGCAATCTATTTGAATCTCAATTTCTACGACATCTTCTGTTTTCTCTCTCTCTTTCTATTTTCTGTCGCATCGAGTGTATACGTGTGTTCGTGCCGTTTTGTTCGTTTTTTTATACACAATCTCGCTATTGATTCTCTCGACTCTTTTTTCCTTCTTTTTCCCATTTGTTTGTTCACACACGCGACATGGATAAACAGTGAAAGAGAGGCATTACATTTTTCTTGGTGTATAAAAAACGAAAAGAAATATATCGATGAAAAAACTTGGAGCCATTATATAAATAATTTTAATGTAATCGTTTTCACGTTTTCTTTCTCCCCTTCTCTCTCTCTCTCTCTCTCTAGCTTCAATAGTTCGTACGACGATATGATGGATTGATTTAGGTCCTAGTCAAAAAGAATGTCCTCAACTTCAAGATTGAATTAGTTCATATTGCGACACATGATCTCAACAGCTACGATGTATTCTATCGGCACAATTCTTGATTTTTCATTCATGTGTGGACGCGTATTGTATGAACGTTCATAATCGAAGTGTATGAGCATAAGATTTTACTTGATGACTAAATAATGATTGACAGAGAAAAGATCGAACTAAGTATAAATAGGTATTGATCTTTTGAAAAGTTCTAATCTTTCTGAGANATTATTATTAAAGCAGAAACGAAGAACGACAGAAAAAAGAAGAGAGCGAGGGAGAGAGAGAGAAAGAGGCATACGCACATAGAGAAAGAAAATCCGCGTAGAACAATACACTCTCACACCTTTCGTGCAGCTACATATACACACACGCATTCATATACGACAAACCATGTGCTGCTATTGAAGCAGTATAATACAATACGAATCCAATACTTAATATTTCTCTCAATTTTTTCTCTCTTTTGTGCTCCCATCCGTAGAGAAAACGAGAGAGAGAGAGAACGCCAGAGAAAGAGAGTACGAAGAAGAAAAAAAACGGGCTAAGTGTACGACGTCGGCGTCAGCCACATTGAGTATCGTTACGATTGTATTGTATTGAAATCATCATGATGGTTTCTTTTTCTTAACAAACATCCAACACATTCATACATTACAAATATACACATACGCGCGCGCACATATATTCACCAGGTAAAATTCCTCCTTTTATTTTCTAACAATAGAAAAAAGCAACATAAGAAGAAAAAAAAGCTAAACAATAAATAAATTGAATGTGTAATTGCTTTCTATATACTCATTTCGACAATTGAGATTGACGTTTAGCGACTAATTACTAATACATAGATCAAACAGCTGATAATGATGTCTTTTTTGTTCAGTTATTAACTAATGGAATACTAAGTATTTGGAGCATTTACGATTCTTTGTATATATGTATTAGTAAGACTAAGTTTCCTAATCTTCGTCTATCATTTTTTTTGTTCATGTCATTTTAGTTATGGTGTCTCTGTATAATATGGACTCCAATCCCGAGTTATCTTTCAATACATCTCATTACCCTCATCACATGTCATACCATCATGGAAACGTATATGATTCTTCTATTCAAGCACCATCAACTGCGCCACCACCAAATTGGATGATGCATTCTCATCATTCTCATGGACCTTTAATGATGTCACATCATTTGCAAGCACCGCCAGCCTCATCACAATATTCCAATGGTATGACTGGTCCACATTCGAATTCTTCCAAAGATGAACCACCGTCTCCTCTTTCATCATCACCTGGAGCTACTCCAACAACGTCATCATGCGCTCTGACACCGAATTCTCTTCCATCGTCACAATCAACTAATGCCAATACCTCAAATCATCATCACCAACACCAACATCATAGTTCTTCGCTGAAGAAATCGCTTGATGATCGTGTTAAACGTCCGATGAATGCATTTATGGTATGGTCTCGCGGTCAACGACGTAAAATGGCTCAAGAAAACCCGAAAATGCACAATTCTGCCATTAGTCGATGTCTAGGCGCAGAATGGAAAAGTTTAAACGAAGAAGATAAACGACCATTCATTGATGAAGCGAAACGTTTGCGTGCAATTCATATGAAAGAGCATCCTGATTATAAATATCGGCCGAGACGTAAAACAAAAAATCTTCAAACAAATTCTTCGACGACATCGGGAGTAGCAACAGCAACAGTATCTCATAATAATTCTTCATTGATAAATAAAAAAGATAAGATGCATCATCTCATGCATCAACATCATCATTCAAACGTATCGAATCTTCCACCGCCACCACGAGGCTCAAGTTGGGGCCTCCCATCGAATGTCATCTCTGCAACATCGTCATCGCCTTATTTAACTGATTGTAATCCATCCTATCCTATGACAGATCCGAATAATCTTTACACACATCCATTTGCACCACCGCCAATGTATCATTATGGTCCACCTACTAGTACAAGTCCGCAACCGCCTCCGCATGTTCAATATGGCTATACTAATAATCTCAATGGAAATCATCCTTATTCGTACATGAAATCGGATTCCATGTCATCGCAACAACATTTCTATACACTTCCGCCGCCACCGCCTCCATCCGTAGCACCAGGATCATTGTCACATCAAGAATACTCTTCACCTGATCCACCATCGCCTGAACAGCATATCTAAGAGCAAATCGAACATCCAGAAAACATTTCTTGTTTATTTGTTTTCTTCTCTCCTTCTATTCTGGAAAAGCCCGGTCGATGTGCAATCTATTTGAATCTCAATTTCTACGACATCTTCTGTTTTCTCTCTCTCTCTCTTTCTATTTTCTGTCGCATCGGGTGTATACGTGTGTTCGTGCCGTTTTGTTCGTTTTTTATACACATTCTCGCTATTGATTCTCTCGACATTTTTTCTTCTTTTCCCCATTTGTTTGTTCACACACGCGACATGGATAAACAGTGAAAGAGAGGCATTACATTTTTCTTGGTGTATAAAAAACGAAAAGAAATATATCGATGAAAAATCTTGGAGCCATTATATAAATAATTTTAATGTAATCGTTTTCACGTTTTCTTTCTCTCTCCATAGCTTCAATAGTTCGTACGACGATATGATGGATTGATTTGACCCTGTCACGCATTCATTCGTTTCTTGTCGCTAAATGCACCATACCGGGATTATTCTGGCTGCTGCAAATAATCGATATGTATGTATATGCATATAACAATGGGTGTGAACCATGACCCATTCGTTGTTGATCGACAAAGAGAGGGAGAGAAAGCCGACTCATTCTCTTTTCCTTCATCTCAGCCCTCCCGTTGCGTTTTACTCTACACTTATCGTCGTATGAAACAGGCTGTCCGATTGAGGTGGTGAAGAGAATAAATTAGTGTTGGTTCTACCTCCTAGCATCAATAAATAATAGGCGACATCGTCTGAGATGTTCGTAGTATGAATAAGAGATGAAAATTACTAATACGGAATATGAGAGAAGAACATCTTAAATTATAGACGAGAGCAAGATTAGTGCCGAAGCAATGACAACGGATAAGCTCTCTTGGGAACAATTGTCACGGCAACTTGTCGATAATTGCTTATTAGAGATCCATATGTATACAAAAAAAAAAATCTATTTGGAATAAATGCTGTGATTGAATACAGAAATATAATTAGCTGGAAAATCACATTTTTTTTCAAGGAAATGTTTTTGGAATGAATACATGATCACCAAAAGCTATATGCTTATTCGAGGTATAGATGTAAATTTTCTCGAAAGGAAATATATCGAGTACGGAATAGATGTTCGATTGAAGATTTCATTAAGGAAAGAAGAAGAGAACTTCATTGATTAATCGAATTTCGCTCGTGTCGTTTGTCGACATTGAGCAATTGAAAAATCAGTGAATGGAACTAATCAAGCTGTCTACTTGGTAGCGGAATCATTCTCATTTTTCTCAAGTGGACGCATCCTATTCAATCGTCTGCATACGATCAAAATTCAAGGAAAATATTGAAGACAGGAATGAGATGTATATTTGCTTTTCAATTATCTTGAGGAAGATCGTTCAAAGTTGACAAAAATTTCTTATAATAGAACTCAAACTCTCCTGCTAATGATGAATTGAAAAGAAACTTCAAGAACTTTCTAAATGGCGCAAACCGATAGGAATCAAAGATTTCATCATGTATTAAATGAGCATCACCAAACGTTGAGAAAAACGGCATGTTCCACATCATCGATGGCAAACCTGGATCGAGACGTTTGGATTTCTTCTGACGTTTATCTATGTTCACAGTTGAATGATTTCGACAGTAATCATTGATTAACATGGAAGAATACACTTGATCCATATACCATGCTGCATCGCCTTTGTTCATACTCGAATCGTATAAGCTGCCGAATTCGCAGCGAGTATAAGCGCTGGCGGTTTCAAACGAAAATGGCGCTTGTGCGGAAAGCAGAGTTGTATTTAACGACGGACAACTTCCATTCAAAAGTGCTTTACGTTGGTCTGATTCCATAAACATATCTCGCCACATTCGTTTTCGAAGACATATGTGGCTCATTGGATACATATCGTATGTTCTGTTATGACGTTGAAAGGATCCACAGCACAGAGCATTGTAGATAAATCCATCGGTATGATCAGCTATTTCGTAATTTGATGGTTCTATTGGGATAATATCACTATCGGTTGTAAGAATGTAATCTGTATCATTAACGATTGTATCTGAAAGAAAACCACCGAAGATGCGTACTATTTGTGACATTTTTGTCGAATATGACGAATCGCATTGAAAATCAAGTGTATAAGCGCCTAATCGTTGGAGAAACGCACGTGACAAAGCGAGTTGAGGTGATAACGATGCATTGCTACGATTAGTAAAATCACCAGTGAATACCACAATCACTCCGTAACCCAAGCGTTGCCATGCAGCAGCTGTAATAGGAGTATAGAAAATGTAGGAGCGAAGCTGTGAATGAATGGAAGATGAAAATATGGCAAAGCGTCGATGTGGACTTGAGACTTTCTTCGAAGGTGTTTGCGCTCTTGTCGTCGGAAGTGACGTCACTGTTGAAGGAGCCGGTGGCGGAAAAGTAATTTCTAGCCATATTGTTGCCCTCGGTGTTTTGTAAAGTACAAGGAAGAGAATCAGTACTATGGTGGAACTTCCTAAATAATACACCAATTTGTAAGCCTATGAAATAAAGAAAAGAGTGATTGACTTAAATCATTTCTTTCATATTGATTTTTACGCGACGGTACTTAATATTCATCGACAAAACCATCTAAATATTCAATATTTACTCTTTACATCGCCTACAAATGAAAGAGTACCTATTGAAAATTGCCGTTCAGCTTGACTGCTTCGTTAGAGACGCATGTTCTCTTTATAGTTTATATGATATGATACAAATACACCTCAAACGAAGTTTATGCAATAAAGTTTACTTCCTTTTTCAAATTGAGAATGGATTTTTGTATAAAACGCAAATTTTCGAATAATATTGACAAATGCAACACAGTTTTCTGAAACCAAACAGCTCAGGCAACAGTCACTTTTCGACATTAGGTCTATGCGTACAATTGATTGATGGACATCAGTTTGTTGCAGAAGTTTAATAACGAACGACAGCGAAACAAGGTGAAACTAGGCTGTTTCAAATATCGTACTCTACGTCATTTACTCGAAACTTTTATTTTATTCGCGAGATGTTGGCAAAAAGACAAACGAAATTGCCAATCAACTCATGTAACAACTCACCATTTCAGTTCGATTTTAAAGCTAAAGTGAATTTCGACTTTTTTTCCTCTCACATGTGTTTAAAAAAGCTAACAATCAGTACGAAACATCGCACCGATCGCTTTTTCTTTCATGTTCTGCACATAACAGTACTTCTTCTCGTAAGAAAACTATGAAAGGTTTGTTTTATTTACACGCCATAAACTGAGTAGAACTATAAATCAGAATCGTCTTATTCCGCCGCGTTAGATTACTTGATTGATTGATTTGTTTGGTTTTTCATTGAAACCAAAGCCTTCTTTTGTTTTACTGACGAAAACACTTCCCTCTGTGTTTGCTCATTCATTTTTATCTGTTTTTATAGACACACGTATTCACAAGTGATAGCAAAATGTTGCAACCGTTTTGCAACATGTTAGGTTTCACTTTATGTGTCCAAAAAGATTTTTTTCTTCTTTCTTTTCTTAGTGTTTTTTCTTCTTTTGCCTTCCGTCGTCGTACTCTCGTTCTATTACTAACCTATGCTCGTTTGAGGAGATGATTGGCAATGTAAGCATATGTAGTTCGTCGTTAAACAATTTCCTTCCTTTTCATAGATGTGTAAAAGCAATCAATTGAGAATTGAATTGAACAAGGATTGATACAAACGACGATGTTCACCAATACATCAACTGGAACTAATCAAGCAGTATACTGGAAATCTTTGTTGGATATCTCTCTCTCTCTCATACACTTATTTAGATCACATCAATTCGAATGAAATGTGTCTTTCTTGTGTTATGTTTCGCATTTCTTGGTATTTCGTTTGCACTCTATTCTATGACAAACTTTAACTGGAATACATTACATTCCTATGTAACCAATCAAGTAGGATCTGCATCTCATACAAAAACTTTTGACGCAAATGTGACGTTAAAGTCTACTACAACTAATTTTCCTGGAAGACGTGGACCGCGTCGTTTTGCAGTCTTTGCCTGTTCCATACATGCGACAGTGCAAGCGTATTCATTCTACACACCAATAACTGCTTCGAGTTGGACTCGCATTGGGTACGAAAGTATAGTCATATTTGTCGGTGATTTTACGATGCCAAATATTCTCACAGCTCGATTAAACTTATCGCGTGCATATTTAAAACAGGTTGGTGCATATATTATCGATGTACAGTGTAATGCTTCATATGCAATAAAATTATCCCAATTAGTTCGAGTTTTTTCGGGATTTTTACCTGACTCGATCGTAAACGACAATGATGATATTTTAACAAGTGATAGCGATCTGATACCATTACAGCCAGATCCTTACCGTCCGACTAATGGAACGGATGGGTTTATTTTCAATGCATTCTGTTGTGGTACATTCCAACGACGTGGAAAGTCTTACCGAATGTTCCCAAGTGAGTCGTCTATAAGAGAAACTTGCTAAGAGCAAAATTTTCGCCATTAGATACAATTTCCTTTCTATTTCGATAATTAGCATATCTGATTATATACTTGACTTCCTGTAACATTCTCCTGGATCAAGTTGAAAGTTAATTCTAAGGCTGCATTCTTCTAAGTATGTCGTATCATTCATTCTTTCCTTTGTTAATTAGAAGATACTATTAATGTTCCTTTCTTTGGTAAGGTGTAGCAAATTAAACTAGAAATCTAGCGCACATCATGATTCGTCAGAAGGATTCACTCTCCTTGAACTTTCCAGAACGCTCCGACGTAACTTGTTCTTTCCGTCGTCGACAGAGAAGATTATTTCTTGCACGAGAGAAGGACATTTCTTCTATTTTCATTTTCAAATATATGCATCGCTCATTGATGAGATATCACATGTAGAATACTCTAGAGTAATCATTCGAAAGTGAGATACTCTACAAAAGTCTTTCTTTACTTACTCGAGAAGTGATAATGAATTTCTTCTGTTCGAATGCAGAGTGAATCAATATTTGCTCAATGTTCATCAGCTTGCTTCTAGATCATATTTGCTTATCACTAAATTGCTTATAAAAACAAACTTTTAAATGAATTCGTTCTCTAATTCTGCATAATATTCATTGTGCAAAAGCTCACTGGAAAAAGAATATTACGATGATAAATTTCTCTCTATTAATTTTCGATACGAAAACAAATAATATTTACCAACGGAAACTTCATTTGTCATTATATTCCGTTAAATCAATTTAATAATGTATCAATACATTTAAATTTTGTTACATAGCAATTCTTTTTCGAGACAATCTTACGTTTAGTCATTAATTTGTTCGTTTTCTTCTAGTGGGCCATATATACATGAAGAAGAAAAGCTGGCGTGCGATGGTGTTGGAGTCCACACTGCGCGCTGAACTTCTTGCTAATCAGACGAATACACAAATCCGAGATTTATTGAGTGAAAACATGTCATTATCATTTGAAACCATAAGTCTCTACGCTCGACGTGAATTCCAGAGTATTTATGACGCGAATATGGCCAAAGGTGATGCAGCTTGGTTTATGGATCAAATTCTATGTTCAATGCTATTAGGTGATTATCGTCAGAAACATCCGGACTTCAAAATTATTGAGCGTGGTCGTGGCGGACGACTCGATCGGGCCTTCGATATTAGTTATTGGAATCGTCCTTCGTTCAAAGAATTTGGCGATGCACATCTCATCCATGATACTATTCTTCAAAATCGTAATTGGAAGGTTTTCAATCGGCTTCTGGAAACTCTGTTCAATGAAACTCTTGTGAATTTATTTAATGATTATCATCGACAATTCATGATCGCCGAGAGGATAATTTTGAAACAGAAAACCTGACTGTTATTTAGTTTTTCATAGAATATTTGTTTATTTTTCTCTTGTTACTATTTGAAATAAATCACTGAAATGACAACACTAACTGAATACGGTAGATGGCAGTACTGCGCGTCGTTTTTCTGTGCGAAAAGACGAGGTTTTATTGTAGACAAAAACAAAGTGGTTCATACAAATTCCGATAAAATATTTTTCTCTTATTGAATATTTTATTCAGAAGAAATCTTTCTTATTATCATTGGCCAATTTGCATAGCCAATGAAAGTGATTGTCGACGGTCTTTGTTTCTTTCGACTGGCGAGTCATTGTTCGTATTAATTGTTATTTTGCTTGTCAAAACACACGTTTCGTTTAACAATCATGAGTTACTTTTTGAAATACGTCGAAATCGATAATTTCAAATCGTACAAAGGGCATATTGTTATCGGACCATTACGAAAATTTACAGCAATCATTGGACCAAATGGATCGGGTATGTTTGCGTTAAATAAGAACGATCGAATATCCAAGTATCTCTTTTAGGTAAATCAAATCTTATGGATGCCATCAGTTTTGTTTTGGGTGAACCGACGAAAAGCTTACGTGTGCGAAAATTATCTGTAAGTTTCTATTCACATACACATAGCCGTTCATCTGGATGATTTTCTCTTACGAAAAGGAATTAATCCATGGTGCACCAATCAATAAACCCGTTAGTAATCGTGCGTCGGTTTCTCTAATCTTTGTTTCGATCAAAACGGACCGTCATGGTGAGCGTACGGAACATGAAAAGCGCTTTCAACGTTTAATTGTCGGCAATGCATCCGAATATCGTGTCGACGGTCGTCAATTATCAGCAACAGAATACACCGAAGAACTGGAGAATATGGGCATCATCCCGAAAGCAAAGAACTTTCTTATTTTCCAAGGTCAAGTCGAATCGATTGCAATGAAAACACCAAAAGAGTTCACGGCTATGTTTGAAGAACTAAGTCGTAGTGGAGAATTACGCGAAGAATATGAACAAGCTAAACAAGAGAAAAACAAAGCCGAACAGGATACTCATGCAAATTTCCAGAAGAAAAAAGGCGTTGAAAAGCAAAAGAAAGAAGTCCGATTGGAAAAAGAAGTTGCTCAGAAATATGCAGCGTTGAAAACTCAATATGTAAGAAAGCATCGGTTTGGTTTTGAATAACTTTTGGATTGGTTTCTTTAAGGACGAACTTCAATTACAATTGAAATTATTCCAATTATACCACAATAAACAAGAGTTAGCCGAAAAACGTGACATCGCCGAAAAGAAAAAAGACGAAGTAGCGAAACTGGAGAAACGTAAGGAGGTGTCGGATGAAGATATCAAAACGAAGAAGAAAGAACTGGCTCATTACAATAAAGAACTTGCACATGATGAGCAAAAAGTGAAAGACTTGGTAAAGATTGAACTATTCAAAAGACCGGAATGCTTTCACTCAATTCGATGCATTTTTCCTATTTTAGGAAACACAAATCAATAAAAATCGACCGACTTACATCAAAGCAAAAGAGAACTCCACTCATCATCAGAAAAAACTTGATCTAGCCAAGTAAGAACCAAGAATAAAACTTGCACAAAAGCTAGCGACAAGTTCATTCTAGAAAAACACTCGCTGCAGCTGAAAAAGCACATGCTGCACACGATGAAGAAGTTGCTAAATATGAAAAAGACCTACACGAAGTCGAACGGATGAGAAAAGAATACGAAGACAAAATTCAAGATGAATCACAACATAGTGGTCGAAATTTAGCTTTAGAAGAGAATCAAGTAAGATTCGTTTCATTTGATGCTTGAAGAAAGAAGAGAAAAAATGTGATTAGATGAAAGAATATCGACGACTGAAAGAAGAAGCAGCGAAGAAAATGACACAATTCAGTGAAGAATACGATTCCATTGATCGTCAACAACAAGTCGATACGACAAATCTTGAACAAGAACAACGAAGTCAAACAGATCATAAAGCTCGAATCAAACAAACCGAACTACGCATCGAAGAATTGAACGGCAAAATCGACAAATTGGGTGGTTATATTGCGTAAGTACACGGATGAATTTCTACAATTCTGACCTATGGCTTTTAGCGACCTCGAACGAGAGTTCAACGAAAAACAGGCGAATGTAGAAGCACTCGAAAAAGAAGTTACTGAAGGACGAAAACGTTGTGCGGAACTCGAAGAAGAACTCGATCAAGTCAACAAGGAAATTGGCGATGCGCGCGTAAGTTTTGTGTTCAAACAAAAAGTTCTTTCTACCGAACAATGCTTGCTGTCCTATAGTCTGATCGAAACGAAACGAGTCGTGCACAACGACGCGCTGAACTTATCGAAAATCTCAAACAATTTCCAGGCGTGGTATGTACTCACTAGGCTAAATAAGTCATTGACACAGTTTCTAATCGCATGTGTGCAAATATTGACGATTATCTTTGAATTTAGTACGGTCGTTTGATTGATCTCTGCGAACCAACTCACAAACGTTTTCAAATGGCTATAACTAAAGTTCTTGGTCGTAATATGGATTCTATTGTCGTCGAACGTGAAACAACAGTTCAATCTTGTTTACGTTATATGAAGGAACATCGTTATGAGCCTGAAACATTTCTTCCACTGGATTACATTAAAGTAACGCCAGTGAATGAGCAACTTCGGTTTGTTTTCTTCTTTTCGCATAGCAAAAAATAAGCCCTGTTTCTGTTTTTTTTTTAGAGAATTACAAGAACCAAGAAATGTGAAACTAGTTCTTGATGTTATCAAATATGATAAACAATATTACAAGGCAATCTTATATGCGTGCGGCAATGCTCTTGTTTGTGATAATGATGACGATGCTCGAAGACTTGCTTATGAAAGTGGAAGTCAAAAGAACAAAGTTGTTTCATTAAATGGAACACTGTTTAGTAAATCAGGTGTGATTTCTGGTGGCTCAAGGTAAGGAGAATTTAATGAAGTAGATTTTCTCAAACAATAACTTGCATTTTTCGTTGTAGTGAGTTGAAAGCTCGTGCAAAACGTTGGGACGAGAAACATCTTGATGCTTTACGCAACCGTAAAGATAAATTATTTGATGAATACAAAGAACAACAGAAGAAAAAACGACGTGAGGCTGAATTAATCAATGCACGGTAACTTGCCATATACCTAAGAACAATCAAAGAAAAATCAATGTCAACATTTCTTTTAGAGCACAGCTACAACAATTAGAAAGTCGATTACGTTATTCGAGAACAGATCGAGAAACAGCAGAAAAGAAGCAGAGAATTCTCATTGAAAAAGACCTCGTCGATTTCAATGATAAACTCGAAGTCTATGAGGTTAGTTTGAATAGATTCAAGAAGTTGCCATGTGCAATATTTGTTTTTAGCCAAAAATCAAAGCTTTACAAGCAGCCATCAACGAACGAGAAAAGCGTATATCGAAATTGCGTGTCCAAAAGAACAAGATTGAAGATGCTGTTTTCGCTGATTTCTGCAAACAGATTCATGTGTCTAATATTCGGTAGATAGTCGTCGGTTCACTCTGCACGGATCGTTTACTTCTTCGATTGTTTGTAGTGTTTATGAAGATCGGGAATTGCAAGCGGCGGAGAAACGCGCTCAAGAACGTTTGGAATTCGAAAATCAAATCACAAAGATCCAGACAATGTTGGAATTTGAACGATCACGAGATACGGCTGCTCATGTTGAACAAGTTCGACGAGAAGTCGTCACGTTAGAAGATGCTCTGCAAAAATGTCAAAAGAATGAAAAGAAGTATCGTAAAGTAAGTGAAAAATACCTTCGACGTTCTCTCGATTCATCAATGAGCGTTTTAGGTTATTGAAGATTTACAGCATGAAATTGGCGAAATCAAAGATCGACTACTTGATCAAAAGAAAAAGATCGAGTTTCAAGAACGGGAAATATCCGACTGTACAAAGCGTGCTGCTCAATTGAACAAAGACTATAACGAACAACGAAAACGTCTCCAGTTGATCGAAAGTGACATTGAAAAGCTACGACACGATCGACATAATTTCTTTCGAACAGCGAAGGTACGCTTATTCAAATCATTTCGTATGCAAACAAACAACTCTATCAATGTCATGTGCTGTTTTCTTTTAGCTCAATGAGATCTCGCTACCTTTCCGTGGTAATGCCGGTTCAATGGCTGCAATATCACTCGCCGAAACTTCATCATCGGATGATACAACAACCATTCAAACTCAAGGCAGTTCTTTATCTACATTCACGACGGATTCGTCGAACATATTGAACGGTGATGGAAATTCAACCAATCAGTTTGAAAGCCGACAGATTTTCGATATGGAAGACAAATTCGAATTGAATTACAAGCGTTTACGCGATGATTTGAAAAAGATCAATTACGAACAAGTTGATAAAGAAGAAAAACTATTGATCAAACAGATGTCGGATATTGAAACTCAACTACAAAAGCATTTACCACAAACATCAGCTATTGACGCACGTTCACGCGAAGTGAAAACAACGTTCGACTTGACAAACGCTGAATTCGAACGGGCACGTAACGCAGCTAAGCGTGCACGGCAAGCATTTGAAAAAATAAAAAAAGAACGTTATGATCGATTCAACGCGCTCTACGAACATGTTTCAACATGTATCGATGATATTTACAAATCGTTAACGAATTCTCAAGCAGCCGTCGCTTGTCTAACAGCGGAAGATGCTGAGGAACCTTATCGAGGTGGTATAACATACAATTGTGTTGCACCGGGAAAACGTTTTCAAGCCATGGAAAATTTATCTGGTGGTGAAAAAACTGTTGCAGCCATCTGTTTATTGTTTGCTTTAAGAAGGTACGACGAAATTTGTTTTTGATCTTCGATATATAGAATCAATTTTGATTTAGTTTTAAACCGGCACCATTCTTCTTACTTGATGAAGTTGATGCTGCTCTTGACAATACAAATATTGGCAAAGTCGCTGATTTTATTCGTGAACAATCGGCATCCGAATTTCAATGTATCGTTATTTCGCTCAAAGAACAATTTTATTCACGTGCTGATGCACTCGTAGGTATTTATCCTGAAGTACGTAATTTCCGCTCATTTTCGTTCAAAATTTACGTTGAATTTGTTCTCCATTTAGCCCGGCGATTGCATTACTAGTCATTGTCTTACACTAGATTTGAATCAGTTTGATGAACGAGAAAATGTCGCAAATACACGTGGTTAAACCTGATACAATCGGCGGGCTTTTTTCTTCTTCTTTGTAGATACATATTATATATGGTTTTGTTTGTCCGTGTTGTATATAACTTATTGTGTGTGTTTAGACCCGAAATATAATTGAAAATAAATCATTAGGTGAAATATATAATTTCTCATGGGTTTTAATAAAAACAAAGCAATCTCATACAGAAAAAAAGTTGTCGGAATAATTAAACTGATCGTTTGTAAACCCAAATACCAAAGATACATAGACCAAAGATGGCCAAAAACATGCAGAAGAACGCACTCAACCATAGACCGCTAAGCGAACTGCCTAGTTGATGACAGACTACGTTATCTGTCTCATAAATCGTATCTAATGGTAGTGGGCAACTATCGGACGTTGCTTTGACCACGTTTTCTAGATAATTTTGAAACTAAAACAATGAAAACGAGTTGCATATGTTTACCCATGAGAGTAACTGAACCTACTTGAACAGCTGTCGGTCTGATGAGGTATTCGGGTAATACTGATCCACTGGCATTGACCTTCACAAATGCGCTATTGAGTGCATTTAGATCCGACTCGATCTGTTGAACTTCATTGGAAATATCCAGTATATTTGTTTGATTAACAAATTCAGCAAATAACCGAATTTCATCTGGTATGTCGATTTGATGAATGGATTTTATAAACTGCTCATAAACTTCTTTATTTAATTCATTCATCATATCAGTAAGGTAGCGTTGCAGCGTCGGCCAATAGTTATCGAGCAATCTCGAACTGAAATGTACACCATCTTGACAATCGTCAATTATATTCGTAGCAACTGTGTCCAATTCGGTTTTATTCGTAAAAAATCCACCGGTTCCAATTACTTGTTCTACGCAAATCAATTAGAAATACATGAAAACAACCTTTCGTGTAAATAGTTACCAGCGACAAAGGGAATCAAGAATGATCGATCATTGTGTACTGTTCGACACGCACTATGCACTGCGAGATCAAACGTGTAATAAACGCCGGTTACAACTGCCATCGGAATTATCATAATAATCATGAGAGTGAATGCTATGCGCATGAAACAAAGCAACGCACCGCATCGTTCCGAACCACTATATTCATACTCATCTTTGCGTTGAGGATAGTCCGATCTGTAAAGCATTTCGGATATTTTCAAGATTAATAACGGCATTTACACACTTACGAAAAATTTCCAGATGATGTTTTGATGCGTTCCATTCCGATATGATTGCTATAAATTACAAAATGAAATGCCTTTGAATCACATGAGAAATATACTTGCTATATTTTGTTAAATGAATCCTTTTGATCTCTTCCACACAAACAGAATAGTAGAACAAAGATGGCAAAACCAGTTGGAATCACTGTAAGAAAGATCAGAAATACCAGAAAGATTGTTTCAGTCATATTCGTATATTTTCGAATTTGTTCTTCCAAGCCACTATCCATCCACGTTTGACTGCCGGATGATGTTATCGGATTGAGAACATCTCGTTTGATAAGATCGATTATATCGACTGCTTTTTGATTCAGAAGACCAAGTGCTTGCTGTAGCTTAGTGTCGATGACAGTTTGAGTATCTGTAGCATAGGTACACACTTCGTTTAACGGCTTTTGTAATGATTCAATCATCGAGACAAATTCCTTTTTGGTGGCGTTATACAGATCTCTAGCTGCCTGAGAAATGTTCTCGGTTCTTTCCACGATTTGATCGATAGTTTTTATGCCAGCATCAATACCATTCAGAGATTGACTCATATTTCTAATGTAGTATCTGTCCGTCAAGACTCGATCGAACGTTTGAACGATCATAGATTTCGACGCCATGATCAGAATGGAATTCGCTAAAACAAGTGAATGCTAGACGTTGAAATAAAATCTCAATGAGACATACGTTGAGCAAGATAGTTGTTTAAGTTTTCAATTTGATGAATTATGTGTGTTAAATAATCAACAACTGCTTTTGGATAAACTTCTCGATTAACGAATTGGATCGTATTATCAAGATCGACTTTAGATTTATTCACACGATAGGCTGCATAGATCATATCACCTATTCCACAGAGATAAACGAGCACTAGAAGACAGACGCAAACTTGAGTAGATTTCGATTGACGTCGCTTGTGTTTCTGAAGTGAGAAAAGAGGAATTTGATTTCGTGTAATACTGTACAAGTTTCATACATATGTGGTTCGTTTTCCACAACTGACACACGAGACGATACAGAACATTAAGGAGAGTATCAGAAACAATGCCAGAGCAATACTTGTGTAAAGAATAATCGTAGGCATGGGCTTCGTTTGACTTATTTCAGAGTAATTATTCAATGAATTGATATCATTACTGAACAGTCTTTTTAACAAAGCTCGAACATCATCGATGGAGAAGACGGAATCGATAATTGAAGACGATATGGTTTGAGCTAAGCCACCAGCACCTGGTTTATAACTCAGATGAGTAGTTGTTGCTGCTATTGAATTATTGACAAGTGTGGGAATCACTGGTAACGGTGGATAGGCGTCCAAACATGTTAAATTGATAGGCATTGCTTGAATCTTATGCTTTGAAAAAAAAGCTTATGCCTATGTCTAATACTTGCGAAAGTATTTAACAGACAGATAACGATCAGAAATAGTTGCTGAGATAAAAAAATGCTTTGTAAGATTAGTCAGTATCCATAGTAATCGAAAATATATATCAAGGTAGATAACGAAAAAACGTCTCTCTATTAATCAGCTTAGAGATGATTGCAACCAATATGGACTATATGGAAAGAGTTGGAATAGTCTATGTAGGCTTAGAGGATTAGTATTCATTGATATTCGTTTTACTTCCTATGTACAAAAGACGGTTATCTTTTGTGCTATTGATCAACGTCATTTACTCTGACTTTTGTTTGACAGATAAAGAAATGTAATCAGGGAAGATGAGTAACGATTCGTTTGTTTAGAAAAAATGTAGATAACGAAATTTGATTAGATAAACAAAAGGTTTCATACAAACACTTGCGTCAGATGCCATGTAAGTGGTCTGAGTATCACCAATTTATTATTTCGAGAACAGTCAACAATGTTCTCCATAAGTACATTCAAACTATCGATCGTCTTCAAGCAGTTGAAGTAGTTCAATGAAGTTTTGATACAAAAAATTTATTTATCAGAAGAAAAGACTTCACAATAAGAATCGAAATATATATATTTTTACATTTGCTTGAAAAACTAAACTAAAAGAAGTTTATTTTAGTGACTGTCGTCGAGCTGCTTCACGTTCTTGTTCCGCACGGCACAGAGGACAATCGTCATAGATGTGGACTTGTTGTCTTTGCGCTCGACATTCGGGGCAATCGTCATAGACATGAACTTGCTCTCTTAGCGCACGACACTCAGGACAATCATCATCAACATGCGATTGCTCAGCTGCACATAGTGAACAGTAACTATCTTCTGATGGAGAGCGTGGACGTTGAGCTTTGGCTTTCGGAGGAGGAGGAGGTGGAGCTTCATCTTCACTTTCCGAAAGTTCTTCGGGTTTCGTTTTCGTTATGCGATAAATCTTCGATACTTTCACTTTTGTACCTTTGTGTTTCAATAGATTGTTGATATCGTCATTGGAGACAAGACCACGAATAGCTTCATTCTTCGATCCGTCAGGTTCGATGGTGAATGCAGTGTCTTTGAATTCCTTGGCACCTTTTTTCAAACCTGGTGTTTTCGATCCAGTTGCTGATGAAATAGAATTCTTCTTTCCTCGATTAGGGTTGAATAAACCTCCTTGTGATGGTCTCTGTGCTTGCACCGTAGGTTTAGGTGCTGTAACTGTTGGTGCATGTTGAGTTTGAGCAGGTTGATTTCCAGCCGGTTGATTTCCAGCTGGTTGATTCGCGCCTGCACCTTGTCCATACCCTGGTCCATAGGTAGGTGGATAATATGCAGGACGTTGTACTGCTGGTGCACGATACCCAGCTGGCATGAGAGCGAAGCGGTCGTATGATCGATTGACAAATGGTGGATACGGTTGCCCATAATTACCTGGCACCATATAACGAACAGGCTGAGCGCCAGCGACTGGGTAAGCGTTCGGATAAGCTTGCATAACTTCGGTTGATCTTCTTTGTTGAGTTTATGTGAAATAGTAGCGAGAGATGAAAATAAGCTCGCTTTTTACGTGTTGTCAACAGAACGTAATCGAAAAATATTAACTGTTTTCGTTAAATGCCGATTGTTTTATTTGCCCTCACTCGACTACATAAATAATTGAAAGAAAAGCAAAAATGAACAGTGTGCTTGTCATCCTTCTGAAATTTCTACATGATTCATCTCTTTACCTTTCAAAAATCATTGTTTGCAACGCAAAAGAAATTATTTGAGGGTGTTTTACTAGAAGCAGAAGTTAAGAGAGAGAGAGAGAAAGATGCAAAAATTCGAAATGTTATTTTTCAGTTGTTGTGTGTTTTTTTTTGATAGGCACTTGCGATAAAAAACACGAACATCCCTTTTTTTCTTCTTTTGATTTCCATGTTTCTATCGCTATGTTTTTGCTTACGGTCGTTATGACGTCAGCTATGCGAGAAAGGAACAATTGTGATTTTGTACAGCAGTTTGCTAGGGCAACTTTCAAGTGTTTGTGCGTTTACAGTTCAAACACACAGGAACAAAAACTACTCAGCTTGTGATGTAAGCGCATTCGAAACAAACGGAAAGAGTAACAAATTTAGGCGAAGGGCGTATAGAAAAACAGTTGGTAAAAAAATATGTGAAGTGCATCAAAAAGGACAACGTCTGAGATTCATTGAGATATACATTAGAAAGTAATTGCACTCGCAGGGCAGAAATATTGTATAATCAATGCGCCCTGGATTTGGGTTCGTATTTGATTTGCAGATGACGAACATGCGATATCGGTTAGCGGAATTTATTGTCTCTCTGGCCACGATTCAAAAGACTGAAACTAGAAGCTTTGTATAGAAAAATAATTCTATGATGAGCAACAAACTCGTCATATTATAAAGACACAGAAAAGAAACACGCATTATTTACATTTGATAACGCTGAAACGACTAATGGTTGAGCATTTGTTTCGTTTGATTTGTTCATGGTGTCGACGGATCCTGCTCATGAGTTGAAGATGCTGTTGTTGCCATTGTTTCGTTGTATAGTTTAACACCAACTAATAGACAACACAAAACAATTGGGCCAATCAAAGCACCTTCAATTCCTCGATAATAAACACCGCCAGCGATAGCCAGTGCCGTTAAGTACTAAAACGAAATCAATGCTCTACTTTATCAGTCATTTCTAATTCGAAAGTCTTACTTGATGTCCACCGCCTTTCACTTCACTATAAATAGCAGTATCTACAACGTAAGTTGGTGCAATCTGCCCAAGCAACAACACCAGAGCAACAATAGGTCGTTGTTGGACAAGCCATAGATCCAAACAGCCAGGCAATGCAGCCCAGTATGATTTCAATATGACTGCACATATCGATGCAATAACAGCCGGTAGGAAGACAAGATTTGAACTAACAGCTGTGTGTAGAACATAAGTGTAAAGTCCATAGAATGCAGCTATTTTAAGTGAAGCAATAAATACACTCGTTACAGCATCGTTGACTGCTTTACCAAGGCCACGTTCACCGATTGCTAACGTGTTATTCAACCATTCGGTTGGCCGATAAATTGGTTGATCCGAATGCGAAAGCAGATAGAAGAGTAGAGTGACAAAGACAAAAAATGACACGAGGAAATTGAACAAAGCAAAGCCACCGGTGAAGAGTAAGGAAACAATGGTCGATAATAATGTTAACACAAGAGTTGTATTTGTCCAAATCGAATCCAGAACTGTACGTAACAGGCCGAGATTATCTCGAATTAAACGGTATGCATCGTGTAAATGAAAATCAAAATTTGTTTGCATTTGACTCAAGACATTTGGTACTATCAATGTATGATTGCTTGGCGAATACAAAATCGCACTACGATTCTCATTTGGTGATAAGATTGTTGACGTGTTCATCATGTAAGAATACATACGATCCCATAATTGTAGAATTTCCTCTTCAAGTTTTGCATTCAGCGAATGATTTTGATCTAGTACATTGATCTAAATAGAAAATTGTCTTAGTATGCGTAGTGAAAAGTTGCTCGATTTCGAACCTGTTTAGTAATCCAATTTCTTCCAACAAAATAGAAGTTATTCACAGCCGAATCCATCAATTGTCCAACGTGTTCTTTATCCGGTAACATATATTGAAATGATTGATGAAGTGTAATGGTTTCATTAATAAGATTACTTGTCACTCTTACCATATGAATACTCTCGTGATGAATCTAAATCAAAACTATTGAATAGAATGATTAATTTGTGTGTATTCAAACCTGAATAAGAAGGAGGATGGTACCAAGAAGAGCACTGACGAGTAATGTAACAATCATAAATGCGCTAACGAGATAATCAATCGATTCTTGTAAACCATAATTGACCTTTTTGTCACCTTTGATTAAACAACGAACGAGACCGGACAATGGTGATGGAGTTAAGACGTCGCGCCTAGTTTCGGAAAGGAAAAACGAAACTTCCGATTTGTTTACAATCATCGAGCGTATGCTTACCGAACTTGTAGAAAGAGAATGGCTTGTTGAATAACATATTGAACGCTCTCCTGTCTTATCAGATAATCATACGTTTTAATCAGAAGAAATTTGATAATTTTGTAAATGACGACAAAAAGAAGAATTGAGATTAAATACCCATAGAATCGATAAACTTTAATGGCAACTAGTGACCAAAGTACAAAGGTAAAATATGGTGCGGACACAGCGGAAGACAACGCTGTGGTCGGTGATTGATCTGCAGTTTGCCTTGTTGCAAAATAGGATCGAATCCAAGCGAAGATAAATGCTCGACTGGGCTGATCATTCGTATCGTTAGGTTCTACAGACAGAAAAACGCCTGAATTCGAAACGTTCATAAATTGCATACTCACGATCGACATTTCGATTCAAATGTTCAGTGGAATCAACAATGAAGCCTACTGTTATCAAAACAATCGATAGAATGATAACAATCCAACGGTAAGTCACCGGAAGCACTTGTGAAAGATAAATGAACAGAATAAACCAAACAGGCACAGCAATGATATTCAGTAGACTTTTAATCAATGGAGAACTATCATAAACCATGATTACCGCAATTAGATAAGCAATGACCAATGTCGTTATCCATACGGAGTCGCATTTATGAACGAAAAATACGAATCCATTAATAATCAAACTGAAAATGCCCACATCCCAACCATACAGAACTTCACTTTGAAGCAATAGTTTAATAATTGTAAATAGCGCAACAAATAGTAATCCTCTCCAATTTCGAAAACATAGCGGACCGATCGATTCGATTGTTCGATCAAGTGTTCGCAGGGGCAAGAGAATAAACAAGCCGTAAAGCAATACATGAGAATCTGTATCCAATTGACGAAGATACTCACGAGCGTGAAACGTTAAATGATTTTTCAATGGGAACAGAAATGCACCAGCTAGCACTGACCACAAAATACTGCGGAGAAACGGCTCTAATACTTGATAGGCGAGAATGGCACAACCACCACAGCATAGTATGAATAGTATTGCGGCTGAATGAACAAATGCTGTACGAAATGTTTGGCGATCGTGTCGTGGAGATCTGTTTACTGGAGGAAGATTTAGAAACGATGAGCCAAACGTATGAGCTTGACTATCTACGAATAATGCAGTAGGAAAAAAATTCAATTAGACTTTACAGATAGGGAAATTTACCATTATTATTATGCAAATCTTCCTGATCCGCCATTAGTATCTGGAAAAAAACATAGAATATCTATCTTACAACTTTCCGTTCGTTCGTTGCTTGATCAGCCTCAAGAGAAATAGAAACTTTTGATAGGTTTGTTGAGTCTCCATCAGCGAAAGATGACGCTATAGAGCACGAAAAAAGAATATTACAAGAAATTCTTTATTCAAGAGAAATAAAGCAGTACAGAAAACTGAGAGCTATTTTTCTGTTATGTTCTATGTCCATTCGGATACTGTACCAATGGTTCAACGTGCGATTGTACAACTTCCCGTGGGCGGCGATCAACAACAACTACTGTTTTTTGAGTGCTATTCTGTCCATTGACAGCACGATAGTCTCCCGGCATTTTATCCACGTAATCAAGCACTTTCACGGGTTTCCGCACTTGTCTCGGGTCTGTTTGATGAGTCACTGTTGCTGTTGATGTTGGCTTTACTCGATTCGGCTTCGGTGGTTGCACAGCTGGTGCTGTAATCTCCACTGGACGATTATCCACTTGTTGAGATGGGCGGACAAATGGATGTTTGTTTCCGATAGCTGTAGGTCTGTCTTGCATAGACGCGTCTGCTATTATTGTTGTCGATTCGATTGTTGGATTCACGTGTAAACGTTGTATCGAAAGACGTTTATGTGGTGCATTTCTCGAATTATGTCTTTGGGGAGGTTCTTTAGGTTGAACGCGTTTAAAAGTAGCCTGGAAATTTTCCGGTAAATCGTTTCCACCATTTGAATTCACGTCGATGACAGATTTTTCTGAATTTGTCAGAAACTTTCTTCGCGATCGATTATCTGGCGGCGTATGGTGATAAAGCGGTGTCCTAGCAGGTTCTGCAGGATTTTGATAAACAGCAGTGGTCTAAACATATCAATAGAATGCTAGGTCACATTGATTGCAATATAGACTGGCTAAACTCACGATAACTCGTTTCTTTGGCACCATATAAGCGTTGTTTTTCTTCATTTTCAAACTGTTTTGTACAACGGTAACAACAAATTTTCACTTGATCAAAGTAAATAGAAACGTTTTTCGCAACGAGTAAAATGAAATGACACGTTCTTCGACATTCGAGAAGAATTTTTTTCACATGTTTATTTTTAGAAAGAACATACAAAAAATGAATGTGAATAGTGATTTTGACACAATTATGTTCGATCGATTACATAGATTTGACGAACAAAAACAGTATACTTTATGTTTGGTCTTTGTTGAACGTATTGTGTGACAACCGTCGCTTGTATCAATATTTCGAACATTTTTCAAATATTCGAGTTCACCTTGTGATACGCACTTCCGTATGGTCAATGAGCGTTCGTCATCTTCAATTTGTTTCTTTGTTCGTGCTTCCGTTTTGGCATAGGATTTCAGACATTTACCTGGTCCGTTCTCACTAACACATTCTTCTTGTGTGTATTTACTGGGATCGAACTTTTTCATACAAGCTGCTTCTTTCATCTCCTGTGGTTTGTCGTGATGTGTACATTTGAAGCAGGACAATGGACTTCGTAAAGACGTTTTACGTTGAGCATATGCTAATGAATTGAACAGAACTGTTACAAGTACGAGCATGAACCGTTGTCGACACAACATTTTTTGCTTCTGGACAAATTCTACTATTTACTTTCGTTCTCTTCTCTCTGATTATTTACATTGTTCAATGGTTAATCTCTTTTGACAATGGACATGAGCAAACATTTGAATAGATAGTAAAGAGAAGGAGGAAGAAGAAGGAGATGACGGCGAGGAAAAGAAAACGTGCATCCTTTATTCAAAATTGTCTCATCTAATGTGACTATAATGAAAGATAGAAAGAAAGAGAGAGAAAGAGAAAAAAGCAATGCAATTCAGCCAGGTTCAGCCTTGAACTGTGTTCGGAGTAAAGATTTCGTTCAATTGTTGACTAAAACAGAAAAAGAAGAGCATAATCGTAGACAAGAAGCCAATATATTCATTACCTAACACGAATGAATGTTGTTCGACGACTCAGTTCTTTCAGTTTGCCAGCACCCACATAAGTACAACAGCTACGAACACCGCCTGTTAAATATACACAAGATGAGTATTTGTATTGAAGAATGAATGTGTTTACCTAGGATATCTTGAGCTGTACCAATGACAGGACCACGATAGGGCACTTCAACTGTTTTGCCTTCCGATGCGCGATATTCAGCTACACCACCCGACTAGAATATGTTCGTCAGAACTCCTTTTCAGTAGTGTATAGTAAATAACTTGACCTTACATGTTTATCCATGGCAGTTCTCGATGACATTCCATAGAAAAGCTTGAATTTGCGTCCATTACGCTCAATTATTTCACCGGAGCCACTTTCATCATGTCCAGCAAGCATACCACCAAGCATAACAAAATCCGCGCCTAAAAAGTCCATTCATCTCATACGCAAGAACGTAACACTCCTTTCTCTTACCAGCTCCAAAAGCTTTCGCAACATCACCGGGACTTGTACAGCCACCATCCTATAAACATTTCAGTTTTTTTCAATTCAGTTTCTTTCTAATAGCCACGTACGCTAACAATATGTCCACCAAGACCATGGGCAGCATCAGCACATTCAAGAATGCATGACAGTTGCGGATAGCCAACACCGGTTTTCAATCGAGTTGTACATACACTACCTAAAAGTAAACTTTAGTTGTGATGAAAATTCGAATGCAGCTTCTTTCTAACCTGGTCCTATTCCACATTTGACTATATCTGCGCCACTAAGAATCAACTCTTCAACCATTTCACATGTAACGACATTTCCAGCCTGAAAAAAAAACAAAAGTTTAGTTTTTGAATGTCTACAAAGTCGAAGTGTATCTTACAAATATCGTTTTATCGGGAAACTCCTTACGAACAAGTCGAACAAATTCAACGAAATGTTCCGAATAACCGTTAGCCACATCGACACAAATGTAATCAAGTTCCGGAATAGCATTTATGATATCACTAGAACCCAACATAACAGGTGAATAACAATAAAAAGCAAACACTGTCTCCAGACATACCGTAGTTTCTTGAAATCATTTTCTGTCATACCAGTTGAAATTGCCACATTCTAAAAGGATCAATTACCATGTTCAAATCTCCCTTCCACAATCATCTCGATAAATTACTTGAAGAATGCCGCTATTTTCTGCCGCGAATTGTTTCCATTGTTCGAGTGTATAATGTTTATGAATTGTTGTAAACAATTTCAACTAAGCAAAACTCCACGAATGATATTCTATTAGTTCTGGAGTTTACAAACATACTTTCGACAATTGAATGGCCATTTCGAACGTTCCAACTGTATCCATATTCGATGCAATGATTGGTATTCCATCATAGGTTTTTTTACTATGACGAAAAACAAAGTCGCGTGTTAAGTCAACATCTGCTCGACTTTTCAATGTTGATCGTTTCGGGCGGATTAGAACATCTTTGAAATCAAGTTTGATATCGTTATCTAATCGAGGCATTTTCGTTGTACTGTTCTATCTAAAATTGATCAATCAATAACAAAAACAACAGTTTCTTGTTAACAAAAAGGAAGAAAGAAAGAAACATTCAATTGAAACACGATGAATTTATTTCGGTAGAGGTGGCCAAAGCGATCTGACTTGAGCATGTAATGATTCCGGTAGCCAAGTGCAATACACATCAAGTAAATCTATATAAACAGATGATGTTGAAGAAGACATTCGAAACGATCTGTTTTCTTACACTTCGGTTCAGTTGACCAAACTTCTTTCAATTGAGCTCGACTATCGATCTGTTTCGCGGCTAATGCGTTGAGAAATTTTTGTGTGCGTTCCATTAACGATGCCCAAGACTTCACCATGGCATTTGACGAACATAGCAAAGCTGGATGAAATTGTAATAATTTCGGACAGACTATGCCGTCGAGAAAGTATTTGCCAAACCAACGAAAACGATCAATTGTATCGGGTGAGAACGATGTTTCAATTGCTGGTCCCAATGACCATGAAACACGTTGACCAATTGATGCTTTACGATAACAAAGCATCTTATCTTGATTTTCATCATAACGTGGTGGCGGATTTTCTTCAATGGGACCAAAAGAGCATAAATGTGGATTCAATTGAACAATCCAATCCATCTGAATCGCACAAATGTCTAAATCAAATTTCTTTCGATCGTTTCTAGTCAAGACAAAAAAAAATCAAACAAACCTTTGATAAATATTCGATTAGTCTCATGCAATTGCTGGTAACAAACAAATGGTGGTAATTCATTAATAAGAACCGATGATGGATGAATGAATACTGGTTCTTCAAGTAGAAGAGTCTAAATTTCACACACACTCTGCTTTATTTCTGTACAAATAAAAACTTTCGAATAAAGTTACTTGATAAGCATTGTTTGCCCTATGACCTTTGATCATCACAGGTCCTTCCATTCGTCTAAGAGAAAAAAACAACAACAGTCTTTTAAGACTGGATATATGAATATCGATTTACTTGGCCAAACGATCCACCATACCAGCGGCAAGTACTTTGCGTAATAAACATATTTGTTGTTCATTCGGTGGTACGAGATGAGCATCAAGTATTGATGCTATATCAGGTAGGATTGTTTTTACTAAAAGTGAAACATATTGACTTATAAATGGTTTATTGCTCTTGTTTTTCTCTCTCTTCTATTCAGAATGTATACTGCGAAGTGGATATTTTCTTCCAATCAAGGACGCGGATGGATAATAAACAACGTTTTTTCTTTCTTTCTCGTGGATTTATAACGATAGAGGATCGAGGAGAAAAAAAAAGCCAAAGTTAGATGCTCAGCAGGAAAAAGTAAATACTGGAGTTTCCACGTGACAAGAAGAAACTTCAATCGAAAATGCCTTACCAATTTGTATTAATTGCCGACGAATTTTCCGGATTTCTGTCATCGCTTTTGGCCGTAGACCATAATGAGTACAAACGGACAGTTCAGTTTTTGCACTGCCATGATCGATTGCACCAACTGCTTTCAACAAAACCATCATATCACCGAATGAAAGTGCTTCACCCTAAATACCACTTCTTAGAAACATCCCTATCTTTCAAAACACTTACTTGTCCTATCCATTGTTGTCTGAGATCGTCTAAACTAACAGTAATTTCCTGATTGTCCTAGAAAATGACACATCACATTTCCTGGTATCTACAATATCTAAACTGTGTTACCTTCTTAACTTTCACATGTCCACTTGTCAAGACTTCATTGACACTTAGTGCAGCAACTAATGCGATGATATATGGCAGTAAAGCGGGATTTTCTTGAGCAATTACTAGCATTTTCGAGTACCTTGGATTGATTGGAAACGCTGCCATACGTCGACCTAATTCAGTGATCTTTTTTGTCGGTGACTTTTCGTCGAGAGCACTCAGTTGTATGAGAATTTGTTCAGCAACACTGATCGCTTTGAGATCTGGCGGAGTTGGAAATGGAAAATTTGCTAAACGATCAATATTAAGTGTTTTTAATTGTAGAACAAGGTCCTCGACAGGTTTCCGGACAATCTCCGGTGGTGAATATTCAATAAATGAATCATTATACACAGCGGATGAATAGAGACGATAACCTAAATGAAATAACTCGATAGAAACTAATAAAAAGAAAAGGAGGACATACAATGTCCAGGTGCTGTTCGACCAGCACGACCCATTCGTTGATTTGCTGATGCTTTCGAAGTCCATTCGATTCGAAATGTAGACACGCCAGTTAATTTATCGTAATATTTTGTTTTAACCTAAACGAAAGATGCATTTCTAATCATTAATGTCATCATCATCATACTTTGCCACAATCGACAATGTATTTCACATCCGAAATGGTGATCGAAGTCTCAGCAACATTTGTTGCTACGACACATAAACGTGTACCAGCCGGTGGTGACTCGAATACCTAAGTATGAGTGCGTAAGTTTGACACTAGGGCGCATGAAAAGACCTACCCGAGCTTGCTTTTCCGATGAAAGTATTGCATAAAGTGGAAGAACATACAGAGGTTCAGATGTGATTCCCTCTACCCCAGTATCGTCATCATCGTCATCAATATCACTGGCAATCGAACCTTCTTTTCCTCCTTCATCTTCATCAACATCAGATTGTATGTGTTCTAGCTCTTCTTCGTCGATAATTCCCAGTCCGGATTTACTTTCCATGGATATTTGCTTCTTCTTTTTAGATCGTTTTGATTTGAATTTCGGTTCAGCTTCTAAATATAATAAAAGACTTCAGTTACAAAGTATTCCTCATCCGATTTTACCATCATTTTCTATTGTTGTTGTTGTTTGCATTGAAAACGTCTTTCGTAATCGATGACATAAAGCCTGAACTTCTTGTTGACCAGTGACGAAAACAAGAATACCACCCTTTGGTAATTGACGATGAATTTTACACACTTTCTTATATGCTTCCTCAATGTAATTTTTCGGCGTTTTCTTATTGAAATGTACTGTTACAGGATATTGTCGAGCATCGATATTAATAATTTTTGGCTTGAGCTTGAATAGATGTCGATTATTAACAAACTCTTCGATTCGCATCGTGGCAGACATGATCACTAGACGAAGCGGATCATTTCGTTGACAACGTATCGGTACGATACGTGATAATAAACCGATCAGAACATCGGTTGCAACACTACGTTCATGTGCTTCATCAATCAGAATACAACTGTAATTTGTTAGTAAGAAATCATTTTGCACTTCTTTTAATAGAACACCATCAGTCATAAATTTGATACATGTGCTTTCTTTCTTAAATGTTCCCTCGTAACGAATCTGGTACGAGACTTGGCTAGAATTAGAGAATAAAAGGGCGTTTGGGTGATAATAGAAACGAAATGAACGAACTCATTTGTCAGATTTAATTCGTGTGCGACACGTGAAGCCATTGAAATAGCAGCAACACGTCGTGGCTCGGTAATACCAATCATTTTACCACCCAGTGTATAACCAGCTTCGTAGAGAAATTGCGGTAACTGAGTTGTTTTACCACTACCTTTGATCGAAAGAAACGAAGATTAGTTTTTATATATGCGTGGAAGATCGGAACATATTTGTCTTACCAGTTTCTCCACAGACTAACACAACAAGATTATCATGAATTGCTTCCATAATGACTTGCTCCTCAGTGATAATGGGCAACTGCGAACGAATGGCTTGGATTTCTTCACTACGTTCAACTTGAACATTCGCATGAGGTCGAGCCGGTATTTCCACCTTCGGCTCTTCGATGCTACTAGTACTACTTTGACGTTGACGTCGTTTAGCAGCAGTTGGGACGATCGGTGGTGCAAGTGCAGATGCTGGTTGAGAAGGAAGCAATGCTTTGCGAATATCTTCGTCATTAATTGTTTGATCTACATCTTCATCATCAGTTGAACTAAGGTCAGTATCACTGAACAACAGAACATTCATGAAGAGTCAAGTATGAGATGAAAAGTGTTATACATACTCGTGAACTGACTCAGTTGTCGTTTGAGCAGGACGTTTTCGTGAGAGATGATTAAGATTGATAGTAGTCGCAGAGGACGCATTTGTTAGTGTAGAGTTCTCTATCGGCTGACTAGAACAAGAAACAAGAAGTTTTCGGTGAAACTTTCAAATCAAAACAAGTCGAGTACCGTTTTGTTTTGCTGCCAATGTTTTTCACCGAATGCAGAAGTGCTAATTCTTCATTATTAATTTGTACTTGACTGAGTTTGTCTAATAATTCCACACGCTAGAACATCGAAAGTGAAATAACGACGATGAGAGTGCTGTTTCGACGATGCTTACTTTTGCTTTTTTCTTTTTGAGATCGAGCACCTTTTCTAGACGTTTGCGTTCTTTTTTCGATAGTTTTCGTTTAGCCGGTGCTGTTGGTTGATTGACAGTTCGAGTGGTTCGTTTCTTCGAGGGTAAAATGGAATTATTATCCGCTGTTGTCGCCTCACCTTCGACAAGAATCTAATTGACAACAATGAAATACTTGAAAGAGGGAGAAAACAATGAAATTACATTTGTTAATGGATTTTGTTCAATAACAACTTTATTCTCTTGACGACCTTTCTTATTAAACCGACGTGCTAATCGAGATGGTTTCATCTATAAATGAAAGATTTCCAAGACTAGAAGCTAGAAGATCTCCTCTATTAAGAGTTGACTGTCTTTCCTTTTGGTTTGAATAACATATTCTTCTTTAAAACACACACACATATACACACGCACATATAAATATACATGAAAACACCGACAACATGCAAGATACATTAAAATCAACGGAAAAAAATAGATGAAGAAAAGGAAGTGAGGAATGAATAAGAGAAACGAATGTTTATCATTATCTGACGTTCCGATGTTGATCGTTGAAAAACGACAAAACAATCAAATTGTCTTTTATCTACGGCTTTTTCACTGTATTTTCGTTTGCTTGAGCTATTGTTAATAGTTTTTCACCTCCTGGTTTTATCACTGTTGTTACTGGAGTCGTCTTTGGCAGAACACCCGTTTTTGGAACTTTACCTTTCGACTTCTGCGGACGATTCATTTCTGCTAGGTGTTGAAGCATTTCTTCATCTAATGAATCTATCGTAGGTTCATTACGCCAGAATGTAAATGATGAATACGTTTCACTTGCAGAGAACGAATCCATCGGAGGAAAGACTTGATCAACAACTTCATGCAAGTTTTTGTATGAAGTGGACAAAACTTGAGAGATTTTTTGCCGAAGAACTTCACCACTGGGATTAATTGTGAATATACGTGAGACCGGGATGCCAACAGCTGTATACGACCATTGATCCTATAGAATAAGAGATAATTGAGGGAAATTATACACGAAGAGTTGTCGAACTTACATTGATTCGATTGCCGAAACCAGCGTAAAACGGATTTTTATTAGGAAATAGGCTGGCGATGTTTTTCAAACACTCGATTTTAAATTCTTCTGGTTTCTTCGCAATCACTTCTCTAAATAAACAAGTCAGCTATACATGAGAGCTATTTTACGTCGAAATATATGAACAAACCGATAGAATGCCGTGATTAAAGTATCCGGAGAGATCAGTAATGGACCGATTGGTAGTGAACTACCACGCTGACTGATATTGCGAAGAAAGTTTCGCGTGGCACTACTTTGTCCAATAGCACGCGCCGATAGATAGATAAATTGATATCCATTTTCTTGAATTGCTTGGAAGAACTCCGCGGTACCTTCATGATACCATGGTTGACCAACCAATGGTAAAATTTGACCGAAGACATCCGATTTTGTTATAGTACCATCGATATCCGATATGACGAATTTTGTCATTTGATCAAAGAGGAAGATATTTGCTTCGACAACAGTTGTACCTTGGAAAGCTGTTGTCACGCTAAATTCAACGTGATTACTGCCTGACCTAAGATTCAATCGTTTCAATTGATCAGATGACAAGATCATGGTTTTTCTCGGCGTTTTTGTTGATGATTGCGCTGTTTGGTGCTGACGTTGTTCGATTCTATCTGTTATTCTCTTCACTTCATTATCTTCCTGTTCACTGTCTTTCCTATAGACGAGAAGATGAAATATAAGTCAACAATTCATGGATGAACATACGACTTTGTTCGAGCTAAGTTGTCAGCTTTCAATATCGAAGGAACGACTTCCGATTTGACCGCTAATGCGATTGCTTCAGTAGCAGCGGCGTTGGTATCGGTTGCAGCATCATTCTTTCGACCCGAAAATAGCCACCATGTACTAGCAGTGCTGCTACTTGTTGTTTGCGATTTCGCTTGTCCCATGTGTTTATCTTGCAAACTTTCGACCGCTTCCTCCGGCAGATGTTTATGATAAATACTTGTTGAAGCAATCAATGCTGAAGCTACTTCCCAATTGTAATACTTTCCAGCGATACGTACGACCAAATTAGGGTCGTTGATAATTGATGGATTACTTGCAAATGTGTCATATGGAATAAGATGCGCATCAAAAATATCGTCAGTGATCGATGTTGACTGATTTATATCCCCACAGAGCGAAACCTGAACATCACCAAGAAGACAGCTAGAAAACAAAAGGAAACTTAATATCGAATCAATGAATCGTACTCTAACAGATACTAAACAATATACCCAATGACTACAGATGGCCTATCTTACCAATAGAAAAGTAATAGCTGTTCACTGAAATCAAATTCAAAAACAGGAATGTAGTTCAACATGTGGAGATTAGATATAGGAGTATTCTAATCTCATTGACAGTTGGGGGAGAAAAGAGGGAGTGAGTTGACTTTGTGTTCTGTGTACTTACGAAGCTTCGTAGTCTCGAACTGGTGAATGTGGGATCGAATTCCCAGTTCCTGATTCTTGGTCGTCATCTAAGGAATATCTTTGTTGACTTTGTTGAAAGTGTAATTCCGGCAAATAACGTGATCGATCATAACATGTATTATTTGTTATATCTTCAAGATAGACGCCTTCATTGGGAGCTGTTTTTTGTGCTGATGCTGACGATGACGATGGCCAGAAATACCGAAGTACGCTTGGTCCTTTTGGAAGTTTTCCCCATTTCCATCGCCAACCAAAATATGTTGAAGATTTCTTAGTCGATGGCTGAGATGGTTTATCGAGTTCGTATTCGGTATCGGATTTCGGACTTGTTGGCCGTGGGGGCGTCGTACTCTCGAATGATGATGGTGGAGTATAGTCCTCATTTGTGTAATATGATTTCGGGTCAATCGATTGACTGATACGAATTGGCACGGTGTTGGTATTATTGTTTCCTAAGGGTGCCGATTGAGAGAACATCGCCTCTATCAATGAACTTGATTGATTATGTGGAGTTAAGGAATCATCATCTACTACTGTTTTTTGTTCAATTGGGATTGGGTTGGATAGCGTTCGTTTGGTTTTTTGTTGAAAGTCCTCATCGGCAACGCTATCTTCTTGGCTGCTGCTATAACTTTCATCATCGTGATCGTGATCATGATCCGACGTGATTGACACTTTGGGCGGGATGATCAATAGTTTTTTTCGACTATCGATACTATTCATGCGACTGTGCGCATCAACAAACGGCGTAGATGATTCGGATTGTTTTTCGTCATCAATTTGAAAGCACGGTAAATCGTTTTCACTTGCACTTCGTCTTCGAACAATAGGCAGAGTTGAATCAGTGCACTCATTACCGTTATTCTGGTCATTCAGTGACACAGGCGTTAGATCACGTTGTCGTACACGTGATCGATGTTTACCTAATGACAGCATACTTTGTATTTCAGGATCTTGTTCGTCATCGTCGTCTTCACCTGACGACTTATTGATTTGTTCATTGCGATTCAGTGGTCGTCGTTTTTGTCGACGACGACTTGACGTTGCCGTCGTATTAGAATTTAAAGTGTCAACTTCCAACGATGGCACCACTTGGTTTTCATAGGCATATTTTGCCACTGGTTCATGATTATTATGCGCGTTTTGTTCGTCAAGTTGTTTATTGATAATTTGAGGAGAACAATCGATATTGGATAATTGCGGATGACCATCAATGGTCAAAGCATTATCAGGATCAAGACAAGTATTTGTATTCGATGGTTCTAAATGACGAACTGGTGGAAGACTTGTTGTAGTTGATTCTTCTTCAATGAATACTGCTTCTCCAGCTGGACCCAATTCCATATAAAGATCTTCAACAAGCTTACCATTAATCATCACGTAAACCTAAACGATCGATATTGATCACGTCGAAAGCATTAGCTAATTAATCATTACCTTATTTCGTTGATTGCGAAGAACACCTAGTTTACCGAAACGAACATGAAATGGTGTACAACGAAGCGTTCCATCCTCCTGCTTGACAACAATAACGTCAATGGCACCGGTAAGTGTGGACGGATTGATATCATTGAATACCGATGAAAATGACGACACAATATAGTTCTTAATAGCAGTCATTGTGACATACGTTTAATGCGAATGAAAATACAACATTCAGAAGTTGTACTGAAAAAAAAACGAGAAATGAATAAATATGCCGATCACATGCTTTTACGATGAAGAAAAAGGCAAAAACGATGCTTTTCAAGGTACAAATTGTATTTATGCAATACCATGATTCATTCATTCACATACCCATCACATATTCATCTTACTGCGTACTTCGCTCTTTCTTTTGCCGTCGACAATAAAGTCAGTGAAGGAAGCGAAAAGGAAATACTAACAAAATATCATTACTAGTCTCTCTCTAGGAATAGTATTTATGAGTGTAAATAGATAAAAGAACGAATAAGAATGAAGATTCGCATAGGGATATCACACATCCAAACTATGCGCGTATATATATATATATGTATGCTCGTCTCCGAGCAGTTAATCGACTTGTCTGTGACGTCATCTTTTACTAGTTCTCGTAACAAAAGAAGAAAAAAACATCAGAGAGAAAGCGAGAAAGAATGCGAAAGAATATTCGATGCATCAGGCGACACACCTCTTCGTTCTCCCCCTGTTGTTTTTGTCTTCCGATAGCGAAAAGCTACGCGCGTGATTCTGCGGTCGACTACATACACCTCGTGATTGAAACGCGAATTCAACCTTGTGATAGAAAAAAAGCACTCTAAATCGACTATTAATGTAAGAAAATATCTTTACATTTTCGTCGGGAACCATATGGAGAGGTCGATTAACAATGTCAAATGAAAAAAATATGCGCAAATAATCATATACCTCGAAGCTACTGATCATCGTTACTATGTACATAGAAGATAAAATAGATATGTCTTGTTGTGCACACCTACGTATTATGAAACAAGAGATAATATTTACATCTGACGATTTGAATCACCCGATTTGTTTCTCCGAGCCCTTTGCTCACATTCTTTATCTATCGTGGTAAGATCTTGTATAAAACTGAAGCGAAAACAGAGCGCATGACCTGAATTATCTCGAGTAGCGAGATAAGAAACATCGAATGATATACCTGCATTGACGTCGAGCGACAGAGAGAAAACACGAGAAAATAAACGGGTGTGTAAAACCCTTATCTTACCACGCGTTGTTTTTCTTCTAGCTAAAGTACATGTCCATAATACACTCAATAAGTACAGCGAGAAAATATTTTCCATCTCTATCGTATAACAATTTGATTCATGTCTTGTTTTAAACAGCCTTGTCTGACGCATCAGGGAAAGTAATAAGTCAATCAAAGACAAAGAAGGGTCATTTTTGTGCTGACAATCGATGTCGATTGCTAGATAAATACATTGGAAACCTGCGAAGTTCTCTTTTTTTTTCTTCAAAAAATCAATATTGATCTGCGCGACTCGAGATTGTACACTAAATGCCCTCGACGATTATATCACTATTATTAATAGACATACTTACGTCGCTGTAGTACGATAATAACTATGTATACGCTCGAACATGTCACTAGTAACGATTGAATAAATTAGCCTTGACGTAGATATGATTTGATATTGCGCAGAAAGGAATTTCTTGTTGACATTTATTGAAAACAACGGAACGAGCGTATCGCACTATCGTTTTCAGTGTAACCTTTTCAAAATTTATGCGCACGGTAAACATATTAAACAGGACAAACAAACAAATACTTTGTTTTTTTCCTTCTTTCTCTCACATAATAACATCACTATTCTCGAAGAAAACACGATCCGGACTTACTTCATGTGAGTTCGAGTTGATATTTATCGTTTAATCAGTATCGACTTATCCATAGATCTATCTAGAAAACAACGATGTTTATCTTTTCGGTAAAATTACTGTAAATTAATCATCAATGAAAGACAAAATAGAATCAAGTGAAAAAACAATCATTCTCTCTCGAGTTTAATTTCATGCATTAGTTTTAGATTCGTGAAGAACAATAGCTGCTGCTAGATCTTCGATTGCCAAGCCAACAGATTTGAAGATGGTCGTTTTCTGCTGAGATATCTCTTGTAACAAGACTTCATTGTTGACTAATTCGCCCACTTCAGCCGCAATATTTGCCTAAAGATAGTTCATGAACAAGAGTATGATATTTCAATAGAAAAAAAACATACTTTCGACTGGATAATCTCTCCAGCTTCTTTCATTGCACTTTCACGACTATCGACGACTACATTTGTATCCTCCGATATCATCAAATCATCAGCAAGTTCGCGCATCTTAGGGCTAAATGAACCAACCGCTAAGCAGAAAATCTGAATCGTTTATTTTTCCCCAAACAGTTCTTATTGACTCACCATTGATATGCACACCTTTCTTCACCTGTTTCAAGCCAATTAGCGCTTGTTCACTGCCTGTACAGGTGCAAATAACATCTGTCTCCTGTAAACGAATATCGTTCAAGTCTTTCAAGATTTCGATATGTTTCAACTGTGATGCATATTTCGATTGTAGGTCAATTGCATTCTTTACATTGCGACTCCATAAATAAACCTTGAAAAAGAAAAGAAAATCTTCAAAATCAACACATCGATTTCGATTGCAACCTTGTTCCACTTAAATAATTGAGTGAATACTTCCAAATGTGCATGTCCTTGAACACTGCAGCCAATAATGGTTAAACAAGCATGATTCTTCTTGTCATCGGTCCATTTCGAAAATGCTAACAACTAATTAAATACAAATGAAACATCTTTCGAAATTGTTTTAGGTATACTTGTGTGGCAAGGAATGAAGTCGCGGCTGTACGTTGTGCAGTGATTTCTTTCGCATCAGCAGTCTAGAAAATCCAATAAGAGTCAACGAATAAGACTTATTTCTGATTCTCACCAATAACAAACGACCCGTTTTTGAATCAAATAGAGACACAACACCATCGATTGTAGGCGAACTTGCTGGAAAATATGTTATTGTTTTCACACACATATAACCACGATGGAGATCGATGCATGGTTTATTCAAAAGAAAGCTGTAAATATACAAACGAAATGATGACTGACTACCTGAGAAATTAATAATTGATTTACTTTTGTCGATCATCAATTGGTAAAACTGAACGTATAGGTTGTTGAAGTGATGGATCATGTTTAGAATATCGATGTAAAACATCAGAGAGTATCTCCAATAAAGATGGAAGCGATAAATACTGTTTCACGCTAGATTCGTCGAAATACATTTTATTTATTTATCAACTGATTTTCCAATGAGCGGAAAATTGACCAATCAGATGGAAGGTATATGAAAATGCAAATGAACCAATACTTTCACTCGAAAGATGACAGGAATATTCACATAATAATTCAAAAATGTACTTTTTGAGTTGGATAAATCTCGTTTGAATCCAAATTTACTCTTCAAAATCTCATTTAGCATGTACATCGGCAAATCGTAACGGATACTCTGGAAATCAGAAGCTACAAAGCAACTGTACCTGTAATTAGTGACACTTTTATAAGATACAGTCAAAGCTTTTTAAATATTGTAACGTACATGTATATCAAGGGTAGAAATGAGACATTTCAATCTGACGAAATTCGAAATGTTCTCCCACCATGTATACAAACATACCTTCACGCACAGACACACACACCATTCTTGATCTATTTCCCCTTATCCATCATGGTAAATTCTTTCCAATTTAAAGATAAACATTAGTTTTTCGAGCGAAGACATTGTCAGTAAGTAACGCAATTGGTACGTTGTGTTCAGCACGTACGAGAGATGGCAGAATACTTCGACTATGTCTGTTGCCAGTCAAATATTTATTGGTATGTATAAAAAGCAATGGCATCATATTTTCTCCATTCTTCTCCGACAAAGCTATACCCGTTCGAGTAGAGTGTTGATATTAATAAACCCATTTTAACATGGAAGATGTTCAATCGCACCCAAATCCATTTTTACGTGCAACCGTGTGGTCAAGAGTTTCGTTAAGGTACATAATTTATCCCTATATCAAATCAATATCATTGAAAATGGTTTTAGTTGGATAGTAGACTTAATTAATATTAGTCATAAACAAGGTAGACTCTACTTTCACAATCTGTACGACATTCTTCCACAGCATAAATCGAAGCTATTAACTGGGAAGTTGGAGAAGCGTTGGCTCGATGAAGTTCACCATCATGAAGATAGCGCAAGTCTACTTCGAGCTACTGCGCATACGATTCGATGGACACCAATTCTAATTGGGTTTATACTTATTCCTTTAGTAAATATATGCACTCGAGTTTGTACAAGAAAAGTATCGAAATTTCATTTAGAAAATAGCGATGATTCTTCAGCCGTTGTTGATTATTTACATGATGAAATATTTTGAACCGTGTTCTACAATGTCTACTTCACTAGCATATTTACTTGCGGTGTTCAGTTTTTTACTTTTTCTATCCAGTAGTTTTTGTCACCATGCAGTGAGTCATGTTTTACAAATTAGTTTCACAGCAGATCGGATGTTCTGTTTAGTTTTATTATCTTATTGATATATTCGCAATGAAGGTTCGAGTGGCATATCAGGGTTTAATCTATCAGAAAGTAAATTGTTTTGTTTACTCATTGATATCACACGACTTCTTTTTCGTGAAAGGTTCTTCGTTTATCTACACATTCGTTGAATGCATTTGGTTCTGGTCAGATAACCAACGTGTTTTCGAATGATGCTACTCAGATTGAAATGGCACTGATATCCATGAACTTCTTATGGGTAAAACAGCTCGGAAGCATTGTTCGATTTAACACGATTTATTTGTCTTTAGAATGCCTTGACTGATATCATTGCCATGACGTTTTTGTTCTGGTATTTTATCGAATATATTACATTAGTTGCAATTGGATATACAATTATAACAGTTTTTATCACATTTGTAATCGGCCATTTTCTAGTGCATTTTCGGTAAGAGGAGATTTAATTGCGAGGAGATTTTTTTGGAATAGTGGACTTTTTCAGAATCAAAGTTTTAAAAGTGGCTGACGAACGAATAAAGATCATGTCTGAAGTGATCCGTTCAATGCGATTGATTAAAATGTATTGTTGGGAAGTAGCTTTGAATCGGAATATTTCTCGCATTAGAAAGTGAGTTGAATGCATGCATAAATTTACTTATCAAGACAACGAATTACTTTTAGACACGAAATCATTCGATACATTTTCATCTTAATTCTCAATACTATTTCTGTGACTTTGTCGAACATCTATTCTCACATGACGTTTTTAATTATGTATGCATTAATGTGGTCCCGTGGTATTCAAATTGGTATACAGTTTTTTACTGTAGCATCGTGCATGTTAACTTATTTTGAAGTATCCTTGATTGAGTTTGGCATAGGAATACGAGATATTGCCCATTACTTGTCTGCAGAAAGACGCATGAATGTTGGTTTGTATGAGAGACGATTCAAACGAAAAAGATTGAGATTTTTAATATAGAAATTTTTGCTACTCGACGAATCAGAACGAGATAATCGATTAAAATCTACGGTAGACGACGAATCTGTCAGAATCGAATGCCAGTTGGAACGAGCATACTGGAATCAAGTAAGCAATTGACATTTTTATATGCCGTGTAATACGTTTCTTTCGTAACAGAATGGAACATTTTCTTTGCAAAATATTCTCTTCCATGCGCGCCCTGGTGATCTCATTTGTATCATTGGACCAGTCGGATCTGGCAAAGTTTGTTCTAACACTTGTTTTTACATCCACATCATTTATACTTCTTTAGAGCTCTTTGTTGCAAACATTGACAGGTGAAATCACATACTTCGATGGTAAAGTTCGACTCAATGGCTCATTTTGTTATGTACCGCAAGAATCTTGTAAGTACTTGGGAAACAATCAGTAATGGGTATTGAACGAAGAGGATTGTTGTAGGGATATTTTCTTCGACGATCAAAAACAACATACTATTTGGTAAAGAATATGATAATCAACTGTTTCGGCGAGTGATTCATGCCGCTGCCCTTGATACAGTATGCTTTATTGGATTTGCTACATTCATATTTGAGTGGTATCATATTTAGGATTGTGATCAATTACCCGATGGAATTCAAACTATGGTTGGCGATCAAGGTGTCATGTTATCTGGAGTATGTCATGAAATAGATTTTGTAGATCGTGTTTTAAGAAGTACCATTTAGGGTCAAAAGGCGCGTGTCAATATGGCAAGAGCACTCTATCGAGAGGCAGATATTTACTTATTGGATGACCCGTTGTCTGCTGTTGACACTAAAGTTTCAAAATATCTGTTCGAAAGGTTTGCAAACACTTATCAATCGGTTATTCTTTATGTTTCATGCTTACAGATGTATCAGAGATTATCTACGCGATAAAATCTGCGTTCTTGTTACACATCAGATACAGTTTCTACAAGATGCAACTAAAATTATTATGTTGGATAACGTAAGCAAGCAAACGAAACATTTTATGTTTCTATTCGAATAAACTATTTTTTAGGGTGAAATGGTTCATACAGGTACATATTCAGAATTATTGACATGCTCACCTCTGTTCAGTCAAATGCTCCATAATATCAATCAACAAGAATGCACGAATGATTCGAAGAAAATTCAGACAGCAGCTACATTCAGTCGGATGGCCTCGTCTGGATCAACGGATGAAACCGAAGAATCTTTACTAACTGATCATATAGAGATGCACGAAAAAGGTTCAGTGAAATGGCATGTTTATCTCGACTATATTCGAGCAAGTAGCGGTGTGTTTATTGGCATTGCTCTGTTGTTAATAGCATTCGGCATCCGGGAATTCCTTTCGATTTTTGCAACTTGGTGGTTAGCTGAATGGAGTGAAGACGAAAATCATCGACATATCCAATATGCTAACTGCACGGATACGAAAGATAAGAAAATGAATGCAATCAAGTTAATGAATGAAACTGAATGGAACAACCATCACAACCGAAAATTCTACTTCTATTGCAGTAAGGAGAAGTGTTGAATATGAATGCGAGTATTTCGCTTCCGCGTTTTAGTCACTGTGTTTATTCTAACAATTCTAACACTATTGCGTACAATTACTCTACAATCATTATGTTTAAATGCTAGTCGAATGCTACATAATCGGTAAGAATATTTGTAGTGCGCACATCATATCATTTTCTTTATTTTCTGAACAGGATGTTTCAACGACTTATTCGATGTCCAATAGCATTCTTTGATCTGAATCCCATTGGTATGATTTACTTCGTAAATTCTGTGCTATTTGTATTATTCATTCTTGTTACAGGCCGTATTTTAAATCGTTTTACAAAGGACATTGCTTTGATAGATGAGCAATTGCCTAACACGATTTTCGACTTTATGCACGTATGCTTTGAACATAATCGTTCGTCTCTGTACAAATGAAAGTTTCTAGTGTTTTTTTGTAGCAGTGGGAATGATGGCTTTCGTCAGTTGGCTCAATCCGTGGTCCCTTATACCAGCGAGTATCGCTAGTATTGGAATGCTGTACATCCGATATCAATATGCCACGTGTTCACGAGATTTGAAACGTCTAGAAGGTACGACACGCAGTCCTTTCTACTCGTATTTGGCATCGACTATTAACGGATTGAAAGTGATTCGCTCGTATCATGCTGAACAAATGTGCTCAAATGAATTTTTTCAGCATCTGGATGACAATACACGAGTCAATTTTTTACTGACAGTAACTAATCGATGGGCAGCCATTCGATTCGAAGCGATCACTCTATTCTTCATTGTCGTAGTAACTCTACTCGCCCTTTTTGTACGTACTACAGGCGGCCACTTTTCTACGGCAAATATAGCGCTAACACTCTCGAATGCTGTCAATCTGGTAGGTCTTCTCCAATGGACTATCAGGTGAGCTCTCCATCTATCATGACTCAGCTAACCACATTCTCATCCACTCTCTAGACAATCAGTCGAAGTCGAAACACAAATGACTTCTGTCGAACGAATACTCGACTATTGTTCACTGCAACAAGAACAATCATCACTAAAGTCATCACCTCCTTCTAACTGGCCACAACATGGTCGGATCATCTTCAACAATGTTTCCATGTCTCATTCCAGCCAACCACACGCACCACTCGCTCTTCACAACATCTCGTTCACCATCGAACCAGCACAGAAGATTGGCATTGTCGGAAGAACAGGGTCTGGCAAATCTTCACTCATTCAGACTCTCTTTCGCATGGCAACTCTTGTCGATGGGCATATCATCATCGATGACATCGATATCACCACCCTACCACTCGATCGTCTCCGCCAACGCCTTTCCATCATTCCACAAGATCCTGTTCTCTTCACTGGCACGATCAGATCCAACCTCGATCAGTTCGGTCGATACTCGGATGCTGAAATCTGGAATGCACTCGAACAGGTATGTCAGTCACATATTGAGAATGTCATCCATTGGTGAGAACAAACGTTGATGTAGGTGCAGCTGAAGAAACTCGTACGAGAAGTGTTGCCAGACGGTCTGCAGTCACATGTGAGTGAAAGTGGATCGAATTTGAGTGTTGGTCAGAAGCAGTTGATGTGTTTGGCAAGAGCAATACTGAAGAAGAGCAAGATTTTGGTAATTGATGAAGCGACTGCAAATGTTGACAATGCGTGAGTAGAAGGAGGGTGGGAGACCGATGGAAGTATATCATGTTTCGATTGATGTAGCACGGATGAACTGATACAAAAAGCGATTCGTGAACAGTTTGCTGGGTGTACAGTGTTGACAGTGGCACATCGTTTACGAACAGTGATCGATAGTGATCGAGTGATGGTAGGTGCAATGAGAATGACAAAGATGTGTGTATGAGCTGATTGGTGTTTTGTTGTTTGTAGGTGCTGAGTGATGGGAAAGTCGTGGAGTTTGATTCGGCGAAAGCGTTGTTATCGAACGGTGACTCGTATTTTAGTGAACTTGTAAAACAAACAGGTCCGGCCGAAGCTGAACGATTATACGAATTAGCCAAGCAAAAATTTATACAATAATTATTTTTTAAATAGAGTTTAAATAAAATAATCCCGAAGTATATGTTTGGTGCAACGGTATGCGTAGTTTATTGATGAACATCTCGCCACTATACGTACATTATGTTAATTAATAGCTTACTAAATTTCTCGGTAGAAGATGAATTCCATTGAATAGACTGAGTCGATTTCAACCTAACCTTTTTAATTATTGTGATATTCTTCATTTTACTTTACTACTAAGTTCATCATCAATAGATTTAATTGAGAAAAAAATTACCGATTAACATTTTAGAGAAAGAGAAAAATAGTCTTGCATTTTTACTGAATTGTGTCAAATATTTAACGTTAATAAATGTTTTCATGGGTTTTCTGCGTATGATACCGATAGTGGAAATGTCGCCCGACGAGCACGAGCTATTGTTTGATCACTATTCATGCCATTACGAATAGATAATGGTCGCGCTTGTGTACTTAAACAAAGATAAACAGTTCATCAGATGCTACACGACGAAAATAGACTTACTCAAGTGATATTTGTTTTCTAAAGCTTGGCTTTGAAACTAGTATTTGAGCACAGGCTTGCATCCACGTCAAGCAAATGTGTTCGTAGTTGATCTTTTTCACAGATGTTAATGAGAACGGCAAATGCTTGTCGAGAAAAGCGTCAAGAACCTTGGCATCAAATGGTGGTGAAAATAATGAACGAAAATGTTCCCGGACATGATTAATTTCGTTGATAACGTCACCTGGAAATTTCTTCTCAATTGATTGTTTGATATGATCCGGAAGAGCACTCCTAATCTACAGAAAAAAATTTTCAATTGGACTCAAATCGCTCTCGGCATACTTCATTATTGTTACGACTGAGTAATGCATATAAAATTGGTTGCGATTGATTTTCGTTTGCGTCTAGATGCAATTCTTCTAACAGTTCACCGTGTGTCAATGGTGGAAGGTAATTCGGGTCGGATGTTTCGGCTTTGAATACATCTTGTGTGTAAAATAATCGTGAGTATTCTAACCAGTCAACAAGAATTCCATTGCAAACGCGACTTATGTTATCTTCATGTTTGGATCTAGGCGTTTCATCGGATGAGTTCGACGCTTTTTCGACTATTTTAAAGATAGCAGCACGTAATTGAGCTTTAAAACGCATTATCGAACCATCACGTTCTAGAGACTGATAGATCAAATCGCGCGATTCAATTTCACTTTCGGTGCGTTGATCCACATCATCATCAACGTTCATACCATCCGAAGACATGTTCGATTTAGTTAATCAACACTATTGTGAATAAAGCAGAAACCCGATGATAACACTGATTGTACTTTTCATTGGTTAATTTCGATTTTATCTCCGAAAAATTCATTCACTCTATTATTTTTTCCGATGACAAATTCACTACAGATGTCACTGCAGGAACTTCACGGCGACTTGGTTTCTGGAAAGCAACAAAGCCGATTGAGTATATACTTGTATCTGGCAGAAGAACGACTTTCGGTGTCCATTCGTCATTTCAAAATTATGAAAGATTGTTCCGTAACTTCAAGAGCGCACAGTTCCATTAACCAGGCAAGATAGTAATCCTGTCCTATTTTAATCTGAGATACCATTTGTGAGTGCTAATCCTAATAGAAAGAATATTTTGTTGTTATATTGGCTTCATGACACAATTACAACACAATCAGGATAGATCGATGTTAGTAATTTCGCAATTATGCTTCGTTTTTAGCGATTGACGCAATAATAATGACGATTTGACTTCTCGTCCTAAACATAATATAGATATAAAGAATAGTTCTAAACGAAAAAGCCTTTCTTTCTCTTTCGTTCTTCATTGATTCCTACTTTACATTTCAATTGCGTGCAATTAACTGCAAGTATTATCACGGTTCCAGATTGGAACACAACGGTGAAAAAAAAAATATCCGAATGAAAAATCGACATCTTAAATGAGAAATGTTATCGTCACCGAAAAATCGCAGTCCTTTTTAGATGCTAATATTTTCTCTCGTCTTTTTCATTGGTACGTACCTTTTCCATTTTTCCAGATCATTTCTACTCGATTCTTATCTCATTAATTGGTTTTATACTCTTTGCTTGCCAAGAGTCACCGACAAGGTACACTTGAGCTTCAGAATCTGAGTTATGGACTGATAAGCTACAGAACAATTGGCTCGAAGAACTTCGCAAATATTCAAATAGTACCAGTCTTATTCGAGCAACATTGCGTGCCAGCGGATGGACGCTACTTCTTACCGATCTCTCGTTAATTCCTATGGTGAGCACTGAATTCCAAGGGAGGAAAATCCCACTGATATTGACGTACTTTATGCGGCTTTTCGAACCGTGTTCAAAGATGTCAGCATGGCAAACTTGGTCATTCGCCGCTGATATTTTCATAATGCTCCTATGCATAAATCTTATCGGCTATACTGGTTTAGTTTATCGAACGGTGAGTTGTGAGTCATTGATCCAAATGAGTTAATTCTAATGCTTGCGCGTGGGTACTTCGCTTATCCAGTCGTACAACAATTGATTTCAGTGCTGGAAAGATTTTAAATTTAATTGCCAATGATGTGAATAGAGTTGAAATGTTGCATTACTTTTTCAACTACTTTTGGGTATATTTACCTTGAAAAAGTAACTAAGAAATCAAATAACTGCGATTCTATTAGGTCGCTCCATTGAGGGTGGGTGTGTAAATATGGCACGAGCACTCTATCGCGATGCTGATATATATCTGCTGGATGAACCTTTATCTACGGTCGACGCTAAGGTTTCCAAGCATCTCTTTGAAAAGTAGCTTGGATAAAATATCCCGTATTCACTAAAATTTCCTTGTGTAGATCGATTAAACATTTTCTTCGGGAGAAAATCTGCATTTTAGTTATTCATCAAATACAATTCTTACAAGATGCAACTCAAAGTATCGTTCTCGATAATGTTTGGTCCTTATAGAAATGATTTGCTGATAATTCAATAGAATTTTCTAGGATCACATGGTACATATGGGAACATATGCAGAACTACGTACATACGTACAGGATACGAAATCTATTATAGTGCAGAATATGACGAACGAAAAATGGGCTTCGTACGACTTTATTTAGCTCTGGTGTTTACTTTGCATATCTTCACATTTCTTCGTACCATTCTCTCGCAATGCATTCGTTTAAAAGCCGCACGAGTGCTTCATAGCAAATAGATACCAAAATCAATATGAATCCTCGGGTCGCAATCATATCACCGACAAATACATTTTGTCTGATTTTGTGGATCAGAATATAGGTTAGGGTGTAGGGAAATAGTCAGATGAGGATATCGTAGCTATGGCAGAATTTGCTCAAAAATGAGTGTTGCATCGGTTCTCACAGGATTTGGTTACGAAAATAATTGAATCTTTTGAAATTTCTGACTAAAAGATCTGTTGGCAAAGTGTAGGGGATCCTTTCTCTCATCTATACAGCACTATAGCATCAACTATTTAATCATTATACGCGCCCAGTGCAAGTTCAACGTTGACAGTAGCGCCATTCGATAATTGGTTGATTCATTTTGAGTTTTATTGCTCTGTTCTAATTTTTTTCCCAGACAAACATGCCGATGGTAAGATGAATTCAAGAAGCATCGTTATATTAAAGTAACAGGCCAAAAAAAGAATTCACTTGCTCGTTAAACACACATTAAAACAAGTCCCATGGTTCTTCTTAACGAAAATGAGGATATATATCAGCTAATTCGACAGAACAATACATATGCTGTCCGGCTGTGGCTTGATAATACAACAAATGACATTCATCAAAGGCAATTTATCAATTAAAAAAGGACATGTTTAACCAAACATGCTATTTAATTCTAGTGATGAGCACGGTTTTACTCTTCTACATTGGGCTGTATGGTACGGTCGTCTGCTGATCGTTCAATTATTGCTTCAACGAAATGTTCGTGTAAACGCCGTTAACCGAGGTACAATATTTTTCTCATACTATTTTGAAAACAAATTACCTATAAACTCATTTAGGCGATGATACACCATTACACATTGCCGTTAGTCATAATCATTTCGAAATTGTTCAACAAGTAGAGTTTCATTTCTTTTTCAATGACCTCTTTCAATTATGTTTTATTATTCAGTTAATTAAACACAAAGCTCATGTCAATGTAACAAATATTCATGGAAACACTCCATTACACTACGCATGTTTCCATCGCTATCTCTCGATCGCACAATCTCTCGTCGAAAATCATCATGCTTTACTTTTTGTTTCAAATCGTTATGGACAAACACCATTGGATTTATGTACATCACGAGAAATTTGTATTCGATTGAAAGGTTTGCCTTTTCATTTCTCGAATTTGTTTTAAACACATGAACTCGCCGTCCGATAGATTTAGCAATGGAACAAGGACAAGATGAACGAATTATTCCATTCGAAGAATACAATCAATTTTCGAATGTGCGTACTGGAGACCTTCTTGGATCTCTCTCAACCCAATCCGTAATCGACATTCGTGAATTGCAATTCGAATCCTGTCTTCATACGAACCATCGAAAAGAGGTTTGGCAAGGAATCTTCAATGATATACCTATTGTGGCGAAAATATTCAAACTACGTCATCAGACTTACACACCAACACTCTATCAACACGAAATCGATAAGATAAAGTAAATTATCTCAATATTTCTTTCTTCTACATCGAATGAAGACAACTGTTTAGAGCATTCAGTTCATCATATTTGCTTGTTCCATTTGCTGTTTGTCACGATACGCCAAACTTCATTATTCTCACCCAAAACTTCTATGGAAGCCAAACATTATTTCATCTATTACATAAATCAAGTACTTGAAATTTTTCTTCCTGAGCAATTCGATCAATAGTCCTTGCTTTCAGATTCGATTCTCGATCCGTCGACATCGAACAAATTAGCATTGTACATCGGTCGTGGTATGGCATACTTGCATGGTATATCAACTTCATTTCGTCCTCAGTTTATTCTCAACAGCCATCATATTGTGGTAAATATGAGAGAGGGATCTTTGCTCATTAGTTTTGCATTCTTTCTAACAGATAAAAACCGAACGCATTCATTGTGTTGGGAATCAGGTATACTCTATATTTTAATCAGCTTCTTATACTACTTACTTTTGTGAAATTCCAATAACTTGACTAAACCAATCGAGAAACACTACTGATGTATCCCTCTGTTCGAGAATATCAATATCAGTTTTGTTTTGTAATAAATGAACGTGAAAAATCGAAAGTTAATTTTCCATTTTGCTTATTTAGGTTAACGAGGAATATGTTGCTCGACTCAATTTGGCGGACTGTCATTTTCCGTTTCAATCCAACATTGAACTTGATCAACCTGCATGGATGGCACCAGAAAGTAAGAATGATGTCTAGAAAAGGCCGAATACTCAGCATTTGTTTTGTATTAGCCCTAGAAAATGGGACATTCACTAACGCGTCAGATATATGGTCATTTGCAATTCTTCTCTGGGAAATATTTACACGTCGAATACCATTTGGAGATTTTACACCGATGCAATGTGGTTTAAAAGTAATGTGTTTGTCTTGATGACTTATGTTAATAAAAATTTAACTTTAAATAGATTGTTCAAGATCGTCTTCGCTTACCACCGACAGGTGTTTCATCTCATATTGATAAACTTATTCAGATATGTACACATGATGATCCAACCAAACGTCCGTCGTTCGATGCTGTCTTACCCATTTTGGGAAAAATTCATTTTTAATCATTATTTATGTCGTTTCGTATTGTTCAGTCTTGCAAGATTTCATCGAGCAGATAAATATTCGATATTTTACGTCTTACTTTCTTTTCAATATGCTAAATAAACACAAGTAGTACAGTAAAATCACCCAGCTATTTGTAAGATGTATTGTCGCAATATGTTGCTCTTTTCTTTCTGTTAAATACGCGTTGCGCGTGCTGTTCGATGTGTGTTTTTCTTTCCTTCGTTGACATAAAAGTGAAAACATGATGAAATTTTTCTATTGTGTTTCTTTCTTCATTCTCTCATCTGTAGATGTATATACTACGTCAATGAGTAATTTAGCAGAAAGTATCATCGCTGTATTTGTTAACAAACAAGTCGATGTGTTAAGCGATACAGAATTGAACAATGCACTTACCGCTCAAGGAGTTAAGTTTAATCCAGGTGATGTACGTCGACAGGTTCAAATGCTTAGTCCAGCTTTCTTTCAATTGACATCCAGTCACGACGGAATATTGATTATTCGAGTTGATCCACAGGTAAACTAATACTTTGGGTTTTTTCGTGATTAAATATCTTTTGCATGTTTTAGCTTGCAGTTTGTGAGGATTTTCTCGATGGTCGGTGTAAATCTGATGAACCAGCGTGTGATAAACTGCACATCTGTCGACATTTTTTCGATAGGCATTGTCATAATAAAAGTTGTTCCTTTCCACACAACTTCAATCAGGGAAACAATCGTAGAATAGCTCTACAGAACCATTGCCAGCATATTAATCCAATGTTACTTTGCAAACTGTTTCGTAGAATGAAAACATCAACAGTAAGAAACCGATTTGATCTTCGTGAATAACCATGAGAAGAACGTATTATTGATTAGATGCCCAAACCAGCACGACAACCACAACGGGGAGGTTATCACGGTGGTCGAGCTGATCATCGCGATAGAAGAAGACGTGGTCGTGGTCGTGGTCGTGGTTCTACTCGTCGCTTATCGACAAGAGTGAGGGATGATGTTACTCGACAGGTGGAAATCAGCTATCCGTCATCGAATCATGCTCCACAGATGAATATGGAAATGATTGAAGTGCTTTTAAAACTCGATGATATAGAAATTGAAGAGAAATTCAATGAAAAAGAAGACGATTATTTTCGTCGACGTACTATTCAATTAAAACAAACAAGTGGTAAAGATATTTTCACTTAGTTGCAAAAAGAAATCGTCTCCTTTATCTGTTTCTCAGATGTAGACAAACTTCTTGGAATGTCAATCCTTAAACATCGTGGTATTGACATAAAATTTAAGTCTGTGAATCAAACGATTGATACGAAAAGTTTCCTATTGAAAACGACAATCAATAATGAATCTGACAAGATCAGTCAAGCTCGTTTCGCTCTATACATCTCGATACTCGTTGGAAAAGACGTAAAGACTCACGTGGAAGATCTCTCATCCGAAAATGAACAGATCATTCTAGTCCAATGTGATACTGATGTGGGTGAGTATTTCCAGAAGAAACAACATGGTTTTGCATGTATAATCATTCGTTTTACATAGACTCTACTCAACTATGTCGAGCGCATGAATCTCGACCACATCTGTACGGCAAGCGAATCAGTTTAGTACAAATTTATGTTAGCAGCGCCGTGGAGGTTCATCATAATGATAGTAATAAATCAATGACTGCCGATGATGTAAAAGCTATTTTTCAGTCAGTTTGGGATGATATCTTTGCATATAATCTTCCCACAGATGAGTCCGCAGAAGTAGATTTCATTAGTGTCGATGGTAAGTAGTCCGAACCCTTCGAATATCTTCTACGTTCCTCTCGTTTAAGCTATAAGACGCTGGATGTCAATAAATGAATCGATGGAAAAGAAATTTGACGTTACAATTAGTCCACTTCTCGACAACGTCGAAGAAGACAGCAGTCCACGATTGGACGCCGAGCAAACGACAATACCTAATAATAATAGTACTACTTGTTTAACTACGAATTCACCACTTGTTAAGAAATCTTGCCAAACGATCATCAAACTTCTTCCGCATTGGGCTTTAATTGCTAGCCATGCGAGATTCCAATCTGAATACAAAGAATTTATCCGTACGTACTCATCACAAAGTTCTTCGATTGTTTTACCTCATGTTAACCTGTCTATTTCAGACAATAATTTTGGAGGCGAAGTTCATGTGAATCAAGACGAAGCTATTTATTCTGGCACTTTTCCATCGAATAGTCAAGGTGCGTGCAAAGAAGCCATTCTGGGAAATAAGACACGAGAGTTTATGAAACAATTCCAGTATCGAACATACCAGACACTAAATCAAGATCAAATAAAGACTCTTCAAGAAAAATCTGCTTATATCGCGTATAAACAAGTGAATGAAGAAGATTATTTAGTAGCAGCAAAATTCAACCACATGGCAGAATTACGAAGTGCATGGTATCATGAAAAACAAACAAACCATCGAGTGGAACGAATTCCACCACTCATGAAAGGATTTTCCACTCAAAAGTAAATCCGAATCCTATGGAATCGTTCATTCACACACATTTTTCTTTAGTAATATTTCAAAGTCGTCATCAAACACTTCCTTAAATTCTAACACGAGTGAACAGTACGTGTGTCAATATAACTCTCATTTGACCGTATGTATTTTATCCTATTCAGGTTTCATAGCTTACCCACGATGCCAGCTGGTATGTCCAGTTCAACATATACTATTTACGCACACGAGGAAATCATCATGTTTTCAATCGAAAGATTCGAAGATCGTTTGCAGCAACATTTACAAAACGTCTTTCATGTTAAAACGATCATTGATAGGCGAAATCTCAGTGAGAAGATAAAAGGCATACGGCCTTGTATTATCGTGAAAGTTACCGGTGATGAAAATGAAACACAAAATGCTATACAAGACGTGATGGACTTGTTTTCATCGAAGCAAATAAAAAAATACGATGACGAAACTGGTAGAAAGATTTTTCCCTCTTTGCAACTGACTAAATGTTCTGTTCTTGTAATTGTAGATGGTTACTGGACGAAAATTAACGACGCAGTCGAAGTTATTCACTATCATTTCAAATTAGCGGACCTCACTTGTATTTGCGAACGAATTTCTCCGTCAGCAGTAGTTGTCCACTATTTTGACATGTTCAACCCACAATTCGGCATTGACGAACAGCAAATCGATGATATTGTGCAAAATAAGTTTTCGTCTGCAGTAGTTCGCTATGCTGCTCAATCAGTTGGCTCTACCTTTCAGAAAGAATGGACGGATTTGGAAGAGAAAGTTCGCGGGCGAAATGATTACAAGAAGAACATCTGCTTCGAAACACAATCGAATGCCATTCATTTGTTTGGTGTATCCGATTTAGTCAAAGAGTACCATCGAAACTTTGAACAGCTGAAAAGCAAACATGAACCACAAAAATGTCCAATCAAATTATCAGATAAACAGGTAGACATTTGAAAACTAGCCTTGGCTCTGACGTTTTTTTCCTCGTTTTTCTAGTTCAGCTATTTGAAATATGTAGCCAAGAATGATCTTGCCAAACTTGAAGCACGGTATAAATCGAGTGGATGTGATCTCAGTTTGAATCGTCTACGTGACGATGGTGAATTTCTCGCTCCGGTTGATCTACATTCGAAAATCAAAGAGTGTCTAAATGAGATCACGCAAATCGAAGAGCTATCATTCGAAATCGGAGAACTCGGTTTCGATGTGTTGGTTACCAAGAATTTCGAACGAGTTCGACAGATTGTCAAACCAAAATGTTATATAGAAAAAACGATTGACACACGTCGAGAATATATTCCGATTCCAAAAGCACGTGCCGCCGATCTTGACGAAGAAATAAAAGACAAACAGAATACGACATCAACAACAGCTTCGAGTGCATCTTCGACTGCCACCACTGCGGTTGTCGACCATTCGACGGTCAATATCTGTGTAGGTGACTTAACTACACAAGCGGTAAGGGGTCATTTGAGATAATACTATACGAAAAAATTTTTTGACGTAGGTTGATGCCATTGTTGTATGCTCCACATCCCAATATCTGTGTTCAGCAATTGTGAAAAAAGCTGGAGGATCAGTCATGAACGAATATCAATTAATACAGTCATCGGATAGCTTTCCAAGTGTAACCAGCGCTGGTGGATTGTCATCTAAAAAGATTTTTTTCATTCCGTGGTCGGCAGATTCGAATGATGACGATGATATTCAAACGTCGCTGAGCATATTTATTGGAACGGCATTTCAATATACTTTGAGCCATGGATTTAAAAGCATTGGTAAGTGCATAACAACAATGATTAATGTTTCGACCATGCAGTTTCTGTAGCTTTTCCCACTGTTGGTTGTGGTGGTTTCAATATTTCTCCATTAACAATCGCAAAATACATGCTGAAGGAAATACGAAAACAATTGAAATTTTGTAAGCAAAAGATGAATATCTCCGTTGTCGTTCTTGCCGATCAAAAAGATGTTTTCGATGCCTTTGTTAAACGTCTTAATGAATTGATCACTGTTGATCCGAACATCAATGAGAAAATTTCACCGGCGAGAAGAACGGATCAGTCGAGAATTGCATTCGATCGTAAAGGTAGATTTCCTTTACTCTCGAGGAATTTTGCTTGATTTACATAACATTCTGTTCTAGTCGTTAAAATAACATTAATCAGTTCAACAAACGATCATCTTATAAGATACAAACAAGAGATTCTTAATTTTGCACGCGAGGTTTCCATTACAAAGAAACTGACAGACAAACGAGACATGCTTGATTGGCCGCAAAAGACGATCTACAAGTTTTACGAATTTTGTCTCAAGCAAACCGTCATTCCAACGCTCGATCTTGATAATATCACACTTGAACTTGTCGGAATCAAAGATGGAGTAAGAAGAATGTTGTCGTTTCTCGTTGAGTATTCTGTGAGTATTTCTAGGTACATGAAGCTGAGAAATATTTTTATCAATTAACAAACGAAGCATTGAAGCAGGAACGCATTCATGCTGTGTCCCGTAGTGTTATTTGGTCGATGGAACAGACACCCAATTCAGACACATGGGAACAGTATTCGTTTAAACTAAACGGAATAATTGAAGATGCTTATCTGAAAAAACTTCCTCACGTATGCTGAAATTCTTGTTAAAAAAGATGATGCATCTAATGCGAATGTTGGATTTCACTTCAGATTGAATTCATCAATGACAAGGACGAAAAATGTAGAATAGATTTTGCTACGATGGTAGAAAATGGTTCCACACATCGTCGTGTACGCCGAAAGCCTATAGATTCGGCGTTACCAAGCGTTAGTATCTCAATCTAGTAAAACATCACAATCTATTCCTTTTGTATTAATCAGACATGGGAACCATCAGATAAAAATTGTAAACGAGTTACATTGTCAGTACAGTCGCCGGAATATCAAAACGTACTTGCACGTTTTCATACAACCATGCTTGGTAAATATACTCAAATAGTTAAAATCGAGCGTATTCAAAATGAGCGATGGTACAAACAGGTAATTTGCTACGTTTGATTAACTGAACTACATGTCTGTTCTTCCAGTATGATGCGCATCGCGAAGATTTCAAACGACGTTATTCGAACTTAGATGAGCGTCAACTGTTTCACGGTTGCCCTAATACATCTGTTGATCAGATTATTGAAAACTGTTTTAACCGATCGTTTGCCGGTGTCAATGGTGAATTCATTTACTAGAACTTAAGCGCATCTCATACTCTACTTTTAGGTACGTTATACGGTTTTGGCGTATATTTTCATGCTCAAGCAAGTTATAGTCATCAATATGCATCTGCAAATAGTGCAGGACATCGTACAATGTTTCTAGCAAGTGTTCTTATTGGTAGAACAATCAAGGGTGATGCAAGCATGAAAACTGTTCCAATTGGCTTCGATACAACTACGGACGGACAACATATCTTTGTTGTCTATCATGACGCCGGTGTTTATGCAGATTATTTGATTATCTATAAATAATTTGTTTGTTATTTTCATAACTCCGAGAATCATACTGTGTGATATTTTCAATATATTCAAATAAAAGATGTGTTGTTTCCTATTTTAGATACTGTATCATTTAGATCAATAGGTGATGGCAAGCGCCTATAATTTATCCGATGAGATTCTACGCGTATTTGTCAATACACAGCGTAGTGAAATGACATTGGCCGATTTGCACCAGCATTTAGCTGATCACAGCGATCGTTTAACTACGGATGATCTTCTTCGTGTGTTTCGATCGGCGAGTCTGATAAATCTTTTCAATCTACAATCGATATCTAATGATTTATGTTTAGTACAATTGAATCCAAAAGTACGAAAAGTCTTCATACGCATTTGCTTTTTTCTTATATGTTGTTCTTTAGTTAACTCTCTGCGAACTCTGTCTAAAGCGACAATGTAGGACGATGCGTTGTTCAAAACTACACCTGTGCTGTTTTCCGGCCCATTTCTTTCGCAAACCATCGGATAAAGAATGTTGTTTCCCACATAAACTTACTGAACATCCAAACAATGTCATACTATTAAGAAAGTTCAATTACGATGTGTTTGATGAAAATCTACTTCTCGATTTACTTCGTCTTCATCTTAAAGCGAACAAAGAAAACGAAGCGACCAATACCAAACCGTTCAATCCAGATCGACGTTTTCCTGCGAAACAATCACCAGTACACCTAAATAATCGTCCGCCAACGAGTAGCTCTCCAACAACTACGCCGCAGCATCGAGTCTTGAAATCAAGACCGCCGTCGACTACAAAAAAATCACCTATGCAATCAACAATTCTGACAGAAAATGTGGCCGAACGACAGTTAGATATCTGTATCCCATCAGAAAAAGATGCACCAGACGTTGATCTCGAAATTGTTCAATTGGTTCTAGCAACAAAAGACATCATTATCGAACGACAATTAGACAAACAAGTTTCCAATGATTTCTATCGAAGATATACTTTGCAGTTTAAGAGTAAACAAAGTAGGGAATTATTGAGAAGATAAAACATATAATCATGAGTTTCTCTTTAGTTGTTGATACTCTGCTACAAACTGAGCCAGTTATCACTTATAACAATGTTCCCATTAAAATGAAGCGAACGATCCGACAGAGAGACGCACGACTTTTCGCGTTCAAATTTGATACAGATAAAAAAATAGATTCGATGCGTTTGAATTTATATGTCGAAACGCTCGTGGGTAAACACAATGGGGATATAATTGATATGACACCAGATGGTAGTGAGCAGCAAGTCTATCTTGTTCGTTGCAAAGAACCAATCGGTTTGTAGACTTATATTTTACTGTTCCAGTAAAAAGCACTACTCTTTCTTAGATTTCAATCATTTATACAGAATATATTCGACGAAAAATACATTACAAGGTTTTCGTGTCATTATCACTGAAATCTATGCAGCGGAAACCCTGGAAGTGTCTTTTATGCCAAATAAACCTCATAAACCGATGAGCATCGAATATTTACGAAAACTGATTGGCGAAACTCGCTGGCAACAAGATGTCTTTGCTTGCGTTGCCATTCATGACGAGTATAGCGCTGACATTGAATTAATGAATGAAGAGGGTATAGTTTCTAATCGAGGCAAAACTACTTTTCTCGATGTTACCGTTCGAATGATTTGTTTTAGTTACGACCAACTGGTTATTGGATGCGAATCGATTCGAACGAGATCTGTTTCTTAGTATTCGTCCTATCATTGATTTCATCCCATCACCTGAAAAGAATGAGGAAGACGATGATGAAGAGGTCACAAACTTACTTGCTGAATCGCCAGTGGCAACTTCCATTTCACCTTCCAATGCTTCGGTTGACTCATCAAAGGAAGAGAAAGACCTACATCTGTACCGGATCAAGCCAGATTGGCGCATCGTTCTCACGCATCCAACATTCGGCAAAGACTATCGAAAATATATTCGTAGGGCATTGCTTCTCATCACCATTTTACTTCATTTCGAATTCCTAATTTTCAGGTGAGAATCTAAATCTATTGGTTCAAATAACCGGTTCAACAATTCAAGTACCCAATGAACATCTACGAAAAGAGCTAGCCCGTCATACGAATATGTTCATACAAAAATTTGTTTTTCATGAAGTGAACAATCCCAATAAAGCACAAGTACAATTAATCAAAGAGAACTACCATCGTATGGCACACAAGTGGCGGCAAGATACAACAGTCACATTAGTCGCAGCCCATCGCGATGTTATCGACGAGCTTCTCGTGCAACTCACTTCAGTTAGTCGACCATCATCGAAGACTACCAATACTCCGACATTACGAACACGATCTTCAACTAATGTGAAAAAACAAACACCATCATCATCGCCGAAACCATCCAACGAAGAGTAAATACTATCATTCCTTGTCTTACATCGAATCTTTCTTCTTCGCAAACTAGATCTCTTACAAGTCAACCGTTGCTCAAATCCAACGAAAACCATACATATCTTCTTCCTTATTCGATCGAGAATAGTGTCTATTTTCCATTTTTTCACACATCGAATTCATTTCCTGATCGACTGAGAACTTATCTATCGAGTACATATGATATTACTCTAGAAATCAAATTCGTCTCACCAACAAAATTAATACTTGAACTGAGTGGTCAGCAGAATCTTGTCCACGAAGCACGAAATCTCTTACAATCACTGTTTACGTCATTAAAAAACAAAACATATTCGAATTCATCTACGTGTAAGTCTTTGCCTTTGAAATTTCTTCGTTGTGCGTATCAATGTTCATTTTAGCTTGTAAATTCTCAATCCCCGATGTTCATCGCGTAGCACAATGGCATCTGGATCAAAGTGGAATCGTCTCATCCTGCACTTATTCACCAAGAAATAGTGGAACACTATTAGTACGATATTTCGCTGGTCATCCACAATTCGGTGCTGACGAACAAACCATCGATGATATTATTCTCAATAAACTTTACGATAAAACTTATCAACTCTTAGGAAATAGTAAAAAATTTGAGGTAAAACTAAATGAATTACAGAAGACAATTCAAAGCCGAGCAGATTATGGACAACACATCTGCTGTTGGTTCCAGTCTCAAAAAGGATCGACTGAGAACACCCAGCCGCCTTCAATATACCTCTGCGGTAGCAAACCGGTTGTTAACGAAGTTTACATACAAGTGAAGACACTAGCAGACGAATATACACCCACAAAATGTGATGTACCATTGGCGCCAAATCAGGTATAACACTGCGTGCGAATGATCCTGTTTGCGATGTGTTCCGTGCTATTTTAGATTGTTTATCTTCTCCAATTTTGTCAAACAGAGATAAAGAAATTTGACAAGCGGTACGAAGATGATGGCGTGAATATACTTGCAGGATTGAAGTCGGATGGAACGAGTCAAGTTTTCGCACCGAAATATCTTCACGCGGAAGTCAAATTGTTCCTACTTGAAATGAGTCAAATACAAATGGTTTCGAAAGATTTCAAATGTTCATCACAGTTACTCAAAGAGAAAAAGAGTGAAATCAGCGCATTAGCCAGTAGAAGGCATTGCCTATTGTCGATTAGCTCATCATCATTATCGTCGTCTCCATCGCTACCAAAAGTGCCATCTTCTCTTGTGATAAATTCAATATCAGTGAAAGTTGGTTCTGGAGAAATTCACGTGATCAATGGAGATCTAACGAAAGAACAAGTCAGTTGAAAGTTCATTCGAAAACCAGTAAGAATCTTTTCTCGTTAGGCTGACGTTATCGTTATATGCTCAACATCCAAGCTACTTTACGAAAAAGTTATCAAAGCAGCTGGCTCAGAAGTCGAACAAGAACTAAAAGGAAAAGACCTTGCAAATAAGACTATTGACACATCCGCTGGACAGTTGAGACAAGCGAAGCGGTTATTTTTCATTCCCTGGGCCCCACCAAGTGCATATTTAAACAATTCAGATCCTGATTCACTTCGTCAGTCGATTATGGCATTTATTCAAGATGCAATTAAGTTTACTATTCAGACAAATCTTCATAGCATTGGTTTGTTATTAGAAATACATCAGCTAGAAGAAAACTTTCCAAATATTTTAGCGTTTCCGGCGATTGGCTGTGGAGGTCATGGTATACCATCCGGTGTCATTGCGACCATTATGATCGAAACAGCACAAAAGGAACTTCTATCTAATCCAAAAGCTCAACTAACAGTGAAGTTCGTCATTCAACAAGCAAACGTCTGCTTGGATTTCTCTGCAAAATTGAAACCGACATCAGGCTCGACTACTGCTCATCGAACCCGCACTTCATCACCAACTCATTCGATGAATGAAGAAAGTGAGCGTCTAATTCTCTTATGCTAAGACAATATTATCGCTTTCTATTTCTAGAAGTTACTATCACTCTGACAACCTCAAACGAAAATGTGAACGTTGCAAGGTCATTATTAGACGCGATTGAAAATATTCTCGCATGAAAGAATGTTTTTCTTTAAACTTCTCTTGTCACACGATACGTTTTTGTGTTCCAATATAAGTAACTTTCGTTGACAGTATCATTTCTTACTATTAAACTTTTCTGCGATAACAAGCGGAAGAATGCAGTTCACTCTTTTTTCGTATATTCTAATTGCAAAATTATTAGACACACGAATACAACTATTTTATAATCTGTCTGAACGAAATCTTACTAATCAAACGTTCTCTCTGATTCCGACTCAAGAGTCCAGAGATTCGTGAGAAACTTGTTTAAGTATTCTATTTTACTATTAGTATATTTTGCACAGATGTAATCGTTTGACAACAAAAAAACCTAATTAACACACAGAGAATGAGCAAAATAAACCTACATCCGATATGATAGTAAACACACAGAAAAGAAAAAGATTATTTTATATAAATTGAGTATATATTCCGTCGTATATTTGTATCAATCTAAATCCAAACAATAGGATGTGCATTCAGCGAAAAGTGAATTTGAAGAGAGCTTACAGAATCAAACTTCAACAGCTGTATTACCGTTAACCAAGTGATTGTGTTCTGACTCTTTGACTTCTATGATAGGCGTTTCAGTTGGTTCAGCAATTTTGATTTTCTTTGTTTGATCATTTGAACGGTCGTCACTATCAGTCGTTGTCTCTTCAGTTGGTTCATCCTCTTGTTCGAGTTCACGTTTCTTACTATTGGTACTATCGGTACCATTTGAGATGACAGCTAACTCTTCTTTTTCACTTTCGTTCACTTCTTTCAATGGTATATTAGTTCGACCGGGCGAGACGCATGTGGCCGGTACGGTTGTACACGCATCAGTAACATTTTCTTGTTCGGTAACTGATTTATTCAATGGAGTGCTCTCTTCTTCTTCTTCTTTTTTCTTTTCCACAGAAGTTTCTTCCATTGTTTTCGAGGATACATCTTCGTTAGTTGCTTCTTGACCGTTCGTTTTGACTTCTTCCTCAACCGGAGCTGACTGATCACCATTCATTTTCAATGGATCTTGTGTCGCGATGGGATCTCCATTGATCTTCGATGTGTCTTCAGCAACTGGTTCAACCACTGTTGTTGGTTCTTCGGTTTGAATGGGCGCTTCAGTGTTTTCCATGGCTTTTCTCAAAAACAAACTGAAAGGATAACGATACAAGTGATCAATAGAGGAATTCGACTCGCCCGATGTGTTTGCTTACTTTTGAAAGAGGAATGAACTTGTTGTGAATAGTCCGACGGTTAGATGTAGAATGATACGTTAAATCGAAGACGCAAGCGAATTATATGAGGATACGAACTGACGGACGGACGAAGAGATAGATATATAAAGAGATAGCTGGCCAGACAGACAACGGATTATTGTTCAATTTTGAACACACAAAGAATTAACGGATGCATTCCGTAAATAATTCTCTGAACTACTGAATTTTGCAGAAAATCATTAGAAATTAAATTAAATTAGAATTAATATTATTAAAAATCGGAAATTATATTGAGATCATTGATTGGTAATTGATGTGCACCAATAGGAAACGATTGGATTTCGCATATAGTAATATAGTTTTTGATGATAAAATCAAACATTCCTCGTCACTTTGTTCGTCTTTGTCTGTGAAGAACAAGAACGGTGTTATGTCAACGACGGATGAAGAAATTACAGCCGTGTCTAATATAGAAAATGCGAAAATATCCGATGGCACAAGTACAGCTGGTGAACACAATAAAGATGTTCTAAATACCACTGAGTCCGAAGAACAATTGCAGGAGGTTGAATCTCTCGCCGAAAATGACACAAAAGCTGAGAGTTATGACAATCGAGAAGATGAACTAGTCGATGATTCGAACAAAGAAGATCATTGTGCAGTTACACCAAAGAAAAAGTTGAAAATAATCGAATCGTATACTGAAGAGGCAGATGCCAAAGGATTGAAAGAAGAACTAATCCTGTTATAGATCAACCGTTGTATCAGATATTCCTTTTATCGTTATTTTAGATAAAATAATCATGACAACAACAACAGCATCATCGAATCGTGTGGAAATTAAGTTAGTTCAACTCGAGTTTTTTTCTTGCTAAAACTACTCGGATCATCGTTTAGGGACGAAGAAGCCAATGCATCGTTTCTACTTGGCAAACGTGATGTACTATTGAATAATTATCAATCAGCATGCGACCATTTGTCGAAAACTTGTGAACGAATGTGAGAAAAAGCGTTGTCTTCTGCGTGTATAAACCAACAAAGCTTTCTTTAGTGTCAAATTGTGTGGAAATGACACGACACCCGAACTTGCCGAACCATATTTCTATTATGGTCAAGCGTTACTCTACCTTGGTCTTAGTGAACAACAAGTGTTCGGTAGTGATATTGTCAAAGGTTAGGAACAGGCTGGCGACTATTCTTTTTCGTTAATTTGATGTTTTTCTTTTTGCAGACACAGATAATGATGAAAATGAAATTATCGAAGAAGAGAACGAGGAAGAAGATGAAGCTGAAAAGCCAGCGGAAGCTGCTGCTAATGGTGAAGAGGGAAGCAATGAAAATGAGGATGAATCTATTCCTGATGATGACAATGTTAACGATCTCGAGCGTGCCTTTGAAATTCTCGAATGTGCACATATGATTTACTCAAAGATGTCAGATGATTATCCAAACGATGCATTTATTACCACGCGTATTGCTGATATTCATGTTATGCTGGCAGATATCTGTAATGAAAATGGTGATCACGAAAACGCTCTCTCACATGTTCTCAAAGCCATCGAATTACAAGAAACCATCAATGAACAGCAACGTTATCGTTTACTTGCTGAAAGTTACTATAAATTAGGTTTAATTTATGAATTGATAAGTAAATTCTCGGAAGCTGTGGACAGTTTCAATAAGGCGATTGATGCAATTCATCAGGCCATGAAACAATTGGATGGTGACGATAAAGAAAGCGAACGTGAAGACTTGAAATCACTCTTACCAGCCATGGAGTTGAAACGAAACGACGCCCAAGCCTCGGTTGCCGATCGGCATCTAATTGCCCAAGCACGAAAGATTCTCTCGGGAACGAGTAACACAACCGAGAGCAAAACAACGGAAGAACCGGCGAAAGACATTACATTGAATATTCGTCATAAACGTCCAGTGACTGAAATCGAGAATGATGAAGATGCGACAAAGAAAATCAGAAATGAATAAAACGACAAATTCTGTGTTCTTGTGAATATTTGCTCAATATTGAAATAAAACTCATCTAGTTGTGATTATTTCTTGTAGATGGATTTTAGTCATTTAGCATTTGAATTTCAATGGGAACAATGTTTTTCCTTAATAGACAAGTGGAAAAACGCCATGATAGATCGTATTCTTCACATTCATCAAGAGAAATCTACCGAAATCGAAATGTACAAAGAGCAAGCAGAAAAAAGTCGACTTCTCAAACAGACGAACTTAATCTTAAATATGAACGAGTATTTCCAACATCCTTGTATATTATCCAATGAAATCAACTCGTTTAAAACTCGTTTAAATCAGCTAAAACAAAATATTGTCCACCGACCACTACCTTTAAACATCGAAATCGATTCGACTTCTTTGAAAAATTCCATTTTAATCCATCCAATTTTCGATCAATATACTTTCAAACAAAGAAAGCTCCTTATTGAACATCAAATCAACACACAATCCATACATCTCATCGCGACATCGAATGATCAGATTATTCTTGTTAATAATCAGTCAAAGATCTTCTGTTTTGACAAAACAATTGGTTTTATCACTGAAATCAATCTCTTAGATTACACAGATGAATATCTAAATGATATATGCTGGTCATCGGCATATAAAAATTTTCTTTTCCTTTGTGAATATTCGCTATGGTCACTAGAAACGTTACATTTGAAAAAACTTGCACAAATATCGAACAAAAAACATTTTGTGAGCAATTTAACATCGTATCGGAACCAGATCTTTCTCGTTTACAATCAAGGAGAATTCATCGAACGATGGAACGTTCGACCCGCCTGGAAATTAGAAAAACGCTGGATAAAACAACACAAAAACGATATGTTTATTTCAATAAGCTCCAACCACCAACATCTACTATTTTACACCACTAAATCCATTCAAATATGCACAAATGAGTTAATCATTCAATATACCATTGATTTAACCAACCAGGAACACATTTACTCTAATTTTATATTCTTATCTCAATATCGAATTTGGTTAACAATTGATAAGCACACGCAAACGCTCAATTATTTTCATATTCATCGACGCACTATTGAAACCTTTGATCAGATAGACATCCGAGCAATTAGTGCCATGGGAGATGATTTAGCACTTATCACTAAAGATAAACGCCGCTTACAAATAGTTTCATTGGCATAGATTAGACATGTTCTTTCTCTCTTTCATTTACTTTGTTTAGTTTTCATATGTAAATGATGAACACATATGAACTTGATATTTTAGATAGATATTTCTTATGGCAAAGGCAGCGATTACAATTTTATGTCCAAGTGGACATCGCCGAAAGGCGAATATGACGCCGAATAGTAATTTGTTACAAGTGAGATTGTCAGTTCGAAATTTGAAATGTTACGGACTGTGAAAGTTGTAGGTTTTGGAAGATATGTGTCATCAAGAAAACTTAGATTCATTTGAATGGGGCATCACGTAAATTGATTGTACATGAGTTTTTCAATTCAAGTTGAACGTTGATGATTATTCTAGACATCAACGTAAAAAGTGTGATTTGACGATTCCGTGGCGTTTAGCAGGAATTCCAACGAATGCTCTTTTGGAAATGTATAAGTTAGAAGAACGCCGACCAATGAGCGATGTGACCATTCAGTTACAACTATCAGATAATTCAAGACATACCGGTAGTTTTCAACCGTCCATTACTCTTCGAGAAATGTTAGAACAGTATCGGTGTCAGCCGAACAGGTGAGTCGTGATGATGGAAGATATTGGCAATTGTATTCTTGTTGAAATTGAAGTTTAGTAGCTGTTTTTGACAATTCAATGAATAATGACGGACAGTTACATCCGGTATGTTCGTATATGAGCGAGGAAATTATCGGTGATTATGCCTTGTCGAATACGACGATACGTGAATTAGGATTAACTAGCGGAGCAGCTGTGATTCGGTGAGTTTTCGAGAGAACTCGGACGAAATTCTAATGAACGTTGCCTGTAGTTACAATCATCGTGCAGTGAATGAAGAGGATTTGAAAAAGATCAACAGTCGCATTGATGAAAAACTCGCTCGCCGTCATCGACAATCTCAACCACAACCACAAACAACAGAGTTTATACCTGCTGCTCCTCTTCCACCAGCACAGGCGGCAACAACAATATCTGCACCTCAATATCCAGTCATAGATACTTCAGTAACATCCTTCCGGAACGATGAATACTCGATATTTCGCGATATTCCTGCATCACGTCCAGTTCCAACCACGGTATTTTGTGACCACTTTGATAGGGAAGTAAAGAAAGTATATTATCATCCTTCTCATCGTAGACTCAACAGCAACAACCGAGAACATTAGCTGAAGCTCTGGGCATAAATATTTCATTGGATCAACCATCTGTATTCGAACAACATCAATCACTACAATCTCAACCTAACTTTAGCAATTTTAAAGTAATTAAAAATCGTTATAGACACACGCTTCAATCAATTCTTTTAGTTTCCAGAGGCAACCAAAGGGCAAAATCTTTTTCAAAATGAACTTTCTGACAATAACTCTCACCCTCAAAATTCGAAAGTAAGTCTACTCAAATGAAGATTATCTCTATGTCATTCTTTTCAATTCTAAATAGTCCTGCGATCGACATGCTATGGCTTACGATCTTACAAAAGTTCCACCTACGTCCGCCAATCGAACTGAAGATTTACCAGATAGTTTCTTCGAATTAACTCCTGATGATCTCCGATCCGTATTAAACAGTTTAAGACAACAAAGGTATTTGGAAATATTTGAGTTATAAATCTAGTTGATTCATTTAGTGAGGAAGAAAATGCATTAGAGACACGTTCAATGCGTGAGCAAGCTCAGTCAGCACGTGCTAATTCTTACCAACATATCGCTATACGATTTGTTGTAAATTCCAGTCTTGTTCTTCAAGGTTTATTTTATCCCCAAGAAACAGTTGCGAACCTTTTGGAATTCGTCCGAGCAAACCTGATCTGTCCTCATTTGAATCAAGCAGAGTTTTATCTTTATACATCACCACCACGTGTCGTCCTATCAAACTTAACAAAATCACTCTCAAGTTATGATTTAATCCCCGCGGCTTATGTTTATCTTGGCCATCGAAAAGTTTCACCACTTGTTGTTGAACTCGCATCCAATGTTCCCGTTGGAACGATCGATGAAGCGAATCAATTAGTAGCCAAGTATGTTTTCAATCGGTCGCAAGCGTTAGATGCAGAAGATGCGAATGCGACAAATCGACCAGTTAAACGGAACACACCGATGAACAATATGGATGACAAACAGATCCGAGATAAATTCAGTAAATTTTTACCTGGAAAAAAATAAGTGATTCAAACTTATTTTCAGTTTTATTTCGATTTTATTTACGAATTTTGAAAATATAAACCAGAACACAAAAAATTCTCTAGCATAAAAAAGGGCGGAATTTTTTGTCGACACGTGACTGACTGGTTCCGAATACGTCAACAAGAGAAAATGACCTTAAAGTATATGCAAAAAAAAGAATCAGACGCGTTTGTTGTCATCGCCATATCATAACAGCGGAGTGATACATCCAATAATATTTATCTAATGAAAAATATATTTAAGTCGGTAGATATACGGAAAATGTACTTTTAGAGAATGATACCTTTGCGAACAAGAACATTTCTATACAAAATGGTTAACTTTATTCAATCAACAGTTATCATTTAACATGAAAAGATAGATATACTAAAAAAAGAATCGTTTAGCTTTCAGTTGTCTGTTCAAATTAGTACAGGACTTGTGATTTACTGTAACCGACTCGGTGTCTTGGATGATGGTTCGGATGTCGACCCGTGCAGATATTTGACGGACGACAACGACAGATAGGACAGCCGTTTGTATCTAGAAGATGACCACATTGACAGTACATTGAACAAGTTGGTGGACATCGTCGAAGTCCATTTCGTTGATAAGAAGGATTAGCCTCAACATCCTTTGGCATCAAAAGAAGGCAGAGCCCGATGGTAACAAAAAATAGGAGTAGAGGTACTTTCCCATGCATTATGTTTGAATACTAGTAAAGAAAAGCTGATAACAAACGTTTTAATTTTGTGTTGATGCGAAGCAGTGTTTATGTATACATATATATACACGTTCTAGAGGACAGCAGAATAGGAGGAGAAAGATGTTCCAACAACGCAATATACATGAGTCAGGCATTTTCTTCTTCTTCCTACTTTCCCTTAAGTCCATGGCTTGTTATTATTTATGCGATAAACTGATACTTTGCTGCATTCTTGTACATTCTTTCTTAGCTTGTATATCAGTAGACTAATTGTCTTTATCCATAATCGATACTCACAGATGCCACGACTTCGTTCGATATATGTTAAAGATATAGATTGAGAAAAGAAAGTTAATTTTCATGTTGAATTGATATGTACAAAATCTAAGAACTTCATATCGCGACATCTATCGTTTTCTTAGAATGTATCGATATCATAAAACAAAATGTTGCGAAATTGAAGGATTAAAATCGTTCTGAAAAATTGCTAATTCAGTGGAACGATTGATTGCCTTGTTTCACAAGTGATTTTCAAGCTCCAATAACATTTCAGATCGAAATTCATAATATCGAATTAAATCATCGAAAATATCTTTCAAATATCAAAATGCTTTCAACCAGTCGACCACTTTGTCTGGCTCGATTAATTTCTCATCATTCATTTCGTTGTCTTCCACGCGCTGCTCCATCGAATGATCAATCATCAACAGCAGCAACAAAACCATCGGATTACGCCGTCATCGATTCGTTTTCTCAACCTCAAACAACGTTATTCAATGATTACCAGGTTGTCAAACCGAAAACGATTCAATCGCGGCCCGTACCAAAATCTCTTCCAAAATTAGTCGATATTCAAACTGGACTGAACCATTTCATTAAAGAATGTGACGAACGCACATTGTTGCTAACTGTTGAAAATAAGTACAAATTATTCGATAGCACAAATGTCGCGACTTTCATCGAACGTCTTCATGAGCTGAAAATCCAACGTGATTCTCAAGAAAGATTGCATCAACGAATGTATGACTTTGTCGATTATTTCAGTATGAGAAACAAACATCAATAGGAATCTATTCTAAGACTTGATCTTTTCATTTTAGTATTAAAACATGGTTCGCAATTAGATTTCGATCACGTTCTCACCATCTACTTCCAACTGTCATCATTAAATGGCACTGCGAATCTTTCCTCCTTCTCCGGCGCTTATGCTGTGAAAGCACTTATACAATTATTAAAACATAATGTTAACAAATACCATATCGAACATGTGGGTCGTATCTTACTCGCTCTTGAACAAGATTTTCATTGCAACATGAGAGATGACGAACGTATTCGTCCACTATTTGATGCGCTTCTTCTCCTAACAAAACTTCGTCAAAACGAACTCGATCGTTTAGATGCGCGATCATTGGCAGAGCTGGCATATGTATTTGCATCTGAATTAGACCACATCTATTTTACAAATATTCTCAATGAATATATTCATGACGAATATTATCATGATAAGTATTCAACGTTGTTGATGTTTCGTGCATTGAACCGGCGTGGTTATAAACACAATCGAACATTGGATATTTGTCTTCATTTTGTACATGAAAACAAAGATTTATTCGAAGAAAATGAATTGGATGAAATTAAACAGTGTTTAAACAAACTAGATTATCATATATCCGATGAATAATTTGTTATTTCTACTGTTTCTTGTTTATTTTCAGATACTATTCATTTTGACCTAGATATTTACACGATTATTTTCTCGAAGCATCCGATATATCGATGTTTACGATATAATTTACAATTGGATTGAAAGAATCAACGAATATGACATATTTCTTTGACGTTAGATCTTGGTAGGCATTGTTTTCGCATCTGAGTACATTTTTTTCAAGGTACTTGTAAAATAAAAACGGAACTCGAACATTGTAAGGATGCTTGATGTCTAACCAAATATTTCTCTTTTTGTTCTGCATGATTTTTGGTTCTATATGGTGTGAATCCATTGGCTTGTTTTCTTTCTCATGTGACATTGCTTTGGCATCGTGAAATAAAAAGTCCGTTGCTAATGGATTTCATCATATGACCCGAAAGAAAGTGAATTTATTTTTTAACAAAAATAATCAAACTCGACAACTAATGGAACAGAGAAACTTAACGATCAAATCACGTCCTATATGTTGTCTTCGGTGATGTTTGTCGAAAGGTTTTAAATAAACTTGCTGCACATGCAAATGCCCCACCCTGTAGAAATCGAACAAGCTTATCGCCGGCAAGCGGACCTAATGCATACATGTGTTCAAAGTCGATGCATTCGTATGTATACGGATTGATTTGCAGAGCGGTTTTCGTTTTTGTAGATGCTCGTTGAAGAAACGGAGTTGTGACCTCAGCACCTGTGAGTCTCGCGACAAACGAGACATCATGTTCACTAGTCGAATGTGTTCGAACATTACGAATATGTACAGTACCATCTTCCGTTATGGAAACAACTTCACTTTGTGCCAAGCACTGATAGGACCAATCGGATGACTAAATTTGAAGGGAGAAGGTTTCCATTGGCGAGATTTTCCGTGGGAACTTACCGATGATGTAGATAATTTAGCCATATCTTTAATACGTTCGTATTCGGGATAGAGAGAAGGAGATAATTGGTTAAAGACAAGTTCATGATCATCAATTGCACGACGAAAAACATGTAGAACAGGTATAGAATATTGTTGACAAAGAAGAATTACATCAAGAGCGGTTAGTCCACAACCAATGACAAGCAATGGTTTATGAGTTTTAGTTAAATATTTTTTATTAATGATAAGATCTTCAATATCAGATAAACATGTATAAGTAAATGATTGACTTGTTTGTTCTCCGATGATTCCCAGAGGAATGGTTTTTTCTTGCGGAATGCCAGTTGCTAAAACGACGTATTTGGCGTGGATTATAAATGGACTTCCCGTTTTTTCTTCATAACCTCGTATTTCCCATAGTGGTTCTGATGTGCGAATTTCTTCGTTGACATCATCGAAAACCGGTTCACCAAGCGAAACACGTTCGATCGACTTCACTTCACAACCGTTTCGAAAATGATTCGTTAAACGATTTCGTTTCACATAGTGAACGTAATACGAGCGAACTTCTTCATATGTCGCCCTCAAGGACGCATTATCCTCGATGACTGACGACTGTTCGTTTTGTGCTGCTAAACGCAGTCGATGTGCTCGGCGTTGTTGTCGAAATGTACTCATCGAATAGTTGGGCAATTCCATCCAATGAGCCATGCTGACAGTTTGTAACTGTTTCGACGTTAAACTATTCCAGACACCACCGATTCCACCTCGGCCTAGACAAACGTGATTGATTGCTGACGACGGGTCATGGCGCCATTTGAGTTTCGATTGTAAATGTGCGCCAAGATCAGCATCAGGATGTGTCAGATGATCAATCAATAACGAAACAGGATTTCGAGAACGACCTTCTAAACCATCGGATAGAAATTCCAAATCCTAATCGAAACAAAACGCTATCGCTATCGAATTTCTTCATGTTTACTCCACGAACTTGTTCAAAGAGACAATTGTCCTTGACATGTTGTTCCAGTTTAATATTCAAGTAATCATTCGACACTGGACAACCATTCCAATATGGCATATGGCCAGAAAGAAGGTACGAAAGAACAATAGCGGATGGACCATTACCTAGATATGTAACGAAACATTTATGGGATGCTATGGAAGATTTGAATACTTGCCAATAATGGCAACGTCTTTGGGTTCACAGTTCTGTTTCTCAATTGTATTCATAGCCATGCATTCGTTTCTATCTTATTGGAGAAAATTATCAAATACTCTCGATTCTGTTTTGTAATACAACGAAAGATATGTAGATGAAAATATGCCTTGTCATTCTCAAATATATATATACATCGTCTTTTCTCTCGCTCTTTTTTGTATTGGCATTTAAGAGAAAATTGTTTTTTCTTTCTGTTCTTTTCTCTATTTAAAAGAAAAAAAAAGGTCGTATTCGTTTCGTCTCTTTTTTTTACAAACAAGAAAATAACGAAAACAGTATGCAAAGTTCAGTACTATCATGAAATTGAAACAGTAGAATCTATAGTAAATAGACACGCGCATCTATGCAATGAAAATACTTGAAAAGAGAATGTACTATTTCGATAAAGTCTTCCGTGAAAAGTTTTTAGGAGTACACGGATAATCTCATTCACTACTGCTTGTTCTTTTGCTTGCCTAATGACAATGCATATTCAAAGTTGTCTATGTGCATTACTCACTTACGGAAGAGGATATCTGTCATGTCATCGTATTCTGTTTAGTCAATAAGAGATCAAATTCAGTTGATTTGTTGGAAAACGATTTTGTTTTTGTATCCGATACAATCATCGTATATTACTGCGAAGATATTGAAGATAAGAGGTCGTGTCGTCTAATCCGAGTGCAAAGCATGCCAATGAGTACGCTGAGGAATGACACAATACATTTGTTGTTTCTACGACTGTCATAGTGTTGTCATTGTTGCTGAAAAGCAATGTCGTATATTCACACGTTTTTATTCAACTGATTTTCGCACGAAAGAGAAGAGAAGGAAGAAAAAATGTTGAAGAATTCTTCAGATGTGCACGAGGAAAAGAGGGACAACGAGTTATATACAACTCTCTAAGCACACATTTGAATATTGTAATCGAAGCGTAAAAAGATAAACTAGAAATACTGTTATCATTTCGATCACCGTAAATAGAGACATTTACAATAAAAGAAAGATGTTCATTTCACTTGGTTTGCAGATTTGTACAAGTAGCTGCGGCAGCAGCTAACAGTAACTCATCATCGTCCTCATCATTCTTAATCATTTGAACTGTTTTATCAATGGACGGATAGATTTCATCGAGCTCGATCGACGCTTGAGTATCGTGAGTATCCTTCTGTTGAGCTAATTTTTGTAGCGAATCAAATGCAAATGGAGATGTTACAACCGGTGAGGTCCCTTTATCATCATCAGACGACGTCGACGAATTGATTCGATTGTTATCGGTGGATTTCTTACGCGAACGGGCACTATCGGCTAAAATTGGGAAAAAAGCAGTGAAAATCACATTCTGGGCTCATGATTGTCGCGTACCTGTTCGTGTTGTATATTGTGGCTTAGGTGGCTCTGGTTTCAAATCAATATGAAATTGATCACCGTCGTGGATATTATACCTGAAGTACACGAATGTGTCGAGGATATTTGGTTCGGAAAAAAACAAGCAGTGGGTGGGAGGAAAAAGACGCAGTTTACTAATGATAAGTTCGATGGAATTTAAGCTTCTCGTGTTACATAGATAATATGAATGAATAAAGGTTATTCTAGAATGTTTCGTTCCTATTCGACTGATAGTTATTCTAGGTCGAAGTTCGCTGATAAAATGGTGCACGTCGATAGCATTTCATCAAATCACTGATAGTTTTCTACATTCTCACTCAAAATGAAATCTTCGTCATAGATTAGTGAGGTCATATGACTTTTGACAACGTTAGATCTAAATCGTATCGTTATCTGTGAAAAAAGGCACTTCTGGGACATCTGCTGTATGTCTACAATGACCGATTATACAATTCCCCATAGTTACTGAGTATCTCAGAGAAAAACAATAATCGACTTGTTTGTTCCTACATACGTATGTAGTAATCGTTGTGGATATCGAAGTTCTTCTGGTCCACATACGCCCATGTTGAAAGCCACATCATCGACATAGAAAATTCGTATGCGTGTTAACGGCAAACGAAAGAGCTCATGAAGATATTTTTTGAATTGTTGAACAGTCTGTCGAACATCAATCTCTTTATCATGCGTAGTTTGATTGTAAACTAAACGGACATTTGTTAAATAGGGCGCACGAATTGTAATATCCACCAAAGGTTTAAGATTTCCGTGTTTTTCCGTTAATTCGAAGTATCTACAAACAAATATGATTTTCCATGTCATTAAAACGCACACGTCATTGATATTTTTCTGTTTACCGTTGTGGTTTCATATCATGCTGTGAATAATGCCGAATGAATCGTCTTTCACTTGTTTCTCTCTCGTTTGCTGTAATATCACTACCATTCAGTTTCGTTAAATGTTTCATATAACCAAGTAATAGAAAGAAACGTTCTTCTTTTTGATAATTCTAAAAGAAAATTTCGTAGAAATCAATCTCCAATGACTTGCAACAAACTTTTAATAATGGTGCAACGTGAATTCGTAAAGCGTGTAACGAAGGTAGTTTTGTTAATGCAACAATATCGTTCCAATCAGATATTTGCACTTGATCGACACTGAGTGTGTGTAAACATGGTAAACAAACAGTCACATCATCATCCGAACGAAAGCTTATCAGAGGATTATCACTTGCGATCAATGTTTCTAAACGTGGAAACAACCGGCCCAAGCGACATATCGATTCCCATTCGCTTAGACTGTTGTTTGATATGTAAACACGTTTGAGATTTTCATGTTGAAAATCATAATTCGATGATATGCTTGTGTAGTTATTCGAACAGATCTGTAACTCTTCCAAACTAAAAGAAAAGATGACAAAATTTCTTCTTGAGTAAAGATCTCCTTCCGTTTCTACTTAGAATAGATCGATTGGCTTCTGATTCAATTATGATCATGTCGTCTTATTAGATAACAGTGAACTTCTGATGAGGAGGAGGAGTATTCATGAGACACGAGAAAGTATTTCTAATATGAATCTAACTCGTTTGTGCAAGGAAACAATCTGTTTCGTATTAATGCCTGTTTTACGGTACAATAAATACACAAATATCTTGCTGAGTTTCCCGAAAGAGCAAAATACTACGTATAGTCGATTAGTTCTCAAGGTTCGTCGATATATTTCAAACGAAATCGTACCGCCAGCAAATCAGATTTGATTTTCGATGAATCACTCGCAATCAAACTGATTACTCCGAGCTGAGTCATTGTTTTGTCAACAAAACCAGAATGAAAGTTTGCTTTTTCGATTGCTAATCGAGAATAATCTTGAAACTTACTTCGGCATTTTCTTCAACAATTCCACAATCATTTCGAGACCAATATGACTTCCATTAAGACATAGAGTATTCAGATTAGACCATTGTAAATCATCTGGCAACCGATGCAGATCAGTTGGAAATGGATTGAAACTTAGATTGATTGTTTTGACATGAGGTAACGATGAAAGAAGTAATGATATCTAAATAATTATCAACAAACGTAAGAAGCATAACGGAATCATCGACATACTTCATGCCAATCAGAAAATGCATTCGATGAAATATCGACCAATTCGACTTGAGAGCATGACAGTGCCACAGCATGAGGATCTCCGACATGAGAGATGCGCTCATCGGTTAAAACAACAGTCGATGCATTAAGGACAAGACCTGATTCTAGACGAAAAACAAAAAACATAACCATTAGATATGATTGACTAATAATTGAAGTGTTTGCGTGTTTGTTTTTTTGTTTATTTGTTACCTGTTTTTTTCGGCGATGAACCAACGAAAAAAACGATATCACAATCATTCTTGAGATCATCAAATGTCGAATCGAAATCACAATATCGCTCGTAGAGAGCATCGGAAAACGATCGGCCAAACATTTCCGTAACCGCCATGGTGATCTAGAAAAAAAAGGATTTTTTTATCTTGTTATGTCGTTGATGTTTCTGTCCTTGTTGTTCTCACTTATACACACGCGCTCGTTCTATTATCCGCTTTCCAATAACAGAGTAAATCGAAGAAGAAGAAGAAAAATGCGACAAGGTCGTTTTTCTTTCTCGTTCTCTCCGTTCCTACATACATCAATCATCATGCAGCCTATGACGCATAATATAGTCAGCTGACTTATTACTACTACTATTCGTATTAGACATGCTGACCACAAAATATAACTGAAGATTTAGCATGAGGAATATGTCGACAGTTAATTAGTGCGTACGAGTTACAAAAAAGAAGCAAAGAGATAAGAAATTACGGGCCGAAGCTACATTTATATATAACGTGAGATCAAACAAAAAAATTCGTCATCGACAACAAAGAAGAGAAAGAAAAAGCTTGTTCAATGACTCAATTCTTCTCGTCATCCTTTCTCCTTGCATTAACTCTCTATCAAGCTCACTTCATACCGGTTGTCTGTTCTTTTTCTTTCTCTCTCATTCTTCTGTCACTCATTTGCATACTTGGACGACCGAGCAACTAGAGTAAGTTGTGCAATCCCATTTTTTTTCTTCTCTATTACCCTGAACATACAAACATACATGCATGGTGTGCAATGCCTTCTTTCTCTTTGCTATACATTCATTCCTACAAGCAAGTAAGTAATCCATCCGTCGACGAATAGAACGATCCGTACAAGAATAAACAACAGTGGTTACATCGAAGATAACTTGACGAATGTTTTTCACACTATTTTACTAGATATCTCTTTTCCATCGATCAGTAAAGATTAGATTGGACATATGAGAGATTCTTTACTGATGACACAACACTGAATATAATCCAATAAACTGACTAATGATATGGAATTGCAATCGAACTTCTCTTTCATTAATATCTATTGTTGAAAATACTTCCACACCTGTTTTATTGTACCGTAAAAACACAACGATCTCGAACTGCTGAGCATATATTTAACTGTTTCGAGATAAAGAAAACGCTTATCAATGCCCTAACCAAACTTGATTATTGATAAATCAGTTCAGAAGAGTAGTGCTGACAGAGCACTAATCATGACGAATGTTAGTCGAAGACGGTGCGAACGCATCGAGCATCTGTCAACAGATTGATACAATTTCCGGAAAAGTGAAAGTAGTGCGAGATGTTCATTTACGAGATTTCATCTCAAACAAACTTAATTACCTATAAACTGCGATACTACATTGGAAATTGATGAATTGCAATGATGCTAACTGTCCATAACCACAGTTGAACTTTGGTTCCACTAAATAGAACTAATTACTAACGTAACAAAAAAAAGCTCTCTAACTAAACCAATTACATCTTCAAAGAATTCGAAATATCCACAAATCAAGTGGTTACATGGATAGCTGTACTTCGCTTGCAATTGACATTTCTCAGTTGAAACTGAAAAGAGAGACTATAGAGGTTTTTGACCAACTATCATGGTAGAATATTTAACCAATTGAATAAAACAAACGAAAGATTATAGTTTTCACTGTTATCATTTCTGAAACATGACTCAACGTATAACACCTCTTTTACGAGAAAATGCCATACTTTTAATCTGTGATGTACAGGACAAATTCCGCCCAACAATTAAATATTTCCCTCAAATTGTTGAAACTTCGAACAAATTATTGCAAGCATGTAAACTACTCGGCGTTCCATTTGTTGTTACCGAACAATATCCCAAAGGTTAATGTCTTACTCGAAAAGCTCTCGGTAACTATTTTCCTACTACTAGGTCTCGGACGAACAGTACCAGAATTAGATATTGGTGATACGAAACCTTTTGAAAAAACTCTCTTTTCCATGTGTACTCCTGATGTTATTTCACATATGAAAACATTAGTAACAGGTAATCGTTTATTATCCTCATTCTCATCGATCCTCTTCGACAACATTCTACAGATTTCAATACTATCATCATCTGTGGTATCGAAGCACACGCATGTGTTCTACAAACAGTCATTGATCTCCTTTCGAAAGGCTACCGTGTTTATGTCGTCGTTGATGCTGTTTCATCTCGCTCGTTAACCGACAGGTATTTCGCCAGTATGAAATGTTTATTCGATAATCAAAGTCATTGATGATGTTTAGAATGTATGCATTTGATCATATACGGCAAGCTGGTGCGTTTCTAACAACATTCGAATCCATCGTTCTTCAACTGACGCGAGATGCCAATCATCCGAATTTCAAGCAGATTCAACAATTAATCAAAACATCTGCAGCTGATACAGGACTTGTAGCTCTCCAAAACATTCCCAATGCGTCTTTATAGAACAGAATATATTTTCTTTGATTTGAATAAAATCTTTCTACGTACATATTCCACAACAATATCTAGCTGTTGAAATACTTTAGCGCAAATGAAGCGCAGTGACATCTCTAGTGCATCAAAAACGTTTACAAATCCTATTGAAGTTGTTATCATTTTCACTCTTATCTTATCATCCTAAAGCAATATGAAACATTTATTTTCACATGCTGTACTCATTTGTTTGCAAAATATCCATTCATTTTGCCATCTATAGCTATCTTAATGCAGACGAAAAGGAATTAGTAATCGACCATCGTTATCATCTCAGGGGTCAAGCTTGTTCTTTTTTTGTTTTTCTTCTGGCTACATATATATCCCATTCCAAGACGTGTATATACACATTCATATACGAACACTCCTCGTCCATTGTTCTAGATGCCATTCTGGAAAAAAGACCAAGCTAACAAAGAATTATACACGAGCGTTGTTCAAGGTTTAAAGCAAATCTATTCAACGAAGCTATTACCACTTGAAGAAGCATATAGATTTCATGAATTTCATTCCTCACAATTGGAAGACAGCGATTTCGCCGCGAAACCAATGGTTTTGCTTGTTGGACAGTACTCGGTCGGTAAAACAACATTTATTCGATACTTACTAAATGTAAGCAGAGCAACCTTTGCTTTCGAAGTTCCCTAGAATTGTATTTTTTTTGTAGGAAGATTTTCCGGGCATTCGAATTGGGCCAGGTAATGGAGTGATGTCAATCTTCCTCGTTCATCTTGTCTTCTTTTCTTTCCATAGAGCCAACAACGGATTCATTTATTTCGATTATGTACAATGATCACCCAGGGGTTGTGCCAGGCAATGCTTTAGTTGTCGATCCAACAAAACCGTTTCGACCGTTGTCGAAATTTGGCAACGCTTTCCTGAATCGATTTGTTTCTTCACAATTGAAGAACGATATTCTCGAAACGATTACCTTTGTTGATACACCAGGTATCTTAGCGGGTGAAAAGCAACGTGTCGATCGTGGTTATGAATTCAGTCACGTACTTGAATGGTTTGCCGATCGTTGTGATCGAATTTTGTTACTATTCGATGTGACATCGTTGGATATATCCGATGAATTGAAACGCGCGATCGAAGTTTTAAGACGAAATGATGATAAGATACGTATTGTTCTAAACAAAGCAGATAGTATTGATCAGCAAGCGCTCATGCGTGTTTATGGCGCACTGATGTGGTCATTAGGAAAAGTTCTGGGTACGCCAGAAGTTTGCCGAGTTTATGTTGGATCATTCTGGTCAAAACCGCTACAATTTGATTTTAATCGACGTTTGTTCGAATTAGAAGCTAAAGATTTATTTAGTGATTTGGGTAAGTGAAGTCTCTGTAAGATAATCGTTTGGCTAGTTTAGTATTTCTAGAATCGTTACCAAGAACAGCAACACTTCGAAAACTAAATGACTTGATCAAACGTGCACGATTAGCTCGAGTAAGAAGATGAACGTTTTGAAAAAATGACTCACCAGATCATCGAATAGGTGCACGCGATGATCATCAGCGAATTGAAAGAAAGTATGCCAAGTGTATTTGGTAAAGATACAAAACGTCGAGAATTGATCAATGTAAGACGATAGTGTTTCTTATTGCTGAAACTTTGTCTTTCCTTGTTTGTAGAATTTGCATTTGATTTACGAAAAAATTGAACGCGAGCAAAATATTCCATTAGGCGATTTTCCGAAACTAGATCGTATGCAAGAAATTTTACGCAACATGGTTTGTTGTTTAGAGAAATTTGCCTTCGAAGCATTTGTGCTCCATGTTTGCCTTTTAGGATTTTACAAAATTTAAATCTCTCGATCGAAAGATACTCGATCGCGTCGATAAAATGCTTGCTGAAGATGTACCTCGATTGATGAACATGTTGCCACGCGAAGAACAAGCATACATGGCTTCAGCTGCCCAAAACGAAAGTAAACTGACTCAATTAGGAAGCACAATATTTCACGATCAGGAAGATACTCCGTTCGGAGAGGGCACCGTTGAAGGTATCAATGCTGGTAAAGGTGAATATGAATGGATTGTTGAACGTTCGAGAGGCGAATACGATCAAATATTTGCTCAATTGTCACCACAGAATGGTAAAGTTAGCGGTGCCTCTGCGAGACAAGAAATGATCAAGTCAAAATTGGTATGATTGATCGAGTTAAGTCAACATTTTCATTCCAGTACCTTTTACCCTTTTCTTAGCCAAACAATGTTCTCGGTCGTGTTTGGAAACTGAGTGATATTGACAAAGATGGCATGCTCGATATTGATGAATGGGCGCTCGCTCAACATCTTAGTATGTATATGAACTCTTTTCTTTTCCTAAAGAAGCCGACAAATTCATAATGAAGATGTCAAAGGTGAACACGAATAGAATACATTCATCTTTATCCTCTCGTCGACTGTCATCAACAGATTTAACTTCTTTCATTTTAGTTAAAATTAAACTCGAGGGTCATGAATTACCAACAACGCTACCTGATCATCTTGTTCCACCAAGCAAACGCCATCTGATCAGTAATAACAACACAAATACCACTACTACAAGTGGAATTTATCCTACAATCAGTAATAATTACGGCGGCGGTTACAGTTGAATATTTTCCTCATTTCAGAACAAGACGTTTTCTTTGATTATCAGTTTTTATGTGTCTTCGTAATTGAAAAGTTTGTATTTAAGTTGCGAATAATAAAATGAACACCAGCTTGCAAATGTTTCTCTCGACAGATGCATCTCGATGCAAAAGATCTATCTCGAAAAGAATGACAACATTTACTCAATCCTATCTTATCATATTTCAACAAAGTCAACTAAATGTTAGATTGAAAGTTATTTCCGGTGAAACATTTGTGCATTAGAGAGAAAAGAAAGATAACTAACAGGACATACGCATGCTACATATGTTCGCCGTTTTGAATAGAAGAGAAAAAACTGATAAGAATATTTCCTGGAATAGTCGCATGTATTATGAGATATTGTTAATAAATGTAGACAGACGAATATATTTGAACAATAAACAGATAGATTTCACTTCTCTTTTTCATTCTCTCTCTCTCTTGCCGGTATTTTAACATATACTAAACATCCATTGCTCTCTTGTTTTAACTGTTGAGTACGTGTCTCTGCTGTGTCGATATTCTCCCTCCCTCTCTCTCTCTCTCTCTCTCTCTCTCTTACAACTTTGAAAGTCAGAGAGAGAAATGAGAGAAAGAAAAAAACTGAGACTTATAAGCGGGATAGAATGAAAGTTAGATTCATTCAGTTAAAAGCATCGAAATGGAGCAGATGTAGTCTACCGACTAGTGGGGAAGGACATAGTAAAGAAAAGGTAAGTTAATTTTTCTTCATTAGCTCAATGAAAGTTTTTTTTTGTTGAATTTATTGTTTTATATTATTGTTAGGTAAGAACATTGAAGAAAGTTCACTATGAGGATTAGACATATGTAGGAAGAAGCCGAAGGAAGAAAAGTGGAATGCTTGTTGGTCGTCATCGTGTCGTTGAATACAAAGTAGAAAAATGAGGAAAAAATTGTTGAGGAAAGGAAGAGAAGAGGAAAAAAGGCGAAGACGGGTGTTGATGATGAACTTTATTCCGTATGTTTCATTGTTTTAAAAAATGTCGGTTGGTAACAAACGATATTGGGTGGAAGTTTTTCAACTAGTGGATGTTTTCACGCTTGAACACATTTCCATATCGAGTAAGTGACAAAGAAGAGGAGAAACGTCGATGAATTGTGTCTATGCACGTATGCATGCATAATAAAAGAAGAAGAAGAAGAAGAAAATGAAGATGAACGCGATTCACTTGTGACAACAACGACGACGATTTTCTTTTTTTAGTAAATTGTCGACCTGTCGCTTTATAATCAGCGGCAGTAATGGTTGGTGAAAGATTAGTTTCAAATAAAAACGATGAAAATTTGCATAAAATTTCATCGGACATTGCCAAGCTGTTGTTTTCTTCTAGGAAAATTCTTCTCACAAAATGACGCTCATTTGGAAGACCTTTGATTTAGTGTTCGGACTATATTCGATCAACACTAGATTCAATGTCTTCTATCTATTACGTCTAAATATTCGACGAACATGTGCTTTGCAGGTCCTTGTTGTGTGAAGTTGTTTTTTTTTATTATAAAAACTAAATAAAATAAGACTGTTGCTCAAGATGCAATTCAGATTTGAACTTGTTCAATGGCGGTTTCTCTTGCTCGTTCTGTATTGTACACGAGATTTAATTGGTACCGTTTTGTTCTTTTTTCCTTCTTTCTCTTCAAACGGCAAATACGGCTGACATGAGTTTCGATCTGTTCTGTCATTTTGATGTTGTTGTTGCCATAGAGGAATTTTTTGTCGATCACTTCATTTTAACTTCATACACAAGCATGTCATAGCAGAAATCATTCACATCTATTAATTTCATTTGAAAAAAAAACGCCGAAATGGATGAAGATCTGACAGGTGAGAAAGAGAATACGTGAAGGAAGTTTTCATTATACAAATTCGATTGTGTTCAATAGCGTATCCTACACGACGTGTGCGTTTGCATCCGTGTCAAACTTGTGGGCGACAATTTAATCCGGAAACGTTGGTGAGAGTTGATACGTGAAGAAAGTGACTGGCAACGAGCACATATTCATTTCTAGAGCAAACATCAAGCGATTTGTCGCAAAGCTTCAAATAAAAAACGTAAAGTATTCGATGCGGGAAAGCAAAGAGCAACGGGTTCTGATGTACCGTATAAAGCAACAAAGAGAACAGCACAGGTATAGAGAGTTTCTTAGTGTTCGATCGAGAAGTAGATTAAAATTGTCGAATCGTTCAGATCTACAACGGTGAAACTCGAGCGCACGATGATCGAGTAAAAGTCATAGTAAACTACGATGATTGATCGTTGATTTCAAATTCTTCTAGTCGAATTACGGACGGAAGCCAAACTGGAGAGAAAAACATCAACAGTTGATTCAATCGATTCGTGAGGCACGTTCCGTAACTCGTGCGATGAAACAGGGCGGTCCACTGCCTGCATTTCGACCAAGTGAAGTCCCATCAGGTAAATTAATCTTACTTGATTCTTTTCTCCTTCTTCTTCTTCTTCTATTATTCATTTAGATTATACCAATTGTCCATATTGCCATCGCAATTTCAATGCGGGTGCAGCTGAACGGCACATTCCATTGTAATGAATGAAGCATACATCTTTTTTTTTCATTTGTTTAATTTCTTTCTTATTGTTTCCAGTTGTCAATCACAGCATGAACGAAAATTCGGAAAGAACGCTCGGCCGAATCCGCAATATGATAGAGTAAAGAGCAATTTCATCGGAAAAGTAAACTGCTTTATTTTCTTCTCTTCAAGGGACGAACTCTTCCTCCACAGCAATCCACACAATATCGAGAACCGCAACAATTGTATCGTGCGAGTACCAATGCAGATCCACGTGATGTTTATAATAACGGTTACAAACATAGCAACTCAGCTCCAATGATTGTAAGACGCAACGTAACTGAGTAACGACAATTCCTCATTTATTGTTATTCACTAACACAACTCTCTTTTTCATTTTTTGTATAGATATCGAGAGGCACCACTTCCACCGCCACGAAAAACAACTAGTGGTGGATGGGGCTTTCGCAAGTTATTTGGTCTAGGTTCGAAAGAAGAAGAAATACCGCCTTCACGTTACTATTCGCCTGAGGTAAGTTCTTTCTTGATATGGAATTGTAAATTAACGAATGCATTGTGATGAAGGATGACTATTATAATCAACCAACGTATCGCCCTGTTCAAAAACCAGTATTGATGCGCACAGGACGAACACAGGAAAACACGACTTTAAATGTACGTGCCCGCCAGCGAAATGATGAAGAAGGCGTATACTATCGTCGTACTCAACCACCTCCACCCTCACACCCACAACAACGCCACCAACTATCTAACTCTTACTATGGTCAAACGCGGCAACAGTATGGCAATAATCAATATAGTTCCACTAGACCAACAGCTGTTGGACGAGCACCGCCTGTAGCAATTCGATGCGGTGATTGTGGCAGTATATTCAATAATCTTTCAGCAAGATATTGTCCACATTGTGGCTCGAGATGCTAACATTGAACATTATTGTTTTCTTACATTTATGTTGACGTTTTCATTGAAGATAACAAAAATAAACGGCAAGACTCACATTTTACACTCAAATAGCGAGATCTCATTTATCTAATCGACGAAAAATGGAAGTTCATCGAAGAGTTTTTGATCAATATCAACTGATTGTCGGTCAGTTTCGAGTGATTCGTCATCTTGAGGGATATTCAAAAGTTGTGCTATTCGCGTACAATCATTCACATTCATTTCATTCGATAAACTTAGTTTTCGAAAGGCCATGCAATGCAGGTTCGTTGCTTTCACACATGATACTAAACCAAAACCGATAGATTCAAGAGCTTGCCGCCATGCTGCCTGTCGATTTCCACGTAGTGACGAGTCCGGCTCGACGATTAGCAGTAATCCAAAGCATGTCAGTAGCTGATGAGCAATGAGACAAGCTGAAAGACGTTGACCACACGTTGGCAAATAATCCAGAACAAGCGAAAAAACAATCGTATCGAATGAATGAGTACATATTAAAGGAGGCTGAGGTGTACGGAGAAAATCGATACGATGCACTGACTAAAATCAAGTCGAAATAAAAGATTTCGAACGACAAGTCACACGATCAAGATTTACTTTGTCAGCTGGCGCTATGTCAATAGCAACAGTTTCCAGATCTTCATATTGAGAAAATGCGTTGTAACAACTTCTACGAAAATGAAGAAACAAAAAGGATTAGTTATCATTCGATACTGCTCCGCACCCGACATCTAGTACACGTGGCTTCTGAATACCATGTCTAGAATAAAATGAGAACTCGGCAATAAAATCTAAGGTGATACGAGGCGTTGTACTCAATTCGAATTTGACAATTTGAACATATCTCGTGCGTGATTTGTTTTCGTTGGTCGCGGGCACGTCTTCTTTGAAGACCGCTGATATCTTTACCATGAAAATAATCTTTTATCGTTTGATAACACCAAGTCAAGCGTGTTTGCCCGTGTGCTTTGTCCGCCCAATGGTGCTCAGCTAGTTGCCGCATTGATTGAGCATATTCATTCAATTTATCAAAATTAGCAACATGTGCATTCCAAATCGATTCTGCTGCTTCAGGTGCTAGAAGTGACAAAGAGAAGCATTCATAAGTAATATTCATACGAGAAAAACAAATACTTTGATGGACATCTCGGCGTAAATCTTGATGAACTTTTCTAATTGAATCTGCTAGCGTCAACTGTTCCGAAGACATGTTTTATTCAATGCAAATCTAAGATTCAGAATAAAAAGGAATCAATAGGTATTTATTTAGTTATGTTTTAAACGATAGGAAAAGATATTATGGTAAAGTAACGTCAAACAAAGAAAGATGACGCAAGTCAAAATTGATTCGCGAAAAGTCAGTTATATTCGACCATGCATGAAAACGAATGGTCACTGATGGTTCAAACATCATAAGTCCATTGCGAGAAAAGTAACCGGTCACATTGCCAACAATATCAATCCATACGAATAGAGCAGGTCGATCAGCGGTGATGGTAATATCAAAATCCGTTGGCGAAATCGGTTTGACTGCTTGAAGTTTCAAGTTTGGATCGGATAATTGATAATTTTTTGGTCGATTAAAGAGTAAAACCTGTCTGACAGATTGTTCATTGTAATTGAAGGTGCAATGCATGATACATTGTGAGTTATCTCCACAATTCGCACGTCTTGAGATCAGTGCATACGGAAGATCAGCTACTCGTTGTGTACCTGAAGAGTTCATTGCTACATCACTACCGAATGATAAACGAGGAAGAAACGAATCTAATCCATAGACTGAGCAGACTAATGTGCCACGTACGTTTGTACTCAATTCATTGACAATGTACAGTAAAATTCGTGCTGATTCATCTGTTACATTAGCTAAATAAGGCGTGAGTGTAGCAATAGGATAGACTGGCGCATACATATGCTTAACAAAATAATGACCCATTTTCCATTTTAATCCATATTCAATGGTGGCCCATGTTGGCGCTTGCCAAATATCATTGATTTGCCAGTACATTAAACCCATTGTATTTCTAACGTGGAATAAGAATTAGCAAACAAATGAAACATGATGGAAGAAAGTTTACCCTTCGCTAGTCTTTGGATCGATCATGTCTACGGATGAATGGAGTCGACAAACATCACTGATACTTTTCAGTGTCATTGCTTGATGAATTTGACTCAGATAAATCATTTGACCAAAGTGTTTTAAGGAATCATTGGTAACTGGTAATGGAAGGTTGCTTTGAATATGAGTCCTTAAGAAAAGAAAATCTACATTAGTTCTAATCAAACTAGAGAAATTCGACGAACATCATAGCTTCTATTTGATTTTCTGAATGTTCTCGATGTAGAATGAATGAACTGTTGAAAGTTAACTCAGATTGATTATTCGTTGTTTCAAACCATGTATCTAAACTTGGCAACGATTGAATACCTGTTTCCGAAAGAAAACGAGTTATCGGATAAGTATTGGGATTCCATGAATCATCTTGATAACCATAGAAGTGCACATCACCTAAATTATTAAAACCTAGGTTAAAGTGACACAAGAAGAAGATCACCATCAATACCTTGAAGTGGATCTTGAGGATTGGTAGCAATGTAATTTTCTCGAATTGAGCCAAGTCCATTCGATGGTGATGAAGAAACAAACGGCCGGTTCGTACCTTTATCTACTTCAAGTAGAGCCGTCATCACTGTATCAATATATAACTTTCGATATTCGTCTTTTGTTCTATTCATTTGATCTGCTGGTATTTGATACCAATTCTGAGCAACTGCCGCTTCATTCTCATTGTTTCCAGCCCAGATAACGATTGATGGATGTGATTGAAGACGTTTTACTTGGTAAATAACTTCATCGTGAACATTGGATAGAAATGCGTCATCAACTGGATACCTAAACAAAAAATTTATTCATGAAACCGCTTTCAAATTCGAACTTTCAATGTGAACTTACAAACTGCATGCAAACATGAAATCATGCCAAAGCATAATACCTAATCGATCTGTCATTTCATAGAATGAATCGCGTTCATAAATACCGCCACCCCATATGCGCAACATATTCATATGCGCCAGTTGTGCTGATTGAAGAAGACGTTCTAGTTTTTCGTCACTAACACGTTCTTGAAATACATCCGATGGTATCCAGTTGCTTCCTTTGATGAAGATTGGTTTGGAATTAATTGCGAAATAAAATGATGTGCCATTGATTCCTGAACCGTATTCATGTTGAACTAACTCAACTGTACGGAAACCGATCAAACGAGAATCAATCGTCGTGCCTTTGTTAGAAACTGAAAGTCGATATAAAACTTGATCACCGTAACCATTTGGCCACCAACGTGCAACTTGAGCGTCGGGAATTTTGATTTGAAGTGTGACACTACGATTAAATGGGACAACAATTTCGTACGTCCATGTCGTGTTTTCTAAGACGAATTTCAATGTACTTGAAAATGGAGCGTTGTTACTGCTTAAAATCACATCGACGAGCCAGTTTTTATTTGCCACATCAAACGAAGCGATATTTACACTTTCGAGTTCGATAATAATGTCACTGGCATTGATGGCTTCAAGGTAAATATCGCCAGTGATACCAATCGGAGCAAAAGCTGGACCCTGAAAGAGAATGTTTTGAGTTATTCGACGGAAATCAACTCGATGGAAAAGTCATACCCAATCCCAACTGAATGAACATGGTTCTTTTCGAATAAATTGCACATGACATTCACCCTGTTGAGCCTTAGCTGGGCAAAGCGGTTGCACAGTTCGATTATAAATTATTGATTGCTCCAGCGCATATACAACTGGCGAATGAAAATGAACTTGGATCACATTTTCTGTTTTCAAACACGTATTCGGAACGGTAAAGACATATGCAAGAAACATGTTGTCAGTTCGACCTATGGGACAACCATTGATAGTTACATTCGCAACTGTATCAATTTGTTGAAGATGAAGATAAGTATCATTGAAAGCGAGGAAGTCGGCAGAGAGGTTGAAGCTTTTTGTAAATACCCATTTATTATGAATTAGAAAACGTAGGTCAACATCGTTGAAGTCCATGTAGGGATCCGGAATTTTCTTGGCAGCTAAGAGAATAGTATGAATGGTACCGGGCACTTGTCCTTGTGCTGTGTGATTAGCATTGTCATCTATTGACCAATCGTTACCGGTTAACGGGACTCGAACGGATGATGACGATGAAATAAAATGAAGAAGAAGAACCAAGGCAATAGAATAAAACATCATTTTATTCTCTTGGATTTTTGCTCAATTCTTAAAGAAACCTCGGATACTCAGAAACGTACTTTTTTGCTTTGAATAAAAGCAAAAGACTTCATCTAGCCGAGCCTTTTATGTATATTCTTATCATTATCGCTACGATTATCTTTCTCTCCAACGAGTATATTTAACTTCTTCGAGAGTTGATAAAACTTGTGATAAGACGAATTTAAAGATCCTCGAATGAAATGTAAATGGATGTAAAACCGCGAGATGATTTTGTTTTCATATACAAAATTTTTATTAAATCTAATCCAGAGAAAACGATTTCCTTTCCTTTTTCGAATATCGAAAACATACAAATTACATTGATTATCATTCTCTCTCTTAGAACGAATCAGCTATCTTTCTTCCTTTTCTTCTTCACCATTTCGTCATCGGATGCACTTTCATTCTACAATAAGACAAAAACAAGAGAAAATCAATGTTTTCCAGAAATGTAAATGACGCACTGATGAATGACTAGATGCACTTTTCTTCCTATGCTTCTTTTTCGACTTCTTGTGCTTTGTTGTCGAAGATGAATTAGCGATATCTTCGTCACTATCTTTTGCTTCACCTTCATCACTTTCCGTTGCGGCTGACGTTTTTGCTGGCTCTTCATCTTCAGATTCCTACCGAATGATACAGAAAAACAGATCGACTTGTTTTTTTTTATTAAAATTCTGATTTACTTGTGGTGAACTTTGTTTTTCATGTTTACGTTTCTTTTTTCGTTTTTGAGTATGATTTGAACCATTAGCGATCACTTGTTGTTGATATTCATCAAATAGACGCATACGATCGAGATCCGATGACAGTGCTTGGTATTCTTTATCGTTTTCAATCTGTCCTCTAACATCTTCCCATGTTGTTTGTTCACTTAACGATTCGACTTTCAGTTTTAACAATTCTTTAAATTTCGATTCCAATCGTTTTTGCTAAACGAAAAGTACGACGATCGATTTCACACGAGAAAAAAAACTTTTCTTACTTTTCGACTCTCTTCTTTCAAGCGCTTCTTCTCTTTCAGTACAGCTTTCTCCATTAGCTAAAACACAATCTGTGAGATGATGAATATTGGAAAAAGTCACACTCACATGGTTGAATGCTAATTTAATATTTCCAGCATCGAGAGAAACAGCACGTTTATCTGCAGAGATAACTTCTGCGAATTTCTCAAATGTCGAATCGGTTTCAATAGTGTAATCCTTGGCTTTCAAGATTTCTCTCACAATCTTCTCTTCATCATGAAAACGAGCTTTCAAATCAGCGACATAGAATTTAAACAGATCTAATGGCGTTGAACCTGAAATTCAAAAATTGGCTTAGTTTTGTAGAAAAACGAACATATGCACAAACCCGGTTGACCAAGCATTTGACTGAATCGTTCGTCGTTGGATATAATACTAAACAGATCAATCCATAATGACATGGAATGAAGTTTGCCTTGTTCATGCAATTCATCCAGAAAATCCTGCAAAGAACATTCGCTGTTAATATGCATCAAACCAAAGTACATCCTTACTAAAAATGCTTCGCGATTTTGTCGATTTGTACGTCGGAGATACTTCTTTTGGATTTCTATATCTTCTTCATGAATCTTCTCTAATTGTCGTATGTAATCTTCGAAAACAATCAATGCATCTTCTTTGTCCATGTCTACAAGCACAGAAATAATAACCATGGAAAGAGTAAGTTATGGTGTTATACTTTGCAATTCAATATCGTTGACGAAGTCAATACTGTCGAGCAGGTATCGTTGAGCTTCTTGCCAAGTTGTTTTGTAAGTGATTTTGGATATGTTAGTGAGAATGTCTTTCAATGCTTTGACGTTGCGTTTTTTTAGGTTCCTTGCATCTTCCTGAAATGAAAGTAATGAATCGAGAATGAAAAAGATAAATTGATTCGAACTTTTTCTTTTTTTTCGAGATAATTCACAACATCATCATATATTTCTCGTCGTTCACGTTCTGGTACAGCTGTCCATACTTGTAGATGTCCGAACAGTTGTTCTGCTTTGCGGTATCTTATGGTCGAATTCATATGTTCACAATTTTGCAAGTAACTTTCGAATTCTTCTTTCACTTGTTTTAATTTCAATCGTTCGGCTTCTTTCTCTTCTTTGACTCGCGAAACTTTATATGCATTGAATATTTGTTTCTTTTCATTGATATGTTTTAACGCAACATAGCGTGGATCAGTACTGAACAATTTCAAAGCTTGTTCCCATGTTGAGTTGGATGGGACATTCTTTTCTCGTAGTAAATCTTTAAATGCGTCCATGGCTTCTTTCTTCGAAGCATATTCGATTTTGACCGGTGGTTCGTTTGCTTTCGATGGACTATTAGTATCCGTGCTGTCACTTTGACTATCTTCACTATCGTCACGACTATTTTCATTTGAGGGTGAGTCGATCATTGATTGCATGCCAGCAGACATCATTGCAACGGGAGGATACGCACCGTATGGCATACCCATCGAAGGTGGCATGAGATTGAAGGGTGGCATCATGGGTGGCATTGGTGTTACCGGTGAACTAGTACTAAACATACGTAAAAAGTTTATTTATAAAGTATTCAAATAAATTCATGAGAAATTTTACCTATTGGGTGAGTCATCAGTTACTGTTGATTGTTGTTGCGCGATCATTTTTTCAATATCTTCTAATTCTTTAGGCTTTGTCCAACGAGATTCTTTCGTTTCAATATTATGGAAATAGATACGTCCATTATCGGATTTATATTCTCGCCATGGACATTGGGTTAACAGAACCTAAACGAAGCGCTCCGGTTGAAGAGTCTGATTTGGAACAGATTGGTACGAACTTCGGTAGATGATTTCAATTCATCGGGCTTTTCCCATCGGGACTCTTTCGAAATCGAATTGTAATAATAAATTCGACCATCAGGCGCTTTGTGTTCGCTCCACAATGTTTTCTTGTCCTGACCGGCAGGGCCACCATAACCGTCATCATTCTTACAGCGAAAAAAAGAAATCGTCATTTAAACAAACATTTCCTATAAACTTACTTTCATTGAACCATTTACTACAATAGAAATCGAAATCAGTACTTCACAATCTTAAATTCATCACTTACATCCCATCATGGGCGGTGGTCTCATCATCATAGGCGGTACCATCCTTGGATGTGGTGGATATTGTTGTCCACCACCCCAACCAGGTGGTGCATGCTGCATTTTGTTATTGTCGAACAGAAAATCAAATCAATATCATATTTGAATTTGACAAAAAGAATTTCATTCTCTTGTCGCTGCTGCATACATTGGTCTACCACTTGTACCATTCAATGATCGTGCTAAAGATGTCATTATCAGTCATGTATTCAATGTGAACAGTTTGTTTGATGAATAAACCATCACAACCTGAATAAAAATGGCTGGAATTCAAGGTAATGAACGATTTCTTCTCTCTTTTTCAAACCTCAATAGAACACAGTTCAATTGAAAAGAATCGAGACTTCTCAGCAAAGATGACAGATAGAACACGATCGGCAATTCAATATATCTATCCTCTTCGTTCACAATCATGTCGGGATTGCCGAGATAAAGTAACACGTATGTCAAACGAACAACTTTTCAAGAAATTTCTTTGCATTGATTTGACTTGCTTAGGCACAGCTAGCGAACTACATCAGCATACGGTTGATCGTGCTCAACGACGTTTTGAACGGCAGTTGGCCAATAGTGAACGAGAATTGAGATCAGCAATGAAACAACGACGTGATAACTCGTCTTCCGTTGCAGAAAAACGTCAAGCCACGCAACATCTCGAACATCTTCGAACAACCTTGAACAATGATTATTCACAACTAATCCAAGTAAACTACGAGTTTCCGTTTCTCTCAATCTGTTTCACATTGTACAGTTTCGCCTAGGCTTATGTTCACGAACACAAAGTGAGATGATTTATTGACTCAAATTTTGAAGTTAATAATTAACCCACTTACTAACCATTTGTTTTGGTTAACTGCAAACTGATTTGTAACGTTATTCGAAATATACCAGATGAGAAAGTTGACCGATTGTAATTTTGTCTAGGAAAAGGTCGATGAAGTTGAGAAATACATACATCAACGTTACGACGATGATCGTCATTACGAAAAATCATTATCTCAAAAGAAATTCAAAGTAAAAGAAAACTGCGGAAAATCCTTGTTAATCCTTTGTCTACTATTAATTAACTTAGGATGCTATTCAAGAAACTCAACTTCAAAGTGAAAAAGCTCGTTTAGGATCGATCAATCAAATCATTCGCGAGCGTGACGCCGTTTGCGAAGAAAAATTAGCTGCGCAAAAGAAGTAATCTCTTCGCACAAACATTTATTTCGCCCTATGAAGTTTTTTATTTAGTCTGTTCAATCGTCTTCTGGATGAGCAAGCACGTCGCTTACGTGCAGAACAAACTCTACATGGAAATATGTCATCGGCACCTGTCGAACCAGTTGACATGGCACAACTGAAAGGTCGTTTAGCGCGCGTCGAATACGAACACCGAGAAATCAAACAATTGATACTTGATATGCGTAATGATCTTGCAGCTCTAATTACACAACAACATCCAACATATCGAAATACAGTTCATATACGAGACTTTCCAATTAAACCTTAATTCTAATTTCAATATACAAAAACAAACTGAATAATACGTAGTAGATTTGTTATATCTAAGAGTACAGCATCGATGTCGTTGCATAAATGTTTGATAATTAAGGAAGGAAAAACTATTAGAATTTTTGTGCGCGTATGAATTTATAATTAAAATACATGACTCAATATGAAATCACGCAACGAAATAGTTCCTATCATCCTATTCCTGCTCCTCTACATCCGTATATGAATGGAAGTTATTCCAGTGATTGGTTATATCTTCATAAAAAGCGGCGATTACGAGATAAACAAATATTTCTGCTGTAATCATGAACTAGTCACATCCGATTTTGCTAGAACGTCTATGTAAGTAGCATTCTACTGGCAGGAGACCAGAGCATATGATACGTGTATCGGAAAAGTATAACATTAATATAATATCTGAAATAATCATGAAAAACACGTAGTAATCAATGTCAATTATAAAGTAAGCGTTTGTTAACTTGCGTCAGTGCTTCTGAACGCAATACAAATCATAGATTTTAAATTATATATATATATATATATATATGTGTAATTTCCTGACTTGTTCAGCAAAATTTGCTCAGATTCAGTTTAGAACATTATAAGAGTTCTTTTCAGGAGAGTTTGTTCGACGTTGAGATCTGAGACATGACTTGAAAACGTTTTTTTTTTCTTTTCTGTTCTACGCCTGCATCCTTCATTGTTCAACGAACTGAATAAAACGCTTTGTATATAAATACAAATAAAAAAGAGCTTTTATTAACTACTCATTTTGATATCGATTCATTCTCGACGTGGGCAATATATTTCATCCATCTTTTCTTGTCTTGTGCGGTTAGATCATGGGTCGATTGTTTGGAAACCTTGCGATTTTTCTCTTTGTCCTTATGTTCGTTAACTCCGGTGAAGGTAGATCACTGATGATCGGTGCCCTACAACCAACAGAGACCAAAGCTCCTGTTCAACACTCGGTAAGGGTATTCGGTTTGACAGACAAGAAGCCACGTTAGTTTTTCTAGAATTTCGATGCTATGGATTCATGGTCCCCTGAAGAACAGATACTGGACAATGACCGACAAAAGCGAAGTGAGCTATTGAGAAAATCGTTCGAAGAAGTAGCAAGGAATGATCTTTTCATTTAGATTGTTTTCTTTATGCTATGAAATCGAAAAATCGAGCGTCGAAATGGATGTGTTGGTGATAATAAGAAGATAAAACTCTCTAATGAAATTCTTTCAATGTAGTTTCTACTTGGAATAAACAGAAAACAAAATCGCTCTTGTTGTGTGAAATAATTTTGTCTTGCAAAGTACCAAAGAATAATAATGTGCCACTCAGAGATTCTATTAGGTGTGTCTGTGACTTTACAGTGACTACATTCGAAGAAACATTTCATGAAATTTAGTCAAGCTTAAACTAATGAGCTTTCATTTGTATGATTTTTTTAATGAAGAATTATAAAAGATCGTCTTACAATGTATCGTTTGATTGCTGGAATATTGTTTGTTTTTTATTTCCTGTTAATATCGTAGACTTATGAACTAACACCCATTTTTAAACATACTTGCGGATAATACGCAATGTCAGGACGAGAATGTATTAGTAAATCAGTTTATTATGATCGTGAGAGCAGCAAGTATGTGTCTTATGATATTTGAAGGATAGAAAAGCGGAAGAGTATTTCGAGGAAACTGATTTTTATGACGCAGTTAATTAATAAGAAAGCTTTTCGAGAGGCAATCTACTTTATTCTTTAATGGAAATATTTATTTTACATAAATTATAATTCATCAAAATACAAAATTTATTTTACACGTGTTCGTCGACTTTTCGTCGTTCGAGTATGTCGCTTCGATAGAGTTGACTTTATAGTATAATCAGCATCAGTATCTTTGTCATCCGTAGACAATCGACCGGGAGATAATGTTAGATTTGTTGATGAAATCAATGGACTCGATGTGCCAATGCCCAAAATATTCTTCTTTTTCTTCGTATGTTCGTGTTCTGACGTTTTTGAACGAGATTTCGAAGATTTTGTGCTGGCCACTGATGTTTGATGACTTTGAAAATGACTATTTTTGGCAAAACGAGCTGTTATAATATCATCGGTTAGTAATTTAACGCCTAAAGGAACCGCGTATGTCATACGGAAAAGAAAATGACAGAATCTTTAGTGTACCTTTAGTGCGTGATAGTGTTGAGTTGTCATCATCTTGAAAATCGTAGGGAGAAGATTTTTTCGTTCGACCTTTCTTCTTTGGTACATCGTCGGTTGCCATTACAGCAGGTTGACGTGAAATATCAATTTTTCTCTTTTGTTTTTTGGATTTATTAGTCGATTGAGTAAAAAACGCATGTGTATCAAAGATAGCTGTAGAACTGAATTGTGGCGCCGACGGTGGTAACGGTGGTAGCATGAGTTTCTTTAGTTTCGTTTTCTTTTTTCTTTCATCTGACTTCGGCGATGAACATTGGTCTGGATCGACATGCTGGCAAAAGAGAGACAGATACAAACAGTAGACACTTCAGATGTACATACAAACGACATCAGACTGAGATTTCCTAATGTTTTATTGATCAGACGATGTGGTTTAACAATCGTATCATCAACAGCTAGTTGAAGGCGATCCGATGGCGGTGATCGACATCTAGCAAGAAAACAAAAGTTGGATTCTTTGTTTTAAAGATTTGAATTCACATACGTTTTCGGTGGTGGTGGTGTTTTAAATGGGATAATAATTTCTTCAGATAGTGGAGGCGGTGGTACTAAATATTATGCATATCAATCAAGCGAACACCAAGTAAGGTAAATACGTACGAGGAGGTAAAAATTCATGATCTTGGACGACATCGATGAAATTGTCAGCGACAATCGGTGGTTCATCAGGAAGATAATCATTCACTATAGGCAACGGTTCAGTGGATGTGGGAATAGGAATTAATGGATCAGGTTTAGGTGGAAGTTCAATATCGCGTTGGAGTTGGAGTCTTCGATATGCATCTCCAATGCCATTTTTCCATTGTTGTTCGACAGTTAATTTCAATCGTTTTCGTCGTCTTTTTGTATGAGTAGGCGGTATTCGAATAGGAATTTCATTGACGCTCGTTCGATAATAAGCATTGCCAAGAAGAAGTTTGGGTGCTAGACGAAGTAATTGTTGTTCGACTCGAGAATAATCTTTCAGAGTGTGTTCCTGTTTGATTAAACATGAATCTAATCTCTAAGAGGAAAAGAGATACCATTCTATAGGTTTCAACAATAGGCAGAAACACAAGTAACGAACTTGATCTATTTGAGCAAAATCAATCGGTTTTATTCGCTGAAGCAATTGAGCTATATCTTCTTCAACGAGCGTTATTTGACGACGTAATTCATTACAACGTTCTTGCCGTTGAGCAACACGTAATTGGTCTGCAATACGGACTAAGTGATTTGTATTAACAAAATTAGGAAAACACGAGGAGATTTGTCAATTTGACTTACTGCGATGTTGAGTCAACAAAGATGGCTTCCATGGCCACCAAGTTTGTTCTGCTACCATCGATACCCAAACAAGATTTTCCTTATGATCGAAAAAGAGAACAATTGATCAAATTCATGAACACAGATTATTGAACAAAGACCCGCGTTGATCAGCTGCGTTCATTCGTTCATTCATTACAAATTCTCATAATTTGTGCTTTGAGGAAAGAAAACGAAAAGAATTTCAAATCCTATCTCATATTTTCAACCCTAGATAAAAAAAAATTAGCAGCGGTTAGTATAGGTGGCGCTAACGTTCAAGAAGTGCACCATGTCTCCTGCAAATTAACAGCTTCTGCAATACATTTGTTTTGTTCTTGATTCTTGAACAGTACGGACAACATATTTCTTATTGATCTCCTTTGTGATTTTACATCTGTCAGACATTTAATGAATGTTTCATCATATGAACAGGAGCAATAACAACAAAGAACAAAAAATAAAGAAAAAAGGTCTAGTTTAAAAAGAAATTCGTATATTTGTGTACGTGAACGTCTGTATGCGCGTTTTTTGCTGTTAAATTTCGTGTGTATTTAGAAAGAAGAAAGAAAATTGAACTAAGAATGGATGTCCATCATATCGGCGCTGGTTTGTAATTCCCCTTCAGATGGTTTGGCAACGTGAATCTTCTCTGGATACATGTTATCAAGGACGCGGATACCTTGAGCATCAATAATTCGTACGAAAACACAGTGTGGATATGCAGCCATACGTTTGCCCAATTCGTTGACGATTGTTTGTAACATAAATAAAGCTTCGTCAACTGTTAAATCTTCTTTCCATAAACGATCGCCAATACCCAAGGCAAAAAATTGACAAAAGCCATGTGCAACTACATTGGCTGACACCATGGCACCTAGGTAATCGATCGAGTACAATTGTGCACGATTTTGATCACGTTCGTTCGTTGAATAACCACCGACGACAAGATTAGCAAGAAAAGAGTTGCGCGAACGGAGTGATGTGGCCATTTCATGGCGAGTAAAGTTTGCACAAGCGTATGGTGATAATTCAATACCGTTGATCATTTTGTATAATTGAATGTTTTTGCCGACATATTCAGCGAATTGAACCACATCGCCAGGTTCTCCAGCTGAAATCAAAGTTGATCGTGTGAGATAATCTTCATTTCGCTCTACGATACATACCAGCAAGCATAGCACAGTGTTCACTCAATTTAAACAATCGATTGGTATCGAATTTCATATTCAAAATACCGTATTTCGTGGTATTGGCATCTTGTGCTAATAGAACGAAATCTTTTCCGCGAATGCCGATGACTGATTCAACCATGCTTGGTAAATTTTATCTGAAACAACAAACAACAACAAAATCTGAACGTTCTTATCAAATCGAAAGACAAAAAAGAAACATGGAAGTTATCTACCAAAATCTCCAACTACTCTTCTTTTCTTCTTGACTAGTTGATGAACTAAAACCTGAAGAAAATTCCGGCGATTGCAAGCCCATGTCCGGCGCACCTAATGAAAAATCCGTTGATGTGCTAAATTCATTAGATTTCATCGATGCAACAGCAGCAGCACCTTCTTGACCAAGTTTATTAATAATATAATTACTCGAATCAATGAATCGTTCGACACAATTGGCTAAACACGTCTCACTTTTACCATCCAGTCGAGATGATATACTTGGACTACAGATTTCCCAACATTGCTCAGTCAGTGAATGAACAACCGATTGAAACCGTTGCTTCTGATTTTCTTGTTCAATAAATGACGCTAATTGAGGATCACCGATACCCTGACCAGCACTGGACGACAAATCCATGATCTAAAAAAGAACCAGTCATTTTTGCCTTCCATGTACATATACATTTATATATTATAGAGAGAGAGTGTGAGAGAGCAAGAGATAGATTTATATTGTTAAACGAAAAGAGTTTATCGTTGCAGAATAATAAAAGATATATCTTTTTACAAGGTAAAACACAAACACAAACAAACAAAGCAAAATTTATTTGTCAAAAAATTGAATTAAATTATTGATACGATTCGGATTGCCGGCTTTCAGTGCTCGTATTGAATCCTAGGTAACAAAAGAAGAGATCAATAGTTTCGACGAGATACTAAACAAAAACAAAACAGGATATTTACGCGTTCTAGTACATGTGAATTCGATTGATTTGTTGGTTGTTCAAACATAGATTTTCGATTTAATCGAACATCAGTAGATGGCGTTGTTTTTCGAGTTATTACCACTGGTTCATGTAAAACAGCTTGTTCAGATTCATTCTCATGTTTTTTATCATTCGAAATCGATTGACTACAAAAGAAAGCAGAGTGAAACATTTCATTTTATAAAGATTAAAGCAATAATCATGACGTATGTGACCTTCTACATCTGTATCAATAATTATTTCGACGTAAATCGATTGCAATAATGATCAAATGTCATGAAATTAAATTCAAATGCTACAACGTAATAACTTACAATTTATTTTGTTTTTGTTTAGCAATGTCTATCCACGATGCTGCAGGTTTATTGTCATTCGTTGCAACTTTATTACCCGCTGGGAGACAAACGCCACCAACTGTTTTTCGTCGATTCGAAGCTTGTAGTACAGGTGTTGTGTCAGCAGGCTTAGCTGTCGGTTCATTGATAGGTTGCACAGGAACAGCAGACGGTGGAGGCGTAGGCGCACGAGCTTCTTCAACAGGGACAGGTGCAATTGCAGTTTCTTCGTTTGCTGGAGCACGACGGATTGACCCACGTTTTTTAAATTGATTAAACACATTTTCAAACTCATTTGTCGATGGTTTGTCATTGTTAGTTGGCACTAGCATGGTTGTTGGACGCAAGCGGGGTGTTGATACAGGGTGTTCTCTTGTCTTAACATACGTAGCTGGTGACGGTTCATCTTCATGCGAGGGCATGATATTCGTTGGTTTCGGACGTTTGAAAACATCAAGATTATCATAGATATGTTCTTGAGACGATGAACGTGATCGACTCAAACTTTGTGTTTCTTCATCATGGTTCGGTGGATCAACCGATGTTGATTCATTCTCCATTGCCTTTGTCGATGGTAAATCATTCTTGCGAGATTCTTCTTTTCTTGACTTTAAAATTGGTCGAGGTTTCAATTTGATATCATTGATTTCCTGTGGTCGTTTGAAACTAACAGAACGCTGAATAGGACTGCTGTTCACTGGTGCAAGCGTCGGGCGAGTAGAAGATGTTTCACTAGTCATATTTGTGTTAGTTGCTAACAAGATATTATCTGCTGAACGATCACGCGGACGAACAGACATTCGAAGCCGTGCTCGAGCAGAATCCAAGTCAGATGAATCAAACAATGGTTGCAAAATTTTCGGCTAAAATAAAACGGCGACAATCACTTTCAGAATCAACTAGCTCTGTACGCATATCCGTATTTGTACGAAATATATTTCATCGAGACATTTATGAGAACGTCTTATCATCAGGTTATAGTTCTAGATTTCATCTGGACGAGTCTCGTTTCATCAGGCGCCTGTCGTATCGTCTCGTTAAGTTTATAACGCGGCAATAAGTATGACGATATTTACCTCCACATGACTTGTCATCATTATCCTTGATTGTTCATCATCAGGTGTTGATGAAATAGCTGAAAATAGGAAAATTATTTTATTTACGAAAAGAATACGAAAAAAAAACTAGGAAATTCAGGTCAATCAAAGGTGAATGCATGTAAAATATGATGTAATTGAATCTGTAGTTTATGTGCCGACGGACTCATAGCTGTTGTAGATGGTGACGAAAATAAATGATTGAATATATAGCTCTGTTTCGACGGTACTGCTGGTACAATTAGATCGTCATTATCATTATTATCTATACTCAAAAGATCTCGAAGTTTGTTTTGAACTTTTTTTTTTCGAAAGAAATATGTTAATTCCCTTTGCCGATTAGTTCGAACCTGACCTGATGCGTAGCGAAATCTTACCGTCAATTTTGGATGCAAATAAATCGACATCGTTGTCATCCGTTTCTCGAAGTGTACTCAACTAAAATAGAATTACGATTGAAGAGAAACTTTGTTCATTTGAATTTGTTTACTTTTTGTTTAAGCGGTTGTCGTCGTTTATTTTTAACTGAAATACGATCTCGAGCGGCTGAATGTTCTAATTGTTGACAAGCGGATGGCAGTGTTGGCATTGAAACTGTGAAAGGCAAACACGAAAAGTCAATCTTACAATTCTTATTCATATTTAATAAGAACCTACCATCATCTGATGGCATTGAAGACTCCTGTAGACACGAAAGCGAAAAGAAAACGAAAGACAGACATGTTTGTTAGGAGAGCGAAAATTTATCGCAATTTGTTATCTTACTCCGAATGAAGACATTTGATCAACGACGGATGTGTATGACGAAGAGCTATGAGATGATGCCTGATAACAAAAGATAAATTGATTCACCCATTGTTGATTCGATAAGAATAGGGAAGAAGGTGTGAGTCATTGGAATATGTTAATAACTTACATTCGAACGAGATGGCTTTTTGGGAATGATGATCGGTGATGACGATGATGTCGGTCGTCGGCCAGCTGCAGCAGCAGCGAGAAGTTTTTCAACCTAATCAAACAAATATATCAATTGATTATCGATGGAACAAAAGAGGTCTTCGCTGATAGTTATATTTCACCTGTTCCTTTATCAGCGGACTAGAAGCAGCACGGGCCATTCTTTTCTTTCTCTCCCTTCTCAGTTAAAGTGAGTCGCCTTCTTTTAAACAATCGTAAATACAAAACAACAGTAGTTTTTCTTTCTTGTGTATTCAAATGCAAATGACGCCGATGACTAGAGATGAGAGTGCCGAAGCAAGAAAGACCGTACAGAAAGAAAGCAACAACAAGCAAATTAACTTTATAAGCAAAGAGAAAAAAAGCGATGCAGAACGACGGAAAAAAGGCAATGAAAAGAAAACGAGTTGATACAGGCGTACCCACACCTGTTAATGGTATGATTCTCAACTGTCGCATTCGTCTTTTTTTCTCTTTTCTTTGATTAAAATTAGCTCGAGCATTTTCGTAATAAATGTACTATGAACTTATCCGAAAACACAAGCATGCAAAAAATGGCAAGAAAGGGAATACGAATAGGAGAAAGCAAAGTAGCAGTGTTTGTTTTTTAAACATATACCTGATATGAATTTCATGTGATTTCTGTGCAGAAGAAGAAGAAGAAGAAGAATAAGCAAATTTTTTCATTGAGTCACTTGTGTAAATAAAAAAAAATTCTTTTCGCTAGTCGCGAGCATACCTGACTGGTTGTATCGTTCGATATAGTACTTGCAGACATCAAATCGTTCAAACTATTCTGAGAATTGGTTCGTTTCATCGGCGGCATACTGGAATGTAGACAGACTTGTTTGCGAAAGTAATAGACATGGAGACAATCTTACTCTTCAATTGGTAATTCTCCTGCACGTGAAAAGACCGCCGGATGGCCAATGATCTTGTCGCGAAGGTATTTAATCATAATGTCTCCTAAAGAAAAGCACCAGCATAGATATTCAATCAAATGAAAGTTCAATGGCGAGTGAGTAGAAGATGTTAGAGTGAGCACAGACAATATACACAGCATACCATCGTCTACTTCGGATACCATACGATCATTCTCGCTCATGTTTTTCTTTTCTAAGATCTAGTTGCATGCAAGAATAGAAACATAAAGTTCCTTCGTCATTAGTCCATTACCTCTTCGATAACGAATTAATTTTTTTCTTCGCGTTCAAAATCTGAAAAACAAAGTCAAAACAGTTTTTTTGTTGATATTTTCTTATAGATCTTATCTACAAAAAATACACAACAACTATTAGTAGAAAAACACGAAAAGACCTTGTTACTATGCAATCAGTAACTACCAACAACCATGACATGTTAGTTATACGAATAATCAATTAGTATATTTAACGTTTAAACATTACAATGTCGTTGTTCGAAATTGGCATGGATTTCTCGTGTGAGAGGGGTGCTTTAGTGTAGGAGGAGAAAATATTAATAGATAAAAATCGTTTCTAGAACGAAAAATAGGCACAGGAAACAAAGTTATGGAGAGATGTACACACAAAACGGTTAGCAAAGATAGTTTTCATCATACTAGTATTCGGTGCATAGATCTGTCTGTAGGATTAAAGTGAGATTTATCATCTTACAACTGGTGATACGACTGAATATTCATGGAGATGGACTAATAGGAATCACGTTTATCCTCTTTCTATTATTTTCCCAAAATAAAAGGTGAATCGTGAGTATCATTGAAATTCTAGTAAAATGTTGTTCTATCAAGAGAAATTCTCCAAAGGAAAAAATAACGTGTAAAGAAATTTGAACGCACGCTAACCAATCGTGAATGAGATTATCATCTCTCAAATAACATCTACCCTGAATAGAGGTCACCCATAGACAAAATACACTTCGTGAAAGTAAAATATATTTAAACGTACACTCCTGCAACGGTATTATCTGACACTAGGAAATAAAAAATAACAGTTCATGATCACATATATGTAATGACGAGGAAGAAAACGAGAGATGTTTTTTTATGTGTGTTTTTTGTTAAACATATTCGTGTTCAGTGTTTAACTGTTGATGTTGTTGCTGTTGTTCTTCATCTTCATCGTCGATTCGGATAGTTGCTTTGGTGAGACGAAAACGAGTGCCGCGTACATGGGTTTCATTTTCATTTTCGACAAGTTTCATGGGTTCCGTTGTATACGAGTTGGATGAATATGAAAGAGTACGAAGTTTCCGTGGACTGCTTGGTAAGTGTTGAGGATGATCTTGATTAGTGGCAAGTGAACATGCTTGATACGTGTTGTAATGCGTAGGATTATGCCATGGACAACCTAAGTGAGCTTGCGCAGTTTGATCATGACCTTCTTGTTCGACGATTTCTTGTTCTTGTTGATGTTGAAAAAGTTCGGTCCACTTCGGTGGTAAAACATCCATCATTAACGTCTATAACGGACAACAAAATGGATAAAAATCAAAAGTTCATCTAACTTGTCGACGTTCAAACTAACTGGTAAGGGCGGTTTATTTTTCATTCCAATATCGAGTCGATTTGCATCTTGATCGAATTGTACCATTGTTTTGTAGAGTTGTTTCACTTTGCCTCGAGCTTCGGGATTGTTCAGCGTTAAATCATTTTGATTTGTCATGTCTAGATCATGGAGGGAAGCAAGCGCCAGCAGTTGTTTTCGTCGTTCACGTTTCGCACTGTCGCTGCTAAGAAACGAGATTGATGAAGCACTTTTACTTTCTTCGTTCATCTCTTGACTATTGTGAATCGTTTTTTGATAATCGCGAAATCGACGCATATCATTGTGAAAAAAGCGATCCTTATCCGATTGTTCTTGTGCGTTCCGTGCGCCACTTGGAGCAACTTCTTTGATTCGTAGAACGATCAGTGCACAAAGCACGATACAAACGATGTTGACAAGTGTGAGAAGAAAACTGGCAATGGCTAAAATGAACGTCTCAGTTGACATGTTGCATGAGTAGAGTGAACGATAATCGTTCGAGAGAAATGTTTGACAGATTAATTCATTGTATGGATAAATTTTACGTTTTAAAATCTGAAAATGATACATGCACAGATGTTACGACGGACACGTAAGTACATACATAAGTCTCATTGGAACGACGACCAAAGGATTTTGGTATAGCTGCAGTTAATAGCGAATATCCTAAGAGAAGACCCTAGTAACAAAATCTAATTGAAGTACTTTGTTGCCGCAAACATCCTACCGAATTCACAGCTGGAGGAAGTAGTGACGCTGATATAGCAACACCGACTAATGAACCTAAAGGAAAAGAATAATACCTCATTACCGATAAATATTCGTTGATTTATCATCAATTCTACCTGCATTTCCTCCTAAGACTGACAATGCTACGCCAGCTCCTGAAGGTAGAGCAATCATACTGCCAACGGATAATCGAGTTAAGTCACCACTAGAGGAAAGATTCGTATATCAACCTGCAAATTTTCTGTCGAACATACCGTGCTTTCATTTCCGGCGTTGGAAAAGATGTCGTACTGCCCCAATTTGTCTCCCAGACGGACGTTCCCAAACCGATTAGAAATCCTAAAATATGTGTAAAAGAAAAGGATCTACATATGTGCTTATTTGTGTCTTTTGTTGTTACTTCGTACCACAAGTTAAACATACAAATAAACCGATAAATTCTGCTCGAAGTCCAGCTCGTCGTAATGAACGATCATGTATACAAAATCCGAATACAATAGCCAAAATAGGTCCCTAGAAGTCATTCATTAGAATCTAATCTTTGCTCTCCTGTAGCGCAAACCATTAAAGGCGAAATAAGCATTGAAGCAACAAGTATAACCGAACTGTCTTCTAATAAACCAAGAGATGCTAAAATACTAAAGAAAAGTATTGTGAAGCTCCATCGAACATTATTTAGTGAGATTTGTCTACCTGGCAAGTGTGAGGAGAACGATGAAATCAAATGTGATTGCTGATTGTGCACGAATTACTTGGACAACTTGAAAGACCATCAAACGTGATCGAATACTCTGCATAAAATCAGCTCGAATCGATTTTCGTCGTTGTGACTGCCTTTTTTTGTCAAAAAGAAAAACAGATAAGTAAATGTGATCTTCTTTTCAATTTACCGAGGTAGAGGCGGCTGTGGTGATGGTACATCATCACAGACCTTAGCTGCTTTTAGTGGATGATCTATAGTTGGTTTTAACGATGTCGTAGATAAAGTTGGAACTTTACATGAGCTCAATGGTAGTAAATTTGAATAACCAATTGCATATGTCAAAGGTATAACCCTACGAAATAAAAATAACAAAGATGGTTCACGAATGATTCTCCGAGTAATCTTACGCTACTCTTGTACCATTCAATCGGCCAATTCCTATATCTGATAGACGACGAAGAAGTTCCTCACAGAGTATGCCTATTTCCGACACAAATGTTACCTTTGAATGAAAACAAAAAGAAATAGTTATCGAGAATTTCAATAGAAAGTTTACGTACTTCATATTGTTTACGGTCGTCAGAAAGAATCCATGTTGAATATTCGCTTAAGCCATATCTATCAAGGATAGCATTCTTCAGCAGCTACAATACGCGAATAAAATCATCGAAATCAATGGCAAATAAACATTGTTTTATTGAACCTGGCACAGAGATGCAGAGTTGACTTTGGGAGAAGGCGTAGTGGTTGCAGACATAACTCGTTCAAACTGAGGTGTTTCACCATCGTTAGGTTCGTACGATTGCTAGATAAAAATATTTTTTTCTAGTCATCAAACAATCTTTGCACTTACTCTAATCTTACTCGGTTCATTCTCATTCTGATGTACTGGTATAGTCCAATCATTAGGTACAATAATGATGAATAAATGATGGTCAGACATTGTGCTTAGTAGTATGTGAATGAGTGAATATCTAAAATCTGACTAAGAATTCGAATCGATCTGACGAGTGTCCTTAATGTTCTCTTCTTCTTCTTCTCTCTCTCTGTCTCTGACGATCGATTATGCACGGTACGCACATTTTATACATTCGATATTTTTATGCAATCACTGTCTAGAATGATTATGGTGTGAAAATCGAATGGAGATAAAAAACAAAAGAGTGTTCTCGGATTGTCGATATTCGTGCACGTCGACATATAGAGAAAAAGAATATTCTCGGACAGGACGTGATCTTTGTTTTTATCGAATATTCAGATATACACGTACAGAATGATCGATTGTTTTCAATTATGTCTTCAGTTAAATGAAATTGTCTTATATATCGTAATAGTCGAAATTCATATTAGAAACATTGTAAAATATATATATATGGTTGATTGATTATAGCTTTGAATTTTTTTAATGTTACGATGTCTATGATATCGATTGATAAATCGTTGGGTTTGTTTCGTCACATGACTGTAATTTTTTCATATCATCATACATTCAACGATGAATTTTGTTATCTGCATGCTATCATCATTATATTTAGAAAGTTTTCCTTTTGATACGAATCAATAATTGCGATAATCAACATCTGACCAACCAGTTCTCCGTAGATGTCATTCATAATTACTAGTCAAACGTACAAAAAAACGTTTCGACTAAAATTCCATGAAATTTTTTGCGAAAGAATCCGTACTACGAAGATATTCATATAGAGATTCACTGCCATTTATCTGTAGCACAGAGACAGTTTTCTCCTATTTATCCATCTTGACATATTTGTCCTTTAATCATCTACATATATATATATATATGTATAGATATCATCCAGCATCGTGTTTTTTCGCTGTTCGGCAAGCAGCTACCAACCATCGACTATCAAGATTTGTATGTCTATGTATATCTTTCTATGTATATATATATATATATATATATAGATAGATTTATTGTTCCTTATTAGTAGTGAGTCTTGTTCGTTGTCGCTACAACAGACACAAAAAAAGAAAAGACATTAAGTATTTTTGCATTCTCTTTTTTTGTAGCTATTTCCGGATAATCTCGTACTCATACGATGGTAAGTTCTTTATTCGTTTTCTTTGTCTTTATTTAATCGTTATACTAAACGACTGATTTCATTACTTTGATGTTAAAAGAATTGCATGTCCCATTGGTTTCGAGGTTTTTTTTTCGTATTGAAATTGATCTATAGCTACTCTCACCATTGCACATAGTACATCCTATAATCGATGATTAAAAACCGATTTGTACGAGAAAAGAACGAAAAAATTCATGAGCGATGAAAATAACAAATCTCAAAAGACAGTCTCATTAACATGTAGTTCTGTAAGAGCTGTAGGTGACGGTCGCGGTGGTACGGGTGGAGCTGTGCGTACAGGTGTTGTTCTTGAAGATGATGTCGGCGATTTTTGACGTCGATGATGCGATTTATGATGATGATGGTGATGATTATCATTAGTGTTACTACGAGTTGAAGACTGAGATTTAGGAGATGATGTTATTGTCGGAGGAGATGTCGACTGTTGTTTTTCTTGTTGCTGTTGCTGTTGTTGTTGTTGTTGCGTTTGGTCAATGACTGTTGTATGAAGTACGGAATCACACGCTTGATAAGCATCTATTGAATTAGAAAAACAACAATTAGCAAGTGTACGTTGTTCATTAAGAAGTAATTTTGGAAAGAGAATGTCAAATTTAACGATGAGATCACCACGTTTTGTTGTATCTTTCGCGTATGGTAAACCTTCATTGGGAAACCGTTTTTCTGTTTGTGGCGTGAGAATCTCTTGATAAGTTCGTAATTGATAGGATGGTTTAGTCGAATCAAGGAAAGGTATGACTAATAGTGTGCCAAGTAATGCTTGTTTTAATGTGACTTTCACTCGAAAGATTATATCTGAATTTGAGCGTTCGAATAATGGATGTGGTTTATCACGAATAATGAAGACAATATCACCTGCTATTGTATATTGATCACCTTCATCACCTTCATTTTCGAAAGTGATTTTTGTTCCTGGACAAAAAAGAAAGACTCGATATTGTGAACTACTTTCTTCTTTGGCTCCTTACCTTCTTTCCATCCAGGTTTTATTTGAATTTCTAAAACTTTTTCATCCTTAACTGTCGTATGTAACTCAGCTTTGTATCGATTACGCGTGACTTTCAATTTCCTAGTTGCTCCGTTTAGGACTTCATCTAATGTTACGTAGAGATCATAGAATGTCGTTGGATCTTTATATTTGATATAGTGATTATTAGTTGGATCATACATTGAACTAGTGGCAAATGGTGATTGATAATGACCGGTTGAATATGGATAACGAAAATTCGAACGAAAGTCACCATAGGGCGAATTTCGTGCATCGTCCAAGCCAAAGCGATCGTAAATGGCGCGTTTTTGAGGATCAGACAGCATTTCATAGGCTTCGCTGATCTCGGTAAATTTTCGTTCAGCATCGACATCATCGCGATTTTTATCTGGATGATGTTTTAACGCTTTTTGTTTATAAGCACGTTTTATTTCCTCCTCCGTAGCCCATCGATTAATTCCCAAAATGGTATAGTAATCTTTGTTCACCATAACAAAGCCAGCGTCTTCGTTCTTCTGACGATATGTAACTTCGACGAGATTGACTTGATCTCACTTGATTCGTCTTATTACCATCTGCATCCTTGTACGTCTGTTATGATGATTTTTCTTCTGATTGTATGGTACAGCTCTTTCTTTTTTCTTTCGATTGAAATATAAGTGGGTGACAAAGAAGAAAAGAAAATGGAGAATGAGTACGTTGTATATATTATTTTACCATTATCACTTATTTCAAACTTACGAGTATATCGATAATGTTGTTCAATAACACACATAGTTAACGAACGCGAAAGAAATGTACAGAGGGTATTCATTGATCGATATTAACATATGTTGTCTCGTCACTTTGATGTAGAAGCATAGAATTAAATGAGTATGAATTGAATTGCACTATGCAATGATGATAATTAATAGTAATAATATCGATATATTGTTTGAAAAGAAAAGTATCGTCAGTCATCTATGAACCTATGTGTTGTTTTGTTTAGGTAGATTTGAGCGAACGCTGCATGCTTTTATGCATTGTGTTCAGTGTCTATATGTGTCAATTTGTGCAAAGTCAAGTAGCAGCAGGTAATTCAGGCGATCGGACTAAAAAGCAATTGGAAGAAATCGAGGAAAATAATGAAAGCCGACAAGAAAAAGAATTAGCAAAACGTAAGTTTTACTTTTGAGGAAATCATGAAATAAATGTTTTTCATAGTTTATTCATCGTCGAAAGCAAATGCTTTTTTAACTTATGATAAATGTATGCAACGAATGAAGTGTCCAGCTAATCGTAAAGAAGAATGTAGTGAAGAATGTACAGCAGGTATGTTGAAAAAGTCTTTTGCTGTGAGACAGATCTCAAATGTTTGGTGATGATAGGTAATACTGAAGAAGAAATTGAAGAACATAGTGAACTAACAAAAGATGAGCGTCGAAGTTCGATGAACCGAGCACCTAAACGAAAATATGAACCAACGAAACACTCATCGAAGAGTAAACCAACACCAGTGAATGATCAATCGAACGCAAAAACAGATTTGTAATCTTTTATTTTCATTCATACAAAAAAAATCAAGCCTTTCTTCTTTTGTAATCTCAACGTAACCTTATTTTGTCATATTAGAAGAATAAAATTTAGATATATCTGACGATGAACTTGAAAAATCATCTCGACAGACTCGAAACAGATTAATTGTCACTACTGTTCTTGTGCAAATATAATACAATCGTCAATAGAGAGATACGATAGTAAAATTCCACAGATTAAGATAAATCTATTACTGAACCCGTTTTTCACCAGCTCTTGTCATATATCGATAGGTATTTATAATTATTTTGGCTACAGTTTCGATATATCTCATACACAGACGATTTACATCTGTTTCAGTGTAAAGTCACAGCTGGTGATCTGTTTTCTCCCCTTGTATCGTTGTGTTTTAGTCAGCAAAGATAACGAGATTGTTTTTCTCATCGCTGTCGACTTACATTTAGAGTTATCTTAATAGTTATTATGCATACAATCGAAATCTACAGAGAAAAACACACACACGCGACGGATTCTACAATCTTGATACCGTATGCTCTACTGATGTCTTGAGAGATGGCGCTAGTCGCTAATATCCAAGCTATGTAAAAGATTAATTTTTTATACCAACTCTGAATATATTTGCCAGTAAAAACTCGAGAATGATATTATTAGTCGATAAATATCAATCTATCTCATAATTCAATCGCTTAAAATCTTTCTAATCAGTAACTGGATAAAAATCACCAATGGAGAGTCGCGTGAGTCTAATGGTTGTCTTTATTTCTGGTTGCCTCTCCCTCTCTCGTGTATACCTGTCAGATCGTATCATTCATTTTCTAAGCAAACGATTCTTATTTTTTCATATCAGGTACAAAAGTTGATTGAATACAATCGATCTTCATGCAATTGATATAGTTCATCTAATACATAAAATATGCAAACTGATTACAATTTTCTAAGCGATCATTCGTATTCTATCCGCGTTGATTATGATAAATTACCTTTGAAGCAACGTGAGGTGAAATCAAAAAAACGTCGTGCAACTCCAATCTCATCGAGTATGAATGCAAACTTTAAAAACCTACTAGCCTATTCCACTGTTTTCTTTTCTTATTTCACTAGAAAAAGCATCATCGGCTCCTTATTCAGTATCTATTCACCGCAGTTCAAGTGATAAAGAGAACAGTTCATCGAATCTAAATGAAGTATCGGTCAAATCAAAAGCTAACAAAATGAAATTATCAACAACATCAAAGAAGAACAGCACCAAATCTCGAACAGCATCTGTCAAGAAACAGTCTGTTAAATCCACCCCCAAAGTATGACTCTTCGCATTAGAAATTATCGAAAGCATATCTTACTTAATATTTTAGTCACATGCCAAATCAATTCCAAGTAAACTTGTTCAAAAGAAGACATCGATTCCAAGTTCAAAAGAAACAAGTGTTATGCAGCCATCTCTATCGATTGAAGAACGTGTAAAACTTCGTCGAACGACACCGTTTCTTGCACCGATCAAACCTATAACCAACAAGAAACCTCTTAAACGTATTCATCTTTCTAAAACTAAGAAAGAAACGATCAAACCGAAAAAATTCTTTCTTGGATCAGGGCTCGATCTTGACAATATCGTTGCTGGTAATCGTCAACGACGTTCTATTCAATCTTAGACTTGACACATTGATTTTTCGTTCGTTCTGTGCTATATGATTTTCTCTTCATTCTATTTATACTTATCTATATCCAAATATCTGTTTAGCACTGTTGGCAAAAGATAAATGTTTCTTTTAATTTTATTTATTTGTGTATACGATTCTTTTTTTCCTTTGTTTTGCTTTCTATGTGTATTAGATTGGTTCTTGTAGAACTATACTGTGCATTGATGTACAGAAACAGAAAACTAAACGTAGCATAATATTTATATATGCATGATAAATTGACAAAATAGATTGTAGACTAAGACTAACGTCATACTATGAAAATAAAACTGAACCAAACATCGTTATTGGATGAGCAGAATTGATTCATGCTGACGACCTGATTGTGTATCGATTAATGATCATATTGATTGAGGCAAGCGTCCAAAAGAAAAATGAATTGTTTCGCTCATCTCGAGTTTGTTGCAGTCGAAAATACACAATCTTTGTTCTTTCTCTGTTTTTAGTCATGAAACTGATTTATTGTACCTGCAAATACAAAATCTTACTGAAATGTATTTTTCACCGAGTGTAAATACATGTCACTTAAAAGAACCTAATTCCACGTTGTCAACTCATCGGTAAGAAACCTACAAATATCTATTGCAATGTCCCTCAAGTTTCAAACAAGAGTGTGTTTACAGTCGCTTCTCTTCAAATATACGTACCACTATCATCCATAAACTGACAGATAATTTTCAGAACAAAAAATACTTGCTTTTGAGCAAACTAGTTATGTTATTTTTCTTCTTTTAAAGAACTAACACAGCTATATTAGGTTCATTGGTGGTATTATCTGAACTGAATAACAAAAGAACTCAGCTAACATCTTTAGAAAAGAAAAACAAAGGTGTCAGAAAGAAAGCTACTCTGAACAGTAGAGCAGAAGACAGGATCAATAGTTCTTCCTCTAACAGTCGATAATCGTAGCTTTTGTGAACGTTAAGGTAGCGAAACACGACAAAGATGAATCGGAATATAAAACAATTGAAGTGTGGGTCGATAATTATCCGAATTTAACAAAAGACACAGTCTAACTAAATGATGTTCTATCTCTTCGATGCCTCAGTTCTCAAGATGTCAAAAAAGAAATTCATAATCCACTTACCAAACATAGAAAAAGTCTGTCCATCTACATAATCGACGCTGATTATCACATAAAAACATACTCGAAAAGATCTAGTATACCATATGCTTTCGGAATCGTGAAGCAGATTTAGATGCAATTGTACATGAAATTAGAATACAACTTAGATATACAAAAGTCAGCCTGTGATAGGATGACTTTTCGAATAAAATCCTGTTTGAGTGAGTATATGATCCGATTGATGATATGTAATACTTTTGCCATTGTATTATAGCAAATGCTTGACATAGTTCTTGTTAACGTTGTACAATTCGTTTATTTTCATCTATTGAATGAAGTTGTACCCGGAAAGTAGGGTTCAATGCTATACAAATCAAATATACTACATTTTCGACTAGAAAACGAATGTATATTAGCGACACATATCGTTCATTCATAGATTATTATAAGGTTATATTCGTTTCTACAGTCTTATTAGTGATTTGGTGGTATAGTGTGAGCGGTCATCGAATTAAAACAGTGATAAAACGATTGAATTTTTATAGTCAAGTGTAAAAAGCCTAACAAAACGATCATTTATTCGTAAAGACAATGCTGATGTCTTATCTTTATTGTAGACATCATTGACATGGACAAATCGACCACTAAACCACCATGTGTCCATCGTTTTGTTAATCAGCAAACTGGTAAATGTTTGCATTGTGGTTCTATGCAACTTGTCAAAGAACCAAAGCTTCCTGACCATGAATATCTGTCGAATGAAGCCAATCATAGTTCTTTGGAACTTGAACATTACGAACGCTTAGTATTAATGCTTGACGAGTGGAAGAAAACGATGACGAACCGAATTGAATTATTGTACAAATCTAAACTTGAACGATTACGTGATGATTTCGAACAACAACAAGCGATTCGCCGTCGCATTCAAACCGAAAAAAATCAGATTGAAACTCAACTGGAAACTGAAAGTGAACATATTGAATTAACGAATATCCATTTTCAATTGAAAACTTCTGTATCTGTTGACACGGAATATACCCTAATGGCTGCATCACCGGAAACAGTTCTTATACATGATGGTCGAGTCTTTAAATTATTCGATCAAAATCTCCGTCCATTAGTTGCTCTAGATCTAACAACTTCGATGCGTGAACGTTCGAAAGTTGTTGATCTATGTTATGTCTCATATTTGTCGTCCTATTTAATTCTTTATGAACAAGGTCTATGGACATTCCAACCAGGTTCCAATGCTAATTTAGTAACGTCGATCAAACGTCGAGGTTACTTATCCTTAACAACAAATACCAAAGATTTGTTTATGCTTGACACTGACGGCATCATTGAACAACGTTCGCTTGTGTCATGGGCATTTCTTCGTCGTTATACCAAACAACATCTCTTAAATGATTATATCAACGATCAACTACTATCCATACGGTTTCATTCAACTGATCACACAAGTCTAGCCATTATCGTGCGATCAACAAACAATCGTCGATGCTTGATGATGTATCAACATTACGGTTCGAATACATTCAAATTGTTGGATCGTATTCTTTTTCCGAATGTCAATATTTATACCATCGCATCTATGCATATGTCACATGTTTGGTTAGCGACAACATGTGAGAAACAAGCGTTCTTCTTCATTGATATTAAACGTGACTATCATCAACGAGATCAACAACAAATTTGGCTCGAATGTGATTTCGATTATCGAATTAAGAATGCTATCGAATTTGGTAACAATCAACGCAATATCATTATTCGATCGATTCGGCCCAGTCAAATGAGGCTCTGTCAGTTTTGATCAATTGTTTTGTTGTATATTTTAGTTAATAAAGTTAATTAGATATTGACACCTTGAATCCGACTAGATTTCTATGGAAATATAAAAGCAAGAAGAGCAAAGAAGAAAGCAGTCTCTTCTGAATTAATCTGCTTACTTTCTTTGAATCATAGTTCGTCATTTCATGTTAATCACAAATCATATTAACAGCTAGCTTAAATAATGAAAGAATCTTAGAATCAAACAACATATAAAACGGAAGTCAGAATGAGGAAGAAAAACAAAACATTCTCTCGGATTTTATCAGCAAACTACAGACAAAACTGTCGTTATTCTATAGGTATTCCACCATCTCTCTCATAAATATAAGAGATGAACTAAGATCAAGATAGTTGGTGTTTTACTTACGTTGGCATCGTACTTTAAGGTCAATACCTCGATGAGATTTTACTAAATAGATTACGCTCATCAAACAAGGTGAGATTGGTTGTGAAATTGCTCCCACCTATTTCTGGTAGAAAATAACTACTAGTATTAATGATGATCTATCTTCTTCTTTTGTTCCTTCGATATTTCTGACACCGAAACCAATTGGATGTTTAATGATTTTTTTAAAAGTTAATCAGTCAGAACTAGTTTCCGAATATTGTAGCAGAAAAATTATCGGAGGTATATTGATGTACGAAAGTACGTACAAATAGATAATAAAAGAATGTAAAGAATTCGTCGATCATATTTGCACCTTTCTTCTTTTCTTTTGAGATATCTATAAGGATCAAATAATTATAAAGGTGAATAGAGGTTCGATTAAGTGATTAAAATGACGAGAGTAAAGATGGTCGAAGACAATAATCCATCAGCGATTGTTATTGGAAGAGGAAATGATCGTGTAGCAATTAATTTCAAACCGAATCAGCTCGTAAGTAGAATACGACGGATAAAAGAAAGAAAATGCGAATCAAAATGAATAGGGTCAATTGCAAACAGGATTGCTATCATCGATTTTGATCGAACTTGGCGATATTGAAGTCGAAATACGTCGATCAAAGAAGGCGTTAGAAACTCGGTCGAAATCTCTCAATCATCGACTCAATGAACTAGGCAAATCGAAGAAAAACGGTGAGAAGTCGAAACCAGTACAAGCTCATTGGGATTACTCGTCATTATTTGGTAAGGAACTTTGTTGAAAAAGTAGAACTAATTAGACATGTTGTTCGCAGGACCAAATATGTGGTCACGAATATTTCCCGACTTGAAAGATCGGAAATTTCAATCGCCTATTCGAATCTATACCGAACAAGCAGAATATGAACCTATATTAACTCGGTATCCACTCATATTTGATACTGTTGACGATTGCTGTCAAACGCTTGAAAATACAGGACACACATTTCAAGTGTCGGGAACCGGTCACACTTGTAAGTGTTGTTTTACCTGTTTTTCTTTGCTTATATGTCGATCGTAGATATTACCGGCGGTCCTGTACTCGATGAATTCCAGTTTTTACAATTTCATATGCACTGGGGTGCCAATGAACATGAAGGCTCTGAACATGTCATTGACGATGTTCGATCGGTAGCTGAATTGCACATTGTTACATGGAATACAACGCAGTTTTCAACTCCTCAAGAAGCAGCTATATCCGATCAATTCGATGGTTTATTGGTATTTGCTGTATTGTTCAACGTGAGTATTTCAAGGTATAGTCTAGTTGATTTTGTTGAACATTATTTTCCAGGTCGTACCAATCGACAATCCAACGTTGGAACAATTAATAGAACTTCTTCCACAAATCGCACATAAAGGACAGAAAATTACATTAGACTCGAACGTTGTTTCATTAAGAAATTTCATGCCTAGTAAAGCATATTTTCTATGATTAAAAATTAAAAACTTGGCAGACATCTTTTTTCGTAGAGAATATGGAAGATTACTATACATATAGCGGTTCATTAACTACTCCCATGTGTTACGAAAGTGTTCGATGGGTTATCTATCGCGAGCGAATGAATATTTCACGAAAACAGGTAAATTAATCTGAGATTTACTTTCGAATAGAATATTTTGTGTTTGAATAGCTCAATCAATTACGAAAACTAAGACATACGTGTGCAAGCGACAAAGCAGTTAATGGATGTATCAAGAAAAACTTTCGACCTTTGATGCCGATCAACGGACGAAGAATTTTTCGTTCTTTTCGTTGAATAAGATATATTGATACTCATTCTTATAGAAAAATTCCGACATAATCAAAATTAATCGAATAAAATATTTGACCACAAATACTTCAATAACTTCTAAATGTGACCTCTTTTATGATCTAGGAATGTATCACTTGATTTATCATAGTTGCCATAAAATTTGACTGTAACCATTACAGAACAGGTGATTATTTGAATGATAAGAAGGTGTTGTGGTAAAAGTTCGTTTATAATGGAAAGTATAGCGAATGCAAAGTAAAAAGTTATAAAAATTTTGCATTGATCGCAATCCAAAGTCATTGTTAAGTATCCATAAATGTCAAGTATTTTCATGATAGGAATCCACGACAATATCTTTTGGATATGACTTATATTAGAACGAACCAAGAGTATCATTCATTGTTAATCTAACTCTGTAGATGCTATGACTTAAGTTTAGAGGATATAGATAGCATTTAACTTGGGATAATTGAGTCTTGTTTAACATGTCGACAAGTTTTTCTCTGCAATAAGAAATAATAAGTACTGATGCAGAAAATGTCTGCCTCAAAATCAACATAATTTCTCGTGAACTTTGAAGAGGGACGACGCCCGTCTACGCCTACGCTATAGATCCCAACACAGTCAATTCGACAATCTTCTACACACTATTTCGTTCATGCATATGAGTTCAATTTAAGATCGGTTTTCTACTTTTTTTTTATTTCTGAAGAAAAATATTTTACAAGACTGTACAGAAACATGAATATATACATAAGTACAAATCGATAACATATAAAGTTGTATTCATCGAAGTCTATTGTGTATGTTTGTTGTTCGTTGAATACTTAAGGTAATGGTCCAGACGAACATCGATTTCGACGTGACGTAATACTGAAGAGATAATCGAGTTCGTCACTATCTTCTCGAGCTGGTGGAATAGCACGAGGACTTGGTATCAGATTCATGCCCGATTGCGTTTGAGGCAGGGATTGAGCTTGGGAAGCCAAAGGCTGATGGAGGATTGGAACAGCCGGTGTTTTACTAAAGCCGAACAGCGCTAATGAACAGAAAAATGTATGAAGACAGTTCAGACGAATATGAATGATTTACTTTTGTTTGAACTATGAGCATCATCATCGTCGTCTTTATCATCATATCGATTTCGTCGTGGAGCTGTTGCGATTGCACGCGCACGCCGTTGTGCATCCATAATGCGTAGATCGATTTCACTGGTTGTGATGCCATCATGGAAAAAAACGACTGGTGGAGATATTCGAAACGGAGCCGTTGCAGATTCTGGACGATCTAGAAATACGAATATGTTGATAGAAAAACAATATGTTCATTATCTGAGAAGAGAATATACCAGTATTTACGAGCGAGGAACGATGTGAGTAGCAATTATGATTTGACTGAAATAAAATTCATTAAAGGACATTAGAAAGTTATATGAAATAATCTGTTTTCATATCTACCATTGGTTGACGATTATCGGAAAGAATTGATTGCCAATCTAAAGAATGATAGACAGAATGCTCGTCGACGTCTAACTAGAAGTTTTAAGCACGAAAGACATTGATGTTCTATTCGTCTCTTTTTTTTCTTATATGAATGTCAAATTATGAGTTATATTATATACTTAACAGAGCAAAGAGCAACTAGAAAAATGACTTGTTAAACACATCTTATTTGCGTGCTCATATCTCGATGTCGAGTTTCGTGATGCAATGCGTTCGTTGTTCAACTATCTTTATATAAAAAATATAAATAGAGGGTCGACGGACGAATGAAGGCAATCTGTTTTCTAAATGATACTCTCATCAGACTATTCCGTTTATTTCATAATTCGAAAGTTTTGTATTAAAAAAAATGGATGTTTGACTATTTATAGACGGATGGAACAACGTGCTAAAATAAAGCTCAAATGTGCTTAAGTGTAATGATTAGCAAGTTGTTCACTATTGCCTTTTAATGAGTTTGAAGTCATTTGTCGACTTATTAATAGAGTCAACCACGATATTGACGGCAAAGCTATTGGATTCAATTGATAGTGAAGAAAAAGGATTGCTATAATACCTTAATATTATTTATCAATTTAAACTATGTGAATAAGTGACGATAGCGAACGTTTTCTAAGAACAAAAGAACGGATGTCTTCCATGAATAACAAAATAAGAACTACCTCGATATATACATGTCAATCGAATAGGTCTCCTTACGTTCCCAAACAAAGATTTCTATATACGCAAAATTCAAAATGAGCATGGGAAAGTATTATGCATGTATGCGCAGTTCTTTTCCCTCTCTGTCGTCAGCAGATACTGACGCACTCATTTAAAAAAGACAACGCTTGTTGACAAATATTACGCACCTCTAACTAAGTTATGGGACGAGCCGAAATGAAGCTCCTTTTTTCCTCAAGAGGAGCTATAATAGTGTTATGCTACATAATTATTCAGTCCTATTATAAGAGAATATTATCCTTTAAACGAACATAGTAGTTGCTAAATGTATATGTGTATATCTACGTCATTTAGTACTACAGAAGAAACGCGTGTCTACTACGATGTTCTTTTTTTTCGGACTTCGATATACACAATTGTTTGAAGTGATGCAAATAAAAGCATCGTCGTTATAATAGAACTGTCTATCATTGAACTTCGTTTGTTTTGCACATCTAAGTAACGTCCTAAATCACAAAAAAAAACAGATATTGTCTTATCTGGATTATCAACAGAATGATACTAGTTGTAGCATTTTTGCCGATCCTATTCTTGAACTGAATAAAGTACAGCATATGAGTTACGTAGCTGATATGATGTGCCATTAGTGCAGCTACATGTATTTCTTTCATCTTTCTTATAAAAATGGCAGTAATATATTTAGAAGTACTGGTGAGATGAATTGTGCGTAAATTTTGCTCATCGCTTTTCGAAAAAGTTATGAAATATGCTATTTGAATGAGTGTGCATGGATATGTTTTCATCGTACGACTTATCGTACAGTGACACCTACACTGATTATACTGTTTGTCATTATACTTGAGTCATCACAAACAGGCAATACACGCTTGCATCGTTATTGCGAAATGTACTTGTGCAATTACGCGTGCATTTTTCATTTGCCTTATAAAAAGAGAATTAAACGTGTACACACCATTCGCTGTCACCTTTCTCGAGGGACAAAAAGATTCTAGAGCAAATAAAATAGCCAACTTTTTAAGTCCAATGGGAGAAAATACTGATACTACAAGCGACACTGCGTCGACATTTTTGGACGAACTCAATTCCCTTCGTTCGATCTTACCATCTGATGATCATCTTCAAATTCAACCATCTGGCGACTTTGAACAAGTTAGAATAAAACTTGATCAAGATATTCAGATCAGTTTCTTCTTCGATTCACTACAAGTTTTCAATCAATCGTTAACAATCAATAATCTACATGATTTACGGATCGGTAAAGCCTCAAATAAATGTCCACTAAATCAAGACCAATGGGCAAATCTTCGAAAATACTTTGATGAAACTCTTCGTCAATCCAACCAAACCACTTCTTTACGATCAATTATTCAACTAGTCCAAGATCAGTTGTTAGAATTGAGAGTAAACAATCAGAAAAACAAGCAGAAGAACAGAAAAAATGAAAATACAACTGCAGTAGCAGAAGACCTTTCGTCATCAAACAAATTTCGAGGAGGTGATTTGATATTCAGTCGTATTCTTCACGATAAATCGATCGACCGATCGCAAGTTGTGATTGGATATGAAGATCGTTTTACTGGCATACATGAAATTGCATTTAACGACTTCAAGAAAGTTCATGATGATCGGGTAAGATAAAAATTTTACTGGTAATATCGTGAACGAATGATATTTACAGTATGGTGTACCAATGCATCGCATTCGACATTTCAAAATTGGTGGCCGTACAGTATGGGACAGAACGAAAAAGCTAGATGTACTAACTGGAAGTGAACAGCAAGAAATAATATTAAATGGTACGGAAAGTAGATTTTCAGTTTTTTATGCGCCAGTCAGTCATACAATGACATAAACGTCACAGAATCGATTGTGTAGACCGATGATTTCATGAATGACGTTTCGAATACTTGACTGCGCACTCTGAAGAAACAGACAACATTGCTTATTTTCACTATATTATTGAATTGTTTGATATATCGTAGATGTGGGCCAAGGTATACCAACAACTCAAGGATTGTATTATTTTGATAACTCTCTCGAACAATGGGTTCATCTTCCACATACATCATTAGCATCAGATGATGTCAAAATCCCCTCCACAAATAACTCGCTTCTCCCGCAACCACTTCACTGCCTCACCTGGAATATTCTTTTCGATTATCACCATCCAGAGTTGATCTTTACTCCACAACGATATCGTGCTATACTTCATACTCTTCAATCATTGTTACCCGATCTGATCTGTCTACAAGAGGTTACCCAACCTTTTCTCAAACTTCTTCTCAACGAAATGTGGCTTCAAAAGAATAACTATTACATTATCATCATGAAAGATATCATCACCAGTGAACAAACCAAAAGCTATGGGCAACTGATGTTGATGAAGAACTTTCAGCCACGTGCACTCTCTATCATACCGCTTGAGTCTTCAAATGAACAAGCAGCAGCAACAACAACAACAAGCACGATGCAAAAATCAACAAAGGAAATTATCGTTGCACGATTCGGGTTAAATACTAAAGTAACCATCGATATTGTCAATCTTCATCTCCACAGCAATCGATCTCGAAATGCAGACGAAAAACGATGTCGAACACTGGAGAGTCTCTTCACTCGGCTAAATACACAAAATTATATGCTAGTAGGAGATTTTAATTTCGGTGATTTTGATTTGAAAGAACAAAATTTACTCGAAAAATACGAGTCTAGTGTTCATGATCTCTGGAAAAAAGTGTACGATCTCGAACAAGTAAGAGACATTCATATTCGCTCTCATTCATTTCATTTCTTGTCTTGTACGAATCTAGAATCCAGGATTCACGTACGATCCATCGAAAAATATGTGTGCAGAAATCATGTCACGTACACAGATCAATCGTCGCTTTGACCGATGTCTTGTTCATACTCTAAATAATCTGTATTATTCAGTTGAACATCTGAACATGATTGGTACGGACACGATTGCAGTCGATGATGACAGCGGAAAACGAGTCAATCTTTCTGATCATTATGCTCTTCAATTGATCATTAATTTTCATACCCGATCCATTAGCCATCGGTCAGCGTTTGTCATGATTCCCAGCACGGAACATTGGCCGATGATTGACAAGTATCGTGCAGAGTACGATCCATCGTTTGATCGCTGGCCAGCACATGTGAATATATTGTGGCCATTTTTTGATTTAAATGGATGTGAAGATGATGAGGAGAATATTCTATTGCCGTTACGAATGACACTGTGTGAATGTGAAGCATTCGACAGTGAAGTAAATGAAATTGCAACATTTGTGGAGAACAACGTATGCTATATGAAGATTACAGAAGACTCGACGAGCAAATTGAAAGCAGTGTATGAACAAGTGAAAGAATTGTTCCCACAATGCTGCACAAATAAACGAAATCCCTATACGCCACATATGACCATAGCGCAATTCGATAGTACAGAAAAACGTCTACAAGCAATGCCGAACCTCAGTAAGTAAATTTCTTATTTGCTAAGAGTGTGCCACGTCTCTCACCGGCTTCATTTGACAACTAGTACTATGCTTGAAAAAAATGCGTTTCGTTCTAGCTCTAGAAAAACCGTTTACCTTTCCTGTTCAACATCTATACGTTCTACAAAGACCACATGACAATGACACAACTCCCTTTCATATCGCCTATCAACTACCTTTGGGTCCTGTTCTTCCACCATTATATTCTCAAAAGCAACAACAGCAACAGCTACATCAATTCTTTCAACAGATGGACCTTTACGAAAGTTCACAATTATACCAACAAAAACAAGATAAATTCAGCAAGTTGCGAACATGTTTTGCTGAAATATTCAACAAAGACACGTTACATTGTTTCACCCATCGTTTCCTTCCGTACGGCAGTTTTCGGATTGTAAGTAAAGCTGAGTTTCAGGAGAAGGGAAGCTGTTTTGAACACACTCTATTCTAATTATAGGGTGTAAAGGGAGAAGATGTTGATACAGTGTTTCTATTACATGAAGTAGAGACGAATGAACAGCGAACAAATTTGGACGGCCAATTATTGAAGCTAAAGAATGATTCAACTGCACTGAATAATTACGTGGTTGAATTATTGGAAACACGAATCAATTCCGAGTTCAAGGACGAAATTTTATGGTGTCGAAAGGTTCAAGCTTTGTATCCTCTCATGTACATTCTATTCTCTGATCAAACTAAAGTGGAAATCTTCGTGCAAATTAAAACAATCAAAACGTCCTCAGACGAATCCAAATTCGAGGATAATTCAAACGCGCAAGATTCTGTACATGGTGTAAGTTGAAAATTACTGTTATACATGTTAATTGAACTACTACTTGATGATTAGTTTTTTCATTGCTTACAATTTTTTTGCTTTGATTTAGATTGACGAAATGGAGCATCTTCTCATTCATGCGCGTTCTCCGCCTATCTTCCAACATCTTCTATCGTTTGTTCGCACCTGGGCGCAACATGTTGGATTATATGGGCAAGTTTATGCCTACCTGGGTGGTTTCTCATGGGCCACTCTTGTTGCACACATTTGCCATTCGTCCCTATCGCCGATCAATTCGCTTTCATCGATCGAAAACTTTTCCATTGATGATTTCTTTAATTTAGTCTACAAATTCTTTTCCACTTATGCACAATTCAACTGGTCAGCACAAGAACTTCGTTTACATTCCAAATCATCTCAACAGCCAACTTCTGCGAATAAACCATCAGTACAGAATCGTGGAGCAATGAGAATCATTTCTCCAAGACCGCCGTACAACAACACAGCTCGTGCTACCATGCACTCAACTCGTGATCTTATTGTGCAGGGTTTTCAACGTGTCTTAAGTCTACTCAATTCAATTAATACTATTACTGTGGAAGATAAATTAAAAGCGCTCTCACACATACTTCAACTGAGCAATGAATTTCCAAATGAAAAAGTCAAGACACTGTTACAACTGACATTGTCCGGTGCGAATACGAATGAACTCGACGAATGGATCGGCTGGGCGAAGTCACGATTAGCTTTTTTTCTCAATGAATGTGAAAGCAAATGTCATTTGACATTTCAAACTCAAAATCGCATCGAATACGGAACGGAAAAGAATCAAGCTATATATTCAATTGGTTTTCCGCTTGATGAAGTTTCACTAGACATTCAACGAAATTTTCACTACTGCCTGAAAAGATTTCTCGAACAATTCGATGCCTATCCAAATCGCAAGGACACAATGACAATATCACACAAGTTGATATCAGCACATGATTGGAAAATGGAACGAATGCAACCGAAACCACCAAGAACAAGAAATAAATAATTTGTAATATGTATTGAGAAATACTAAGATAAAGTTGCTATTCTTTATTCTTCAACATTCTCTTTTCCTTTGAAAATTGTTTCTATATAAAAACACTCGCAAATCCAGCATCGATCTTTTTCGTAGGTACATCTCTGGGAATACTTGAATTCGAGTATGATAAATGGCATGATAGTCTTCAGGGAGACAGATACGGAGATATAATCTAATATAACTATTTCAACGCCTGAGCTCTGTCTGGCAAATATTATTCATAGAGCAATCAATTTCTTTACTTAGTATTCTGTTTATTGTGATAATTATTTCTATTGAATTATCTCCGAGATCAAAGGACATTTATTTTTGCGTAGAGAAAGTACCCATGAATTTCCACAGATCCATATTTGCAGAAAATGTAAGTTCCAGCTCGGTCCTGTATGCTATTTTAAGAATGGCGTTCGATTTTTTTTTCTTCTCATGTGATTGTTAAGAACAAAAACGTCGAAAATGTGTGGCTCGTGTAATTGTAGTGAAGTAAAAATGAGGAGAAAAAGAACAGCGAGTACCTTGAAGTAGCTAGCAACGTGCGTATTGTCAGTTGGATTCAAATCAAGTGCGCGAACAAATGGTGAGTATATCAAATTTTCTGGAATTCAACTCGGAAGAACTGATTTAATTCGTATTTTCGCCAGGCTGAAGAAGAAACACCACGCTTCGATGATAACGAAGAGGATAACGGTGAAGGGTATTCTTCTGAGCAACTCAATGACGCTTTACGTATGTTATTCTTTACTCAAAAGACGTTCGTATGAACTCTTATTTGTAGGCGATATGTATGAGTTATTCTCCCAATTTAAAGACAACGCTAATATCGAAACTATTCATGTCAATCGTTTAATGGAAACGTTACAAGCTTTCGGTCGAAATCCTTCTCAAGCTGATTGCAACAAACGCATTCGTGAACTGGAAGAAGATGGTTCAAAGTTTATCTTTGTTGATTCTCGTCGAAAATTTAGATTTATTTTTTAGGAAAATTTGAGTTAACATTTGAAGATCTCTTGCAATTACTCGATGAATCGTGGACATTGGTCAACAATGATCGCGATGTTCTCCGTCAAGCATTCGCCAAATTCGATCGTACACAACATGGGTTCATTGATATCGAACATTTCCGAACAGTTATGCGAACACTTGGTGAACCGTTAACCGACGATGAGATCGATGGATTAATTCAATTGGGTTTAAATGATGAACATAAACAAATCAATATTGAACGTAGGTTTCGACCAGAATCGTGCGGTTGACATTTCGATTTGTTTTTAGATCTACTTGATCGACTGCTTGGAAGTGAAGAATAATGAAAGATTTGCATTTTATTGTGTACTTTGTTCGGTAACAAAACAAAATGAACAGAAAGAAAACGAATAAAAATATAGATATAACAATATATCTGGCACTGAACGATGCTTAAACATCATGACAGAATGTTTTCGGCTCATTCTTTGAAAAGGTTGTAGTATTAGAAACTGGACAGAGATAATAGAAATCCGATTGAAATTCATCGGTGATTATCGATGAGGTCATGTCATGTTCACTGTGTTCGTCATGAGAATCATCGAGCAGATGAGAAGATGACGATGGTAAANAACCAACAAGGTGGAAATCAACGTGGTGGTCACAATCGACAACAGGAGGGATATGCTCGACGAGCTGGTTTTCAATAAATCAAGCGTTTAGAAGCAAAACCAAGCGCAAGAAAGGAGAACAGAAAAATTCATCCCATTCAATCAACAACTAAATAACAATATAGCAAAAGATGTCTTTGCTTCATTGTTTTTGCTTTGTTTTTCCTATGAAAATTATCATCAAACAAATAAAATGGGATAAATAAAACGAAAACGATCTTCTTTACTAGCTCATCATTTCTCATTCATCGACCGTTCATTTCAGATTCAATATGTATTTAACCACATTCCAGTCAAAACTCGATCCGACTTCTACCGATGGAAATCCATTTCGACTTGGTTCAAGTAAAGTCGATTGGTGTGAACCAAACTATGTCGTTAGCTATCACATAGCCGAATTTTGGAACACAGTAAGTAGTGAACCGAAATGGTCATTACCCATCCCGCATGAATAGCAGGAAACTAACAAAAGGCTTTTTCTTAATTCACTCAAGCAATGTTTTTTTTATAAATATATTTATATTGCAGGCTAACAGACTAAATCATTCGGTTGAAAGGTAACACGACGTCTTGTTTTCCGTTTAATTCTATTTTTGGAATTTGCTCTACATTTACATATATGAATGCATGCTCATTTGTTTCCATTTCTCCTGCTTGCTATTTTAATAATCGAATAGGTCGGTTCGTTTGACGAAGGAGTTGTTTTTCATCTCGAATAGATTGGCATTGAAAGCAAATATCAGTACAAACTTTTTTTTCTTTCGTTAAGATCTCCAACATATTCTTCTTTTTGGTACCACCAGTTATGATCTTTCTCTTTCGACCGTACTCAAAACGAGTAGCAAATGGTATTATGATCTTATGGATTCTGTTGATTATCATCGGTGTCGGTTCAGTTTATTTTCATGCCACCTTGAGTCTCGTATGTTCATCGACGAGAGTTTGAAAGAGAAAAAAAAGAATAATCATTTCCGTCTAGGTTGGACAATTGGTCGATGAAATATCAATCCTTTGGGTACTGACGGCTGGTTATGCATTGTTTCTGCCAAGTATTTATTTACCTCAGTCATTTCGTGTTCAACGGTAAATTCTTTGTTTTGCATATAGTGTTGATTGCAACTTGTTTGTATTTAGACATCGATTTGTGTACACATGTGTGATCTTTGCAGTTATTATTACGTGTTTATCATTTGTTTACCCATATGCCAATGCATTCGCTCTGATGATTCTTGGTCTACCTTCGATTGGCTTTATTATAATACATCTGAAACGGTAAAATAAGTCTCGTAATAAGATTTATGTCAATCAGCGTTCGTTTTAGTTCGGACAATCCGCGCATCAGAAGCCTTGGGCTCCATTGCTTTGGTATGTGGGTAGTTGCAGTTACAATTTGGATCTGTGATCGAATGTTTTGTTCATTTTGGCTCGCCATATCCTTTCCTTATTTGCATGCCATTTGGCACGTTTTAATTCTGTTCAGTAGTAACGAAGCGATCGTTGTTTGCGGCTTCTTGACAATCAAACATCAAAATCCTCAGGCAAATCTGCACTTACATTATTGGCCCAATGAACTATGGAAGTGGTTCACGTTACCTTATTTGAAATTTCACGATGATAGTGATATGAGTGATGATAATATATCGACAAAATCTATTATCTAATGTGCGTTTTCTTTTCATCTATGTATCTCAACGTCCAACAAGTGTCGCTGTGATGTAAGCGTGTATTATAGAAGTTTCTTTTTTCTCACTTTGTTTAGTAGTTCAGTATTTCTTTCTATACGCAAATTTACAATTTTAGTTGTAATTAGTTTTGTGCTCTTTTTCCGACCATTGTTAACAGCCCCATAGTGAATTGTAGACTTGTGAATATTTTGTATATTTAATATTAATAAAAAAAAAAGAAGAAATATACAGGAATATCAATATTATACTGTTCGATAATAAAAATGAAAAATCAGTTCGTAGAAAAATAGCTGATATGTCACATGTATTCACAGTGATGAAGTATAAATTTAAATCGTACATTTATCGCCTCCCCAGCAACCGGAATTGTTGTTTCCGATTACTTTGCCTCTCTCACGTAGATCGACGGATGGCTTTTTCGGCTCTCTTTTATATGTCAATTCGATTTGATTTGTGTGCACAACTAACATTGCTGTAAAATCACGAAAACAACGTTCGATATTTTCATTTGTTTTTGAGCTCGTTTCCAAATACGAGAGTTGTTTGGCTTGAGCAAAAGCTTTGATTGATTCGTAGGAAATCATGCGTCGTGTGTGTAAATCAGATTTGGTGCCAACAAGAAAGATAGGTGTTTGTTCAGGACAGTATCGTTTCACTTCTTCAATCCAGTTGCCCACATTACGAAAACTTTCTAAATCCGTTAAATCAAAGCAGATCATTACACCATTGGCGTTACGATAGAATGATGAAACAACACATTTGAAACGATCTTGACCAGCTGTGTCCCAGACTTGCAGTTTACAGCGTTTTTCATTAACATCGATAGTTTTGATTTGAAAATCTACAAAAACAAACATCAAAAGAGATAAGTTACCCAAACATATGTGAAATATTTACCAACACCAATTGTGGCGACATATTCCGTCGAGAAATAATCTTGAGCAAAACGTTGTAAAATCGTAGTTTTTCTACAAGAACGAATAGTCATATTTAAGTATTACTACAACAATTTCAACGCATACCCGACACCACTGTCGCCAATGATTAGGATTTTAAATAGATAATCGAATTCTACTTCGGTAGTGTAATTATATGACATGGTTGAAATCAGTGAATTAAAAGTGATGCTTTCGATTATTACAACATTTGGTTATATAGGTTCAGTCGGAAAGCCACGTTCTATACATTGTCGACGTGGACAAATAAGCAATATGTGAGTCAACATGTTGAGTCATGCAAGTATTCTTTCGTCATTTTTCTGCCTTATAATGCTAAAACTTAGTCATCAACTAAACCTTTGCGCATTAGTTTGTCAATCTGATGACATCAAATAGTGTGTGAAGTAAAGCATATTCTTCGTACACTGTTTTTAAAAAAAACATCTGTTTTATTAGACGAACAAAAGGAAAAGATTAGTCATATACATGGAAAAAACTCATCTTATTTACATTATGTGTAGTAAAATGTCTTCTTTACATTGATTCCATATTCATCAAGAACATGCGTTAGATCGTGTAGAGTTAATGTTTGATTCGTTGTCACAACTGGTTTTTTGTTACCAGCTGCATTTGTCGATTGTTCAACAGTTGCCGCAGCTGCCTCAACAGTAGATGGTTGAGCATTAGCCATACTCGTCGTAGCTGCTGTACTTGTCTCTGCTGCAGTTGGTCGATTACTGGATTTTTGACGCAATTTACTTAATTGATGACAATCATTAATAATGTCTATAAATAGGAGCATACTGAAACATGTCATCGTTTTCTTTGCTGTGTTATACCTGACATAAACTTTTGCACGGAAACTGAAAGTAATTTCACAACACGATCATCGTCGGTTTCTAGTCCACACTGTCTCATGTAAAACTTTGTTACGTTTTCAGGGATCGCTGGCGTGAATTCGTCTAAAGTGGTTGTAAATTTATTTACTTCATCTTCGTCCATTAATGTCTCATCGTTATTTGCCGATAACGAATGGTCAAGACTTTCAGACATGGTATCTGAAAAACAGAGTTTATCAACGTTTTCTCTAGGGAAATATCATATCCAAAAGGAGGAAAAGATGGACAAGACAAAAACTTTGCTATGAGCTAAACGCCAGGCGTGAAAATCATTTCTCATTCATGACTGTTTTAAAGCACCAGACAATGATCAGCAAGAAAATAGAGATGATACCATTGAACACCGTGATAGACAAGGCCTGAAATCATTGATACTGAGTGAAATAAATTGAATTTATTGTTAATGGCACGATATTTTGGATCGTTGCGAACTAATCGATCGATATCATCACTGGTCTGGAAGATTATTCAATTTTTGAGTGTTACTTCGATAGACAGTGTCTTTCTTACTTTAGCTGCTTGTAAAAATTCGATGTTATTTCGGTCTAACATCAAATTCGTTACCAATGGATTGAGAACAAGACTATTGACTTCAGCTGCTACTAATGCAGCAATCAATGCGGCACCCTATACAAAGCAAACATTCTTGAAAACAGATCACTTTTTTCTTTTGCTATACCAATTGAGTTGCTTCTTTGGACCAGGCTGAGAATGGATGACGAAGTAAGAACGTTCCTAAACTTAAACTAGCTAACACAGCTGACGACGAGAAATATACTGTTGATAAATGAGATTGTACTGTGGCGAATTCATGACGTGTCAACATACGCTGAACAGCACGACCTAGCAAGAAACGAAATTTAATAAAATAACGAAAAGACAAATGAAATCTTGACCATGTACGGCAGTGATCCAGAAACTGATACCGAATCCACCGGCAACACCGAGTAAATGTAAAAAGGATACGCTGGGCGATGAAGGTGTTGGCTTTCCTTGAGAAAAAGCATATCCAACGTAACCTAAAGCACCGAGCGATGCAAGAAATGATGGAGCCAAATACCTGAATAAGCAACAATTATGAATATCTATCACAGCATAGCTTCGGATTAGAGACGAACCAGGCTTGTGGCCATGTTTTCTTATAGATATCATGAATTGTATCTTCGACTTTACTGATTTGGGCACCCATTATCTGAACAGTTAATTTTTCTTAGTGCGATAAAGTTCAAATACTGAAAAAAAAGTAAAAAAGATGATGAAATAAACATTGACTCAGTAAAATGGGTCATGTTATCTACGAAAAAATCTGTTTTTAAGCATCTTCATTAGATTTTAGAGAAAGACGGCATCTACTTTTAAAAGCTATTTCCTATTCCAGAGTACTCCTGGTAAGAAAAGTGAATCCTCTCTGTATGGCGCATCCATAGTTTACGGGTATGTCCATCGAGAAAGAAAGTCATTGGCTGGTCGAGATTCGGACCAATAGAAAATGACCTCCTTAGAATGAATTATTCAGTAAGATCAGATGTGACCTAGATCTTAATTGAAAATTGGACATTCTCTGTCTCCAAACGATGAGTAAGACAATTGCGAAAACTGTTAGGAACCAATCGATTAGAATGCATGTGTTGTATCAATTTCTCGACAAACTGAACGGAATATATAGGCGATCATTAGCTGAAGGTCTGTTTTTCCATCTACAATCACAGAATAAATTCAACATGTTCTTGTCCTTCGTTTTTCTATCATCAGATGAATATGGTTATTTAACCAAGCACGAAAACAATTCAATACGTCAGACTGTTTCAACTGCAGCAGTTGAACTAGAAAAATGTTACAAATAATATTGTGTTCATTACGTCAATGCGTCTGTCTCTATTTTGTCACGCTTATTTACTATTCGATCAGATAATCGATCGTCCAGCACTTGATCGAGCTGGAAAATGGCATGACTTCTCAAGCAAAGATCAGCAAAACATTGATTATCACTGTGAATGAACAATAGAATATTCATTACGACATTACAAGTCAAATTATGAGAAGTTTTCTATTCACTTGTTCGAATCTAGTCAGATGTGGATATAAATCGAAAGATATTAATACAATATATGAAAAATCATGTTGAACCATCGATTTCAGAAGATAAACAGGATGTTCTATTGGTTAGCATACGGATCAATGTCGTATGCTAATTCTTAGATTATTCCGAAAGTAAACAGATTTTTGTACATCACAATAATAAAATCATGATAAAAATTTGAATCAATGATGAAACATAAAGGAGATTCTTAATCAAGCGAACGAGAAAAGAAAGGATAAACACTATCTGATCTTATTAACAACGAATGACGTTTTGTTGTCATAGCCTTCTACCTTCTTCGTCGTAAAATTCTAGATAGACTAGTGATCTACTCCGAATACGACTTGCCCGTAGATCATGTGAAACGGATGTTCGACAAGATGCATAACTACATTCTTTGTCGTTTTTCTTTCGATTGAGTTTCTTTCTGTTATCTTTGAATCAATCGTATTCTTCTTTCTGTTAACGTCGATAGTCCATATATGTCGCCATCCAGGGATCAGCGTTTTATCAATAACATATTCGCACGTTAGAATGTATATTTATTCTTTCTTTTCTTCGAACGCGTGATCTGAAACGTAAAATATTACGCATTCTACTACTTCGAAAGGAGCTGAGGATTTGTTACATCTGTTTTTTTCTTGTCCGATCAATGATAAGCGAACGTCGAATCTTGTTCGTGTTTTTGTAGAATATGTCTCGTCAGAATTCGTTGGCATCGCCCATGAAGTATATCCTAGTAACCGGTGGAGTTATTAGTGGTATTGGTAAAGGAATTATCTCATCAAGTATCGGCACTATTCTTCGTTCACATGGATTTCGCGTGACATCGATAAAAGTACTTGAAACATCGTCGTTTCCTGTTTCACAATTATACTTCGTTTTAGATCGATCCATATATTAACATTGATGCCGGTACATTTTCACCGTATGAGCACGGTGAAGTATTTGTACTTGATGATGGCGGGTACGTTGGTTTTTTGTTAAAACGACTGAGAATGATCGGACTGAAATTGACGTCAATAGAAATATAAACAAGATTTGCAGTTGTTCTGATTCTTGTCTATTGTAGGGCGCTATTGAAAACAGAGATAAGTTATTTGTGATTTACTATATTAAGCTTTGAATAATGCTTAGATGTTTTTCTAATGATTTCCTTAAAATTAAAAGTCATTGTTTTCGACAAGAATAAAACCTTTGTTAAGATAATTGAGAGGCAATCGTCGTTTGTTGATCTTTAGTGAAGTGGATTTGGATTTGGGAAATTACGAAAGATTTCTTGACGTGACATTACATCGCGATAATAATATAACAACTGGTAAAATTTATCAATATGTAATTGATAAAGAACGTCGAGGTGATTATTTGGGGAAAACGGTTCAAGGTTAATAAAAATCTTTCAATTGATTCTGACTAATTCTCTCGGATTCACTTTCATACAGTTGTACCACATATTACTGATGCTATTCAAGAATGGGTAGAACGTGTCGCACGAATATCGGTTGATGAAGATAAAGCTGAACCTGATATATGTATCATTGAAGTAAAACTGAAGATACAAACGATATTTTCGATGAAGATTTTCATTGATTTAGCTTGGTGGAACCATCGGTGATATTGAAAGCATGTCATTTGTAGAAGCATTTCGTCAATTTCAATTTCGTGTAAAGAAAGAAAATTTCTGTTTGGTTCATGTTAGTCTCGTACCACAAGTAAGTCTTATTTATGATTTACGATGAAAACAAATGTTTCGTCTGATTATCCCAGCCAAATTCTACTAAAGAACATAAAACTAAACCAACACAACATAGTGTGAAAGAACTTCGTGGTTATGGTCTCACACCGGATCTTGTATGTGAAATTCTTCTAAAAAATAACGTGCATTTATTTCTCTTCGTGCAGATCATCTGTCGATGTGCAACACCAATGGCCCTAACCGATAAAGAAAAGATTTCCATGTTTTGTCAAGTTGATAAAGATCACGTAAAAACGCGAATCTATGAAGCAAAATAGGATGAATATACACTGTCTGTTTCTTGTCAAGGTCATCTGTGTACCTGATGTGAAAACACTCTATCGTGTTCCACTCTTATTAGAAGAAAATGGTGTATTCAATTTTCTGTCCGCACGTTTACATTTAACACCCAAATCAAACTACGATCGATCGCTAATGATCAAATGGAGAGATTTGACTGAACGGTAAGTTTTATATTAATCAATAAAAATATCCGAAAAAAAACATATATGTATATAATAATGAGACGTGCCGATGATTAAACTAGCCCGATGAATTAGTATTATTAATAGCCGATGTTAAATTTGTACTAGTATCGAGACCAGCAGTGCCAATTCCAAGACCTAATCCCAAGGCCATACCAATCAGAATTCCAGCTGCAATTATACCAGCGACGATCATAAATGGCGAAACAACACCAGTCCTATTCTTCGCTGGTAGAGCTACACCATATCCGTATGAATAATATTGATCATAACCAGAACTCATATCAGCAGTTGGCTTCAATAACGTGTCGATGTGACTATCAGGCCGAAGAAAAACAAGACTGTGCACATAGAAAATAACCTTTGATTATGAGCTATTACTATACTAGACAGATAGAGTAATCGTCTACGTTACATTAACCTATCAAGCGTAACTACAAATTTATTTCTATGAAAACGAGCAAAATAGTTTTCGACCTTGATAGCTTTTTTTCTATCAGGCTGTTCATTATCTACAAGAAACTACATTCTTCTTTTTATCGTCTTAGTATTGAACGACAACTTGATGAAGTCATTATCGCTCTTGTTGGTAAATATACGGCGTTGGAAGATGCATACGCATCCGTTCTCAAAGCTCTCAATCACGCTGCATTATTTTGTAATCGAAAATTGAAAGTCTTGGTAAGACTTGGCGTGCTTGTTTATTTCAATCATTCTTACATGCAAATGTAGTTCATCCACGCGACCGACCTGGAAGCTAATACGCAAAAGGATGATCCAGTTAAATATCACGAAGCATGGCAACAATTATGCAGTGCTCAGTAAGAAATTATTTCTTGTCCATGACTAAAATATGGCTTTTACGTGTTAGTGGTGTACTCGTTCCAGGTGGATTTGGCTCACGTGGTATTGAAGGTAAAATCGCTGCTATTGAATGGGCACGTACACAAGGCAAACCTTTCCTTGGTATTTGTCTTGGACTGCAATGCGCTGTAATTGAGTTTGCCAGACACGTTCTGCAGCACAAGAATGCCAATTCGTCAGAATTTGATAAATGTGAACATCAAGTGGTACGGTTTGTGATAAGTTGTATTCTTTTGAATTCTGTTTTTTTAATTGTTAAGGTTATCGAAATGCCTGAGCATAATCCAGGAGTGATGGGAGGTAGATATCTTTCTCTTTCTTTTCTTCGTTCTTGACAAGTTTGTCTCGGTTTTGATTCTAGGTACAATGAGATTAGGTCGACGAACAACTCATTTTGTAAATGATGATAGTATCCTTAGTAAGTACTTAACTGCTTAAGACTTTTTGTTCTATTTCTATTCTGTAGAAAAACTGTATGGAAATGTGAATTCTATTGATGAACGTCATCGTCATCGTTATGAAGTTAATCCAACTTATATCGAAGCTTTTGAAAGTGCTGGAATGAAATTTGTGGGACGAAGTGATGACAACGAACGTATGGAAATTCTTGAATTAGAAAGTAAGGAATCCTTAGAAGAAGAAGACTTAATATTTGAATTTTTTTTATTGAAAAAGATCATCCGTATTTTGTCGCTTGTCAATACCATCCAGAATACATCTCACGCCCGTTAAAACCATCTGCTCCTTATTTAGGACTCATATGGGTAAGTTCAAGAGAAGCATCGAATCAATCTAATGATTTTCTTCGTGATCTATAGGCTGCTTGTGGCGAGCTGAAAACTGTCTTATCGCATGTGAGCAAAGATGAACTGTCCAATGAATTACCGAGAAAAGCATCTGGCCCTTTTTCACATGTGAATCTCTTTCGTCACACATAATCGGCAAGATGATCTATAACAATGTTAACACATCTTTTTGAATGTTCAAGAAAATAAAAAAATCACTTTTCCTCCGGCGGAAATCGATGTTCATCGTTGCAAAGAGAGCGAACAGTTGTCGGCATGGCGATATGTATATTTGCGCCCTGTAACCTTATGATTAATCGTCGAGATTTTGAAATTCTTTGAGTTATGTTTGATGTTTGAGTAAAGCCTATATTACAATGAATACTTAAAAAGAAAAGAAAGAAAAACATTTAAAAAAAAAAGCAATGACCTTCTTCGGCTTTTTTTTTCATTTGAATGAAGTGCTTGAATTTCATTGCTAAAAGAAATTAAGTTTTTGATTCGAGACGTGGACAAATACACGATTTCTCTTATCGCGAGTTTACTTTAGCTCAGATTAAACCGCTTGCTTGATGAAAACTGATCTATTAGCTAAATTTAGAATATTATAAGTAATTGTTGTTCGTTTTATTATTCTTATAATTCGTTTTGAAATTGGAAGATAGAACACACACTCGTACAAACACACTTCGATAGTTTACGGTTCACTCGTAAAAAAGGAGGAAAATAAGTGTCAAATATCTTTAGACATAGATCATTTATTTGGCACGTTTCGCTGGAACACCACGATGATTAAGTTCGTGTTCTATTTGCATAGCAGCACATGGGCCGGTACAGCAAGATGTTACTAAGCAATCTTTAATCATAGTTCCCTATAAACGAAAGACAAAAGAAAGACGTTTCGAGTTAGCTGTCCAATCTAATCTAAGAGTAAAATTACTTCAATTTTGTAAACCGTTCGGACTTTGGTTCGTAATGCCAATAACGAACCTGGAACGATGCAGCATGTGATGAAGTGTTCACCTAAACGATCAGCTAATTGTCCGACAAAGCATTGACCACAGATACAAGCGTAGGCCGCTAAAAGAAGTGAACTTTAGATAAATTGATCTGATTTTCCCAAGTTTACATACATCGTGGGCATGGTTTGAACGAACCAAATAGAGTCTCTTTCCATTGGTTATTGTATGGAAAAAATTCGGCTGTGCTACCGCCACCTGGTTGTTTGGAAACTGGATTGCTACATGGACATATAGATGGTCAAGTGTGGAAGAAAGGATAATTCATTACAATACCTCATGATTATTGATGTCGGTGAATCGAACGGCTTTGCGAATGTACTGTGAGGTGTGTATGCGTTAGTCTTTTATAAACTGCAGTTGAAGACGTTGCGCTTTGTCTACAAACAAATGTCGTTGTGGAGACGTACACAAATCGTTTGGTTACTTCTCTCAGAGATGTAGGTTGAAGAGAACAGAGAGAGGGAGAAAGAGAAAATGGAAAAAAAAACTGTCGTAAATGAAGTTTTTATTTTATCGATGCCATACTGTTTTCTTCTTTGATTCGATGTTCAAATATAACAAAAAGAGAGAAATATCGCTATGACAATTATTGATTGAAAATAAAAAAGTCACAGAACGGCAAAATAGAGATGAAAGAAGATGAAAATTTCATTGACAACCAAACTGTGAAAGCTATACTTAGAAACATCGTGAGGGGAAAAAAGAGAAGTTCATTTATTCACTGCAGTGAGCGAAATGATCAATTCGAACTTGTTTACCCTTCTTCGTCTTGGCAACTTCCCAAAGGCCTTGAGATTCAAGTTCATTTGCCATTTGAGTTGCTGTACACGGCATACAATAGTGTGACGCACAATAGTCTTCACAACACGAACCCTGACAAACGAAAGAAAGAAGACTTGACACATTTTTCTCCTCTCTTCGCTGTATTAACAAACTTCAATACGCCGTGCGGTTCGCAGTTTTGTTCGGAGATAAGGTAATGAACATGGCATACAACCGATAAGCGTTTTTTCTCCACTATTTTTCGCTAATTTGCTTCCCATACAACATGAACAAAAGCAGGCATAACAAACTGAATTGAAGAAAAATAACTCGAGTGAACCACGAGACAGAGAGAGAGAGATTAGGCTTACAACGGCCAGTCGGCGAGCACGATAAGAGTTTCGTACGCCATTCTTTCTCGAAATTCCAAACATTATGAGGATCATATTGATGTTTATAGACTGTTGGATGAATATGTTGTGTGAGACTAAACAAGGATAAAAGATAACGCGAAAGTTGACGTTTTAAAAACAGCTCACATGGCACGACTCATTTGTTTTGTATCCCTCTTATGGACAACTTCAATCGAACACAAATATTGATGTTGTTCTAGCTCAATACACTTGCTATTTTTTATATACGATTATAAATAAGACCAGAAGAAACTGATGAAGATTATTTATCGATGCGTGTTTCGATAGAATTCAATTGTTTTAATATTAATGAATTCACTGCTTGTACTTCTCTTTTTCTCTCTCTTTTTCCGTTTCTCACACAGTACAATTGATTGGCAATGATTTACATTTTTATTTCATTTACTTTCAAAGACATAGAAAAACAACAAAAGAATGTATGGGTTGGACTTCTCAGGTTTTCAGCAGAGAAGTTTATTAAAAAAAACCGGACTCGAATAATCTCTTCTGCTTTGAGAAATGTTCTGCACGAACAAGAAAATGTCTTCCCGAGGGCTTTCAATCGTTTCTCACTCGATGTTTGCATGTTTTACTGTAGCTTAGGAGTTTTAGGTCACAACAAAAACCTGGCATTTCTCTTAACTACTAACTAGAATTTAACAAGTGTTGTTCAAACAATGATGTCGGTGCAGACGTCAAATACACGGCGTGAAGAAGTGCACAGAAGAAGAAGAATCGATCGAGAGGTTTTTTCTTCTCTTCTTTCATTCAAAACGCAATCATGTGTCGATTTACGTCGATTAAAAATAACAGAAAAACAGATTTTGCACTGACGTAGGAAGAATATGTTTATTTGTTATATGTCGAATTTGATTACTATGCATAAGAAATCTTTGCGAAGAATGTGTCACTGGTTATAAATACGTCCGAGAAGTTTTCTCCAAGCAAGTCGAGCGCTGATCTAGTTTTCGAAGGTGGATGCCAGGAATAAGGTAAATTAGAATTCGATGTATTTATTTAAAAAAAACTCAAAGCAAACAAACAACATATAATTAAAAAACACATGTAGGTTTTATACAAATAAAATTGGGGAGAGAAAACGAGAAGCTACACAAAAATACCATCATCACGCCGACGTTCTACATGTTGGTCATGATTGTTCAAAATAAACTTTTTCGTATCTTTAACATTCTCTCGATGAAAGTTATTCAGGGAATTCATGTGATTGATGTGTTGATCGGCTTTAGAGTTAGTCAATATCGTATTTTCGACGATCAAATGACTGCTCTGGTCAAGTTTAGGACAAGGAGATTGATGACGAGCTTTGTCTCGACATTGTTCAGGCGAATAATGGTTACGCTGGGTTGATTTACTTATTTGTTTATCAAGAAAATACAATGATTCGGGTGTTGAAGATAATTCAAAGTGATTCATTTTTGTTGCTGCTTGAAAACTCGAACGACGTTGCATCGTTGATGGAACAGAACTAAGGTCATTCGATTGAATATGAGAAGAATCTATTGACGAAACCATCGAACGGTTACGATTGTTCGGCAACGTTTTAGTCATACGTTCAGATGGATCAAGTGTTGGATTAATTGCATGGTCAAGATCAGTTTCTTTGAATGTATGTCGTCGATTAGACGGATTATCATCGTCTGCTGAATAGACACTTCTAAACTGTTGAGTACTGTTTCGATACAACGATGAAGATTCGTACGACAATAGATGATCTTTCGATCGATAGGGACGAACAGGATACGTTGCTCCATTTCCGTTGTGCTTCACATGTACTAAGAAGAGAACGTTGTTCTAGAAATCAAATTCGAGTATTCATTTTACTTAAGGACATCTTGCCATTTGAATTGTGATTTTGATATGTCATACCTGAAAGCAAAACAGTAATGTCATACAGTGCACATCTTGAAATGCACTTACTTTCGATATGTCCATTTGTCTTTCGTTTGTTCTGTGATTTTTGCCGCATTTTATGGTATGAACAACAGATTAAAATTAGGGAGCCTAGACATGCGCTAAGGATAAGCAAAACCATATATGGCCAATAAAAACGCGTTTTTTCTGCAAATGTTCGAACTATAAATAAAGAAACATTCTGTTTATTATCTCATCAATGAACACAAATCTACCTTTGGGTTTTCCAACTTTAATGGAATAACTTCGATCGAAATTATCTCCGTATTTATTTTTTGTAAACACCAGAAAATCATGATGATACTCAGGCCGAAGATCAGGCAGGATAAATGCACAATTACCTAAGATATCAATCAAATCATATTTTCCGATTTTGTTTCTTCAAATTCAACCAACCTTTCAAACGTGCATGTTCCGAATAGGAACCATTCGATTGTCGTTTATACATATAACAAAAGAAATCTTCATCACCTTGATGATAACCCGCTACGCAATTGACGGTCAGTGTTGAATTAATATACGTATAATGGCACGATTGAATTGGATCGGGTATAGCTAGAACAAACAGATCCAATTCATCCACATCAGAATGAATTTGACTTACCTCCTAAGATCATATTAACATGACATTCACCAAATAAACCTAATTCGTTTTGTGCTCGACAAATCACTTGTCCAAAATCAGTTGTATGTGCAGGAAGATATGTAATATAACTTGATGATGTATTCAGATAAGAACCTAGATAAATATTACCATTCGGTAAATGCCAAGTAAAATTGACTTTAGTCGGATTTCCATTCGACATATGACATGTTAAATTGATTGCTCGATTGATACCCGTGTGCAGTTGTGGTGGAGAGGAATTCTTCTGCGAACATATTGGACTGTCTAGAAGAGAGAAAACATATTACTATTATTATTAATATCTAACCGTGCGAAGTTCCTCTGTTTGTTCTTTCATTATCAAAGACGTCTCTTTGTTGACATACGAACACATGCATAAATGATAACTGTTAGACAATTATACATGTGTAATAATATTAGCAAACAGCGCTGGCTTCATTATTAACTATTTAAAGACTTATATCGAAAAGAAAAACAAGATAGAAACTATTCAGTCGAGTGACTATACACTTACATTGAATTTCTATACAACTGACATTGTTTCAGCTACTTAACCTTCTGTAGACGTATATATGCTATGGTTAAATGTCAGTAATCAAGCAGAGAAACAATACGAGACACAATAATTCGTTGTTTGCCCTTTTCTGTTCTTCGTTCTATTATTTCCAAAATAAAGAAAGTAGAATTTATCTCATAAAATCCAAATAGCCTACTTAGGTAAATAGAGTTTTTTTCTGATGAAAAAAGAGACTTAATTAGAAAAATGAAACTATTTCATCCGATGAGAAGAGTAACAACGATTTCGATGTTCAAGAATAAAGGTCATCGAAGATTCTATTACGTTTTCTTTTCTCTTCTCTCTCGCCTTCATCTCTAATAATGATGAGAAGAACATATCATATAACTGTTCTCTTTTTCCGCATTGTAATAGATATAGTTCAAAGATGGTACTGTACAATTGCACATAGACTAGCTAATAACCTAAATCGTAGTCGATATCAAAGAATAAGACAAGAGAAAGACGGCTCATCGAGACTGTTGTTGATTAATAACATGTCAATTTTAATTGGTCGCAAAATTGGTCACGATAAGTGAAGGGAACTTTCTCTCTCTAGCATCTGCTACCTATGATTTGCTGACTTTTACATCATATTTGAACTCATACTGTTCATCATTACTAAATCATAGTTTAGAGGAAAACATAGCAATAGTCTATTTAATACTCTCAGAAGAAAGCAGATTCTCGCCCTCGAGTTATGTTTCCTTTTTGTCTCGTGTACATACACTTCTATTCCATGTGGAAATGTCTCAGAAGCAATCAAGCGCAAAATGAATGGCGATATAAAGGAGGGAAGAAGAAAAAAAGTGGAGAAGAGTGTTGCCTAAATTGAATGAGACAAGGAATCGGTCAATAGTCTGACAAGTAAAATACAATTAAAAAAGCAAACTAGAGACGGTACAATATGTAAATTAAAAATGACGAGTTACTCCTGATTCTCATGCCTACTTACAAGCAACATCGAGTTGTAATGTATTGGAGAGAATTCGTAATTGCGGAGCATGCTGTTCGGATTTGATACTCGGTGTTTGAACTGCTTGACAATGAAGAGTACGCTTGTGTAGAGGACGCTTGATTCGGAGAATTAGAACAAGAATTGTTCGATAGGTTTTATCGTTATTTTCGATCGTCGAATTCCTTTCGACACGATAATCAATATCGAATGGAAAATGAAGAGTTGCAGCTGGTAAAGCGCGTGCGACAACACATGTAAAACGTATCAATTGATTTTCACGGACATGGATGTGACCGTTATTTAGTTTTAATGATTGTTGTATCAAACTAAGACTTGTTGTGTTTGATGGAAGATCTTTGGATGAATCTTGATTTGTAATTAATTGTGCACCAAGTTCCACAGTTAGAGGGCGAACTAGAAGAGAGAGAGAAAAACGAAGACCGATTATTGAACATCCGAGTTGCGAATGAACAAAGAACGAGAAATGTATTAGTAGTACCATTTTTATATGGATGTGTACGTTTTTCTTTTGGCTATAATAACATAGGCAATGAATAAGAGAGTATGAGAAACAATTTAATGAACGGAAATATAGAATTATGATCCGTATGAAAAAAAAGAAGGGACGAGAAAAGAATAATAGACTAAGTATGAGTAGTGGAAACGATAGATGCTATTCATGGACTAGGACAATAACCGATACATTAAATAAAATAAAAAAGAATGGAAATGAACAGATCGATAGAAAAAGAATTGTGATGGTGACTGATTTGATATGTTCAGAAGGAATTCTACACTTGCTAGAGCTAAAGAATGTTAGAAAAGGGAATTCATCTTTGCCGATCTCAAGAGACAAATGTGCTAATCTTTTGTTTAGATATGCAATGTTGTCAAACTGAATTTCAACAATGATTTTGCATTGATTCTCCGAGTGTGCAATGAAGCGTAAAAGGACAAACGAAGAATACAATCTTGTTGAATGAACTAAATAGGGTTTTATTATTTGAACACTTGATGTAATCGTACTTCTGTATCTCTCCTTTTCCTTCTGTGTTGACGCCCTATCGATCATTTAGAGCATTATATGTATAGCTATACAGAAGAAAGGATCAGAAATGATTTTGAGAAAAAATATCTAACACGCATTCCTCTCATTCTATCAACATTAGATGAATATAGATTAGTCAAGTTGCCTAATAGTTACTGTATGTCTGAAGATGGATATAATATCAATCGTTCAAACTATAAATTATGGATATCAAATGGCACAATAGAGAAAAAGGAGAAATGATGAAAGTTGTGAGAATAGCAGAGTAATCGAACTATCATTTACTTGTCGAATACTGCTGAAAAGACAACTATTGTAGAGTGCGCTAGTTCTCATCGACATCTTGCAAGTGTCAACTTGATCTTGAAAATTCAATATAATATACAAAATCAAGGCTCGCTTGTTCAACCAAACAAACATCTTCGTTGACTTTCTTGACAGGAGTAATTATATTAGACATAAAAGCACTTTTTTGTGTCTGACATTTTGATCGAAAAAGCAACAAATTCATCTATCCGGACGTCAAACGAACTAATTCATTTGATTACAAACCATTCGAGAAATAAATAACAAAAAAAAGAACATAGCGGATATACTTCACACAGAAAAGAAATTATCGTCAAACTTAATCAAGGATCTTCTTTTTTGAGATGGTAATCGAATTCTGTTCCTACCTATAACTGTTAAATTAAATTGTTGAATTGCTCCGAGCGTTTCACACTCATAGACGCCCGAATCATTCGATTGAACTTGACGAATATGTAAAATTTGACTTTGGACGTTCTTCTTGTCCTGTTCCACTGCCATCCTCGAACGAAATCTAGGTAGAACCATGCCATATCTTGTTGCTAATAAATACGGTCTTTTCCACCAGGCCACATCAATTAAATCACATAAGAAATTAACATCTTCATTTTCTGAACGCGATAAGTATTCCAAACGACTATTATCTTCATTATTACTATTAACCATATTTATTTTACAAGAAAATAAAATAAACAATAAAGTCAAGAACTGATTCCAATCAATTGTATACATGTGACGACAATGATATCGACATAGTCGTCAATCGAGTTAAAGAAATAATTATCTAGAAATAGAAAAAAATGCGAAGGATCGAGATTTTTTCAAGCAAAGGTCATAAATAGAAGAGTTCAGATGTCATATGGTTTATTATTTAGCGAATGATGATGTCATCTTACATATGTGTATATATAAGATTGAATGACAATTGAAAGTTAATATAACTTTTTCTTTCGATAATAATCGAGAATTTTATTTGACAAACCTGTACACTTAACTTTGATATGAATAGAAATCGACTCAATAGAGTTGATTATGTCTGTTAGTTTTGCATTATAATGTGTATCTTATGTCACATTAAGATAAAGTATATGTACAGAAGGAGTTGGTTAGTAAATAAACGTGTCCGAGTGAAACACAAGAAAATACAGACACTTTGTATATTAACAGCATGAGATGATAATGGTCAGACAGAGAGGGAAGAAAAGGAAGAGTCAATACATGTAAACTATCAGTCATTGCTCTCTTCGTAGTGTTACTAATCATAACATGCGCTGTAAGTTAAGACTGTGGTTTGATTGTCAAACAAAAATAATAATCACCTCTGACGCGTGAAACAATTTTTATCGTCTGTACAGTCCTCCTCGATGTACTTCAATCGATTAATCGAATGACTTCCTAATTCCCTTTGGTGTGCTGTCTTTTCGCCTCTTGCGGCTATAAACGTACCATTGTTGTCAAATTTTATTATCGAATGATGCAGTCTTCGCTATATTGCTGTTTTTCTTCTCTCTGCTCTCCATTTTTCGGTCTCTTGTATAAACAGCTCTCTCTCACACACACACACTATCCTTCTTATCATCAAGTAACTGATGATGTCTGTTCAGGATCATCGACAGTATTCTAATCATCAATGTGTCAGATTGAGCGCAGAAATCTATCGAAAGGTGACTAACAATAATAAATCGACACAAGAAGATAGAAGCCATAATGTTAATCCTTCTTTACTCTACTCATTTGTTTGTTCGTTTATCCGCTGATAACAATAGTCAGATAAATCATTACTAGACTTGTAAGCAAGAAAACAATTATCGTTCGCCCACACTTGCACTTAACAGTTGATAGGATTCGTTTCGTTTACCTTCGGAAAAAAAGGAAGAAAATACAAAACAATTACATCAAACTACATACCAGACGATTGAAGTACAAATAGTTCGATCGATATGAATACTCCTGAGATTTTCTTTCTTTTGCTTCCTTCTTTTTGTTCTCCCCTTTTATTCTCTCTTCCTCTTTTGCTCTCTCTCTCTCCTAAGGGAATAAATCATTGAGAGACAATAGCCGATGATCTGAATGAGCACGTTCACTGCAACTAGTCATTGGTTAAGGATAAAGTAAAATATAGAAAGAAGAGAAAAGCAAATAAGCAATAGAATAAATGAGGTCATCTTCAGACAGGTGCTTGACAAGCAGACAAAAGAGAACGCGAAAAAAGATTTTTCCGGGAAATAGTTAATCGATTTACCTCGTAAATGATCAGTTCTCTGTCTTTGTTCTGATCTCTACACACACATACACACACGCAGACAAATTCAATTTTTTATCCATACATACTTGACGTGAAAATTTAACGTTAAGTGTCCACTTTTTTCAGTTCATTTCCTACGCCGATCGATTCTTTCTCTTTACTAATTGCTCAATCAGCTAATCGGAAACCTGTTATCTAGATGAAACAGAAAACGACTCATACATATGTTTCATTTTGTCCTATATGTTTCACTATATTCAAGATGTTTGAATTAACTTACTAATTGTGTAGATGCATGTTAGCTTAATAAACGATTATTTCTTTTCTTTTTTCATTGTTTTGGCTAACAAGTACCTATTCATTGTTGATTTTCGTTGAACAAACAAGTCGTTAAGAGTCGCGTGCTTGTTAATAATGACAAATGACATGCGAAAAATAAACACGTCCGTCTGTCTGTCTGTCTTTCCAGCATCGTTGAAATGAACAATTAAACGAGGGCTTAGCAGCTTTGCTTAGTTGGTCATTGTCGTAAGAGTATCCTACAGGTTGAAATATCGTACGTCGTTGAACAATCAATTATAATATTCAAAGAGAAAACGATGCACCAGACCATAGTCATGTTAACCTTGACATAGAATGCTTCACTCACTTGTCTTCATCTCATCATCATCATGATTATTTGTTAGATGAATTTGTTCGAGCGTCGCACAGGTTCTCAGAAAGAGAGAGAGAGGAACAGGCAGAGAAGAAAAATGCTTTGATTATATTATTACTTCCTTTCATTCTTTTTCGTCGTGTTCTTTTCTTTGACAATTGAGATCTATTGCATATCTGAATCACATCATAGACACATACACACCTAACATTCTTCGTTTGGTTTCCGATTAAAAATTAACCCTATGTGTTCTTCGTGCTCGTTCATCTACGCATATTGTGCATACTAGAGCATATAGAGTTAATTATACAGACAGTTTTTTCCCATCATCATCACCATCGTCGTTGTCATAGAAGTGAAAGTACAGAGAAAGAAAAAATGATTACATTTATAATGAAAAGGAAAAAATCCGACTGATGAATTTGTCATAAAACTAATGAAGAATATACAATCAATCAAAATGAATTAGCTGATTGTAACAAGGTTACTAGAGGATATATGCAATGAATAGATGAGCAAATTTAACTTAAAGATCAATTATTCTCGCGATAACAAAAGACTATATCTCCAAGATGTAATCGATTACTCCCAACAATTAGCTGTTCGTTCGCATTCTCGGTCTTCTTGTTATTGCGAAAGACGAGAAGATGCGTATGCATATGGTTATACCAATTAATACATAACAAATTATTTATTTAAAACATCGTTGATATAGAAATATTGAAATTGGAAAAGATGAAGTTGTTATATAAAATAAAAAGGACTGAATAATATATGTATATACAGATTCATAAATTGATGATGTAATTTCAATACGCATTCGGTCGTAAGTGTCTGATGAGAAAATTTCTGTATTTGATCATACCAAATCGACCTTTTGTTTAAAATTTGAATTGGTAGAAAAAGAAATGACTTTTTTGTCTCTCTAGTACATCTGTATTTCACATTTCGATTGATTACGACTAATGATAATCAATATATGATCTGATCTGGTAGAATGGTTTCTCGATTGGAAATAGACATTTGATAAAGATTTCTTTCAAACCTTGAACTATCTCGAATAGTTGTTTGATTTCATTTGATAAACTCGGCCTTTACTATGTACATCGAGTGTTTGATCAACGTTTATTTCAATATCAACAGGATAGAGTATCAATTAAAAGCAATTAACGAACCAGACAGTCTAATAGGCATAGGAACAATGACAGAAGTATGGACATAGAAAGTCAATAAGACAGTGTTTCGCTTGATAACCAATGAAAAGGACATTGTCTTCGAGTTTCCTTGATAGTTTTCAGTTGTTTAGGCATCCCTGATGTTATGACAATGACGAAAAAAGGAAGGTGATGACGCCTGTCGCATCAAAAGAATCAGCTGGCGTAAACATGAAGAGCAAAGCGAAAAAAAAATTTTTACTTTGTGCATATGAAGATAGATACCGTAGTTCTCGTATGTGAACGAAGAAGGGAGAGAGAGAGAGATACGGACGAAGGGAGAAAATGAAAGTTTGAAGAAGGACCGTTACCAAAATAACTTACTGTATAAGGATGGAGATGGACAAAAATGGCCTTGTATGGTGTGGTTTGCTTGACTGATTTTTGTAACAGTATTTAAAATGACAACGAAATGATATTCAGTCTTGTACTTCTTACCAGATAGGCAATTCTTCGTAACAATATGGCTGATGAGATATTTGATCAAGCAGGTATTGATTGGTTTTTTTCCTATTTTATTGAAATACTTTCTGAAACTTCTTTCATTCTTCTATGAATATGCTAACCGAATATTTCTTTATTAGATCTTAATAAAGATCAGCGACTTGATTTGAATGAATTCCGCAATCTTATTAGTCAAAATCTTGGACCTGGTGCATCGATTTATACTGGTAATCTAAGTGATGGTGGACAATACTCCGGAAGATATTTCGATTCTTCTTCATCAGGAGGTTATTTAGATGGACACAACAGTACTGGTGGCTATAATAACGTTGGCGAAGGATACAGTGGTGTTGCTGATGGTTATAATGGCGTTGGCGATTTAGGCGGAGGCACACTGAATGGTGCTGGTAATATCGATGCTAATACAACTTTCAATTCCTTCGATCAAACATCATTTGCCTCATCAACGGGCGGCGGGAGTGTTGTAGGTGCTGGTACCGGCAATGGTGGTCTAACGTTCGACGCTGAAGGTAATTCTGTTGCCGAAAGAACAGTAGGAACTGCAGGAGATATTTCAACATCGTCGTTCGATGCTGGCAATAGCCAACAACAAATTCAACAATACGCCACCAATGCACAAGGCCTTTATCAAGATCCTAATCCACAAATTATTCGCCGGCCCGCTCAAGGTGAACAAATAACCTACACTCAAAATATCAAAATTCGATTCCTTCAACCACCAGCTATTCCACCACCAGGCGTAAGTGGCCGTCTTTGTCGTACATACTGTATAGACAGTTCGGTTCTTTTTAGCCATTGATCATTAAAGAAGTGCGACCACCCCAACCACCACCACCGCCACCATTGGTTGTTCGTCAACGGGCTCCAACTCGTCCTACTCCACCTCCACTTATTCTACGTGAAAAACCCCCTCCAATCCCCACCCAAACAGGAGCTCAAACTGGTAATATAATAACAAAGATACTCATCTTCGTAATATTGTCTCTTTTTAGTTATACGAAAACTTCCACCTCTCCCACTCCCTCCCAGATCAGTCATCATTGAACGTTTACCTCCAACTCCACCGAAACCACGTAAGCTACCCTACTTTTATCTACCGATTCGATTAAACTACGTTCAACAATAGGGGATATCATCATTGAACGTTGGATCCCGTACAATGTCCTAGCCAATCGAAAAACAATTGTCCAACGTGCCGAAGAGCCCAAACCGTATCCTAAACCGCGCAATGTCATTATTCAATATGAAGCTCCTCAAGTTCGCATTGTTCGCCAGTTCCAACGTCTTGGCGTTACGCCAGAAAACCCACAAGAATACGTTCAGCGTTACGGTACGTCGTTGTACGATTCACAAACATTGGTACAACAAGCTCGTGCTGCTGGTGTCATTGAAGATATTGTAAGTCATCAACGTTCTGTATTCGTATCATATAATTCAGTGGATTTTAGTCGCCACCAACCAATCTTGCTGGTGTCGGAGGAACATCATCAGCAACGTTTAATAATGAATACGGTACTGCTACGCCAGGTGCTGAAAGTACTGGAATTGGTTCACCAGCATCCTTTGATTCATCAGGCTATGGTGGACAAACAGGAAGTGCAGAATTTTCAGGTTTTGAAACCGGCCAAAATGGAACATCCGGAGGTTTTAGCGCCTCATATGAATCAGGTTCGTATTCATCACAAGGTGCTAGTACTAGCGCTGGTGGTGGTAATAACGGTACTCTTCATGGTGATGCAAGTGCCTCGGGTTATCAGAGTTACAGTGGCTCAAATGGTAGTAATATAGATTTAGCTAATGCTGCGTTTAACGCTGCTGATCTCAATAAAGACGGTCTAATTGATCCAAATGAATTCCGTCAATTTCTTGGTTCACAACTCCAGTACGTTGAATGATCGATTATTTTAATCTTTTGAAAAATGTCAAACGCAAATCTTTTATTTAGATGAATTAATTTTTCTCTTAATCGAAGTGTCAACTGATTTGATTAGTTCATAAACAGAGAAAAAACCTGACTTTCTATTCCCCAACAAATCCCTTGTTAGAAGAACAAGGACAATTTTTTTTCTCATATGTCACACATTCGTTCTGCTTCGCTCTTCTTTTCTCCTTGATTATATCTTTTACATTCATTTTTTTTTTCATTTCCTTCGCTTGACATTACATTTGCAAATGTATAGATCAAATTACATCAAATTCTTGTTTCACTTTTTTGCTTTCATTTCCCTCAATAAAGAAAAAGAACAACGAAAGAAAGAACATCCGAACATTCGATGTACAAGTGATTTCTGAAAACTAGTTTTATTCATATTATACTACAAATAGTGTCAAGAGAGTAGTCGAAAAATTAGAGAAAAAAAGACAAAAATAATTTCAAATTAATTTGTCAAGGGAATGAAAAGCGAATTTGATGTATTTATCTTCATCTCATCTAAAGTCCAGCATTGCGAAATTCTGCCTGTGATATAACACCATCGTTATTTGTGTCAACAGCATTGAATAATGCATCACTCACATCGCCTACTGTAGATGTTCTATATGATGACTCGTAAATTGTTGAGCCTCTTCCACCAGCAGCACCTAATCCTGCCGCGTCGCCAGCCGATCTGTACGATGACGATTCATAGTATGAAGAACGACCTGCGCCGCCCGCGCTGCTGATTCTTCCTATGTCAACACTACTACGATTGAGATTGTCGTAGTTGATTATACTTGCTCTTTCTGTCGAAGAGAAATCAGATGAACTTGACATAACTGAAGCTGATGCTGGTGGTGACTAGATCAAATATTCAATATATCTACGAGCAAATTCAAAACCGTGGGCTACTTACAATATCTTCAACGACGCCAGCAGCACGAGCTTGTTGTAATAATGTTTGAGCATCGAAAAGAGTTGCTCCGTAGCGTTGAATATACTCTTGTGGATTAGCCGGTGTGACCCCGAGACGTTCAAATTGGCGAATGACTCGAACCTGTGGTGCTTCGTATTGTATGATCATGTTACGCGGCTTGGGATAGACTATCGCTGCTTCCGCTCGCTGAACGATCGTTTTTCGTTCGGCTTGTGGCCCGTAGGGAACCCAACGCTCAATGATGATGTCTCCTAATCATCATAAACATAAAGTTAGACATTGCTTAAGTCGAAAAGACATTAAAAAAAACACTTACGGGGCTTTGGTGGAGCGGGCGGCAAACGCTCAATAACAACTGATCGTGGTGGAACCGCAATAGCTGCAAGATTTCGTACAACTAAAAATGATACATTGAAACGATGCCGACTGCCAATGCTTTTCTTATTGTCCTCTACCTGTTTGAGAAGCAACAACTGGCGGCGCCGGTGGTGGTCGCTCACGTAAAACAAGTGGGGGTTGTTGTGGAAGTGGAGGTGCTTGTTGACGAACACGCAGTGGTTGTGGCGGGGGTGGTTGTGGTGGTCGCACTTCTTTGATAATCAATGGCTGGAAGGAAATTTTGAAAAAAAGTACATCGATGAAATAAATCCTACATATGTTGAAAAATGATCTTACGCCTGGTGGTGGCACAGGTGGTGGTTGAAGGAATCGAACTCTGATGTTCTGTGTAAGAGTCACAGGCCCCTCGATAGCTGGACGCCGAACAATTTGTGGATTTGCATCCTTAAAATTGCCTTGCTCATCAGTTTCATAGTGTTGAACGGATGATGTCTGTGATTCCGATGAAAAAGTCGTTGACACTGCATCCACACCTGAGACTGCGCCCGTTCCAACAATATTGTAGTTCGATGTATCACTACCACCAACAGATGAACGAAACGATGCCGATTCATATGTAGCAGCTCCATAATTAGAGCCAGTATAACCTAAATCAAGTCCTAAACCAGTCGCATCACCACTAGTGCCACTTGTAGACGTTCCATATACTGATGATCGATAGACTGCGGAACCATATCCACCAGTCGTATCAATATCGCTATAATCCGTACTGACAGGATAATTTGTTGTCGTACCTCCACTAACAGAATTTCGTACTAGAAAATCTTTAAATTCGTCTCTAGACAATGTACCATCATGATTGGCGTCTGCTTGATTGAAAACAGTATCGGTGGTCGCCATTTGAAAAGTTTTGTATACAACGATTCACTGCGAATAAAAAGTTCGTCTGCGATACAGAAACCAATGATCTACAGGTACTTATATATCTCTATGCTAGGCGAAAGTCACTCAACCAAGTCGATCTCAATTTGATTCTTTCCTGCGCACATTCACTTCGGGTCATTACATTTCATTCTGGAGAAATCGAACCACGACCTTGTTCTGCTTTTTTGCCTCGTGCAAAAAATCCTCTACATTTATTTTAAACTTAATTTCTTTTTTCATGTACATATCTATGTGTATATCTTATCTTCGTACTTCTTATTGGTAATTATTATTCGTAGGAGAGGCGCATATTAAAAACAGGCAGAGATCATTTATTTTGCGGGTGAGACCATATTCATAATTACATTGATCATTTACAGTGATAACTTACGACGTCCTGGTAACCATTCTTTGCGATTGGTAGAATGTGTGCCAATAGGAAAACGACAAATCTACCCGTGGACAAACAAACATTTTCAAAAAAGCATTGAACAAGTTTTTTTTTTGAAAAATTTCATCTGGCGGTGTTGAGAATAAAAAGAATTCTATGGTATAATTTAGTTATATTTCAGATTCAAAAACAATATCATATTCTATTCGATTAACAGTCATGATTTCTGACGTGCAATTGGCAATTATTGCTAATATTCTCAATGTTTTGGTGTTTTTATTGATTATTCTTTATCATTACATCAATTCATCGAATATTAAAGCAAAAAAACAAAGTTAATCGTAGGTTTCTGGTGTTTCCTTGCAAAAGCAAGAAATGCATGAATCATTTTTCTTGTAGATACACTATTAATAACATTCCGTCTTATTCAATATGAATGAACTATGGACTCTTAGATTTTGTTTCATTTGTTTATTGATCTGTTCTTCATAACCAACAAGGAAAATAAAACTTTCGTTAAAGATCAAACTATTCATTTCTTGCTCAAGAAGAACTTTTTATGAGCATAAGTTTTAATTAAATAAATAGACAACAAACAAAAATTCATCTTTTCGAAGAAGATTTTATTCCCAAAAGAATAAAACGAACATAATCACCCAGAAAAAATGTACAACACCGGTATAAAATATTCTTGCTGAGGAAGACGTTGTTACTATCAAAGTACTCGTATTCACTTTTGTAACATTGTAAAGTGCACTATAAGTAAAGCTTGTGTTCACTGTATAAGCTGTATTCGATGTGAGGCCATTAAATAGATAGGACCGATTTGTATGCGTCGAGTTTTGTATGACACTCAGTGGTGTGCCTGACTGATTATTATTGATCAAGTTGGCTGTAAAAGAAATAGGCTTATATGGTAGATCATTCGGCCAAAGAAATGAAATTAAAAATGCAGTAGGAGACATGTTGATCGATGATATAAGAACAGATGAGGGTCCTGAACATGTTGTATTCGAGCGTGAACATGTTCGAGCTAAAATACAATTGTTCGTAATTGCTAAATACACACTCACGTTAGTTACGGTTGAATTGGATGAGAAACAAACATAATAATAAGCGTTTACTAATTCGAAATTTTTCGTTAAACTTGTTATTGTCTTGTTTGTTGATACAAACGTATAATTCGTTCCTAAATATGTTCGATTGTAACTATAATAATACTCGTAAAAATCAATTGAAATCCTTATTAAATCTGATCGATCAATTGACGTATCAGCGAACTGCCAGTTAACAGTTAATGCTGTCGAATTAATTGGAACAATCGATGTTATTCGTGGTTCAGTTATATCTGGAGTAATTTGGTATGAGACAATTGAAAGAAACAAAATATGTAAAGAACACCAATAAATTCTCATTCCTATTATTCGTGTCATTACACACACATACACGCACACTGAAGTAATCAATTAAAGTTTGATGTAGCAGCTGGTTTTATGCTCTCTTATCAATACTAAACGAGTTTGGTAAAAATCTTGTCGACTGATTTCGTATTTACTTGATTACTATGACCACAATTTTATGCGGAGAGTTGAATTGCATTTCAACAGTACTTCATCATCGCTGTTGTTTGCCTTAGAATGAAAATTGAATGATGTTTTGTATGCGACGCGATTTGATGTCTATGTTATTTCACACAGTGTACGATGGGCAATAAAACGAATGAGTAAGAACGTGGCAGCGAAAAAATCATGCCTTTATGGGAGAATTGACAGCGGCTGTTGCTCTCGATTCTCTATATGATTTTTATGTAAACAATAAGTATCGAATTTCTTTTATTTTCAAAAATATCTTCAAGTACAAGGTTACGTAGGCATTTTTTGACATCAATATGATTGGCCAGACTTTCATGATCAAATATTGATTATTCCCATAAGTCCAAAACAAAGAAACTCAATAACAAAATTTTATTAAAATACCTTTCCTACAATATACAGAGAACATTCATCGTAGTTTCGATGATCACTGAAATTATCGAATTCAACTTTGTCATCCAGGTTACAACCCTTATCTGATAAATGGAAATCTAGAGTACATCACGAATGTCAAAGAAATTTAAAACTAAATATTATCTCTAACTCTAAAATATTGGAATTACAGACATGATGAAGAATTAACATATTTACTTGGAAAAATATCGCCTGACTCTATTGCAATTAAGAACAGTCTTTATATAAAGTTGTATTCGGATGATAGTGCACATCAAAAGGTTGTTGCAATTCAACGCATTTTCTCTCTCTCTGTCTCTGTCTTCCCTTAATTTGATAAGATACATTACAAGTAACGCTCGTCTTCAGACTACCTTAGCTCTTTCTCGTAGAAATATCGCTAGCAGATGTTGCATTTTTAATGCATTATTGTGTATATAAGTTTGTCTCCAGTGTAGATTAAATATATTTTAAAGAAATAGCAACACATTTAAGACAATTATACATGATTGCATAAAAAACTGAAACAAAGAAGGCACAATAGACAATATCTGGTACAATGACAGAAAACAGACACTTATATAATTATTAACATAAGTGTAAATAGGGGCAAAGGAGACGAACATATATAAATGATTCTTTTAAGATAATTTTAAATTATGTTACGTTTTAGATGTCTACCATGAAACTAGACACTTAGCAAAGCATTGATTTGCACATATTTACAACATGAAAGAGGCACACACTCTCACTTTGTCAAGTTCATCTAGACGTTTCAGTTCAGCGTCTTGAACAAGAGAGAGTCGAACTTGTAGAACCTTCATATCAAAAGGTCGAAGAATGACTATATCTTCCGCTCTCTTCACTGTGCTGAGTGGTACACATACTGACACCACTTGCAATGTCTGAAGTGGAACTTGAAGATCGACTACAATTTTGTTCATTGTGACTCCTTGCGCTTTATATGTAGTTATTACGAAGGCAGGTACAATTGGTAGTTGGGTTCGTGTGACTTGTGGAATTCTTCTCCCATTTTGTACTCGATCGAGCCGATGTTAGAAAAGTTGCTTCTTAGGAACAGTGAATTGCTTCTTGCTTAATGGAGTAGGAATCAGATTGGGACGAAGACCATCGAGATTTGTTTCTACTTGTGATGTATTAATTTCTACGAGCACATATAATGGTTTTCGTATGTAGATTGTATTTGAGGGAAATATTTCGCTTTTTATCTTTAAATCGCTCGGATCCTCCTGATTATTATATATGAGCTCTCGAAAAATTCGTTGAATACCATTTGAAAGTCCTAGTTCACAGCAGTGGCGTAGCCAGGATTTTCAGACCAATGGGCAAACTTACCTTATCTAGAAAAAATAATGGGCAACCATGGGCAAGTTTTTTATTAAAAGGGCAAACTTTTGAAACTTAATGAAAGTGTAAAGTATAACAAAAATATAACAACAACAGATGGAGAAGTTCTTATGTTTTATTAATATAAAAAATGAAGAGAATTCCAATATGTGGTGTTGTTTCTTTTATGGCAGTACACTATAAAGAAGTGCGAAAAGAGAAAAAAAAGCGCATAGAATCCCACCACTTATATTTTTTGTTCGATTTTCTTCTATCTCTTCTTCAGGAAAGGAAAAAGTTGGAAAACAATGCATCCATAATTCACACGAAGAGACAAGATACTTACCTTCCTCTCATCCAAATATGAGAAGTCTCCGGACATTTTTTATATGATTATCGTCTAAAAGTTTACTAGGGAATATCTATCAAGTCAATAATTTTTTAGAAAATCGATATGCTTAAAAATTTGTCAGAAATTTTGAGATTTTCAGATGGTCTTTTATACGATATTGTGATCTTGTTCACGTCAAATACAATGAAACTAGCTGATTTTTGTACCGAAGAAACCTTGATTTTTGGTGATACTTCGATAAAAAAATGCTAAATTTTTTTCAGAAACTTTTCGGAAAGAAAGGAACTTTTAACACGAAGGAAGTTTACTAAAAGATCCAAAAAACAGGTATGCAAACTCTGATAGAGTAAAAGATGAGTGGGCAAACTCTTAGCAGTCAAAAATTACAATGGGCAAACCTCAAAATGAACTGGGCAATTGCCCATTTGCCTCCCCCCTGGCTACGCCACTGGTTCACAGGCAATGCTATCGGTGAGAAGCAGAGGCATGTTTGTTGTACAAAAGGTAAAAGATCAAGAAGAAGTTCTGTGTTGTTGTCAGGTATATGGACGTTACTTCAAAGTTCGTTTATGAAGGTCAGTTGTTAATCCTTGCGGTTCCAGCCTTTTAACGACTTGACTGCGATTGTTTTTACAAGTCAAATTGTGAGATTTTTAGATCTGACTTCATAGAGAACTAGTCAAAACAATGATCTTTTTTATTTCTACGAAAATTTATAACTACATTTCGGATTCTGTCACTTTCACTGAGGTCAAAAATGGCCCTGGCTGGTACTGCGAGAGTTAACTATTACGTCGGTAGACATAGAACACAATGTTTTATTTATCATACTAATACGCTTGACTATAGCCGGTATTCCATGATTATACATTTTTTTTCCGGATAATCGTTACGCTTTGTTTCAAAAATCTGACATCAGATTCAAAGTTTCCGCATCTTCTCCAAAAAATTGATTTTCGATGTTTTTTTGACGCTGCACACATACGAGCAAGCAAAAAATTTATGTTTCTAAAACTCTTCTCTACGAGAAAGATCACTATTTCAACACAATCATAGTAGCTTAACAATCGCTTCATCATAAACATCATCCTCGAGAAACTAGATGATTCTTGTGTCGGCCAAGTTTGTGCACAAATTTTTATATCGGAGTCACATACGACGAGTTTGCGTCCATATATAACCGAGAAATGTGTCAATGGATTTGCTTATTCATTTGCTACTGTTTTTTGTGGTTCATCTTAATCGTTTCTTTGCTCCATATGTTGTATTCAATGGAATCAATCCATCTATTAATTCGTTATCTACTGAGAATGTAGCTCCTCTTGTACGTTTTTCATCTTCATATCTAGTACGAAATAAATCCAATTTATCTGCTAATTCGGTTTCTAGTACTCGGTAAATCTTGCTGTTTTCTTTCTAATTATAATAAATATGTATGCGATCGACTATGTTCTTAGTCTCATTCAGCTTTGTGTAGTACGGAAAGTTGGTCTTTCTCTGATGTTCATAGAGTGTCACACATGCAGTCATGGCTTTGTGAATTTTTAGGCTGGTATTTATGATTTACTTGAGTCGATCGAGTTAGTCATTTTGCTTTGTGCTTGATTTATTGTTTTATGTAAGTCATCGAGCTTTGAATGTTGTATGGAACCGTATCAGCTTACCCGTATATTGCTTTCGATATTATTTATAGTTTCAATTCGTAGAATACAAAGAATAGTTCCAAACGATTTGACAGTTGTTTTCGGAAGTAAATTGAATGGAATAATTTATTATTTCATCCGAATGATAGGAAGTTTAAATGAAAATAAGAAGTTGCGATATTAGAAATGGATTTTTTATGTCGTACATTAATGTATCATACGAATTCGTTGCTTTTGGTTGATTTCATATTCTCGATTCAGTATTGAAATACACTACTTCATTGTCTGCGATCTTACATGAATTATCGCATGTCAATGGTATCACGAGATTTCATTTCCATGTCACTCACTCACCTCCTGGTATTATTAGCTGCCTTGTTCATATTATTAATATTCGTTTTTCCGGAACGGTTAATTATGCGCAATCAATTGGTGTGCTTTCCATATAATTCAATGAACTCAAATGTTCGCCTTTCATCTTACTTTGACCTGACAAACTGTTCATAGATCTTTATGCTTTATTTATTGTTCAGAAGATATTCTACAGATGTCACTCATTACATAATTCAGTTCGTTAACTTTGAACGTAACCGAAACAATCAAAATTGGATGGATAATCGTTTAGTGTTCAATTGACTTCAGCTCCAGTTTCTTTTTCTCTCTTTCTATTCTTGCTCGAAGCAATGTTTATTTACGTATTGAATACGCTAGACAGTCACATACATACACATACGTATGTTCGAAAAGTTCTTTTTCTCTTTCGTTACATTAATCTTCTCTCCTTTGCGGTTCGGTATACGATAAGAAGTTCAATATTTCTTTCATTACAGATAATCAAATATGCATCTCAATACGAATATGGGGTAAGCGCTAAGACACAATAAATCTTTCGATTTAAATGACTGTCGTTTACCTTAGTGTGCAAGCTCCATTATACACATGTAAAGCCATTATATTTCAAGTTGATCCCGAAACACGAAGATCTTGGAATCAATTATCAACAGGCGCTGGTAAGAGCTTTATTCTTTGATTGAATTACCATCAATATTTGCGTTTTGAATATTAGTCAATGTTCAGATATTCTACGACTCGATTAAAAATGTTCACCGCATCATATCTGTTGATGGTTCAAAAATACTCATCAATACAGTTATAACTAGTCGGATGAATTTCATTAAAACATCTGAAAAATTTTGTCAATGGATGGATTCGAAAGCGAATCAAGTTTATGGTTTAGGATTCGCTAATGAATTTGAGCTAACACGAGTAAGCTGCAGATTCTATTCAGAATTTTTCTCATTTTCTTTCATTTATTAGTTTATTAATAAATTCACTACAATTAAGGAAGCATCAAGAAATACTGTACGAAGTCACAGTCTCAATGTTCGACGTATATCTCGAGTAAAATCAGTTCTGTTCTTTAATTAACATGAATAGAATTCATCGTTGTTTTTCAGTCGGAAACTGATTGGTCGACTAAATCTTCTGGATCGGATCGATCGATGCATCTAAAACAAGAGAATGCTCATCTAAAATTAGCACTTGTTCAAAGGCAATGAATTTTAATGACACATCGTTGGTTATTGTTGCTATTTATTTTAGTTCAAATAATGCGAAAGTATGGCAAGAAGAATTGGAAATTTTACGTAGTAATAATACTAAATTGACAACAGCATTACAAGAAAGTCATGCTAATGTGGAAGAGTGGAAAAGACAATTACAATTTTATCGTGAAGAATGTTCACGTTTACGCCAAATGGTAAAATAATAGTATTTTATAAATATCGACTATGCCGTTCAGAAGTCAATCTCAGTGGTTATTCATAGTAATCCTTGAGCATACCTGTTATGCTATCATACTTGATAAAAAGCATTCAATTTCAAGTAGAAACTTGACATACGTGACGGATGTCAAGCTTATGCACTATTGAACGTGATGGTATATTAGGAATCATATAGATATGAAAGAATATTTTAATAAAAGAATAAAAGAGTTGTTATATGGAATTATTTAGATCTGTACTCCTCATTCATCTGATCATGAACAAGTCAGTGACGCGAAAGAAACGAAAAATCGCTTGGGTGATATCGAATTCCATAACAAACAACAAGAACAAGTAGTTGTAACTATTTTTCAGATGAAAATAATCTTTCTTCATACGTATTTCAGAAGATTTCTCAATTAGAAAGTCAAATTCAACGATATACAACGCAAATTAATTCATTGAAAGATCGTTTATCAGTATGTGAGAAGAAAATCGTTGATGTTGTGTTGTTCGAAAAATTCCTTTTTTTTAAGAGAAGTGAAACAGTTAATCAAGATCTTCGTAGTGAACTACAGCAACGAACAGTATCCAATTCTGCCTCGAGTCGTACACCTTCTCGTTCGCCGCATCGAAATCTTCAACAATTATCACGTCTTCGTGATCTATTTGAAACTAAAACCAATGATTTCAATCAAACAATGTCAGCTCAATGTCAGGATCTACAGCGATTATGTTCGCAGATTACTCAAGTGATCAGTGAATTCTAAACCGCCAGATCGTACTTATTTCGTTTCGACAAACATATTTTGCGTGTCTGATCATTAGATGTCAATATGTGTACATATTTGCCTACTCATAGCAATGTAATGTTTCTTAACTTGATAGGAGAACATGTGTATATTTAATAAACTACATGAATTTCAAAGAATTTATTTCGTAAAGATAAACTCAGTGCCTTCCAAAAGAAAAAAAACTTCATTAACTTTTTAATCTTCTTTTTGTCAAAAATAGAAACCAAAAGCATATTAATTTTTTCTTTTTAATCGTCTATTTCTTGCAATCATCAATTTGAAAAATCCTTCAGGCCAGAATCTTCTTAACCAAATTGCAATCCTCTGCTGAAATGGTGCGATTATAACATCGTCTTCGCAGTATTCAATTGCTTTAGTAATCCTTTCTGCAACGTAATCTGCTTCATATGCTGATGAATGGTTGTCTGGAGCATGGCTTTCACTTGTATTTAAACGACTCATTGCTTGCTGACCGAGTTCCGTACGTATATACGATGGACTCACAACGCAAACATGAAGATTTTGTTCAGGATATTCTTCTCGAAGTTCCATTCTTAACGAATCACTAAATGCTTGTACGGCATGTTTTGATGCTGAATAAGAACTGCGGTCGGGTACAGCTATCAAACCTTGTAAACTTGATATGTTCACAATAGTTGCGTTCTTCTGTTTCCGTTCGATCATTTTAGTTAGAATTAATTTTGTTAATGTAACTAATGAAAGGTAATTCAAACGAAATATCTCGTTCACAAGTTCAATAGGTGTACTGAGTACGGATGAACGTTGACTGATACCAGCATTGTTGATTACACAATCGATCGATTCTTGTTGAAGAATATTCAACAAGGTTGTCGACGACGCTATTTGATCAAATTGTGACAGGTCGATTTGAACGAGCTTTGGCTTTGGATATGTCGGATGCGATTCCATCAGCTCTTGGCTTAATCGCTCCAAACGATCATAACGTCTTGCTAGGAGAATTAATTGACATTGTCTTCGGAAAAGACATCGTGCTAAAGCTTCACCGAGACCTGACGAAGCACCAGTAATTAAAACTGTTTTTCCTCGAATAAGAATTCTTTTGCGCAGTATGTAACGAAGAATTAAAAATGAACAGTAACCTAGCGAAACGGCTACCAGCCACTTCATCTGGAATAATAAATAGGTTTTTATTAGTATAAAAAAATTATCATTAGCAATGTAAACGCAGAAAGAACGAGATTTTATTCAATTAAGAACCAAGAGAAATGTTATCATCAATAGATGGAATGCATCGAGCCTTATCATGCGGTTCAGGCCAATTCCACGCCGAAGGGCCAAAATATGGATAAGATGTGTCATATAATTGCATACGTATGAATTCTTCTTTATTATTTGGTTCTAAAAAACAACGAGATCTAGGTCACAACAAGAAAAATCGAGGTAGTGCGTGACCTTATACCTGGATAATTCCATGCTCGTTTCGTTTTGTAAAGATGTTCAACTAAATGAGCAGCTATTTTGACAGTCACATCATGAATACTGGGCACAGGTGGATAAATACGACCGGATTCGAGGTCTATTTCGCTGACTAACGAACCGAGTTGCTGCAAAAATGAGAAAAAAAGACCTTTATCGCTTTCCGTTTTAAAAATGGAAAACTTGAGACAAATGAGGACAAACGCTTCTTAGTACATTGCATTGCAAAAAAAACTTTCTGTTCACATGTCCTTGGCAATGGAGCCTTGTTCAAACGCAAGCTGTGTTTTAGCCGTCAATTCTGTGAGAATCGAGGGCTTTGAGAATAGCTTAACTATGCCCATTGAGTTCATAAAGAAAAGATTGGTAATGAGATACTTCCTTATTTTTATCTCACAATTGGCTGGAGAGAAGTTCTTTCGAGCCATGCGATTCACTTTACTCATTCTCATCAATTGCCAGTCCTCTTTTTTGTTTATAAATTTGTCTGCGAAATTGACTAGAACTACAATTTACTTGTGCAGCAATTAAAAACATATCTTCCTCAACATGACGAGCAGAACATGCAATTGTTGCTAGCGCAATTGCTGGAAATATGTAAGCATTATTTCCTTGTCCTGGATGGAATGTTTTGTCTTTGTAAACCACCGGCTTGAATGGACTACCCGATGCAAAGATGCATCGACCCTAAATCAAATTTACTAGTAAGTCAAATGAGATTATTTTACAATAGACATTCCAATTACGTCAGTTTCACGGTAAGCTTCTTCAGCCGTACATTCAGCTCGACTGGTAGGATTCGATCTAAGAAAACGTAGATAAATACATAAATGATTAGTGATTGCTTTTCAGTCTTACAGAGCGAAAATAATTGGACGTTCGTTAGCTTGAGCCATTTTTTTCAGAACACCATCATGGAAAAGACGTCCAACACCACTAGCACCTGGATAGATGTGATTAAAACATCAATTTTTTCCATCTCACTGGATTAATTCTTACCCATGAGCACTGTTGGTTTGACATAGTCAATTACTGATGAAAGATCTTTAATTGCTTTTCCTTTCTTGACATAAGACGCTTTAGGACCCTCTAAATCACCTTGTGGTCGACCCTCGATTAAAAAGAGAAAAGCATTATCGCCATTTTCTCAGCTCTATTGATTTCAAAAGGCTGCATTATTCGGTAAGCACTCATGATTTGCGATCGTATTAGAGGTTGTGTAATATATGAGCAACTTACTTGAATAATGAGACCGTGTACATCGTACATCCAAATTTTACTTCTTGCCTCTTCAGGAGACGTCCCTTCACCTATCATCGCATGTGTTACTAGATCTGCTATACCACAAGCTGCCTATTCAACAAAGAAGATTAGATAGACAGACAGGTGATCGATTGTTTTTTGCTTCAACATACTTGACCTGCACCAACAAAGAGATAAGTGTTTTCAGACAGTTTGGTGCCGGTGATCCGAAGTGCAGCAATGAGACCAGCAAGAACAACTGCAGCAGTGCCTATATTTGTAATTTAATTAAGAGAAGTATAAACAGATTTCAATCAAACCTTGAATGTCGTCATTAAATGTACAATAGCGTTTTTGATACCTTTCCAATAGTCGATAAGCATTATCACTAGCGAAGTCTTCAAATTGTATAAGACAATTCCATCCGAAACTAAAGATAGGTGATAATGACCGACGTAATTCGTATCTAACGAATTTTACCGACGGACAACTGCTGCCATGAATTCATCAATGAACTCATCATATTGTTTTCCTCTGACGCGTTGTTGTCTTAAACCGATATAGAGAGGATTTGTCGAAACTTCCTTCAAATAGATGGTTCAGACGGATTTCTGTTTTTTTTTTCAATTATATATCTAGATAACTAACCTCATTATTTGTACCGACATCTAGCATTATTGGTAGACAATTTTGTGGAGGTATTCCAGCAATCGCTAGAAGGTGCAAAAATACGTATATTAATCTTCTTTCATTGTTTCCAGCCTATAAATTTTTGTATTAATACTTCGATCAACTGAATAAGGGAAACGTCAATAAAAACCATATAGAGTACTTCCGTTTATATATTGCGTTTAGCGTAGAACTATCATTTATGACTTTCAAGTGTTATGTTCATATATGAGGCTACTTACGGTTATTATTTTAGTATAGAACAAAACAGGATAGTCATTCAAATCAATGCTAATTCCTGCCTAACACACGAGGAGCGTTTGTTTCCCATCGCGTCGGGTTCATATTTATTTTCATGTACCTTTAACTCTTTTACCTTTGTTTAGGCGTACGCTTAATTGACTCTTCTTCTGTGCAATGTTTGAGAAACTTTACCTGTATATAATTGTAGTTTACCAATCGGAATTCCCATTCCAAACGCACCAAGATCTCCTAAACCTAGAATTCGCCCCCCATCAGTCACAACAATAGCTTTCACGTGTTCCTCTGTCCAATTGCATAGAATATCGTATATATGGCCTTTGTCATGTATAGTGATAAATAAACCTCTAGAAATAGTTTTTAGTTGAATTGTGTAGGTAGCAAAACAGAAAATTTAAAACAAACCTTGGCCGTTTAAATACTAAACCATATTTTTGACAGACGAGGCCGACTACAAAAAAAGCTTTTTGTCATCAGATCAGAAATTTAGAGATTTACCTGTTGGTGTGTAAACAATCGGTAAAAGTAGTTCGAGATTATCTATTACAAAACAGGCACTAAACGTCTTTCAAATATTAATATGTCATTTACCAGCAATAACTCGATAGAACAATTTTTCATTTCTTTCGCATAGATTCATCAATTCATTGTAACGATCGAAATCATCTATAGAATAATTACCGATAGACACTCATTTCAACACCAATTTTTCATCTATACTTTGCGCACGACGTAAATTCGTCATTACACGGAGGGCTTGAACATCTTGCGAAAGTACTGCTGGTGGTAGCAAACCATGTATACCCATATTTTGTCTTTCTTCGATCGTAAATGCCATACCCTAATGACAAACGCAATGCATTGTCCATATCTGTTTTTTTTTATTACCTTGTTTAGTGATGGATTTCGTAATAGTTCGATGCCTTTAATCGATGAACGAGTTTTTATTGCTGGTCGATACTCATCAGTGATAGTCACAGCTAATCGTCGGAAATATTTATTATACTGAGAATAGTTGAGCAGAGGACGAATACATTGTTTAGATATAGATGACATCGTGATGATTTTATCTGACTAGATCTAAAATCAAATCGAATTGATGAGCAGAAATAACGGATGGAAACACGTTTCTTAATTTTCTAATTAGTTTCATTTACTTCCAAGCACGAAGAACATCTTCAGCATAGAGTAAACAGAGCTCTCCAAAGTTGTAAGAGGGCTCAATATATGTATTACGATGTAATTCGTTACAGAACAGCTGCTTTTTTCAATAGTAACATTTAGTCCGCATGCAAATTTTGCTTTCGAAGAAAACTTAATGTGTTTATTGATAAAGCGATAGACCTCAGTCTTTCTTATAAGATTCTAAAAAAAGAGCCAGCTCTCTTGAGATATTCAATAGCTGTATATAAAACTGATTTATTATGAATATCCTATGAGACATCGGTCAGATCAATCATCATTTTCAGAGATAGATTGGCTCTGATTCTAATGAATATACAATGAACTGAGAAGTTTCAATGTCATTGCGAATAAGAATGTTTGTTATTGTTGTTGTTGTTGTTTACAGTCGAATTCATCGAGATATGTCAAGAGATATTTGCGCAGTTTAATTGAAGATTAAAAATGTAAGAGGGTCAGCTAATTGAGGGTAAGATGAACATATTAAACTTAAGTCAAATCAGAATTATCTGTTGAAGAGGAGAAAAACCGGAGGAGGGAAGACCGAAATGCTCTAAGCGATCAGCGATAAAATTTTTGAAGAATTTCGAGCAGAATGATAAAGAAAACATATAATGTATAAAGATGTGTTCGCTATCTTATTCCCTTCGACAAACAATTTGAATATATAATTAAAGATTAATCAAAAAAACATGCATATTTCTTAATTAAAGAAAATAAGACAATGGTAAGCAATGCTCAAGATGAGAAATCTTAAGCATGCGTAAAAACTGCTCGAAAGAAAAATTCAAAGCGGCAAGCACTTTCTTTTTTTTTCTTTTCCTTTCCTCTTGCATCTACGGTTTGCACTATTTGAAGAGAAGTTTTAGATTCTTATCCATTCATTCTCATCTTTGTTCTCTCTCGCCCCGTACGCGTCAATAAGCAAAGAATATCCATCTTCATATTATTCAAACAAACCTCTCATTATCAACATTGATACTTTCATCCAAACTATGTCTTTTATCAACAATAAATTCAGATGTCTTATATCATGGCTCATATTTCTTTCTCTGGCTATACAAATAGCTTATGCCGTTTCAAGTTTTACTGATGTTCCACGTAAATGTTCTCGAAAAAAAAATAAAGTTCTGTACTTTAATCTCCTTCTATTTCTAGCACCACCGAAGCGTCCAGAACGGTTTCATTCTCGTGAAGAACTCAAACGTTACTTGCAAGAAGTATTTCATTAACGAAAACCTCCTATTCCTCTCATACAACTGTCTTCTATTTTAAGGTGCATGAGTACTATGCGATCATTGGTCGACCACGTTTCGGTCGCGCGCTTATGAAACGATATATCGATCCACTTAATACACATCTCTCTTATATGTTTGATAACAGCGATGGCAATTCAAAAAGTGACGAGCAGTTTGACCAACACTTCGGAAAGTAGATCCAACCAATCGTGTACGTGAAGCGTAACACAATACATTTAAAACACGGAATTTTTTTTTGATTTTTTATCGTTTTTCTTTTTCATCTATAGATGAATACAGTTGTCATTCCGGTTATGATCCATGTTGTTTGCAAAAAATAATGAACGTTTCTCTCCTCTTTCATAAACTATCTATGTATACTATATCTTTATCTACCATCTGACATCACAAATACAATAAAATTGGCCGCTCCGGAGTTCTTGTAACTGAGAAAAGGAAAGAAAAGCATGTATACGAAATCATGAAAATTTTTTCTTCATATATATTATACATAAATAGCTATTCAGCAAATACAGCTAAGGATATATTGTTTTTTCATCTCATTATCGAACAGGATCGAGAAAATCTCTAATAATTTGCGCACCTTTCTCATTGACTCATTGGCGGGCCGGGTCACAATTTTCCGAGGGGGGCAATAAGCACTTTTTCGCAGAAAAATGCCTACTTTTAAGACGTTTTTCTTCAAATTTCCAGCTAAAAGAAATTTTCTGGGGGCATTTATCCCCCTCGCCCCCCCCCTCTGGCCCGCCAATGCTGCCATTGACGTCAACGGTAAGTTTTGAGATATATGAACGTTGTTGAAATTCAATTTAAATTTCAATCCGAATTAGAGTAGCTTCTTAATTTTCTAGATCATCTCTATTAAAGACTTTGATAGAGCGGATTCGCTTTAATTCTCGATCGTTTAGCGTAGCACATGACATAAGAGATGCAAGATGGGTTTTTCGTGGTACAAACTTTTCTTAATAAAACACCGAGAGAAAAGAATACGGTTAAATGCGAGCGTGCCTACATGAGAACACTCATTTATTACGCAAGTAAAATGATATTTTAACCGACGAGAAAGCATTATCTTACACGACGATATAATTGAAGAAAAGTGTTTCATGTAACGATGTTAAATTCTTGTGCAGACGATCACAGCTGTATAAGAGAATTTCTATAATGTTCGTCATCACATTTCGCGCACCGATAGTATGATTATAATGACTAATACTATGTGTTAGTGTCCTTGGAGTAAGGAAGCTTCCACGAAGAAATCGAAATCGAAACGTGTTTATAGAAACAAATGAATAAATTGTACACGAAACAGTGCTTTCACTGGCAACGTGATTTCACGAACGAACTTAACACAAAAAAAAACATTTGGTTGAATTAATCATTGTTTACTGTGAAATACTTTCTTTCTATTCGTCAAGTACGTAGTTTGGGTATGTAGCTGACGAGCAGCAAAGAAAAAAAAAGGCAAGTTCGACAAGTCAAAGCTATGATTAAAGCAGCGTCTATGAATTATTCAAAGCTATCCTAAAATGAGCATTTACATTTGAATAGAATGACTAATTTCCATCGATCAATTTAGGAGTTTCTGTGATAGATACGTGTCAGTCTTGTGCTTTTCCGTGCTATTTATACTATTCATTTACGTCACTCTAAATATCAGGCAGCCTAGATTACGTCAAACGTTCCTCTGAATTAAGAATAAGTTGTGTTATTAGTTTTAACATCAGACATAAGTACTTGTTTATTTGATTACCTTACCCTAGACTGTAAGAAAAAGACACTCGTCGTACTTCATTGCACGTCTATAGATGACTGATTCACTCGAAGCGGTACAGCAATGGTTATGATACGGCGACGTGTATCGATACAGATGGCGTGTCTTGTTCGATTAGTTCGTAGACTGTAAAATTGTTTTCGTGTTGATATCGATTTCTAATTACCTAAAAGGTATATCTGAAGAGATACAAGCTATATATTTTATTCGGAAGAAAAGAAAAGATCTGAAAGGAGTGGATGTATATTTGTTTTAGAAAAACAAACGCTCAAGGTATAAAAAACACGAGGTGTACCAGTTTATAGCAAAAGTTCATTCTACATATCATCAACGGATTTGAGGGCTAGTTCAGGTTTATCATAACCTAGATCTTCTGGTGCTGAAACACCTAATTTATCTAATGTTGGACGAATTTCTTGAAGAATCCATGGCCAAACTTGCTTAGAAACAGCGTTCGATTTGTAACGAATTGCTTCTAAATATCGAACGGCTAATGAATGATCGTTCACACGACGACATGCTTGGAGACAAGCGGAAATGATTTCTGGTTCGGGAATTAAATCTAAACGGTTCATATGATTAATTCCTTGGCGGATGTCCCATCCTGCAATTAAAGAACGAAGGCTAGTTTTCAATTCAATCTGCTTCTCTTGTTCGTTCACCATCAATATTCGGACGGTCAAAATAAGTTTTCCATCGTTGATCGAACTCTTCGTCGGTTTCTTTTTTGTGTGATGACATATTTCGTTGAACTGTCATCCACATTGTTCGCGTTGTTTTGCTGACTGATTGAGTCAAAGCAGAACGAAGTAGATAAGCCATCTACAATATTAAATAAAATGATTGATTTTAAAACTCATTAATTAATCAAAATGAAGAGAAATGGAAGCTACTAAAATTATTCAAGATCAAGTTCCTCGATCTGTTGTTCGATCGTTTGAAGTGCTCGAAGTAAAATCTGCCTATGTTGATTTAGGAGAGCACGTTGATTATCAGTTCGATGCTCTCTGTTCGACGACTCAGCGTCAGAAAGTAAACGGTGAAAATTTTGCTGTTGTAATCGAACAATTTCATCATTGAATTGATGCGAATTATGACGTTGTTCATGGTTAATCGGATTGTAGCATGGCGCTAAAGAATCACTTGAAGACTCGTGACTTTGATGATATTTCTGGAAGCTCAGTGTAGGTCTAAGAAGAAGTAGAATTTGATCAACAGGAAGAACTACTCTTTTTTTGAAAAAGTCACGTACTGTTTTACTACTTGTTGTTGCACTTGACAAGGGTCACTACGCACTGTAGTCGTGGGTGGTGGACTGGGAATATTTACAAATGGATTTGAAGTCGCTTTGCCAATCTTAGCTACGGAGGATGCTGGTCTTTCCGGTACATATAATTGATTTAAATAAGCTGATATAAGTTTAGCTGCCGCATGACATCGCACTACAGAGCAATGCCTTATACCCAAATGAGAATGATATGGGCAACGCTGATCAACTAAATAGGAATAAGAAGCATTTTCAAATGTTCGCTGAATATCATCGCGTGAAACATGATGTTTTTTCAAATCTGCTAAAACCATGATTAACGATTCTATACTAGCGAAATTGACCAAACGTGATTCTTTCGTTGGTTGTTGTCCTAAATGTATTGACAGCAATGGTTAGGATAAATTCTTTCGCATCGAGAAGACTTCACCTTCGCTCTTTTCTTGCAGCCAGTCGAACAATTTACTTGTCTGTTCGTGCTCCACAGCAGGAGAAAACACACATGGCTTCACCATTCGAGAATATCTTCGACGCGTTCGTTCATCTTCACCGCCAGATAATTGATTCATCATCGTGGTTGTAAGAAAAGATTTCAATTCTCGGAAAATCGATTTGTAATTATTTGAAGCTTCACCGAAATCTTTCAATGGAATTTCATGTGTTTCCTTTGCGTGCTCGAGACATGACGACATGTAACCTGTCGGAATCATTTCAGGTTTGATGAATCTGTGTTTATACGTTGTCACACCATCATTTAAAGTATACTACAACAAACGGAAACATAGTCGATCCATACTTAACAAAGATTTCGTACACGTAAAATGCACATTTCTGCCGGAAGATATTTTCCACCATCTTCTTCATCAAGTTTGCAGAAGATTTGAAAATTAAGTATATAAATTGGCATTGCCAACAATTCACTTTTATCTAATGGTAGATATTCACATGCGAGAAAGGTCCGTTCCGTAGTAAAACGATCATAATGGTGTTTCAATTGAGTACACGGTATATCACGTTTTTGCAGTACATTGTCATTGGCAATTCCTTTCTTAGGTTTCGTATATTGTTGTGAAACATTAGCAGATTCTGGACTGAGTCGAGACTGAAGACGCCATTCTTGAAATTGGTTTTTATACGGCTGTCTGTCTTCGTCGGAGAGGGCTTTCCAGTCGTCATAACAAGCGGCAATAGCTTCGCTGATATTCATATATTGACGGCGAGTATGTTGACGTCTTTGATATTCGACAGCATAGAAATACAATGGTGACCGACTTGGCTTTGGCATACTCTCACTTTAGAGAAGTCAAATCTAAAATTTTATATATGGTCAGTTCAAATGCAAAAGACACTAAGATATCAAACTTTGTCTTTAAAAAAAAGAGAAATATATCATCTTTTCTTTTCCAATTTTTGTCTTCAAAATCAAAGAAAGAAAAACGAAAAACAATGAAAATTTATACTGGAAAAATAGACCGACAGTTATACAAAACAGATTTTTTGCAAACATGCATTCACATATGCAAACCAAACAAAAAGAAAGACTAGACTATCAGACAAACAATGAAAGACATAATAAAGTTAAATAGAGTTTCAAAAATAATATATTCGATGAGATAAGGATGTTTTTATTATATCACATTGGAAAACCAGGTACCGGAGCAATGAGTTGAAGCCGACGTCCACGACCGATGCCGGTAGTGAATATTAAAGGTTCGGAATTTGTGCCGCCTGTGGTCGATACACAGTTATTTGCTTTTCGTAAGCCACGACCGGTCATCACATATAGATCTTCGTCATCAGTATTGTTGTTATATAGTGAAGAAATTGGCCAACGACAATCGACTTCCATTGGAGATAAGGTTCTTGGTTTGATGATTTTTGATAACTACGAAGAAAGTAAACATACGCGTTTGTGGTATATTCTGTAAAACAAAACAGTGACGAGATACTTTGTTCTCAATTGATAGAACACTCATTCGTTGAGTCGTTGTGCTGGGAGGATTCGACGAAGGTGATTGAATGAATATATTTGCACCAATTGCTTGCAGTTTATCAGTACTTGACTAATATCGAGAAAACAAAAGCAACCATCATATTTCACGAAACTAACTTCGTCAGTGTTGTTTTACTTTCTGTTCTTCAATTTTGCGTAGCTGTGTTAAACGACGTAATCCACCTCGATGTTTTTCGAGATAGGTTGAACTGATGGAATCATCAACAGATGATGTGGTGTTATCACTAACAGAGTGTGCTTCGTGTTTAACATTATCAGGTTTGAGCGTTTGAGCTGATTTCGTTTCAGTTAATTTAATTTGAATATGTTCCGGTAATTTTTGAATGAAACGTTCTCGAACAAATCCATCGAGAAGAAGACTGAAACCGTGATTAATTGCGCGACAACAATATTGAATTGCTAGAGAATCATGATAGATACATCGATCTTTAATTTGCAATGTATAAACAGGACGACGTAGCTGTTCGCGAACACTTTGGTGAGCAAAATCACCAATACCGAGTCGACGAAGGAGCGCAGCGACCAAAGCTTCAAAGGAACATACGCGAAACGAAGGTTTTTGTACTTGTGTCTCATCTTTTGAAGCCAGCCATTTAAGAAGATAAGTAGTTTGTGCGCGATCAAATGCATTACAGAAGATTACAATCGGTTGTATGGTTGATGTATCGACGATTGACTCTAATTAAGAAAGACTTTCAATAAAACCAAAGAAGAATGTACGCGAATATATAAGCGAACCACAAAAGAACTTCGAACGATTCTACTTACCACCAATGACTCTCCTAACTTCTCGCCATATTTGTGCATAGTCCCCATTAGCTCCGATAAAGTCAAACGGTGGAATTTGATGCGTTTCACGTGACAAATCAATCGCCGTGCCGGTATATCCGACGGGAAATTTCTCTGGTTTCATTATAGTATAATATTCTTGTTCGATTTTTTCTGCAAATGAGTATCTCATAATAGCCACTTCGGCTGGATAATATTCTCCCCCGTCTTCATCGTCCGTTCGACAAAAGATTTGAAAACTAATAAACAAGAAGTCGCGTTTGAATACTGTCAGGAGATTCTTTGATAAATAAGAATCCAAGAAATTATTTTCATTGTTATTTTGTTCGAGAAATGACACTTCTTCACTCGAAGGTATTACCGGTGTGACAACATGTTCATTCTTTAACATACGACTACGTTTATATTGTTTAGCTAAACTAGAAAGAAACATAAACAAATCATCGAATGGTCTTCATAAATATAGATCAACTAACTCTTCATAAGGTTTCTTTTCGACAAGTGTCATCGAACGCCACTGTGGTAGTAAATGTAAAATTAAATCTTGAATGTTCATTCGAGAATAAGCCGGATGCAACTTCCGATGTTCATCTGCTAAATAGTAGACGCCTGTTCTATTCACCTGTGATTTTCTCTTCGATGGCATTGTTTCTATTTAATTATTCGACTTTTTCCTACATTAAATTTTCGTTCTATCTGACTGACTGCATCAAACGTAAAATATGGAAAAGTAACCAACTGTGGATTTAATTTAAACACACAGATGGCGTTAACTCTTGATGACCATTGCATCGAGACGCAGACAAATCTTTTGAATATCTTCTTATTCATGGAAAATGAACAATCCAGGATGACCAGTGGAAACTTAAGAAGTTGTTGTCACTATTAACATCGTGTTATCGTTTGATAACACACGTTTTCAACTCGTACCAGTTAAATCTTTTTGCTCTGGAGGTACATCTGATCTTCAAGAGAAATCAATTCATGCAAATTTCATTGGCATTCAGGAAGAAATCTGTCGCAAAATATCTATAACCATTTTAGCATCTGTGCATCTTTTTAGAAAGACTATTTTTAAATATAAAACATACTGCAGAAAAGTTCTTATTATGTCTTTTCATGTTCTGTGAAATGACTGTGAGTACACTGCGAACGTGAAACAACAATGGTATATTTCACGTTTATGAAAGAGATTATTGAGCGTGCAGACTACTGAAAGATTTTCTAAAATATAAATTGTGATTTACCATCGGGGATTATAGATAGTTTAGAAGGATCGTTAACTATCTTGAGAAAGGCTTAAAGAACACGAAAGCTCTCACAGAGACGTTCGTATTAAAAAGTTTTCTTTCTTCTCTATTTTTCAGACGTAAGCATACATGACGAATGTCTGATATTATCCTTTAAAACTTTAAAGCAACAACTTATCCGAGTATACTAACTGACGAGAGAAGTATAAACGATGTATGGTAGAATTTCAACCTACTTCAAGTGCATGCGAAAGCACGCTGTCAAATATTTCGGCGCTTTTGAATAATTAGGTTACATCCGATTCAAAACATCAGTACTCATTCGCTCGGAAATCATGCTGACATATAGTACACATGTGATTTTTGTTGGACAGTCTTTAGAGAACTATAGAAAGGCATAGGTTGCCAGGAAAGCATTCACATTTATTAAATCATAGGAATATTCTGATGTATGTTCGATGACAAACGACACCGTGGGCAAATACAACGTAATAAAACATTGAAGTTATAACGAAAAAAGTTGTTGAATATGTAAAATAAAATCGGATTGATCGCAGTTGATGATAGTGCTAATAGAATAGTTATGACGAAAAACAAGCGATATTCATACAGATGATGCGATTGATTCATTTGGGTATAGATGAAATTAATTTGAGTTGGCGAAAATGAGATAAAATAAAATATAGCAATGATGACTAACATAATCACTGCTTTTTTACGTGCGATGTTTCCGTGAGTAGTTGTCGTTGTAATAATATGAGTGGGAGAACGCGGTGATGACGTTGTTGACACAATCGCATTGATTGGCGACGGAAAGGAAGAACTTAGTTTGAAATGCGAATATTGATGATGGACAGCAGAGATCTTTGTCTTTTGCGTGTGCTGGACGAAAGAGTGGGCTTGGGCAACGCGATCGACCAAAAAGATTTTATAGCAAATAAACATGTAGGCAACCGTCTGGAATATGATCAGTAAAACTAGACAATTCAACAAAAGAGCAGCTTACTTGTACAACGGCTGGTAAAAAGAAGAAGAACACGGACTCGGTATATTTATAGAACATAATGAAATGTGCATCTGCTCGATCATCTGACAAACCACATATAAAATAATGCGGGCGATTGAAAAACGAATGCAATTGAAGTAGATAAAGATTTGGCATAGCAGCAAGAAACCCTATGGACCATATTAAAATAAATATGCAACAAACACGTCGACGACGATTAATTTGAGAAGATTTGACGGGATGAATAATAGCAATATATCTGAAAAAACAACAACTATGAGATTATCTTTCAAACTCATCATGCGTTCATACCTTTCAATGCTAATAATCAGTAGTGTTTGTACACTAACATAGCAGCCCAATACTTGAATGAATCGAACGATTTTACACATAAACAAACCAAGATGCCAAGCGGTTGGCCAATTATCATCCAGCGCAAACTGTGCAATGTCAAAGATGTTAAAAACAAGAATCAGTAGATCTGCGCAAGACATATTAACAAGAAGAAGATTTGTTGGTGAATGACGAAATTTCAATCGGTTAGTTGCTATCGAAAGGAAAACAAGACTATTGCCGAATAAACCAATTCCAGCAATGATAACGAAGATAACTGTGAGAATTATACGGAGATTTGACGAGTATTCTTTTGGAACGTTGATGAGTATTGTTAAATTCATGATGAATATTTTGTCAAATGGAAATTGATGAAGAATAGAGGCAGAGAATAAGAACACGACCTAGAACGTAAATAATATTATTTCCTTTAACATGTGTTCTGTGGAATTGAACTCTGTTCCTCGAAAAGAACGCCAGCAGCTTAAAGCTCTCTTTGGAACATAAATTTCTATGACATCCAGGCGTCTCTCTCAGCTAGAGACAATTTAACCTTGTGTTCGGCGCATTGAAACAAGATACTCTTTCATCGAATAGCAACAAAGAAGAATAAGAGCATATGTATGTACTTATATAAAATCCCAAAACATGAAAAGATTTAGCGATGCTGCAAATCATCAGATTGCCAATAACGAATGAAATGGAAGTTAAGAATATAAGGCAGTGATAGAGAAAGATGAAAAACATGGTCGTTGTGCTAATACGATTATTTTTCAATCGTATCTACTGAGATTTATTTGTGATAAACAAAAATTTAAGCTTATCGAAGAGTATACAGCGCATTTGAGTGATTAGTTGGTCAATGTATTGAACAATTTCAAACTGACACATTGACTTAGTTTTAATGCATCTCAACGAGAAGAAAAGTATAGAGAAATCTGCTGTTGATTAACAATTTCTTGTTTTTCTTAGCGAGTGGTGAGCATAAACAGACGAGTCACTGTTTTCTTTTCCTTTTGTCCTAAAAGGACGGTGAATATAAACGCGCATGATTTTCCGCTACAAGATGCTCTCAATGAAATTCTTCTATCGTTTTTTTCTTCTACAATTAGGAACGGAACGCATGTTGTATTACATTTAAAAAATCTAATCCTTTTTTCGAAGCCAGTAAGTTCCTTAAACGAAGCTCCCTGTCATTAATTAACCTTAATCATTTAGCGCCGATGTCAAACAGTATTATCCGCATTCAATCGAACTTTTGTACGCACTTGTGAATCTTTTTCATTTCGATCCTTCCTGTCTTTGAAGTAGTTACAAAAATGAGATCACACTTGTAATTGTACTGCAAGATAAAGGCGTGTCTTATCTAATTATTAACACATGTATTCACAAAAGAAAAACTTATAATAAAAAGAAAAGCGTCAGTCTCAACGAGTATAGCTTGTTACTCGCTGTGAGCATTATATTATTGTGTGTTTCTTCGTCTGAGATATACCCTGTATACATTGATTTTGCTAATGATATAATCTTCAGGAGTTAACTATGTCATAGAAGTGTCATTCAGTCTGTGTAACAATTATGAATGAACAGAACTCTTGACTTAGTATAGAACAATAGGAAATATGAGGAAATAAGCTACTAAAACTTAATTATCGCACTGATAAGATGACGCACATAGTAATTTTGATATCTCGTTTGTATTTTGTGTCTTAATGCAACTTTGTATTAAATAAAAACGAGAACACATATTCATCGATGAATACGGAAACAAACGTCTAGTTAATTTTATTTATAAGACGAGCCATCCGTATGCTGCCTTTGAGTGCGCGATGTTGTAAAGCAAAGTCTCTGTCTTGTAATTTACGCTCGTCGATAACTTTCTGGTCTATTGCTTTGAACGCGATTTGATTTTGCAAAGCGATTCGATAGACAACGTCAATATTCGCTGATTTTTGTTGATCGAGTAATTTGCTGGGAAACAATCTACGTGAACCCATGGTACCTATTGATGATGACGAGTTAAACGAAGGAGAGTCAAATAGATAGGGTGGTGACTGTGATTGACAAGCAGGATTCGAATTACTCGGATATTCATCAAGCAGAGCTATCAGAGGATTTGTTCGGGATTGAGTAGTGGAACGTTTTTGAACTGGAGTTGTACGTGGTCGAAGTAAATGCTTGTTTTTACCATTGATAGAATCGGTGTGTTTTTCATCATTGTGATCAACTAGTAAAAGCAAAGGTCGAACGGGTTCTGTTGGAGCTTTATTTGATGAAGAAGAAGTTGATCGCTCGCCACTGATTGAATTGATTCTTGCCCTCATTTTGATCGATTCTATGAGAATAATAAAAGCTAATTGAAGAAAAATGGCATCGTATCCAGTCAAACCGATTAGATCTTTCGCTTCATCTTGTGCTATTTCGTGCATGTGTGCTTGTTTCCATCGTTGATATGCTGGATTCGGTTTAATCACCCGAACTACATTTTTGAAATGATATTTCAAACCTTGCTCTTCTCGATGTAATCGAGTAAGGTACGTTTGTAAATCTTCACGCATAGATTTGATTTGAATTTGCAGTCGACGATTCTCCAAACTATTCAGTCGTACAGCTTGCATCTGGCACGGACTTAAAACAACATCTCCCTTCATGCCCTTCTTCATCTTTGATTATTGATTTCGTCTTTCTTTTTTCTTTTTTCTTTCATTTTTTGTTATATTGAAAATTGAAAAGAAACCTTTACTTGGCGCATTCGAATACATAATATGGCGCAAGAAGAAAACTTACATCAACGCTCGGATTTTGTGCAAATCAATGAATCAAATGAAAAAACTCCAATAATTATATACGCTCATCAACTCAACCAATACTATCATACACTTCTAGGAAATCCTTTTCAACGCCTGAAATATTTCAATCCTGTAACAGAACAATATGACTTTCATCGAACACCTGGAATAATTAACTACATAATTACCTATTATCTTTATCAAGGATGTTTATCGACCGAGGTGTACTATCCACCAGAAATTCTCTACGATGAACTCGTATTTTTTGGTTTTAACATACAAATGGTATATGATATCATTTCAAATCTGATCACCGTTGAATATTATATACCTTCTGGTAATAGTATACTGCTAGACGAGAAATTTGATCGAGTTTTGTCACTTGAGAGTAGTGTTGTAATAAATATGTAAGTCGATTCGAGTATTTTTAACTTGTTATTAGTCACATCATTGTCGACCACGAAAAAAGGCTTCTTGACTTTAGTCGCATGAGAGTGTTTGTTTATTTCTCAGGAAAATATCGTCGGGCATTTTGGTCGACATTCGCAAGTGATATCTCGAGGACAAACTTCTATTTAACAAGAATTACCCGTGGACTGATAACGATTTCTTCGATTATCACATCGATTGTACTTCTCGAACTATCGAACATTGTGTTTCTTAAAAACGATGCTAAAGAAAGAACCCTCATTTGCAAAACATCAATTATAGAAATAGGTGTCTTGTTATTTTCATACATCGAACTCAGTATACACTACTTCATTAGGCCGAAACTTCAACATGTGACACCGTTTCTAATTCTCATCAACATTCTCTCGCTAATACCAATTGCCTTCTTTCTCTTCATTTGGGTAAAAAAAGAAGCTCGATGCCTATCCGTTAGGAACATATTTCTATCTGTTTGTTAGTCTGTTCCACCTATGTGGTTATACATTCTATTGGTGATACAATGTACCACTCGTATATTTCGAAGTGTTCGAATATCTGCTCGTGCTTATCAGATTATGAATGTCTTAACTAGTCGATTATCAATATATTATGAGTCATTTCAATCCATCGGCTTAATCGTTCTTTTCTGCGCATTGTTTCTGCTTGCTTTCGAACAACTATCATCACCTGTCGAATTTTTAACAAATCTTTCTCTGAATAATACGAATCATACCCAACCGTTGAGTGAAATTATTTGGATATCGACCAATGCATTTACATCGTTAGGTGAAGGAACGAGTCGACCATCCACGTCGGCAGGTTTAATTATCGAATTTCTGACGTGTGTTATCGGCGTTTTAACAATTCCACAGTTGGCACAGATTATCTATACCCTGGTATCAGATACAATTGACAAGCAGAAAATCAATGAAGAAATATGTTGTATGACCCACCTTGTCATGGTTGAAGATGAATATGGAAGTAAAGCCATTGGTCTGGTTGATGTGGATGAAAAGAGGAATGCCAGTTTACCGAAAATTCTTATAGAACAAGGTGAATTCTGAAGATAAAACGGACTAAAGACAATTAATCAATAAAGAAAATGTTGTTTCGGCCAAAAGTATAACATTTCATTTTTATCGATCATTCGACACATGTACTAACTAATTGTCAGCAGCAGCAAGTAAGGAATAGCTCGATCTACAGTGAGTACGTGCTGCTGATCAATGAGATTGAGAACTATTTTTAGAGCATAATCAGTACGTCGAAAAAACGTTTTCCTCTTATACTAACGCATGTACCATTAACAATATGACAAACTCCATAAATATATAAATATATGTAAGAGGGCTTCACTTATTACAATGCATTACATGTTGTCAAATTCACTTTATTTGACTATGTACATTCGATAATAAATAGACACATCAGAGAACAACACCGCAAATATTACTTGATCGGCAACTTTTTCTCAAAAACACAGCAGAATAGCGGAAGCTGCTGTCACCCCATGCGAAATCACAGACAGTAAAGATTTTTACGCTAAAGTCAATAAAATATTATAATGAAAATTGATCATATTGTCAATTTGTATACAAATTTGTGTACAAAATTGAAAATGAGCTGCGGAGCAGCGTTGATCAATGCAACTACTCCAGGTCGCCAATCCACGAGACATTTAACTGTGTCAATGAGTCCATGATCCAACATAGACTTATACGAGCTGCATACCATGGCTTCATTCACAAAAGTATCTATCTTTTTTTCTTTGGTATACAATTAGCACACGCAGTGCGTATTCTTTTCAAGTAGACAATAGAATTCAATCCGCATACACGTCCGACTTATTACTGATTATGTAGAAAACAATTTGATATTGTCTGAAATCAACAAACGCCTCTACAGTTATTATCAGCTTTTATCTTTCAAAACATTTGTTCTACGGAAGTACGAATAGATCTTTTTTCTATATCACTCGGCGAATTTTTTTCCCAATTATCATATACAAGTTCAATTCTTCCATCTATGCATATCCGTGGATCGATGATCGCTTAGCGTTCTCTTACTTAGTACTAATTTCTAACGAGTAGTAGATGTCATTAGATCGTAACTATTAGAACTGTTTTACTATTGGCTGTTCTAAATTATCCACTTGACGTTTGACTAGATATTAACTTGAGTCATATAATATATATATGATATATCACTATATATTTAGTGTTGCCTACTTGTTTGTTTTAGTGTAGGCAGAGAGTATGAGTTTGTTGTTTTTTCATCCTTCTACGTCGCCTCTCCTTTGTTGATTTAATCAAATTCCTTTGATTAGATATCAGTAAAGTACATGCTTGTTTTTTTTTTCTAGATTTTCTCTCTCCTATGATGAGTAAATGTGTAAGACTAAACGGTATCATAGATACTCAATCATGAAATATATTTAATACTCGTGAAATAGTATGGTTAATCAAATGGCGACGTCAAGCAAAGATTTAACGCAACGTACACGTCAACTTGAAGAACGTATTGTCGATCCACGTTCGTCCATATCTATCGATAGTCTTCTCGACTCACTTATTGCGCTAACGTATGATTCCGAAGGTCTCAAGAAGACGAAGAATTTCGATACATTCTTCTCAAAGTGTAAGTGGATGCCGTGATTCCCAGCAGGTTTCTTTGAAATGTCATTATTTGTAGTTCATGCACCGACGAGGGAAATTCGGGAGAAAAGAGTCAACTTTGATGATTTCGAAACATTGAAAATCATCGGTCGTGGTGCATTCGGTACCGTTGATCTCGTACGACAGAAACCATCTGGACAAGTTTATGCGATGAAGACATTAAGCAAATTTGAAATGGTAAAAACTTTGTTTTTTTTGCATTGTAAACTTCATTCCATCTTATCAATGCTCTTTGTTATGTGTTCTACTTAGTTGAAACGCTCTGATAGTGCCTTCTTTTGGGAAGAACGAAATATTATGGCATTTTCAAACAGTGATTGGATCGTGAAACTTTACTATGCGTTTCAAGATGCGAGAAATGTAAGATATGTCAAGACTTTGGACTTTCTAGAAGTACAATAATACGAAAGGATGAACCTTTTTTTGCAGAATATTCGTTGATACATAGGAAAATTGTTTTCCATTCTAGTTATATATGATTATGGAGTACATGCCCGGTGGTGATTTAATAACTCTGCTTGAACGTTATGAAATAAGTGAAAGTTCCGCTCGATTCTATTGTGCTGAAGTAGTCTTAGCAGTAGATGCAATTCATACTCTCGGTTACATCCATCGGTAATTAAATCAAAAGTTTCATTGTCAAGATTTCATTCTATTCTATGTTTGCCAGAGACATAAAACCTGACAATATGTTACTTGATAGTCATGGACATTTGAAATTGGCCGATTTCGGTACTTGTATAAAAATGGACAAAGTAAAATAGAAGATGTTTTTCTTTTAAATATTTATGAATCTGAATTTATAGGATGGTTTAGTTCGATCTGATACTGCCGTTGGTACACCAGATTATATCAGTCCGGAAATTCTAAAATCCCAAAATACAACTGGTGTTTATGGACGTGAAGTTGACTGGTGGTCTGTTGGCGTTTTCCTCTACGAAATGTTACTTGGTGAAACGCCGTTCTACGCAGAATCATTAGTTGGAACATATCATAAGATTATGAACCATCGTGAAAATCTTAGTTTTCCAGAAGAAGTTCCATTATCAACTGAAGCTCGCTCCTTGATCTGTGCTTTTCTCAGTGATAGGTAAGACAAACTGCTTTTGGTAAAGAAAGAGCTACATTGCGTTTTGTTTTCTCTCTGTAAAGATCCACTCGTTTGGGTAAAAACGGTGTCGCTGAAGTGAAAGTACATCCATTTTTCGCAAGTCAAAATGAATGGGCTTGGGATACTATACGAAAAGGTATTCGACTCACATTCTTAATTAGGAAAAGAACATTTTCGTTAAAATCTTATTGCTTAGCATCCGTGCCTATCGTTCCACCTTTGACCAGTGATGAAGACACAAGCATGTTCAACGAAATCGAGAATATCGATACTCCGTCAGAAGAATCGTTTACAATTACTAAAGCATTCGTTGGCAACCAACTATCTTTTATTGGATTCTCTTTCTCCAATGAACAACAGTAAGCATTGCATTGACACTGTTGGCTCGATATTTGAAGGCATCAGTTTAGAGTTCCAGAGGGAACTGATAATTTGTCACGTTAATTCATTAAAGCAGAAAAGCCAATCGAAAACAGTCTATTATTATCTGGATACGTGCAGGGAGAAAATTTCTGCAAAACAATGACAGATATTGTTGTTTTGGTTACAAGCAGAGACTTAGTCGAGAAGAAAAAAACATCGATCGCGTTATAGTAAATAGAATTAGTACGTTCAGCGAAGCAGACAATATGGTACTATTTTGTAAACAAAAAGAAAAGCCTCTGAAATAAGTAAATTAAAGATCAAGCTCTTTTTCGAAATGCACAGGAGATGTTTTAATCGATGATACGCTATTTGAGATCAAGGCCTACAGAATGATCAGCTTATTACAACGACAGTATGTTGTCTGTGGAATTTACAGATCGTTGAGAATCAGTTCTGGCCCATAAATAATTACACGCAGTGAAATCAAGAGACAATTGGAAAGATTGACGATATATAGTCAAGCATTCTGTTATGACAACTTTGATATTTGCGAAAATATCAGTATCCTACAAAACTTGATTGATAAGATAAAAAAAAACATATTTTACGTGGAAATTTGGATAAGGACGAGTATATTCATTGAATTTCCTTTTCTATTTAGACCGTTTCTAGATCGTCACACGACAAATAATGTAATTGTTAAATCTTATATTTGGATATTCTATTTGTTTGTTTGTTTCACCGCTAGTTAACCACATTCACTAGCCCGGATCTTGGACAACGTTTACAAGAAAACGAACGATTAAAAGCTGAATTGGAAGTCCGTGTTCGGTACGCGTCAAGTCAAGTCAAGCTAGTCATTCAGTCGTTTGTATTAATTTTACTTCTAGACGTCTACATGATGATTTGAATGCAAAATGCCAAGAAGAGCAATTGTTGAATTCAAAACTGTACGATGTTGAAAAATTAAACGTTGTTTTAGCGACAGAATTGAAAGAAGTTTGTCACGAAAAATGTTTCATTGATAATTTGAAAAATGATTTCTTATTTCAACAGGCTCAACGGAAACATGAACTCGAATTAGAGGGTCATCGTTTACATGAGAAGAACGCAGAAGATATCAAACTCGCACTTGAATATGAGAAACAAAGCAAAATTCAAGTGGATGTTACAAATCGCGAATTGACAGATAAGATTACACATCTCGAACGACAAGTATAATTGAAACAGTATCTTTTGAAATTGTAATATCTTCTTTCATGTTATTAGTTAGAGAAAATGAATGAACAGCTTCAAATGGTTACCGATCAGAATAAACGGTTGGAAAAACTCAATCAAGAATTGCAAAATACTTATACACACTTCGAGCGCACATACAGCGATTCCAATGAAAAATATCAAGAATTGACAACAATCAAACTCCAATTGGAGAAAGATCTACTCGAACAACAACTGATTGTTGAACACGAGAAAAATGGCAAAATTGCTGTACTCGAGAAACTTCATGAGCTCGAAGGTAATCATTCGAAACTGCGACCAAATCTCACCGACTAGCAAGAAATCTATCGATGTCGGGAGAGCGTGACCTAAGATATTGATCAGTAGATATCTCTTATCGAAAACATGGATCACGATTACATTCGACATTAATAATATTCGATACAATCTACCAGATGTTCCATTTCATCATTGTCTCAGATAATCTCCGAATCCTCCTCTTATATAGATAACTAAGAAGAGTAGAGCATTTTAGACAATACTCATCGCTAGGCGAGTAAGTAGATGAGTTATTATAGAATACCTGAGTAATCATTTCGATACGTACAAAATTCTCGAATTGATGAATGAATTATCATTCTATTTCGATTGAACTTTAGAAAAGTGTAACAATATGACGATCGAATTATCGAAATCGAAAGATCGAGACATCTCACAAATGAACGAAGTTGCCGAATTACGTCAAACATCTGCATTGTTGGAACGAGTATAACGATAATTTGTATCTTTAACTGATCTTCTGTGTCTCATTTCTAAGGAAAAATTGACTCTTGAAGTTGATCTTAATGCACTACGTGCCAAACTATCTGAAGAAGAAGCTGCACATAAGAAATTTCAAGAGCAAATTCTCGTCGAGAAGCTGAACCGCGCTGGAAATGATGAAGAAATCAATCATCGCAGCGACGAAATTATCAAAGGTACTTAACCCATCTTTCAATTCATATAAATCTTCATTTGTTGTAGATCTGGAACGGCAATTGGATGTCGAACGTTTAGCTTTGAAGAAATCCAATGAAGAATTGACACAAACGCAAAAAAACGTTCGAATGCTTGAAGTTGATATCAAAGAATTAAAAACGAACTACGATCAATTGACACAAGAACATAGGTTATTGATACAATCGAAAGAACAACTTACCGAACAAATGGAATCCGATTATAACCAACGTCGAATTGAACAAGAAAAAGATCTCAAATTGATGCAACAACAACTAAATGATTCATTAACAAAAGAGGCACAGATGGAAAGTAAATTCAGTCAATTAGAAAAAGAAAATCAACGTCTTCTGGATGAATTAAATCATTTGGATGATGAATTTGAGATGATTAAAACTAAACTTCTTGATTATGAAAACCAACTCGAGGGTAAGAGAGTTGTTTTGTCTGTCGGGTAACTTCTATTTTAATAATACAGAGAAAAACAAAATAATCGTACTTTCTCGTACGCAAATCAAAGAACTGAAGGATGAGATCGCTGAGTTGACAGAAAACCTTCAACATACAAACAGCGAACAACAGAATATCATCGATGAAAGGTAGGACATTTTCCCATTGGATATGATTAGTAACAATGTGTACGGTATCGTTTAGGGACAATTTCTTCAAGCAACTTGAAATAGCGAATACGAAATTGAAAACCGACAGTGTTAATCGTAATTTATTAGAAGAACAATGTGCAGAATTGGAAAAGGAGAAGAAGTTTATGATGATCGAAATGGATGCAATAAGAAAAGAATTTAATACTCGACTGAATTTATTAGATTCAGAAATTAATACGGTAAATACCAGAAAGAAGAAAATTGAACTCTAGTATTCGCTTTTCAGTTCCGTGATCGACACGAAAAATTACAACATGATCTGGAACAGGCAATCAAAGAGCGTGATATCATCAGTGCGAAATCGGAACAAGCACTTCATAGTATGTCATCGAACTCTGTTCTATCTATTTTCCGTTTGGAAACAATCGTTCATTTGATATAGAATTCGATGAGTCGGAACGGCAGGTACAAGAACTGCGTAAGAAAGTTGAAGAAGAACGTGCAGTGAAACAGACGGTAAGTAATTTTCATTCAAGAGATTCTCATAGATGCATGATTTGTACTTAGTTGGTTGACAAATTACTGGCACTAGCAACGGATCCATTGGCGAATAATCCATTCTATTCTCAGCCGGTAGGCAGCAATAGTCGTCGAAGTGAACGAGATCGCAATCGTAATGAGCACAATATGGTGCGACGACTCGAACAAGCGTTGAATGTGGTATGGTTGAAAGGAATTGCTATTGAGACTTGTGAGCTGATGCGCGTTTTAGGAACGTGAAAAATATAAAAAATTACAAAATGAAAAAGACGAAGATGTGTCTGCATTGAACGAAGAAGTTAACAAATTAAAACGTGACCTCGAAACCAAACAAGATGAGATTGACAAGCTGAAACACCAGCTTGATATACGTCGCTCAATCGATAACATGTCAACAATAACAGAAGATTTGGAGGAAGATAATAAAGGTATGTTTAATAATGTTTTTACTTCTTAGAAAGACATCAATATGTTCTGATTGTTTTAGAAACTTGGGTACAGATTCCAAAGAAGAGTAATATCCAGAAATATGGCTGGAAGAGACAACTTGCCATTCTAGCGAAGAATAGATTGTCTTTGTACAATTCCGAAAAGGATCAGCAACCTTCGATATCGATCGACATTGAGTAAGCTATCAATTCTTATTTCTATCGATGTTTGGAACTTCTTTGTTTAGTAAACTTTACCATGTCCGAGCAGTGAATCAAGGTGAAATTCGCAGGATAATCTTTTCAATTAATCCTCTCGATGCCATTTCTAGGTGATGTTCTTCATGTTGATCCTCAAATTATCCCGAAAATCTTCCAAATTATCTATGATAGTCAAGCCCACACGATACCCAATCTAGTGACATCGATGGGAATGCATTCACTTGTATGTTTTCGTACATAAATATATATATATATATAATGACTTGAAATGGACTAAACGCATCTATGGCTTCTCTTTTTTTTAGGATTCAGAACGTCATAATGGAGAATATATTGAACATAAAGGTCATCATTTTGTTATTGTAACATATCGTATGAGAACTGAATGCGAAGTATGTAATCATCCATGTTATAATTTATTATCCCCACCGCCATGTCTCCAATGTACCCAATGTCGTGTTCGTTGTCATAAACAACACTATGATGATGGAGATTTTATTCAACCATGTCGAGGTATGAGCAATTCGATTGACCGATAACTTGCAATAAACATGTTTTGTTTGTAGTCTATGACACGTCGACAGCTAAAGAATTATTAGTGATGTGTTCGAGTGAAAACGAACAAAAACGATGGATTGCAAAACTAAGTGCCAAGATATTACCGCGGCCAGTGGCTGATCCACCAAGGTAAGAATTACTATTTGCATAGAAAGTCTTTGGTAGGATAAAAATATCATTCACCTATTTGATATCGATAATGAATCAGCGCGATACAATTTTCCTCATCATGGGATTGAGTTTGAGATAAAATGCCATTGAAATTTTTCAGAAAAAGCAAAACATCGTCTCTGAAACTCTTGAAGAAGTCGTCAACTATGCCTACAACAATGCCTGATTTTTAGTGAGTCTAAGTGGTCATAGTTGCAAATGACCAAATCTCATCTGCATAACTATTTAGTCCTATAGAAAACGATCGTTATTTTTGAAAAGAAGCTGTATGTGTTTTTCTCTTCTCTCCAAATTGCAGATGTTAATTTGAAACGAAATTCTTTGCTCTATTTGCTCTGCTCATATGTTTGGTACGTGATGATTTCTCGCTTTCTATTCGACATCTACCAAAATGAATCGCGATTCTTTATAAAGAAAAACAATACTGTCTGTTGTTCATTTAGATCTCGTACAACATCACATCATTCACCGAATACAAGTGTTAGTTCATCTTCTTCCAATTTGAATACTAGTAATTCTGATCAAACATCAAAAGAAAAGTTCTCGACACTTTCAACTCGTGCTAAGTGAACGAACTTTTCAGTATTTATCTGAATTTCTTCTCTTTTTCAATACTTTTTTCTAATCCGGTCCTTATCTTTGTATAGAGTTCTTTCGCTGGTTTTCTTTTCTTCATTCAATCTTATGCATGTGTGAATATGTTTTTATTTCGTTGTTTTTCACTGCGTCGTTGGTGCTTTCTCCATTGCGTTTTTATACTATTTTTCTATGATCATTTTGTCACAATGCGTCGTTTCTATCATGTTCTGATTTGGTTTTACTTTCTTCTTTAAATAAGATTGAGATTTGAATGGTATGATGAACAATCGTGCGTGTAAATATGCCTTTTTAGTCGAGGAACATGAAATAAATTCAAGACTATCGTTCATAGTAGAAGATTGTTAGATGGCAAACCTAATAAATCATGCCGGAAGCTTATCAACGATAAAATCATGTGCAAGATTGACTCCAATGACGCACGACAATTACTATTTCTTTCTAATAATAAACCAAGAGGAAAGCTCCTGTATGCTTAAGTTTTTCTTTATATAGAATTGCGTGAGGCGCAAAACGTTTTAAAGAGTATCTGATTATGTAAATATTGAAGAACGTAAATACTAGCTGCTTTAGCAAATTATTAATCAAATTCGACCTATATCTTCCCTTTCGATGCTTTTCACGTCAGAACATTGCCTTACAAATTTATTTTGTAAGAACTAAATGATAATGCCTTTACACATGATGTCACAATACTATTTCTCCCCGATTTTCTGCTCTATGTAAGTCGATAGACTCTAATCATTAGAGTCTAATTTCCATATCAAGGTCAATTTGCTATAAATAGGAAGTGAACCGACTTAGACATAGTTTCATTATCAAATATGTACCAAGAAATTATGATGGATTTTCAAAAACGTCAATGACACATGACGATTATCTGATACTCATCCAGATCTATGTTGCCATTGAAAGTAAGTATCGGAAAGTGCCGTATGCATAAACGTACACCCAGACTCTTATTGATTATAATCGTGTGCAACTTCATAACTTTGTATCGTATAGCATTCTTTTCATTTTCTAATTGATTCACTTCTTTTTATCTCGATACAATTTGTAGCTTCTCTAATCCTTTTTTCACACTTGAAGATATGTGAGAAAATGGTCACCCTGCTCGAGGGCTTCTTCTCCTGCGTCATTCGATCATCACAGTTAAATGAAAGAAAAGGAACAAAAGAGAAAACGCCATAACTATTGAAAACATCTGTTGTCCGTCTGATTTCAACTAATCAAATCATGTTCAATTTACTATCCATCGAAACCAGATGGGAAGTAGGCAGTTGCTTCGTTATTGGTAGAAGACACAAAAAACGAGGTCGCCGATCAATCAATAAGTTCTTGTCTATTTCGAAAGCTAATATTTAATAATGGAAAGTTTGAGCTGAGAGAATAACTTTTCGGTGTCAATCATCATTGGTACATCTGCCTGTCGTTATATATGTAACGAGAGCAGACTAATTAGACTTTTCTTTTACTAACTATAGCGTACGCAATCAATTCACCCATGTTCCTATCATCATCAACATCAGACTATATTTTGTCATATGCGTAATACAGTGCGCTATCGTTTTCTGATCAGCTGATGTGTATATATATATATATATAAACAATCAACCACGTGTTTAGGCATGTCTCTCAATTTATCTTTTTCTCATGTGTACCACACGAGAGATATATCACATACAAAATTCCAGCGAATAGTCTTATGACGTCGAGCAATAGCAAATCGTTGAGCGGGCATCAGTTTGCCCGGGTAAAAAGAAGAAAAAAAGAACGAGAAGGGAGAGAGGAGAAAAAAGAGGAACAGAGTACATCACGACTGACGCCGATATAAATGGCAAGCGCTCTGTTCTATTTAGCTTTTATTTCTATCGTGCGCGCGCACGGCGACTAACGAAAGTGTGTGTGTGTTGTGAGTGAGTGAAAGAAGAAGAAGAAGAAAAAAAAGAAGATCGTCCATCAGTTAACAAATATTTGATGGGACTAAATTTATTCGATACGAAAACTTAATTCAGTTATTATTCCAAATAATTAAACAAAACGAAAGAAAAATGGACGCCATGTTCACATTCGTAAGTTATTTGACGTTTTCTTTCTACCTATTCGAAAAAGAGACAGAAAGAGATTAGAGAGCTGTCATAAAACAATCACAATGGTCAGATATAAGCTCTTCGATCCAGATGAACTTTGAAGGATCAGACTGGATTGTGCGTATACAATATACATGCATATCTTTTAGAGTGAAGAAGAGTTGAATGCTGTTGCCGTTCATTCAAATGACGATTCATCGAATAGTAGTCCGTCAACATCGGCTATGTTGACACCAACACCCGTTGAAAACCTAGGACGTGGACAAGTCAAACGGCCAACGTCACTGAATGTATCAAAGCCAGCAGGTAACCGACGGTGTTCTTTTTGGTCGAAAAATTGCAAGAAAATATTTGTTTTACACAACCTATTTTATTTAGAGCTTGTTTTACGTGATTCCACGAACGCCGGATGTAAATCGGAAGGTTCGCCAATAAATAGCGTACAGAAACGACAGCAAAAGAAGAAGAAACGCCGCGCAGCAAATTCATATTCAGATGTATCGTTCAGCGATAAGTATAAGTTAACCGAAGAATTACTTGGAACCGGTGCACACGGGTAAGTCATCATTTGATACTGACGGGTTTTTGTTCAATCAAACTTTCTTTTTCTTTCTTTTTCTCGTGTTTAGAGTGGTTAAAACGTGTCGCGATCGAGTAACGAAACAAGAATATGCCGTTAAGGTATGTTATTAAATCCATTTTTGTCGACCATATCTTTTTCTTTGTTAAGCAAAGAAAGAAGTCATTTGAGTTTACAGAACGAGCGACCCCGGACATAAATCTATTGTGACATGGAAGAGAAAGAAAAAGAAAAATTATTCTTTGGAGAGAAAAGAAAAAATGATGTTGACAACTCACATAAAAGGATGCTAAGAATAGACAAGTCGAATAAAAAAATAATAATAAATGTGTTAGAGTAAATCGATTTTTTTTTCATTTAGATAATCAGCAAGGCTCGTCATCCAAATCGAACGCGTGTATTTAAAGAAATTGATATCTATTATCATTGTCGCGGTTGTGAAAACATCTTAAGCATTATTGATTTTCTCGAGGATGATGATTATTTTTATCTTGTCTTTCAAAAAATGGAAGGCGGTAGGTTTTTCTTATCTTGATGGAAATATATTCTTATCATCTTCTTCCAGGACCATTACTCAATCATATAATGAAGCGTGGCCGTTTAAATGAACGTGAAGCTAGTTTAATCGTGCGAGATATTGCTACTGGTCTTGATTTTCTTCATTCGAAGGGCATGTCTCATCGGTACGTGTTCATAGATAGTTTGAAGTTGTTCTTTCTTATCGATGAGTATGTTGTCTTTAGGGATTTGAAACCAGAAAATATCCTAGTCGAACGTGCCGATAGTTTAGTGCCAATAAAATTATGTGATTTTGATTTGGGCTCAGCTATTCGTCTTAATAGTAATAAAACGACACCAATAACGACACCAGAATTATCAACACCGGTACGAATTGTTTTTCTTCGCCGTGGAAGAACTGTTGAGCAACTATATACAATGCTGTTCTTCTAGGTTGGATCAGTCGAATTCATGGCTCCTGAAGTTGTAGATGCATGGAGAAGCTTAGAGGGTTCATCACAAATGTATGATAAACGTTGTGATTTATGGTCACTTGGTGTTATTATCTATATCATGTTATCTGGCTATCCTCCATTTTATGGCACATGTGGACATACATGTGGTTGGACGAAAGGTGAAGAATGTGAACAATGTCAAAGTCTTTTATTTGAACGTATACAAGATGGAGAATTTGATTTTCCTGATAAAGATTGGCAATATATATCGGATGGTGCAAAAGATCTAATCAAGCGCTTATTGGTTCGTGATGCGTCCCTACGTTTAACAGCCGCGGAAGTTCTTCAACATTCTTGGGTGAAAAACAATCATGACTTAAACGAACGACTATTGAATACGCCAGAACTTTTACAACGGTAGATATGAGATACGTTGCGCAAATCAAATCATTCCCTTCTTCTTCTTTTGTTTCTTGCAGTCACGGAAGTATTCGTCGTTTAGAATCATTTACAAAGGATGCTTTGAGTATAACAAAAATGATTGATGAACGCGAACGAATGATGTATCATCGGTCACGCAGTATTGATAGTACACCTCAACGAAGTCGCAAGACCTCACATGATCATATTCATCCGCTGTCAACGAAAAATAGCAATGATGACGACGATGACTATGCAGACGACGATGATGATTTTAATGAATCCGATTCTAGTGTTACACGAATCTTGAAACGACGAATGAGAAAAAAGAAAAAACAACAAAATAAAAATCAATCAAATAACGAGCAAGATGATAATCAAAATTTCGATAGTTTAAGACGAAGATTATCAAGGTAAATCAACAAGATGACGTCGAGTATACACGAACCTATGAACTTTTCTTTTCATTTAGTGCAACGATGACATCGGGTGATGAAGATGATTATTTGGCATGCAGTTTTAAAACAGTCATTCATTGTCCAACAAAGTCTACGAAGGTACAAGCTCCACCTTTACCAACACAGTCACAACCACAATCACAACCACAACCACAATCGCAATCGCAACTGCCGCCGCTGCCAAAACCATCGTCAACACCACATTTCTACTTGGCTCCTACAGATAGTTCGCCGCAACAGCCAACACTAGTGGATATGTTAACTCTAACACCATCACCATTGATTCCTGCTCCCCCAGCTGCATTACCTGTTCTTGTGCTTCCATCACCACCTGTTAATCTACCTATACATCATCGAGCTCATACAGATACTGATCTTCTTTTCTACAATCAACAACCAGTTATTTATCCTCTTCGTTGGTATGCACCCTCGGCATTTATGTACTCTAATCATAGTACTCCACCAGCAAATTTTGTCTACGGTCCAGTAACATCACTTGTCATGCATCCCGTACCCCCTCAACAAGTTCGGAGTTCGTCAGCCGATTGTCGTCGTACGGCAACTAATAATAGTGAACATCGTGTTATACATCCTGAACGCGTTTGGTAGGGTTAGACAAAAAAACATAGGGGAAGATCTTTGTTGATATGTCATTTTGTTTCTTTGTTTTACTTTTATAAACTTTTCCTTTGATATACTCTGTAGTTAGAAGAGCTCTCTTTGTTACATCCATACACAACTTGAGTAGGATAGGTTATTTATCTTACCCAGTGATGATTTTTTTTTCTTTCTTCTACGTCTTCGTCTACTTTTCTTTTTCCGTTCTACGCATTATTTCGATCTGACTTTCAGTATTGTTATTCTACTACACGGTTTTCTCTCTCTCTTTTTCTTCATTTGTAAACATCAGGGTAGTCGTGATGCGTTTTACGCAGTTGAAAGGCTGGGTTGTACACTTGAATAAGGAGGTGAATTATTGATCAATTTGAGACGTTAAGTTTCAGATTCCAATTATTTCTTCGATGTGTCTCTCATTCATTCTGTAGTGCGCACTCCGACATTATATATATATATCTGTTATAGTCTTGTTCCATATCTATTGTATATATTTCAAAACGTTTTTTTTCTTGCGTGCGCTCTCTCTCTCTCTCTCTCTCTCTCTCTGTTCGTTGCCATTTTTGTGCCATTTTCTTGTTCTTGCTCGAAGCATCAAAATGTAGTTAGGCAGCGATGATATGATATTTTCATTATGTATATATCTATATATATGTATCTGTATGTGTTTGGATTCATTCTTGCGAAGCATCACACATTCATATAACTTGTGAATATCTACTCCTCTCTTTTTCTTCTTGTTTGTTTTCACCTATACCGGTCTTTTGATCTTCTTTTGTTATAAACTTGTATTGATGTTTCTTCTCTTCTCATGTCTAGGATGAAATTCAAGCGGACATAGAAGTTTTTTTTGCGTAATGATGACCAAAGGCCATGTGCGGCATTATGTGTGATTTGTCGTCATTTTGTCTTTTTCTTTCTCTCAAATTTCTTTTTCTTCACATCTTCATTCTTTTTTTTTGTACGTAGACTATTCGAGTTATTTGATGTACAACATACGAGATGTATTGAATAAGAGAAAACAACTTGTTGTAATCAGACAGATGAGTAAACGGGATTATTATTATTATTATCATGATTTAGTTTAAGTTAACATTTAAGAAAAAAAACAAATAAAAGAAAGAAATATAGGACTAACAAATGCCAAAGTCTTCTTTCTTATCAAATCTCTTCAAGTAGACATGTTTATTTTTTTCCTTATCAAGAAATATACTGACCTACTTATGGGAGTACAATTGTCAAACAAGCAACATCACATGCTTATATGATAAGACGAAGTAATAGGTGTATTGCGTAGGTGAAAAATATCAACAGAAAGAATAATTGTATTAGTTTACCAAACGAGATAGACGAGGGTGCTTCAGTGTTTCGCTGATGTTGTTGCCTTTTCTCATGTTGATAGAGAATGCAACGAAGACATAAAAGAAAAAAAAAAAGAAGGAATTATTACCGTTCGGGCTAATAATAAATCTTGAGATTGTCGGTCACACCTAGACGACATATTATTAGTCTGTTTGTATAGAATATCGTTATGAATTGAATACTTTGAAAGAGCATAAATTGATTTGGTACCTCGATTTCAAACACGAGTATTTTGTTCTTTTGCAAACAAGTTTGTTTTTCTTTGGTATTGCAACAACAAAACTGTCGAGATTATTAATAATACTCGACAGTGACAGGTTCTTTCTGAAAAAAAAGTCTGCCAATGAACAGGAACAATTATCTTATTCATAATGAAAAAAACATGTTTCAATTTGACACTGAGAGAAAGAGATTTGTTCTAAGGTAAATCATGACTGACTGATCACACGAGAAAATCTGACCAACGATAGAGATTTTTTTGTTCTATTCTTAGCTTATCAAATAGAGGAAAAACAAGATTAAGTTACAAGCATTTTGCTTCATACGTAGGCATAAGTGGAGAAAAGGTAACCGGTTTTCTTTCGCGTTTAATTGTATATTTAACCTTTAATTGTTTATTATCCAATTGCGCAGATAAAATTTCGTGCGTGATATTATTTACAAGTACTTCATACATGACGACTATCGCGAAATATTATAGATTGCATAGCGATTATGATAATCGAGGCATACTGTTGTTTTTTTGTAACGATTCGTGACAGTGCATTCAATCATCGATGAATGATCATCAGTTTTACACTGACAAAAGAAATGTGTTCTATTTCATCTGTAAATAGCACGATCGCACTAGCATGGATATCATGCAATTTACTAATCAGACTTGCATTAATGTTTAATGTATTGATGAAATTTAATCTATGAATATCGAAATATGGAAAGGACTATCTGATGTTCTATGTATACACGACCCCTGTTGGATGGTAATAGTACATTCATAACTAATATGAATGCAGGTTTTATCTAAGGCGTTGGTGTACGATTGATTTTATATTGATTTGAGAGATTTTCAATGCACATTGGCCTTCATGATAAGCTTGCTCCCGATGCCGTTTTCTAATTAATATGACACAATAATGCTCGTATCGAATAGCAGAATTTCAATATCATGATTTGTTAGAAACATTTGTTAATCCCATTGCCAATATAAAATCAGACGTCGACTTCCATTTGGAAGTATTTATCTCAACGAGAAACTATCGAACACGTTCGATCATGTTGTTTCTTAAAAGTGCGATTGTTCTTCTTGTTGCATTGCTAGCCACAGTTCGTGGACAAAATCAATGTACAGCAGCAGCTCAAGCAACATGTGGATCATATCCATGTGTTCAAACAGGCACCGCTTTCTCTTGTCTTTGTCCAGACATGACATTACAGCCAACAGCAGCACAATGTACCGGTGGAGTTGTTATAACAACGACGCAATCGCCCGTTGTCATTCCAAATCAATGTGCTAATGCTGTTTGTCCGGCTGGTGCTACATGTATACCAACAAATCAAAATCCAGCTCTTTACATTTGTCTATGTCCAAATAATATTATTGCCAATCCTGACTGTCCAGTAAATCCATTACCAGTCAATCCATGCTTAACAAATAATCCATGCTCAAATGGTGGAACTTGTGTTGTCAATCAATTAACTCTTCAAGCAGTTTGCATTTGTCCACCAGGGACCTATGGTAACAATTGTTCGTATGCATGCCGTCCGGCCTGTGATTCCAACTGGTAAGATTAATCAACAACGAAATATTGAATCGATTTTCTCATGTTGTTAATTGTAGGTGCTACAATGGTGGTCGATGTGTGAATGCATATGGTCAAGCATACTGTTCTTGTGGACAAAACTATCGCGGTCGACGATGTGAACTTCGATATGACAGACGTAATTATGTTTACTTATATCACAACCCACGTTGGTAGAAAAAGAACGATGTTTTCATGCTGAATGGAAAAGATTATCAATTCGATAAATAAAAGAGAAAAAAAAGTTCGTTTCAACTATATGTATTCGATTTTTTCAGTCGTAGCGCTCTGTAAATTAATCATACATTCAACAATTGATGAGTCTGTTTTGATACAAAGACGTACATTAGATGATGATAATTAAGACGAACCGTTAACGAAAGTGTTCACTCGACTGAAAGAAAGGGTCATATGAAAAAAGTTTGTGATTGTGTGGTCTGATCGGTGTGAAGCTAGCATGAAGGAGCTAGCTTCACACCGATGAATCTCATCAGATTGATCTGAAAGAGAATAAATTTTATTAGGCTGTACTAATTGAACGTAAGCAGAAGCAAACATAAATAAACGATTACCAAGTCGGCCACTACGTTCACGTAAAACAATAATACATCGTTTAGAACTTTTGAGTTGGTTGTAATTTTTCCATAATTTGAAAACATAATTCTTTTCTGCTTGCATATATATTATGGAGAAACACATCAAAATTATAACAGAGAAAACCAGCATTTCCATCTCTCTCTTTACCAACATTTTTGCTATTGTTAATTTTCAATCATTCAAATAATCTAAAGATAAAAATAAAATAAAGTGAAACAGAACTCATATTTAGTGAATAAAAATCTTCTTTTCATTTGTATAAAATCTCTAGATTATTAGTTTTGCACGATAGTTCCATAAAAAGATCAAACTAGTTACATCTTACTCGCACAACAGAATTAGTTTATGTCTTGCAATTTCTTCCATAAACGATATGTTTGAAGAATGTTTCTGGTTTTAATTTCTCTCCATTAAAACTGCTACTGCTGCTTTCGTTCTGTTTGCGAATCGATCTCGAATACTTGTATCCTCTACGTATTCATTAATTTTACAACCAGGCATTGATCGTAACATAGTCATGGGTGCGTAATGTGCTAATGTGATATGATTATTTGAAGGTTGTTGTTTAGAGAGTCCGATTACCTGATGATGAATAGATAAATATTGGACAAATTGTGGTCGATATAAATATTTCTCACGTCCACTCTTAAATAAATCTTTTGCGCGATATGTAAATCGTTCAATAGTCAGATGATTCGTATTATTTTCAACGGATGTATAACTATCAGAATACTTTGTACAAAAAAATTGACTCCATAGATTAATTGATCCTATTATGCGTCGACCATAAGTATCATGAACATAATCAGCAATCGTTTTATATGGTAGAAGTGGTACAATATATTCATCGAGATCTAACATTCCTAACCAATGTGATTGATCACCATAACGTATGAGACAGTCATGTAAAGCTTCGACTTGAAAATATCGTGTTGATAAAACATCTGCTAGACCAAGATGTGAAAAATTCCATTGTACAATATCAACAACACCTGGATTTCTTTTAGAATAAATGTTGACAATAGATAAAAGATGATTATTTGTATCAGTTGTATTATAAATAACAAATTTCTGAAATCCAACTAATCGATGAAATTCGATCCATTGAATGATATAATCAGCTTTATTATGCAGAGGTGATGTACACATTACGAAGAATTCTTGACTCGTATTTTTTGAATTCACAGATGATTTTGGAACGTTGACAAAAGCTTTTAATATGGGTATATTTCTATCTTTGTTTGTTGTTGAGGCGAGATATACACGTAATGTTCGTTTATATTTCCATAATTCTTCACTTGCAAATGACGTAAGTGGACAATCTAAAAGCGAAACACGATCATTTCCATAGTTCTGATCGTAATCATAAGCTGGTGTCACCGACCCATCACTAAAGATGCACCATAAACTTAATTTATTTGGAAAAATTGGATCGGACGGAATTGTTTTGGGTAAAACTCGTTTCACATCAGTTGGATAAACTATCATAAATGTTACGCTTGTTCCGTAACGTACACGACTTGCTGCAACACTTAACACAAGCAAATGGCCATCAGCTGATAAACATGGTACTGTAGGTATATTATCTTCAGCTGTTTCTGGCCAAGCAGCAGCAACAATAGACATATCACGTAGACGACTTTGTTCTTCATAATTATGACCAACTGGTTGCCAACCAACTGGTGGAAAAGAAGGAAGATTAACTTTAATCGAATTGTTGTTCGATATTAAGGAACGATTATATATAATCATACCATAGAACAATGAAAGAAATGAAGCAATTATACACAAGCTAACTAAAATATCTCTGTGTGACGCTATGAGTATCATAATGATTAATATATTCTAAAAATAAACAAAGTAATGAAACATATGTGGTAGTCAGTTAGAGAATTTATTTGAGATTGGAATCTACTTAAATACAAAAATTTATATCTAAATCTATACTTTTCTTCTTGAAAAAGAAATGTACAATCTATAATTTTCTATGTGCGGCATACGAGTTCTTGTATAGATTACGAAGAATGATACAAAATGTCAGAAGTAAAACTCTCAATACTTGACAAGTAACGCTCGTCGATGCAGACTCACTTAGCACTTTCTCGTAGAAATATCGCATGCGGATGTTATATTTTTATTGCATTATGGTGTATATAAGTTTATTTCCAGTATAGATTAGATATTTTCAAAAAATACCAATACAATTAGCAAGATTATGGATGATTACATCAAAAAACGAAACAAAGAAAATACGATAAGCAATATCTGGTACAATGACAGAAAACAGACACTTATATAATTATTAACATAAGTGTAAATAGGGGCAAAGGAGACGAACATATATAAATGATTCTTTTAAGATAATTTCAAATTATGTTACGTTTTAGATGCCTACCATGAAACTAGACACTTAGCAAAGCATCGATTTACACATATTTACAAAATGAAAGAGGCACACTCCCCAGGTCAACAATCCTAGAGTCGGAACCGATAGGATCCGATCGGAAGCTGTCGGACTTTATCGGATCCTACAAATTCCTATAGGCTTTTATCGGGTACCGGGGAACGGAATCGCATTGGGTTCCAACGGCTTTTCGGACCCTATCGGATCCAATTAACTTGATCCGATAAAATTCGACAGTGGGTACCGACCGGATCCTAATGGTCATAAAAGTAATGTTTTAATAACACCAAATACCTTTCAGAGACCGGCGGTACTGCCAAATTTTAATACCGTCTCGTACCGCGTACCGTCTTCTTTAGTTCCATACCGTACCGTACCGTTACCGCGCAGGTTCTGAGCATACCGTCTCGCGATATACCGTACCGCCGACAAAAAATTGTCCAATTTTCCTCACAGTGATTCTAACTTGTTTCCTTTCATATATGTCATATAAGTTCCTTTTTCGAAGAACATCGATAGGAAAGTATTAATATACATAGACTTATTCCCTCTACTGAAAGGAGGGTATACAAAGAATTTGAGCTAAAGTTCGTTCGTTTGTCCGTACGTTCGTCCGTTCACGTACTTTACACTAACGAAAAAGCAATCTACAACTCTGACTAAGAAGGGTTGACCGAAGGGTAATCGGGGTCGAGGATCACGAATCCGGTGCTAGTTTTTTCATGAACACTTTCTGACCCGTTTTTTACGACAAAGAATCAATTTTTTAGACGCCAATGTTTTAAGCGGCAATATGTAGAAGAAAATGTAATAGCTGACTGACGCCCAATCACTGGATCTCTATAGTCATTAGTATATTAATGCGATCACACACTTTTATAAACAGCTATACTATACGAATAGCATCTGATGCCAGTCATTCAAAATGATGTTTCAGTTGTGAAGTGTTGTCTTCGAGAGTCACAGTAGCACAAAGAGGGTGACTTTTAAGGAGAGAATAGAAGAGGATGAGTGGAATACTTTCAAAAGTGGCTGTACACTAAATGGGAGACTGAAAATGTGCATGTAACGGCTAGCCGCGAGTGGCCGATTGAAGGGAGGCCGACGAACGACTAGTTGTTTCTTTTGAAAATTGGTTGAAAAGTGAGATTTATAAGACTGTCGCATAGTGTCCATAATTTCTCTAAGGTATATATACATAGGACATCTTTTCGAGCTTCGAGAAAAAACTATGTAGATCACCAACTCATTCAACTAAAAATGATGATAAAAGATATACTGTAGGTCACGAAGTTGTGAAGAATTTCGGCAACTTTGCTAGAGACGGACTCAACAAGAACGAGGTACTTTCTAATATGAAAGTATCATTAAACACTTACTAGGTACCGACTGCTAGCGGTGAGTGGTGAACCGGAGAGAGGCCGACAAGCGACTAGGCGCTATAATTTCAGAAGATTTCAGGAAGGGAAATTGGTCTATATAAAACATTCTGGCAAATTATCAAACGATCAGATCGTTCAACTGAAATAACTTTTTTCTCTCTTTGGACGAATAGTAGTGCTCTAATACTAATACTATCCTTTCAGTAGAGGGTTTAGCGGCTACTAGGCCGCGTTACTTGTAATTATAAACATATGCGTAAAAAGTATTTCAAGAATGCATGATATGATTCCACTGACACACAGTGTTGCGCAGCTTTACGAAAACCATCATCATTACAACAAAAGATTTTATATCTGTCTACATCTGTTGCACTATTAAGTGTTTTTATTTCTTTAGAATGAGCACTAAGAAATCAGACAGTTTTGGAGTGACTATATAGAAAAATCTATTTTTTGGAAGGTGATGAAGTCTCAAATAAAGACATGGTGGGATCGTTTTTTATCACTTAATTTAGTTATCTTTGTTGAGAGATATGTTGCTGTTCGAAACTTACAAATATTCTTAAGCAACTCTTGTGTGAAACAACATTTAAAAACTTCTCAGAAACGTCAGTAATATTGAACTTCGTGGAAAAAAAAATGAAGGTTAGCAATAGTTCGAATTACATGATATTTTGATCATTTGGATTATCAAGAATAATATGTGAAATCCTATTGCGCATTAAAAACTGTTGAATCATTAAACGATTATATTTTTTATCACGCATGGAAAAGTAACGGTCAAAAATGTAAATATATCTACATATATAACCTTAGATATTTTATTTATTTTCGTTTTAATTTCAAGTTTTAAATAAATTAACAATTGCAACTAAGAGCTACAGATGTATTTGTAGACTGAATTATGGAGCTAAAGATAGGACGCGACGTTCATTTTTTAGCTAAACTAAGCCACATCAAAAGATTTGACGACATTCAAGACGTACCTTAGCTTGGTTTCAGTAAAAGAGTCGATGACTTACTTATCTGTGCTTTTCATTAAACAATATCATTAACGAGAAAAAGCAAAAGGTTAATGATGATAAACTTTCTCTTACAGCATTTATTGATATCAATTGGTTGTAAATATACGACAATGATGATAGTTCACTGACATCGTAATCTGATGTATTAGGATCGAATTAATATTCGTTTGTTTTTGATAACAGAACAAGAAATATAAAAGATGAGAATAAAAGAGAGAGAAATGTTTAGTTTTATTGAATTCCTGTCAAGATTTAAACGCGAATGAAAAAACTATGATACATATCCTCGAAAATAATTGTTAAAAAGCTTCTTCTGACTATGGCGCGGGAGTGCCGTATAGCCATCTAATACCGCATACCGTACTTACCGTGGCTTATCCTTACAGTTGGTACATTTGGATGGTGGGGTGGATTTCTTTTACGTAATAAAATAGGTGAAGTAATAACTGATTCCAAACCAGATCATTCTCCTATCGATGTCAATTGTCGACGAGAAGATTATTTTCCACCTCGGTTTTCATTTTTGAATAAAACAATCTCATAGATTTTCATTCATAATCTATTTGTCATTTTTTTCAGAACATGATTTGTAATATGAATTATCGTTATTATAGAAATACTTATCTGCTTATCCTATTCATTATTTTTGGGAACTTTTTCATCTATACAATTTGGTGTAATCCATATTTATTCTCTTATTATTCGCTTTTCTGAAAGAAACGGTTATACAGCGTTTAAATGCTGTGTTAAAAAGCTTAAAGTCTGTCTGTCTGTCTGTCTGTCCTATCCAATCAGAAATCAGCATTTCTAAAATCAATGAAATTGATCGATAGTTGCTATAAAATGATTACCGGTAGGGTAATCGAGCTCGGGGAAATTGAATCTGAGGTTAGTTTTAATTAATTATTAACTATTAATTAACTATCTGTCAACTAGACATAGATTATTAATATACAGGGTAATGGTTGACGGAAGGGTAGTTGGGGTCGAGGATCTCGAATCCGACGTTAGTGTTGATTAATTAATTATTAATTTTTCATTAACTAATCACGACTTATTAACATCCATTGTCAGAGTAGACCGAGGGTTTCTGATGTCGGGAAATTCGAATTTAAGGGTGAATTTCGTCTTATTCGCTGAGCCTGGGCTTGTTCCTTCCTCTTTACTAAGGAAATATTTTTCTTTATCTGTTCTAAAATCTTTTGTAGAAGATGGTGAGCTGAACGCTATTCACGGACGTCATTTGTACAAAGATACTAGCTCAAGAAGTTACACGAAAAGATCTAATGCATTGTACATAATGATGTTTCTCATCGAAGAAATCCGAAAAAGTGATATGAGCTTAGTATCATCTTTGCTTTGTAGGCTACATACATCATGTCTTTTTATGGGAATTTAGTAGAAGTAGTTCACAAAGTGATATACCCGTCAGTGCAATTCCATCTTAGTAATTACAGACGCGTGGACTGTAGAAACAGTATTCTGAACACATGCAGCGCTATGAAAGATGTTCGTTCAAAAGCAAAGAATACAATAAGACTTTCTCATCTAGTTTCTTTTGGTAGTCGAATGAATAGAAGATCATGACTGTAGAAGCGACAATAAAAGAAAACCCAATCGTTCAGTTTGAAAGTTGATCAAAGGCGAAAGGAATAAGAGAGATAGCATGGCAACGGCTAGCTGTGAGTGACCGACCGGAGGGAGGTCGACGAACGACTAGACGTTTGTTTTGAAAATTACTTGAAAGATGAGATTTATCACTGTCTCAACTAAAGCCAATGGTTTTTGAACGAACATAATTTATGTACTTTCGAGCTTCGAGAATAGGGATTGCACATTATCAGCGCTTCAAACTGAACAGAGCAATAGAATATGTACTGTAAACTACACAGTTAGGAAGGGTTTTGATAACTTCGATCACAGATCGACTCAGTGCCAACG